CAGTTCTAAAGCACTATGCAAAACAAAAATTCACAGTCACTTATTTAGAACAAACATAAAAAATACAATTTTGGTAGAACTGTGCACAAATATAAACAATATAACAGTACATATTACTGTAAACTGAACATAAATTATACCCGGACATTCACAGTGGTTCTCCCTACATTTGGTTGCACCCATCGATCAGCCTCAGTCATAGTGAGGCTGTGACTGACAACACGGTCCACAAGTGTAGTCCTAATCTCATCAGGGATTTGCCTATGTACTTCACCTCTTCTTCCTCTGCCTCTGTTTTGTCCCCTTCCCCTTCTCACCCCTCCTCTATGAAGCTGACCTTTCATTTTAGTGTCACAGAATTGTAGAAATGGTACACACTATGTCCTGCTTGGTTTATATATGCATGCCAAGTGAGGGTTCATGGGATTCAGTTCTGAGTGACTGATACATGTAACTGATACATGTCCAAGAGCATTTGCAATTTGTTCAGAGGAATGAAAAAACTGCTACCATGATGTGCACAAATGACTCAATGTTGTGGAGGTTGAACTAATAGTTGTGGGAACTTTTCATTCATGCTCTGAGAAATGCACCAATGACAAGCCACTCGTCCACAGTCACTCAGGGCTGAATCCCATGAACCCTCAATTGGCAAGCATATGTAAACCAAGCAGGACATAGTGTGTACCATTTGTACAATTCTGTGACACTAAAATGAAAGGTTAGTCTCGAGGATGAGGGGTGAGAATGAGAGGGGGAAAGAAGGTTAATGACCGGCATCCACATGCCCAAATGGCCTTTCTAGCAGCCATGGATGCTGCATGTGATGACATCACCGTGGAGTCGTGCAGAGGGTGAATTCGCCACTCAAGGAGATAGTGTCCTGGCTGTCTTGCAAGGGGAGATTCGCTGTGATGTAGATGAAAACATGTGGCCAGACAAACAGGAACATGTGAATGTCCAGGAATAATTCATGTTCAGTTTACAGTAATATGTACTGTTATATTGTTTATATTTGTGCACAGTTCTACCAAAATGGGATTTCTTATATTTGTTCTAAATAAGTGACTGTTAATTTTTTTGTTTTTTTGCACTGAGCTGTAGAATTGCAAAGAGCATATGCAGTAAATATGTGAAACATACATGTGTCTCTTGTACTGAGTTACCTCGCTAAATACAGTAATGTGTAACTTTACTGTAGTTTTCAAATGGCTGTACAGGTAGTACATAGTGCTGTCTTGAGCATTTTCAGGTAGTGTCACCAAGATCAGACTTTTTTGCCCCAGAAAACACAGAGAGAGTAAACTGTCAAAATGAAACTATGACAAAGCCATTTGACTGTCGTGTTCATAAACAACAGAGTCAGGACTCATTATTTTGATGACACTGACACTTTCACTGACATGAATAGTTGCTTTCGAGGAATCAACTAGTCATGTTGCGCAAGTGAGGTGTTTTTGCAGATTATCAACTTGGTTTTGCAATTTGTACTTCTAAGAAATTCACCAACTGTTGTGCAGCTGTTAATAGTAATGTGGGAAATGCACCAAAACGACTGAGAAAAACTGTAAAATCATGAGTACATATTGTAATAACACCTTTGCACATTATATAATCATGTAACAATTTATTACATAATGACTCAATTATTACATTATTAAATTATATTACTTTTAAGTTATTACATCATGAGTTGCCACAGATGACTGTTAGACAACTTTGGTCCACGGGGCGCTGTACTTATAAAAATCCTGATACCTATCTTTTCAGTCTCATGATCTGTTTCCGCACTGCTCTGCTAACCTGCATGAAGGCCCTAAATCAGTGTTGCCTCTCACACTGTAGGCAGTTATGTCCTTGTCCCACGGGCTCTCTCTCTCTCACACACACACACACACACACACACATTGAATTGAAAGTTGAATTTTTATTAATTTTCTTCTCTTTATAAATTGTTGAGTGTGTGATATCTAGAATTACTTTTCTTTGAATCTCAAAAATTAATGTTTTTCATCATTTAAAAACAAAACAAGTACCATGCTAATCATTATTATGTCATTATTATTCCTAAAAAAAAGAGACAAAAATCTGTGGATATTCTTGGTTCAATGATATTTGAAGTGAAATTTTCTGTAAGGACGACATTCAGATTTTTTTTTTACTGTTCCAAGTTGTGACTACAAATTTGAATGACATGAACAGCCTCTGTAAACATATTAAAATATATAATACTTATTAAAAAACAGAGCAATATCAGCACAGATCTCCCAAAAGTTTAGTTTTTATCATTTCTCCTTGATGAATAGCGTATATGTCTGAGGATTAGTGGCTATGTTGATCTGTGATTGCGTCTACATTAAATTGATGATGTCATTCGAGAAAAAAATCCTTGTTTGAGACAGAAACACTCTGACTGTAGAGTATAATTCTTAAATGTCAGGAATTATTTAATACCAGACTCTTTTTATTGCTGTGAAAACAGCTGTGCTTGGTTTTTGGCTAGTAAAGCTGTTTGAACACTAGGTGGCAGCAGTCTAACTGATGTTATAGTTGATTTTTATTAGGTCAAAGGTCAGCCTAGTTTCTCTGAGTTTGCTGTTTCTGTGAAACTATCAGAGGTTTGTAGAGAAATATGTTTGAAATGAATATTCCTGTTGTTGCAGTAACTGGGAGGCCCATCTGAAATAAAGTTTGAAACCTGATGTAAGACTGAGGTGTGATTTTGTTTGTTTGTTTGTTTGTTTTAGGAACCATGATTGTTTGTCAGTTTTCAGTGGAAACAATAACTTTTTATTCTTGGTGACAACATTAGACCAATAACAAGATTGGATTGACCTGTTCGGATCCACAAAGATTGGATTGAGTCTGTTCAGTTTAGCACAAAGCACAGCACACAACCCAGACACCAGCATGGCAGCTTCGTTGTTTTTGATCAATTACTGACCAAAGCAGTACTAAAAAAGACACAAATACTACCTGACTGTTATGTCCCAGTCTAGGGGATACCTGGACGTGTGCCCCCACTCTTCCTGCTCCCTAGAAAACCAGCAAAACAGTTCAAATAGTGTATAGTAAAACAGATGATTTTATTGTCTTCAGAGGTGAGCAAAGGCCAAAACAACCACCAAAATTGCTCTAAATTAACCCCAAACGGACCTACTAGAAAACAAATCCTTGAAATTACAAACATCTAAGCTGAACTCCTCATTTTTAAAACAGGAGGAAAATTAGACAAAACAAAAAAGGTAATATTTGCAGTGAATTGTTTTACAATTGACAATCTATTTATGAGCCAACACTCTGACAGTCAAAACAGGATGGAAATAGCCAACACGCTGTTTATGGAAACAAGCTTACACAGTTCACAGATAAAAGCTTCAATACACTCTCTGATGATGCTGGTCAGTTGGTCATGGCAAGAGAAGCATAGAGGGGGCTGCAGAATTTGGAGTTTCAACCAGCGAGCACCATCTTCATCAACTCTAAAGGTCCTTACACACCGGGCGAAAATTCGCCAGGCGAATTATTCGCCTTTTTTTAAAACAGCATAAAGTCAATGCGAGCTTCCACACCGGCGGCGATTTTTCCGCGGGGCGAAAAGCCGCTTTTATTTTTTCGCTCTTGTGTCGAATTTTTCGGATATTCGCAGGCGAATATCTGGACCTGCTAGACCTCTGGCCAATCAAAAGTCATGTTGTTGATGACATCACAGACCCATACGGCTGGAGGAGAGGGAGAAGTTTGAGATTATGAAAACGCAGAGAAAGACAGCTGAGGTGCATCCAAAACTCTTTCGAATTACTAATGAAGTAGTTTTCTCACAAGATGACACTCTCTTGTCTTCCTTAGGAGACAGATGTCATGTGTCATGTCCGTGCCGCAAAGCGACTTTATTAATTCGCTGTGCAAAAAATATACGCATATTCGCTTCGCGGCCGGTGTGTATAGGCAAAAGCGATTTTTCGGACCGGCGAATATTCGCAATTTTCGTCTCGCTTTTTCGCTTCGCTCCGCAAATTCGCCGGTGTGTAAGGACCTTAAAGCTGCACTTCTCCTTGAACCTATCCATCAGAAGCCACAGCTGCACATTTGAAAATGTGAGCACATACTGAAATCCTCACTGACCACCTAGAATGAAGCGCTCACCACGGCCATGGTAAGGATGAGGAGAGCTCTGAAGTTTGACCGTTCTCTGGCTGTGCCAGGTACCTCTACGTGGATAGGTCCTAACACCTGAGGCACAACATGGTCCACATATTGCCAGTGGCCACCAAAAGACTCAGAGTCTTTAAATTTAAATTTTAAATCTGTTCATAATTTTTATATATGAATATTAGCATTTAAGCTCAATAGCTTCCAGGTAATTTAATCAATTGACTCAAAATTAGTGTGGGATCATAGTACTTAACTGGCTGCATGAGAGACACCTCGTTTTTACATTTCAAATCTGTTCAATTAATTTTTATATTAGCATTTAAGCTCAACACCAAGCTGGTTTAGCTGATTTATTTGAATAAGAAGATGAGCTGAGGAGAGTTTTTGAGTTTAATATTCAATGGGTTTTCAAACCAGTTTGATTCTCTCCAACATACATATTTATCTTTTCCTCTTATTAACTGAAAATCATATTTTACATCAGTGTAATACATTTGTTGTTTCCAATGGCTAATTAAAGAAAATGTATTTAATCGTACAGATTTAAAAATGTAAAAACATTACTATTAATGCTTTATGTTCGATGGACAAATAAAGAAAATGTTTTTGCAAACACTTCCATTTGGATTTTATGTACTGTATGCAACATGTCCAACATGTCCTTTGCCAGTTACACAACCTGTTTCTTTCCGTCATATATTGTGCTACGAGTTTTTGTCTTCTGTCACAAGATTGTCAACCTCTGCAGCACCAGCGCTATGGGCAAAAAAAGTTAACATACAGCCCTGAATATATGACTTAGCAGTTCTCATGTGAAGCTTTTATTAGTAAATAAGATGTGCAGTCATCAAATAATGTGTCAAACATGCTACGTCAGGTAAAATTGAAAAAAATAAAGTTATGGTGCACTATCTTGATATTACTTTCTTATTACTATGATATAAAAAGGGATCAGTTTGACACATTTTACAGTTATACAAGTCATAGATTCATGAAAAACTAAAGGGACTAAACTCACAGGTTAAAGTTAAACAACTTATCAAGGATGTCAGTCCACTCAGGTCCTGGTGTTAGAGGATTTATTATCTTAGTAGAGTCACAGAAAAGATTGACAAAAATGAGAAAATCTAAGAAAAAATTCGAGTGTGAATACAGGTGTAAACTCAGGAGTATATTCGAGTGTTAACACAGGTTTATGACTGCAAAAACATGAGCACAAAGATGTAGTCAAACATGTTTGATGCCTTAGAAGTCCAGGGATCATGTTGATCCATTTTTACACAACAGACAACAAACACAGGTACATATTAGCGTTCACTGTTTTTGAAACTAACATATCTAAACTTTTTAATACAAAAACAGTTTAAAAACGCAGAATACTGTTGAAAAAACATTCAATAAGCTGTTAATCTTCAAAAGTTAAGAAGTGGCACATTCATAAAGTTTCATTCATTTATAAAGTTTCTGTAGTGTTCATAATACTTTTGGCATTTCCTGTTAGGTAGTAGATCTGAGTACATAAACCAGACTAGTTCAGATCTGCAGGTCTTAGAACTATTCTATTCTTAACTAGTTTCTGCTTTCTTCTATTGTAATACTGAGCCTTTATTTGATTAACTTTGATTTAAACATAAAATCAACTCAGGTAAGATAGTGAAGTCTGTCCCTATTACAGTGAATTATAGATACACAAGCATATGAATGTTAACGTTGAGTTGTCTATGTAAGGCACTGACCTACATAAGAGGAACTGAGGAGAAAACAATTGTCTACTGTTTGGTTAGTTTTGATCTTTCCCCTCTTTGTCCATCACAGTTACATAAGCCTTGAATGCCTTTGTTACTTCTTCCTCTCACAGCAGCCATGATCCTGAGGTCAAAGCTGGGATCACGTATTAGGCAACTTGCTGTCAACTTAGAAAGTAGCATCTGCAAAGTCCTGTCTGCCAAATCCTTTCTGAAAAACACAAAACACAGAAAATACTCTTTAAAAAAAGGAAAACAGATGTTTCAAAAGTTATCTTACACTCTCACCTCAAACTTACACCCATCATCATTTCCTACATTTCCTTTAGTCTCTGTTTCACGACCAAAGAAGCACATCGCTTTGAAACGTTGACAGGAAAAATTAAAACCTTTTTCACTCACAAGTAAGATGTTCTGTAACTGTTTTCACCGTGACGTTGTCTTTGTTTTGATTCTGTAAGATTCACAGTCCTTAGATGTACACATCAAAAATGAATAATTATCATTTTGAATTATTTGGGTGATAAACAGACCAGTGAATAAGCACAAATGCAAAACCATAAGAACAATAACTTGATAAGAACTAAGAGGTAATTGTTTCTATTATCTCTGTCTCGGATGGCAAAGTGCGTGTAGAGCTGAGAGCGGTTTGTTTGAGAGTGTGATGAGTTCAACTTCTTTGCTATGTTTCTGTGTTTTTGTTTGTCTTAAGTTTTTGGATAGGTAGGTGTTTTTTGATGGGTGTGTGAGGTGTGTCTGTGTGTTGGAGAGAGTTGGGGAAGTGTAACCGAGGCTGCAGCGGCTGAGTTTGAGAGGCTGACTCATTGTCATGCCATCAAACTGGTCCCTGCAGCCCAGTGCAGCGTGGAGGAGGCTGGACTGGCTGTGGGTGAAGTGGTCGGCTATGAATCCTTGAAGTCGGCCTCCAGGATGAATGGGGCCAATCGTGCTGTTCTTCTATGCTACAACTTAACCTAGCGAGGTGGTGGGAAAAGTGCGGTGATTTAGGACACCTTTACTCCTGTTCACCCCGTTGTTTGCCCCGCCATGAAAGAAATTATATCAAATTCCTTTTATTAAAAATGAGAACTTAGCGAGGGAACTGTTGGGATATGGCCGGCTTGTCTTACAAATTAAGATGCTGTCACTTGGGTGTTACTCACCAAAAGTGAAACATATTGTTTGTTACAGCAGACAGGTGCTAAAAAATCTCCACAAGTGATCTATATCTGTTGTTTTCATCAGGCCTAAATGTGAATACTGTTTACATGTTTCATTAATAGGATCATATACTTGTTCATGACCATTTACAGTGTTGTCACTTTATTTAAAGTGCTCTGAGTCGTGTTGTAAGTTCTGTCATTTGTAGATCATGGACTTAATACATTTTATGAGTTTTCTATGAACTCATGAACTGATAAAGTTAATTTATAATTAAACTAAGAAGAAAAAAAAAGGTGTAAAACATCATAAATCATACCTTCATGAGACATATCCACTGATTGTAGCAATCAAAAACATTGCTTTCACTTAAAAGATTACATATAGATAAAGCACTGTCTAGATAGATAGATAGATAGATAGATGACTGATTTATAGGAGTAGGCTTCAGCATATATCAGACTCACCAGTTTGTAGTCTTTGTGCAGTTTTCTGTACTGGAACATGTTGGAGAGGACAGTGGAGGCTGCTCTGGCAGCTTTCAGGCTCTCATAGCTAAACAAAGACACAGCAAGAGACATCACAAGACAAGAACATTACAAGGTTAAAATAAAACAGCGTTAGTGGAAGACAGCGGCCCTTTGATTGACATTTGGTTAACACAGGGCTTCAGGCTATGTGATGGTATGACCCTGAAACTATTTTTTCTTTGGTCACTTCTGGTGTGAATAAAACATGGCAGATTAAAGATATTAACAAAATACCGGCAGCAGGACTCAGAGGTGAATAATAATGGGAGGTGAAGAAGGATTCAGGCTTTCATAAGCCCTGATTATTGAGGGTCACACAGAGAGTCAGTCCTACCGGTTATCATGGGATGTCTTGATGCCCACCAGTTTTGGCAGGCCGTTGCAATATGAGATTTCATTGGCTGCCACGGAACTGCAGGTGACAAGGTGATTCAGGACTCCACAGATATTAACCACCACCTCACTGGCTGGCTTTTTCTGAAGGCCATCACTGGGCAGCTTGGAGACCAGAATATTCACCACGTTCCTGGCTGAAAGGAAAATAAATTAGGAAGGTTTTCTTTCAGTCTGTTCATAGATAATCAGGTCTTATTTGTACTGTCTGAGAAGCTCTCTAATTTTACACACTGCTCAAAAAATTAAAAGAAAGCAGAGAGAGTCAAATAGATCTACAATTACAATTAACAGAATAAAACTATAAACAAACATTAGCTCTATAGCTGTGTTAGAAAAGAGGAGCTAATGTTGATAAAATATTGTCTTTTAAAATGTTGCAAAAATGGAGAGACTGACGTTAATAATTTAGTTCTAACTTTGTAACAGAGTTCAAAATGGAGAGACTGATGCTTGTAGTTGAAGCAGCTGTAAAGCAGACAGGTCCTTAGCAGCTAAATATCTGTAGCAGTGATCCAGAGGAACCTACAGCATGATGGCGCCATAGACTGTATATATGTATGTATATACTGTATGTATGGATAACTTGGTTCCTCCTTCCTCCAGTATACGGACTTGAAGCCAAAAAGCTCTTGGTATTTCCGTTAATTTGTTTGTGAGTTTTTTAGGATTATTAAACCAGTCTAACAAAAACTTGACTTGTGGTCTCTGTGTGTGTGCAGTGCCTTGTCTCTGTTCAAGAAATCCTTCTTATCAGGGCTTTTCCTTTCTTTGATAGAATTTTGATGAAGCAAGTAAAAATCAGGGAGTATCTCAGAGGGGTATGTCATTTCATTCAAAAGAAGTTTAGTCGAGCCATCAATGTTTTACACTCAACACTTCTACCAATGATAATTCACGTTATACCCATTTGGTCCTTGTTGGAGCAGTGTCTGGCCAGATTTCTCAGCAGGCCGGTCAGAGGTCTGAGCTCACTGTCACTCTGGGTGTCTAACAGTTCGAGCAGAATGGGCAGCATCTTCTCCTGGTCCATTACCACCCAGCTCAGCATTGATGACCACTAGTAAAGATAACATAAATAATACTGAAAAATCAGGTAAAATAATTACGGAGCATGTCTGATTGGTTAATATTTCTGTGTCGCCAGTGAGATCGTACCCGGGCCTCTCCCGCTGTGATATTTTGCAGGGCTCCTAAGGCAGCTTCACAGACAGATGAGCTTCTGCTGCTGTTCTGCAGAACCAGCTTGTAAAGACCCACAACCTTAGGGTGCCACAGCCACTCAGACCCTTGAGGCTGCCGAGACACCTCAGACAGGAAATGTGGACTCGGGTTATGCTGCAAAGAAAAAGGAAGAGAGACAATTGAAGCAACCATTTGAGAAATCTCAGGTCTTTGTGTGTCCTGTTGTACTCATTCTATGCAATCATTGCAATCAGTTCCTTGAAGTCATAATCACCATAGTAATCATTTTGCTCTGCAGACGCAGAGGTTCTTCTGCCTTAGCGTCTTGGTCTGATTGCATTTGCATGAAGTAATGATCATAAATGTTCTAATTTGAGCTGCGAAACTTCGCTGCACTTGGTGATCGACTCGTCAGGTCTCCCCCACAAACAAGCGGCTGCTGGAGGAGAGTGGGTGAGTTGTGTTTGGTCTCTTTGCTCTATGGCTGGGACCCTATATGTACTGTTGATGAAGTTAGGTGCTGTTCTGAGCATTATTTGTGGATATAGAGTGGCTTTTTGGTTGAGCGTAGAGACATAGACTGCTGTGTATTGCTATTGTGCGGTCGTTACTGAAGTTGGTATAACTAGAGGAGTAAGCAGTTAACAACATTTATCTCTCAAGGGGGTGTCTAACTCAATGTTACGGTGTGTTTGACCATGACTTAAACTTATGCCAGACTATCCCTTTAAATTTCCTTTTCCTAGCTTTGTCTACATTTGGCTCATTCGCTTTTTTTAAATATGTAACATTTACTACACTTCAGAAATGTTTGAGACATCCAAAATGTATATGTAAAGTATATGCTATGTGCGTTAAGGTTGTCTATGTTTGTGTGTTTGCTACTTCCCACCTGACAGTCCTCAGCCCAGCACCCACATTGTGAAAAAGGAAACTTATGCCCTTGATAGCACCGAAGAGAATAATGACATCTTCTCTACCTTTCAAAAACATTCCTCTTTGATAAAGCTGATAGACCTGGTTTAGGTCTAGGTCTGCTCTGAGTTATGTTGCTATAGGTTCAGACTGCCAGGGTTACTGACTCATGGAGCACCCCCTTCTCCATCCTCTTTCTGTCTCTGTCATTAACTTTGAATCATCACTGGATCTCTGGATCACTGCTGAGGACCTTTAGCTGCTGAGGTGCTACCTGCTTTACAGCTGTTTCAACTACATACATCAGTCTCTCCTCTGTCCATCTCTCTCTTTCTCCATCTCCCTCTCTCCCCTCTCTAAACCCAGCTCAGTCTCAGCAGATGACTGTCTAACATGAGTCTAGTTCTACTCAAGGTTTCTGCCTGTTATGGAAGTTCCTCCTCCTCTCCACTGTAACTCTTAAAATGCTGTAAAATGTTTCACTCGTGGTTGAAGATAGGATGGGATAGGGTGGGTCCAATCTTACAGGATGGGGCTTGGTCTGATCCCATCTTCACATTGGGTCTTTGTAAGCAGTCTGGTCTAGACTTACTTTTCTTTGCGAAGTGTCTTGGGATTACATTTTTTGTGAATTTGTGCTACAGAAATAACGATAATAGCGGTTGATTGCAGTGCTAGGTTTCCGACATGTGGCACATAAATAAAACCCAATAAAATATGTGTCTGTCTCTGCATAGAGTAGCCTACAGAAAATGGCCATGTGATTCAGCTACAAAAATAATCAAATGAATATGTACAGTGCATCTGTCTCCGGCATAAGTATTCAGAGCCTGAATTATCATCAGATGTCTGATACTGTTGCTAATCTGCATGTTTGGGGCTTTAAATAATGAAGTTACACTGCTGTGTCCCGTCCATGATTTAATGTCTTTCTCAATTTGAAGAGTCATTACTCATGATCATTCATACTATATGAGGCGCTTACATGCAAGAAACATGATAAAGTAGTTTTAAGACATTCACCTCTTGCTTTTTTGGGCTATACTGAGAAAAGCAGCCAATGGCGTTACTGTGCCTGGAGTACAGATCTGTCTTTGGACCTTCCAGACGGATTCGGACTGAAGGCGGTAGTTCCATGTACAGCTGGTAAGACAGATTCCTCATCACACATAATGAATTCTCCAAGCCCTAAACAAAGATAATGACAGAGAATGTGGCGTTAAAGTACACAGTCATACTAGAGGGATGACTAACAAGGATACATGAACTACTGAATAACCAGTATCTGTAAATGTTTGAGGTTTTTTGATTTTCCATGAAAATATCTGAATTCAAGTCAACATCCTAAATTTTATTTAATTATTACATTCATTCACAAAGATGAACTCTTTGTGAATTAAGATTAAATCATTTCTGAAAATGTTTTGAGGGATTAAAAGGTGTTGGAAAACGTACTAACACTGACGTTTCATGGGATGCTGCTTTATGATGTGGTGGGTGTTCGTCTTGAAAAGTCTGGAGGGTTTCCAGGCGGTGAGATTGAAAAAAAGACTGGTTTTATTCCAACAAGCAAGTATCCTGTTTTATCAGGGAGTTTTTTTTGAGTCCCTGCTCAGTAACTATGGTAACATATCCTACTGAACAAGTCTGCTTCGGGCCAGGCTAATTTTCAAGCTAACCTTCGTATCAAAAATTATTATTATCATCATTAAGATTATATGAAAGATATCCTACAGAATAAATACAATGTATGACAAAAACTTTGATGCAGCTACTCTGCTTTAGCTGTTGCTGTCCATTAACAATATGTGTTGGTTATTTTTGCTGCAGAGAAACTAGATTCAGTGAAGAGTAGCCAGTAGAACACTGCATTGTAAAAGGACCGTGCCCCACACTGTACGGTCCTTTTTGCATTTACACCAAGCACGAGTAAAATCATTGAGTGAATTACATGTTAGGTCAATGCAAAGACCTTTCTCATGTCCAGATTTTATAATATTAAACATACATAATACTTAGACATGCATTCCTGTTTTTACCCATTGTAGGTTATTCTGCATGTTTAACATTCTCAATCTAAACTGACTACAGAGATATTGAAATCAAACCTCCTTTTAACCTTGTGTTGAGATGTCAAATTCTGTGATAGTGCAGGGAAGACTTACCTTGTCATCTGCCCTCTCCTCATGCTGGATGTAAGACACTAGGGAGTCCACCAGGCCTTGCATATCTCTCATCCTGGTTCTTGTCCGTTCATTTACTGAGCTCAAGTTTCTGTATGTAAAGCGATAGAGACATTGTGACAGAGTTTAAAATTTCAGTGACAATAACACTGTTACTGGAATGATCTTATTTTAACTTCATAACTGACTTGCACCAGAATCACATTGAAAGTGTAAGTTTAACAAGACAAAATTAAGGAAACATTACACAGTTTTATGGTTAGTGGCCTGTACTTTGACAGATCACAAAAATATAATTCAAAAATGTTTTCAAATGTCAAAATTTAAGAGCCAAAAGCTCCATGAGCTTTGATTTAAAGTCTATTTTTGTGTTTCTCTAGATGAGGAGGACTGGATTATTTCCCGGGGAATGGTTAATTTTAGGGGGACTCCAGAATTTTGCTCAGATTTAGCCTGTGTTCACCAAAGATTAAAACCACCAGACTTCCTGTTGGTTTCCCACATGAATCTAGGAGACCTTTTTGTAGGTCTCCATGAATATTGAAATATAAAATATGACCATCTCAGGAAGGAACAGTACATGACTTTAAAATGTAGCTTAAAATCTTTTGAAGTACACTGGTGATTCACCCATAAACTGGAGTCCCTTAAACTCTTAAACCCGAGACTGCTTTCTAACAAGTAAGAAAGTGATAGAGCTCACTAACAATTTAAATAAGCGACTTATTTTACACTTGTTGAATATTTGAGCTTGATAAAATACTGTTGGATGTATTTTAGCTCATTGGGAATGCATTATTGTACTTTAGAGGGATGTACTCAGAGTGATGCTGAGCTTTGGACTGAATTATTGCTGACAGGTTGGGAATTAAGTTTGACAGTTATGGCTGTCTGTCTGCTTTTGTTCAGGGTCACCAGAGAAGACCTTTGTTGGCATATGTGCATCAAGCCAGACAGGCTCATCAAGACGAAACTTGGCCTCTTCCAAGTTTCAGTAGAAATCAGGGACAGAGAGAAGCTGATGCTGGTTCGTAGGAGGACTTTCACACAGACTTTTCTACCAGTTTATTGCAGACTCTTGCGCACTTCTTCTGCATCCATCAAAAAGGGAGTGGAGAACAGCTTTGTGTATTTCTCGAGAATAGAAAATATTGGACGCACTGTTTTCAAACTCTGGAGAGATGTGATGACAGACACATATTTCCCATTTTTAGCAGGAAGTTGGCCCTTTAGGAAACGTTCAGAGACCCAGAAAGACCACTCCCTAAAACAATCCCTAAGCTAACATTCACTGTGGCGGTAAATTACTGTTTATCTATTAAATGTTTACAGCTACTGTAATTTATAACAACTTCCCCACACATTATAGCTGCAGACACCATCCTCTCATCTGACGTGTACCTCTGCAAACCGTTATCTGATATTTAATTTCAATACTGTATCTACCTCATGTATATAACCCACCTGTTATATAACAACATATGCACATATTTTTACTATCACTCAACCTTAATCTGAACTCCTCACCATAACACTACTGCCTGAAACATTCTTGTATACAGAAGTTTAATGTCTAAGCTTATTCATATTTGTGTAATATTTCATCTGTAATGTTTGTCTACCAGAGCCAAATTCCTTGTGTGTGTAACATACACTGTAAAAAAAGAAGAATTGCGATAACTTAAATTTTAAGGCAACCTTTTGCAGAAAGATTTTTAATTGTGTCGACAATTTGCTAGGTCATTGTCATAAGTGACATTTCATCGTTGTATCATCGCTGTTCGGTGAATGGTCACTACTATTTATTCTTAGTTTTGCCAATATAAACATTTAGCCATCGGCTAGCAGCCGCTTGCTAATGGCTAAAGTTAACAGCTTTCTCCACATCCAGTGAGCGTGAAGGCGGCGTGCGCCCTAGCGATAAAATCGGCTGCTCAGTTACATGTGTGAATAAACACGTGGCTGAGAAACACGTTGTGAGGGAACAGAAAGATAATTTTCCGGCAGACATGCAATGCAGATAGGCAAGCATTGTTAGCTAAACTGAAAAAGTAGCCAATTTACTGAAGTAAATTTGGTAAATTAGAACAACACCACATTCTCTATTAGTTAATACACTTAATACAGTTCAGACAAGTTTATTTTCACACAAAATACTTAAATAACTTGGACTGAAGCTGGTCCACTCAAAAAAGTCCTCTTCTCCCTCTGCGCTGCCGTGACACACTATGAGGGAGAACTTGCCCTTGCAATGGAACGTGGTAAACCCCGTAGGTCCTCATGGGTCAATATCAGAACTGCATTATGGGAATTTTTCCTACTTTGTTGTGCAAACAACAAATTGCAAATTCTGCTAATTTAGAATTACATATTTGGTCTCTATTGAGGTGCACATTGTTGGTCTGACATGTACTTTCTTGTTAAATAATAGCTATTTTAATTTTCATGTTTACCCAATTAAGAACACAAACTCTTGTAAATAGATTGTCGTGTTTTTTTTAACAGTGTACTTGGTTAATAAAGCTGATTCTGGCTGTAAACAGTTTTGCTGCAAATCAGACAGACACACTCTAAAGAAATATTATTTTTCCATCATGTCTGAAACTTTCTTCTTCTGTCATATCTAACCACCTATGGCAAAATCTTATTTATTCCTTTACTGTACGATATATATCTATTGTATTTTGAATGTCTGTCACCACAATCTACACCCAGGTACAGAATCCTGAAAATCAAACTGCACAGTAAAACAGTATGAGAGGGGTTTTGTGTGGACTTACCTAAGGCAACCAGTTGTGTTGTTAAAGATGTCTCTCTCAGGAGCGCTCAGTGGGAGTGTGCTGCACAGAGGAACCAGTACTTTCTGTGTAAGTTCTGCTAAAGCTTCATTGGACAGCTTCTCCTTCAAACTGTCTTTAGAGGACAGATTCCACAGCACACCTGTAACCACAACGATGTTTTTAATGTCCTGATATGCCTGTAAATTAAATCATTTTATGCAAATAAAAACTAAAAAGCAAGTATTGTTATTAAATTACCACATGGCTGACATCCATATTAACAGAGGTGTGGTTGTTCTAAAAACAATACCAAGACTACCTGTGACAGTCTTTCGTAGCTCCTCATCTGTTTGATTCAGGATGTTAACAAGATGCATCACACCGCCTGCATTGACAAGTGCTGACTTGTTGTCATCATTCTCATAGATGAGATTCTGCATGGCACCTGTGGCATAATGCTGTACTTCTTGGTTATCACTGGCAAACAGCTGAACCAAAGCCGGAATACCCTGCAGAGCACGGACCTTAAAGAACAGGAGGATAAGGGACACGACATAAAGGATACTGAAAACACTCACATGATGAGATTAAGTCATTGTGATTCCTAAATAATGGACTGCGGTCGAGTTGGTCGTCTGCCAGTCAGACCTCAGGTCCCTCTGTCCACATGCCAAAGAGTCCTTGGTTAGTTACTGACCTCAAACCGCCCCCAGTGGTGTGTGGGTGGGATTGGTTAACACTGATGGGTGCTTTACATAGCAGCTTCTGCCATCATTGTGTGGATGTGGAGTGAATGGGTGACTGTGGCATGTGATGTGAAAGCCCTTTGAGTAGTCAGAGGACCCTGGAAAGCGCTGTGTGAATACGGTCTGTTTACCATTTACTAAGTACAAAAAAATAAAACAGAAAGCCCCACACATACATGAATAAAATTAGAAATATGTATCGTGTTTTTAGTCAAAGACAACACAGAGTAAGCTGTACTTACCTGATTTTTGGCGAGTTTGCTGTGGTAACAATGGTGTTGAATACACGCAGCTCCAACTACTTGCAAAGAAGTATCTGACTCAGAGAGATATCTGACAGCTGTAGGGATATCCACACTCTGAACCCTGCAGTAACACACATACATGCACACAAATTAGATCCTATATGTATGAGTGTGAGTAAATCTATGTATGTGTACGTGTATGGGCAGATTTTTTTATTCCTTATCTTTGTTTTCAACATTGCAGATGAATAACATCTATGGACAAAAGTGTAAAATAAACCAGAATATGTTTATGTTATAGACTTTTGCTTTCAATCCCTCAACCAGCTTAATGAAGACAATGGTTTTTCATTAACAGGTGTGCATTGTCAAGAGTTTTTTTAGTGGGATTTTCTTGCCCTCCTTGTGTTTAAGACCCTTAGGGAGACCAAGAGTTCCCTCTGTTTGGGAGGATAAGTTCATTAGAGTTACCAGACTCAAAAAGTTCCCCTTAACAGCACCTCCCACATAACTGCTTCACAGAGTCTGGTTAGCAGACACACATCATTAACTGCGGAGAGGAGACTGAGGGAATCCGATCTTGATGGTGTAATTGCTGAAAGAAGCCACTTCAGAGGAAGATCGACATGAAGAAGAAAACGGCTTCAGCCAAGAAACACAAGGAAATAAACAGTAAACAACTGCTAGCGACACTATTAAAACTCGAGGCTAACTCTTCACCACCACAGCGTTCTGCAGGGACATGCCATCTGGTTTGTGCTTCGTGGGACCACCATGTTCTTTTTTAACAACATGGTTTATTACGTAAAAGAGCTAGAAAACAGACATGATCAAGACAATAGTACAGCGAGACAAATCCATAAATACTTTTTCCTTACTCATCAAGTGGATCATTGCTTTGTGATGACAATCCATCCAAGTTATCCAATCCTTTCCCGACACTCTTGACACTGTGGAGTGAGGCAGCCCTGTGGAGGTTTGCTTGGTATTGCCCAGTTACCATGGGGGCCCTGCGACTGGTTCCCACCCAACCTTCATGGCCAGCGGTAGAAGCCTGCTGTTGGAAGTGCTGCTGTCGGTTGGTAATTCGGCTGATGGTGCGATGGGAGGGGCCTTTGTAAATGTACTGATAAGGAATCTCTTCTTTGGCTAGTGTCCCACTGAGGCTCCTTATTAGGGTGCCAGGAGGGTTTGCAGAGACCATCTCTGAAGTAACCAACACAGCCGGGGGAAAAGCTCTCATGTCTGCCTGGCACAGCGACTTAGAGCGTCTGCTTCTGCTGTGTGACTGGGAAGTCTGGACGTCACATTGAATCACACTGGTTCCTTTACGTCTTACATGAGAGTTGGTTTCCACAGCTGAAGAAGACGAGAAACCGGATGAATGAGGGCTTAAAGTGGACACCTGCAGGGTCATTGGAGAAAAGAAAAAAAAGACACATTAGCTTAAATGATGTAGACATCTGATGGAAAGAGAAGTCAAGAAATACAAGAGAAATACTGATGATTAAGTGTCTTCTGGATAGTGGGGAGTGGAGTTAAAGAAAGTAAAACAAATGTTACACAAGACAGTGGAAGTGTCAAAAGAGGTTTGGTGGCTAGTACTATGGCTGGGACCCTATATGTACTGTTGATGAAGTTAGGTGCTGTTCTGAGCATTATTTGTGGCTATAGAGTGATGTTTTGGTTGAGGTTTGTTCATGGCTCCTCAGACCGCTCTGTATTGCTATCGTGCGGCCGTTATTAAAGTTGGTATCACTAGAGAAGTAAGCAGTCAACAACATTCATCCCTGGGGGGGTGTCTAACTCAGTGTTGCATTGTGTTTGACCCTAAATTAATTTTACGCCGGAATATCCCTTCAATATGGTCTTTCGGAGGAGCTACGGGATCATTCAGGACTTGCCAGAGGAGCATTCAGGGGAATTCAATCATTCAGATAGGATTTGACAAATTTGAAAAATAATAAAGATGAATTTATTCAGGCTGGGACCCTGACAAGCTCAGGGGATATTCTGCTGATAAGTTCATGTACAGCTGAGCTGGAGCAGTTTTACATTTTTTGTTGAAAGATCATGTCAAAATGAAACTTTGCTACACCATGCAGACCAAGCTTTCTGATGAAAACTAAAATAATCCAGACTGTCTGGATTCTCATGCTGCTTGCGTTCGACGGGACATCAAAGAATTTTTTATTGAGTGAGAGTAAAACCTCTCTTTCCCCATCTGAAGGTGAGTTTTTTTTTTTGGACGTCACTCCCCCTGCCTCAGTACGTCTGTGGAACATTACTGTCCTGTGCTCTGGTCTCTTTCCTGACAGCAGTTACCAACATAAGTTTGAATGTTTGTAATGGCAATGTCAGCTGAAACCTTAATAACATCATCTTTGTCTGCCTCTGCATCATCTTCATTCTTTTGTATTTTATCTGTCTTTACACTGAATACAGTGTTGCCTTTCGCTCTTTAACGTATACCGCTCCATATAAACATAATGACAAGTTAGCCAGTATTAGCTTCTCCACAGCTTTTATAGTTTTTGTCTATTTTACAGCTTCATTTTTTTTCTAACCCTTCTTATCTAGAACCAATCTTGATTTTAAAACTTAAACTTGCTGTTTACGGCTCACTACTCAGCAACACTGAATGTGTCCCAAATCTGTGATGTTTACTTCAAAGACCCACACCTTACTACAGTACTGTTTGAAATATCGTCTTGACTGAATTATATACTTCTGCAGGACTGAGGGTAGATACTCACGGCCATGACACGGTGCGGTGTGTGTATCAGGGATCTGGAAGTGAAACCGTGGATATGTCTTGAACTCTTAAACTCAGGAATGCTGCAGTCTAGACAAAAATAAGAGAAAACAAACACAAGGTTAATAACAGAGGATATCGGTAAGAGGAATAAAAGACCGGCAAACAAAAAGAAGTATAAATAAGAATAACAAACGTCAATAGGACGTAGGTAGAGTAGGTAAGCTGGTAGATGGTGCTACATTTTCTTTTAAACTTAAAAAAACATGGACATGAAATTACTGAATTGTGTTATGTTTAGTCTTCTGAAAATAAATGTGGTATTTTAAATTTGGTTTTGGAAGATTTTTTCTCTTATTGACCAAGCTGTCATCCAGTTAAACACCAACTTCATTCAAATTCAATGCTTCACTCTGCAAAGTCACTCCAAACACCAGGTTGTAGAGGACCTAACTTGGATTCATTAAATAACTATTCTGATTATTATTTTGTCTTTTCTCCAAATTCTGAGGCCTGAATGTGTTACAAAAGAAATCATGAGACTTTGAATGAGCCTGCCAAAAAGAGGAATTAGCTAAATAGTGCCCCAAAAAGTTTTTGAGAACAGCCCCTCCCAGTTTCATGTAGCCAGAGGATTTTTCACACACATATCCTGAGACTCAAAAAAGGGGCCTGGAGTTGTGATGACATGTCAACAGGAAGTTAGATACATTGACAAAATTGGTTTACTGGTAGACAAGACCTGAACAATGAAAAACTTGCCAAAGTAAAAGGCTGTGGCCAAAGACAGCCCTCAGAGTTCACTTTTTGGATGTTGGAAGATGTTTTCTTAATCATGCATGCTCCAATCTGACCCAAACTCGTAACTATTGGGATTAAGACCTGAACACATGGAAATGTTTCATCCCGATTATAGTGCCCCCTAGTGGCAGCAGGAAATGTTATCCTCTTACCTTTTGAGCCGAATCCCAGAGACCGTTCAAAATATGTGCATCATTTTTTGTTCAAGATATCTTTAAGAAATTGTTCGTGACGAGTGCCAACAACAGTGGGTTGTTTGTCAGACCATAAAATTACCACAAAATTAAAACTGTTTCAGCTCAGCCCTACACAATAGTTTATGTTTTGTAAATAAAAATGCAGGTTTGGAATCATGATTACACAATATAAACTAAATATTATGCAACTATTGGAAAAACAGAAAAAACTTGTCATCATCTATAAAAGCAGAATTCATGTCTTTTGTCATTTTTTTTAATGGTATAAATACAGTATAAGAGTAAAGAAATGGTTTTGAAGTTGGTTCATCTAGAGGGAAGCTGAATGATAAAAAGTGAGTGTTGGAGCAAAGCTGTGGTAAATAAGTTTGTACTTCTTTCTAGTCCTTTTAGCACTTGTATGTAAAATAACCAGGTGTTTGACAATCCTGTGTTGAACTATGCTTTATGTTTTCTGTACTGTCACTTTTATTTTTCTTTTGTATGGTGTTTTGCTTCTTCATTTCCTGTTCATAACTAAAAATCAATCAATCGAAATGTGGTGTAAGGCAGGGCTGCTGAGTAAGCTCCACCTTATTCAACCTTCACATCCATGAACTGGCAGAGCAGCTACAGGCCTCCTCCTGTCAGACACTGAGGTCAGATACATGCCTAAAGCAGATGACACCATTCTTTTCTCAGAAATGCTACCTGCCCTCAGGTCAGAGATAAAGAATCGCACAAATATGCAGGGAAGAGTCCAGAGCACAGACTCTACCCTGGAGCTGCAGCCTTAAATACCCCCTCCGTACGTGCGCGCGCACACACACACACACACACACACACTACAACTGCTGAATGTTTTGCATTGGCTATGCACTTAAAATAGGACATGATCTGCTGGACAAAGGTCTTTTCCCTACAAACCTCATTCTCCACTTATTTAATAATTCATTTAAAATATATGCATGTTTCACACACCTGCCTAATAATACTAATAATAATTGCTAATGTTAGACCTGTTGACTTTCACTGTTGGGAAAATTAAACAAGTCTATTAACAGGGTGACCTCCTGCACCTGCAGACAGCATGCAATTCTTCCAGCTGCACATCTGTATAAATTGTTATTGTTGATGTCTGTCAGTTGCTATCGATTGATTAATACATCGTAACTCAGAGATTTTATCAGTCTTGTGGAATATAAAACTCTCTCTTGGGATGTTTTTTAAGTCTGAACTTCATGTTAAGTTTAAGCTAATAGTTTTTTTGCGTAATAATTCAACTAACACTTACTATGCTATAGCTGCAGGAGAGGAGAGGTAATGAAACGCTTAGGTAAACAAGTTAAACCTTAAACTCTAAAAGAGAGGTAAGAGAAAAGACAGGGGAAGAGAGAGGGTGTCTAATGTGTGCCCTTAAATAACCCTTTATTTCAATCAGTGCTAAGTGAACAACCTTTGGATCACATCACTCCCTAACAAAGCCAGACGCAAAAACAGGAAATGACTCAAAAAAAAGCCCAGTAAGATAACAATGATAGCATGTGAGTCACACAGTGATAAACCATCTCCGGCTCTTGTTAGCATATTTTTGATAAAGTTTCATATATTTTACTCCATTGAATGGTACACATTTATTAACATGTGTATTTCTCAGTAGTTTAACTTGCATTCAATTAGCATTTATTAATGCACTAAGGCTGAACCTGCTGCTGCCTCAGGCCTCTTCATGAGTCTGGGTTTAGTTCATCAGTGAGTCTTTGCAGCTTTAACCAAAGTTTTCAAACAACCAAAATAATGATGGACAGGAATTTCACAGTTTGACGTCATCTGTTTCCTGAATTTTGGCTGACTTCCTCTCCTGATTGCATAACAACTCAAATTCATAACAACATAGGTGAGATTAATTTTCCTGTTTTAACAGAGCATAATACTGCAATACTTCTCTTAAACTGGCTGAAACGTGACATCCGTGATGATTGAAAATTAGACAGGTTGATTTATAGAGACTGGTCCAGTCTTTGTGGTTCAGTCCTTATTTTTTTGTCTTATCTAAGTTTCTTTGTTCTGATGATCTAAAGACATGATGATGTTGAGCAGAATAACTGTGAAAGCATTTATTGTAAAAGGGCCCCGGGGCTGTGATAAAGTCGCAGAAGCACTTGTACAGTTTCTAAACGGTACCGTTTCTCCAGACTGGCTGACCGAGAGATTTTGGACCCGTGTTCATAAACTCCTAAACCTGTCCTAAATGATCATCCAGGGGGGTTTAGTTTAGGGGGTTTTAGTCTATCTAGTTTTGAGGACTTTGGCCTACTTTCTACGATCTTACTTGTTTAATGCATCGGATCTGTCGGACCCTAGCCTGGATTTCCCCCCGTTGTCATTCCTCACACAACACGTATGAGGATCACCGTTATATACGCACTGTGGCTCACCTGTTGATCCGACCGAGTCATTCAGTCTGGGCATGGAGTTGGACCTCTTCTCTGCCAGCCGCATACGGACCTGCTGTTGGACCCTCCTGGCCTTGGCCAACGGGTCCTGAGACGGGCCGTCCGAGGGAACAACATAGGCGGTGTAGGAGGAATTGGGCTGCAGCGCGGACAGAAAGCAGCCCTCCACCATCGCTGCACTCATATTTACAGAGGGGGAAGAAAAAACTGGTCCCGGAGAAGGCAGAAAAGTAAGGGAAACAGAGTATCCCAGGGCGGGTGCGGCTCACCCCGTACGGGATCCGTTGTCCGAGTGTCCGCAACGAAATGGAGATCAGTCAGAGTCTCTGTAGGCGGGACTTCGGTTCAGGTCAGTTAAATCCAACCCAGGGACGACCAGACCAACAGTTTCTTCTCGACTTTATCAACTTAATTTTAACATGAATATTTTGAAATTTGCCAAAACTTACCAAACAGAGACTCGTTGTCTGTCTTCCAAAGTTAAGTGTAAATACCTTGACCAGGTTTGGACCAGAGACCCCGTTTTCTTCAAGAATAAAACTCCAAACATGGTTGACTTCCACTGGGAGAAATCTACCCAGAATCCAACTCTGACTTCAACATGAAAACAAAGTGGTATCAGGCCTAACCATCCCCGCCCTAGTGATGCAGAGAATGTAATGTCTGTGTTTCACTCTTTCATACACTCTTACAAACACAATCCAATATGGGTAGTTTCCCAACCCAGCGCTGGTTAAACATTGGACAGAACACATGCTGGGTTAATTTTACCCAACTAATAGGGTTGATTCACTTAACCCTACAATTGGGTTCTTTAAACCCAGCATGTTGGGTTGTTAATATTAAGTATAATATTAAATTACATTAATGCATCAGATTTCATAAAACACTTTGTCAGAGACCCTCAAAACACTTTACATCAGAGACATCATTCATTCACTCACACAGTCACGCCTTGGTGACTTTTCGAACCACCACCGCACAACACTCACAATCATACACCATTTGAGGACACACACTGGGAGCAAGGTGGGTTAAGTGTCTTGCCCAAGGACACAATAGACAGACAGGGATGGGGGGGATTAAACTGCCAACCTTCTGACTATTGGACGACCACTCTACCTCCTAAACTACTGCTGCCCCTTAAAACCCAACCTAACAGCGAATAACCAACATAAATAACTTTGCGAATTGGGTACTCATACCCAACTCCATGAAAATAACCCAAATAAATTGACCAACAGGCTCAACCCAGAAAAAACAACCCATCATTTTTTTGTGAGTAAAATCAAATAATCAATCAATTTGGCACTGCTAAGAGTTGTGTGTCATTGGCATTATCTTTGAATATAAAAGTGCTTTTGTATAATAGATGGTGATTCTTTGTTTGAAACAGATTGATTGATACACAACAATCATAATAAGTTTCAGCTTCAGGTGTCAAAGTATTTCATTTCAATAAATCACTCACAGAAAAGGTACATCACTTAAAACCAGTTAATGCAAATCATTAACAACAGCTTTGTAAAATTATGGGAACACATGACACTACTTAACGAAGTTTTTGATGAGATGTGAAACAGACTGAAATAACCCAGAATGTGTCTCTGTGAAGTACAGAGCAGATGAGACCATCAGTGAAAACATTCACATTTTCTAGGTTGTATTAATGCCTCAAATATCTCAAATATCCAATTTCATGTTCATTTTTATGCTGTTTGATATGTTTCACCATAAAAAAGAGCAGGAGAATTTCTTTGTCACTTAACACCGTCATCCCTCCCAAGGAAGCTAAACTGCGGTTTGACACAGTTGCTCATACAAGTACCAACATGGTGCAGGTTCTTCTTGACAATCACAACAATCATGTCATGGGTTCACACTCAAAAAACAACTTTAAAAAGTTATTAAAGTGGCAGACTATTTTCTGTGTTATTGTCCTTTATGCTGACTCTAAAACCACACCTCACATGACCTTAGGATGCTAAATGAAGACATAAAGCCCAGCATGAGTCCACATAATGAGATGTAACCGTGAACAGACCCGGTTGGGCCTGGAGTGTGAATGAAGGCCAGTGGGGGACTGAGATGGGGGATAGTCGGGCCTCAGCACAGAAAAGGGCAACAGGACCTAACAAGTCCTAACTCAAGGACAAAACCAGTGAGTGCTTTAACAAAAGCTGGGGGGTGCATTTGCTGGAGTCTCTCTCATATTCACTGAAGCTAAAGGAAACCTCCTCCTCTGTCCAGATTTCCTGACCATGACACTTTTTAGAGCTGCTGCTCATTTATCAGAGACGCACAGTGTTCTGGTAGTTTAGTTTACCCGCTGAGAGGAGTTCACTGAAGCAGCCAGTGTGGAAATAAGATTATCGATGATCTTTTAAAGATTACCAACAAGCTTCATAGTAATGAATTATAACAGTTCACTGCAGCTGCTGTGAAAACTTGTACTTAAAGAAATACTGTAAAAACATTTTAAATGCTGATACTGTGGCGTTTCATGACTAAACCAAGTCAGTCATACAAACAGACAGACAAATAGAGTAATACTGATGTTTTCCTGGTGACCCTAACTTTGCTTCTCCATGATGTAGACCTTTTAAGTGTCCAAATGTTTGACCAGAACACGTCCATGGTGATAATAAAAGGTGCTGTCCAGGATCTTCCATCAATGCTTTCTATGAAAAAGTGGATAAAGGTCAAACCAAAAACACTGAATTTTACAATTTTTAAAAGTGCAGATTGTGTTTTTAACAGCATGTTATTTGCTGTCATTAGTTTTAGGAGTGTGTCCCTCCACAAAGCTGCTCTCTAAGCTTGAAGTCACCTCCATTATACATGTTTGATCCATATTAATGGCTTAATATCTTTAAGATTAAATATTGGACCATTTTTATTTACTTTGAATGGTTTTAATGTACTTGTAAATGATTATTCATTTATACCTCCTTATTTTGAAACTCTTCGAAGCCCCATCTTCAGCTCTGTGATAAAATATTTTTATTTTTCTTAAAATAAGAACTTAAACAGCTCTTTTGGCAAACCCCCTCTAAAAAGTTGCTTAGTCATTTACCAGCCTGTTTTGCATTAACCTTCAGAAGTCTGAAACAGGGTGGATGTCATGAGCAGGATTCTATTGGTTGTTCAGAAGGGGGCGTGTTTCTGCAGAGCTGAACATCTGGAAGCCCTTACTGCTGTTGCCCAGTCTCACAGTCTCACAGAAACTGAGGAAAGCGTGGATTACCACTGACCAAGATGTCCTTTGTAAAAGTTGATTCTGAGTCTGACTTCTCTTTTCAAAACCTTCCTTATGGAATATTCTCCACGCCTGATAATGTAAGTGTGTTTATTTTTTGATGGATGGATTTTAAATACCTTCGAACTTTTCACTGATCAGAGCTCTCAAGTAATAGGGATTGAAAACTTCTGGTCTAGCCTCCAAAATACATCCTCAGTTTAAAATTTAAAATTGAATATGAATAAGTGAACTGAGGCATTAGTGCAAAGTTGGTGGAGGTGTGTATATAGAGGCAGTGACTGCACTGCAGACTATGAGTCTTTGTGTGCACAGGTATAGAGTTTAATGACAGCGCTCATTAAAGACATTGAAACACAAGCTTACAGAAAAACACATTAATAATAAACACAATAAACACAATAATAAAAACAATAAACACAGTTACAGAAAACCTTCACAAACATCAAGTTTTTAGAAATCTGCTTGACTCATAATGAATAAATGAATGAATGAATGAATAAATGAAACACTGACTTGATTGTAGTGTAAAAGTGTAAAAGTATTGTTGCTCATATACAGCATTGCCAGCTATATTAAACTGTATGTTATTTCTTCAGCCCAAACATCGCATTGGGGTTGCCATTGGAGACCAGATACTGGACCTCAGCGTGGTCAAGTCTTTGTTTCAAGGGCCTGTGATGTCAAATCATCAGGATGTTTTTGATCAGGTAAGAGTTCATCCACTATTTTAACAGAGAAGTTTGCTGAGCAGAGCACCATTATTTAGTTTCACGCAATTGTTCTGCACTGTTTGGCATCATAGAAGAATTAAAGATCCTGCCGTACAATGAAACATCTTTTCTTTATCCTAAATGGTAAAAGGTTTGTGTTTATAGATTTACATTTCTCTGGTCTTCTGACCATTCAAAGTGATTTAACATCATGTGTCACTTTCACACCACAGTCAAAATGGCACATGCTTTATATAACTATAAATGATATTATGTGTCTCTGCAATGAGTGGTGGAATTTAAATGACAGGAGTTTTGACTGCTATGATGCTGGCAAGTGTCGTTGGGGATCAGATAGCTGCTTTACTGATCAGAGATTCAATCCTCTCTGTCATAGGCCAGGGTTAAACCGAGGAAAAGGACCCAAAAAGACAGACAAAACAAGAAGATTTATTTAAAAGAACTTAATAAAAAGCAACAAAAAATTACTTCAAAAATGTCTGACTGAAAAATCCCAAGGAAAAATCCAACAAAAAGGTACTGGGGAAAAAAACACAAGGAAACTAGGGGTTCACACATCAACTATGACTGACACACATTGACTGACAAACACACAATGAACCAACAAAGAAACAGGGGAAGACAGGGACCATATATATATATATTTTTATTTTATATATATATATATATATATACCATATACATTACCATATATATATATATATATATATATATATATATATATATATATATATATACCATATACACTGTGTGCAGAATTATTAGGCAAGTTGTATTTTTGAGGATAAATTTTATTTTTGAACAACTGCAGTGCTCTCGGTCAATCCAAAATGTTAATAAACCTCAAACCTTAATATTTAAGGGAGTAAAAGTGAGATTTTGACTTCCTTAGGAGAATATCTATGTGTGCACAATTATTGGGGGCAGCTATTAGTGTGCAGAATTATTATGCAACTAAATTAAAAATGAAAAATTTTCCATCTCACTTGTTTATTTTCACTTGTTAAAGTGAGAATGATAAACAAACAACTCAATTTACAAATAAAAATTGTTGAAATAAGAAAAAAAAAAATCAGTGACCAATGTACACCACCCTTCTTTTCATTAACAGTCATAAGCTTTCCATTCATGGAGTCTTTCAGTTTCTTGATCTGTTGACGATCAACTTTTTGTGTTGCAGCAACCAAAGCCTTCCAGACACTGTTCTAGACACTGTTCAGAGAGGTGTACTGTCTTCCTCACTGTAAATTTCCTGTTTAAGAGGGGCTCACAAGTTCTCAACAGGGTTTAGGTCAGGTGAAGAAGGAGGCCATGTCATTATTCTTTCGTTTTTAAGGCCTTTACTGGCGAGCCACATAGTGGAGTACTTTGTTGCATGCAATGGAGCATTGTCCTGCATAAAAATCATGGTTTTCTTGAAAGATGCAGACTTTTGCCTGTACCACTGCTTGAGGAAAGTGTCTTCTCAAAACTGGCATTGGATTTGGGAGTTGATTTTAAGTCCATCTTCAACTCGAAAAGGTCCAGCTAGCTCATCTTTAATAATACCAGCCCATACCAGTACCCCGCCTCCACCTTGCTGGTGTCTGATTCGAAGTGGAGCTCTGTGCCCATTACTGATCCAGCCACAGGTCCATCCATCTGGTCCGTCAAGAGTCACTCTCATCCCATCAGTCCATAAAACCTTTGAAAAATCTCTCTTCAGATATTTCTTGGCCCAGTCTTGACGTTTCGACTTGTGTCTTGTTCAGTGGTGGTCAGATTTCAGCCTTCCTTACTTTGGCCATGTCTCTGAGCACTGAACACCTTGTACTTCTGGGCACTCCAGGTAGGTTGCAGTTCTAGAATATGACAGCACCAGAGGATATTGGGTTCCTGGTAGCTTTACGTTTGAGTCTTCTCAAATCTTTGGCAGTTAATTTGCGTCTTTTTTTCTTAACACATTTCTTGCGACCCTGTTGACTATTTGCATCAAAATGTTTGCTGGTTCTGTGATCACGCCCAAATATCTAAGCAATTTCAAGAGTGCTGCATCCCTCTGAAAGACTTTTTACAATTTTTGACTTTTCAGAGTCATTTAAATCTCTTTTTTGGCCTATTTTACCTGAGGAAAAGAAGCTGCCTAATAATTATGCACACCTTGACATAGGGTTTTGATCTCCTTAGGCCCCAGCCTCCCTCATTACACTAATACACATTACCTGATATGCTTATATCCAATAAGCAGTCAAGTTTATACAGCTTGGAGTTGGAAAATATGCATAAAAATGATGATATGATCAAAATACTCACTTGCCTAATAATTGTGCACACAGTGTATATATATATATATATATATATATATATATATATATATATATATATATATATATACCATATATATACCATATACCATATATATACCATATATATACCATATATACACAAGAAAACAAGCAACGAGAAGCAGGTGAGACACTGAGACACAGGTGCAGACAATCACAGAGGAGGGAAAACAGGAAGTAAAACAAGACTAGAAACACAAGGAATAACTACAAAAAAATAAAACAGGAAACACTGAAAACTGATATAAAGAATAAAGCACTGAACCAGGAGAAAACTAAATTAACAGAACATATCATGACACTCTCAGGTTAGCCAGGATTGAGAGTGTAGAAGCCCCTGGACACATCTCAGAGGCTGTTGCTCAACTTCCACACTATGTGCACATGTCCACACACACATGCATGGACTACAATCTGTTGTAAACATCTGTACTTGACCAGGGCAGTAGTCCTTGCGGCAGTGGTTGCTGGTTTGTCTCCCAGCATGAATCCCAGAGTTACTCCACTGTTACCCTATCTTTTGCTGTACTATTTAATAAAGGCAAAAATGACCAAAAATACCTCCTTCTCCCTCATACTCGCTTAAATACAGCAGCAGGTGAAGAGAAGGGAGGTGAGTGTTACTGTGGAGCAGGTTAGTGGGCGGTAATGCTGTAGAGGCCTCTGAGCATGCAGTGCAGATACCCACCTGACAAAGACAAGTACAGCGTCGTACACATAACTCTTTAGGCCCTTTCAAAGCAAATCATCGTCAACACTGTTGATAATCTGTTCACCTCTGGTTTGATTTAAGTTGGAAACACTTGCCTCAGAGCAAAATACCACCATGTTACAGTGAGCCAGGTCAGGATGATCCATTTCAAAGTATGTTGCCAGGTAACAATATATGAAAAGTCACAAAAGCACATATAGTCACACAATTTAATCCATAAATGTTATTCATGGTGTTGTACACAAAATTGATCCCTCCATATTCTATTGTAATGTTTTTAGTGTGTCATAACTCTAAAATGATAACTAAACTCTCTTGTGGTAGTCAGTGTCTGATCCACCTTTCTTAAAATGACTCTATGCTGACATGAGTTTCGCCCAAACTGGAAAACAGGGTTTTTACTGCTCTGTTTGTAAGATAAGATAAGATATTTCTTCATTTATCCCACAAGGGGAAATTCCAAAATTTACAGCAGCGATAAATACAAAAGAGAAAGTACAGAATGAAGAAACTTAGAGTTAAAAGAATATAAAAAAGATATATACATGAGTGTTATTTACAGCTGTTATGTACATGTTGATATATTACAGTTGGAAAATTGAGATATTTATATGTATGACTATATACACAAAATAAGCATACATGTGTACAGAATATACATATAATGTGGTTTACTGCACACTGAAGTTTCTGTTGTTGTGGAGTCTGACAGCTTCAGGAAGGAATGACCTGCGATACCTCTCCGTCACACACTTAGACGTGGAGCATCCTGTCCCTTAAGGAGCTCCTCAGTACAGTAAGTGTGTGTTGGAGGGGGTGAGAGTCTCTGTCCAGCATGCAGAACAGCTTGGCTGTGATCCTCCTCTCCCTCACCTCCTCCACAAGTTCCAGAGGGCATCCCAGGACAGAGCTGGCCTTCTTTATGAGTCTGTCCAGCCTCTTACCGTCAGCTGCTGTGATACTGCTCCCCCAGCTGACCTCTCCATAGAAAATGGCAGAGCCCACCACAGAGTCATAGAAGGTCTTGTGTTGTTGTGTCTTTTTTTCAGCAAATTTATGGAAGAGAGAGTCATTAAAAGAGTGAAAGGCTGCAAATAAGGCTGTGTGAAGTAAAGAGAGAAAGTGGAGAACAGTGCAAGGGAGGCACTGTTCTCAGGGTCACACAAGTCGGATTATTCATGTAGGAGTTTCTCTCTATTTACTTTAAAGACTTACCACATTTTTTTTCTGACCTCCAACACGGCTTGGCTTTAAAAAGTCTGAGAACTATCAAATATATGTCCTCATCATGCCCATTAAGTCCTTAAGTCTAGTTTTAGTCATGACCTGAGAAAAAGTGTTAGGAAAAAGTTATAAAAGTATAATATATAAGAATAAATGAGGCACAAAACACATTAAAAGATAACTTTGTATTTTTTTTAAAGAGGACAGTTATCTTTTTTTCCCCCCAAATCACGACCGAGAGGAGTTTCAACGTGACTTTTGTAATCCTGAAACTTTAAGCTTGGAAAAGAAATGTTGTTCTTGATGTCTAAAAGTTAGACCAACAAACTATAACCAAAGAGGTCTGAAATAAATCTCTGCCTGTAAAGGAAAGAACCCAGTAGGTGGCAGTGTTGTCTTGAAATTAACAGTCTCAGCAGCAACAGTTCGGATGCAGCTAAACGCATTAAATTTTAGACTTAGCTTTGCTTCGTTTGGTAAAGGTTGTAATAATATTTATACAGCTATTCAACATTTAATAAAAAAGTATTTTAATCATGACAAATAATGTAGTTTTACAAAAACACTTCAGTCATAGCAATATTTGATAGATTAAAATGTGCTTTTCCTGAAATAAAGCGAAACAACAACAGGCAGAACCGACATGTACATATTGACATGCCCTCTGCCTTATTCTCCCTGCAGGCTTCCTCTGCCATTTACTATATTAATGTTCCTTTTGCCAAAAACTTTCTTTAACAGGCAGAAATCTTGAACAGAACCAGACACATGTAAGACAGTCATCTGCTGAGACTAAGCTGGGTTTAGAGTGGGGATAAGATAAGATAAGATAAGATAAGATAAGATAAGATAAGATAAGATAAGATAAGATAAGAAGAACTTTATTGTCCCCAAAGGCTACCCTTACAAGTCAACTCTTTTACAGACTGCTTCGGGCTATAGACTTTTTGTAATTATATAAGAAGCTGCTGTGACCCATGTGTAGAGACAAGGGAGCCATGCCTAAACCCCACCGCCTCAGCTTCATGAGCCCTCGGGTTCGCTCTCCGTGTCGTCATCATCTCCTGCAAATAGAGTGCAGCTGCTCTACCAACCAAACTCTCAGAAAAATTTCCAGGATCTATGAAACTGGAGAAAAAAAAAGTTCAGCAGAAGACTGTCTGGAGTTTGAAAGTTCCTCTCTAGTGAAGGTTACCAGAGGAGGAAAGCAGATAACCAAACAATAACTCAATAACACAACAGTAGGAGAGAGCAGAGTACTGAGGTGCCCTGCAGGGACACCATCCTGCTATCCCCAAGATACTACTGATAATTGAGCATTTTTATAATTTTAATAAGGCATATCAAGGCTCTGAACATGTGTAACAGATGTGGTGTCTTTGAATATAATGTCACTCTTTTAAATCTAGCAGCACAGATATGTGCTGTTAGATCTATCTTTGCCATTGTTACAGTTTAACTGTGTCTACAGACTCCTGTTTCAAATGTTATTGTTATAATTTTCTTAATATAATTAATAATATTATGTTATTATTACAATATTATGGTTCTTACTCTTGTTTTTTTTTTTGTTTCCCATGATAACAAAAAAATAAAAAAACTATCTAAGTATCTTCTCCATTGTTACATGTGTCTACCTAGACTACACTCAACGCCTTCATGGCTCTTGGCTATGAGGCCTGGAGGGAGGTCAGGAGGACCTTGCAGGTGCTGCTGGCAGCCAATGAGAGCACGCTGAGAGACGATTTCAGCCTTCGGAGCAGGTCAGTGCAAAGACTACAAAAAATCAAATGACTGTCACTTCACTCGTACTTTTTTACTCTAAAAAAAAAAAAAAAACAATCAGAGTATCAGTGGGAAAATATCAACCAAAAGTAAAGACATTAGTGTTTGGTAGATTTTTCTTTCTTTATTTCTTTTTTGGGGTGGCTGTGGCTCAACTGATTGTCAGTTGTCTATTAATTGGACACACAGGGATTTGATACCAGAGTTGTCTACATGCCGCATGTAGACAACATGTTGCACATGTTGCTGATGGTGAAGGGCAATCATGGCAGGCCCTTTGAGACCAGAGGCTGTGTGCAGTCTGTTTAGGATCCCCCAGCCATATCATCCTGCAAAGTAGTAGACAGCCTACGGTTCTTGTTGACAGAGTGAGAAAACGTTTTTTGTGGAGTGCCAATCCGTGTTATTCAGTCTTGAATCATCTAATCCACCAAACAAGAGTCAACCGCAGAATCAGCTGTTGGCTGAGACAAAGTTTTCATGGCTGCTGCTCATCTCACAAATGCATGTTCCTGACAAATAATTCCATTTAAAAAAGAAATAAACAGACTTTACAGGATAAGATTCATTAGCAAGAAGCATAAATAAAAAAAAAGAAATCATCTCCCAGACACTAATGTCCTTACTTTTTTATATACAGGTCCAACCTGAACTTTACGTTTCAGGACAATTCTTAAATAAGATGTATGATTTGTGCTGCTCAATGACTTCTCAGTTCATACATCTGAAGTTGTAGGTGCTGACTTTGGTGGTAAAAACCCAAGAATAAACCAAAGCTAACCCAAGGCTCGTGTTGGGCTTTATAAATTAGCACAACAACACAGACATTCTGTAAGTACAGAGAAAACATGTGCTGTATGTAGAAGAAATACGACCTGAAAAAATAGAAGCCACATGAGCGTACCAACTTACACATATATAACTTTGATGAAACTATCACACAAGTGCCAGTCTGCTCTTATTATACTCTGTCTGTCTTAACTGTCTCTGTGCTCTTGGGTGAAGCACTTTGGTCTGAACGTTTGTCTCTTTCGCATTAACAGCCAACCCAAAGGCAGCAGTCTAGCTGCAGAAATATGCTGCTTGGTTCTCAGTCCTTCCAGATCATCAACATATTCCATCTGAGTTTTTGGATCTTTCTGTTCTTGTCTCTGCAGAGCATTCGTCCATCAAAGTGTAGCTACCATGCACCTCCCTGCAGACATTGGTGAGCCTGCAGCATGAAAACTCTTCAGACCAGAGCTCATGAAGGGTCATTTTGTCAAGATGTGACCCATCTCATGTGAGCCTAATGAACAGGTATACAGGCCCTTGGTGAAATTATGAATTGTTTCAGAGAAACCCTGCTCTCTGTTTTTCACAGGTGATTACACTGACTTCTACTCCTCCAGAGATCATGCCACAAACGTCGGCACTATGTTCCGGGGAAAGGAAAATGCTCTGATGCCAAACTGGTACATATCCACTTTTCTCCTACTATAGAGATGTACAGATAATCTCTGACAGACTGACCTGAGAGGTTTTGTGTTATTTGGAGTGTTAGGTGGACACACACTGAACTAAATCTTTAAACATGTCTATAAATGGTTAGAGGTAAAAGGCTGCATTAAGATTCTTTAAAGCAGGTTTACAGCACATGCAGCTTTCCCTTGCATGTGTCTATTTGGCTTTTAGGATCTTGACTGTAAGTAATCAGCCCATTCATGTCATTTTGGTCCTTTATTATACCTTTATTGAAATTATTCCGATTATATGAGGGACTATTTTTTAAAACACTGTCAATCAAATCATGCAAGTTTAATGAAAAGATCAAATATCATTTAGCTTTACATTAAGATAAACTCTGTTGTTCCTGTTTTCGTGCACAGAGGCCCAAAAACTCTCTTTTCATAACAAAGCAGCAGACAAAGTTATCGGCTAAATATTATTAGTTAACTTTGGTGGCAAATGTTCCTCTTTGGGATATGGAACATTAAACACTGAGAGCCTGATTTCCTAAAGGTCTGTGTGTTTCTAAATGAAAGCACAGTACAGAGTGAGGACTGAGTGTTTCAAATGTGCAAAATAACACTTGTCCATTTAGCACGTTTTCACTGATGACTATGCTTATGTAGTGTTTTAAACCTTGGTGTGCAAAATACTGGGAGGAGAAAATGAAAGAAGTGAATTAATCAAAGGCTCTGCAATTTACTCCAACTGCAGACAGTTTCTGTGATTTCTACTATGTGCAAATATATATAAAAATAATATAATATTTTCAGTGGAGGTGACCTGCTGAGGTTTTATTTAAAGACACTTTCCTCTCTCTTCTCCTTTTTTCATGGCACTGACTTCCGCAGTGTACTCTCCTGGGTCTCATTCCTCTCAGATTCAGTCTTTGTTTTGGCTAAAATATTGTTTCTTCCCTCCCAAATACCTGTATTTGGGCCAAATCTCATCTTGCACCTGCTGTCAGTTTACTTTCTGTCCATACTCTCTACAGTTTTATTGAGATAAACATGTAAAACCTTCACTTAAATACTACTGCCTCCACAGTCTGTAAACTGTGTCTGATGTACACACAGTTAAGTATTTGTCATTTTGAATCTTAGTGAATCAGTCTTAAGAGTTAGAATTTCATTAACCACTTACATTATGATACAATATGATATGATATGATATGATATGATATTAAATAAATCTAAACTAGATTAGATTAGATTAGATTAGATGAGATTAGTTGGGTTTATTGACCCTTTTGGGAATGTTTCCTTAAAGGAATTAAAATTGAATATCAGTTCAGCTCCATGTTTCTCACAGAGTTGCTGTTGTGCTGATGTTTGGTTAAACATATTTAGTGTGAAACTATAATTCACAGCCCCCTGTTTGAAGCTTGACCATGGTGCATCGATCGTGACCAACATTAAAAGCTCTTCCTGATTTCTCACTGTGGTCTCTGCTGTGCAAACTCTCTGTTATGCAGGTTGAGGCTTCCAGTTGGATACCATGGTAGAGCATCATCAGTTGTTGTTTCTGGGACCCCCCTTCGTCGCCCCTCAGGCCAGATGAGACCAGACCAAAGTAAGATACTTTAAGATTCAAGGTTCTTCATGCAGCAAGTTCAGGAACTGTGAAGTTACTCTTTCCTACATTTACTATTCGTGCTACAAAAACTACAAATCAAAGTCAGGACACGGTAACATCGACTCAAAGATCGTTCTAAGAGTGTTACAGATGTTTTATCTTAAAACATCTTTCAAAGTACATCTAGAATGTGATAAGTCAATTTTTGCTAAATTTTGTCACAAAGGCCATGTGAGTTTTGATGAAGCAGCAACATTTTAAGAGAGAGTCAATAAATCGATGGTCAGCTCTGACAGTCTGCATCCTCTCAAACAACTACAAAAGATTAAATAAACTGATAATATATGTGAGTGATGATGATCGTATAAGTAAATCAAAATACTTCAACTTGGGAGAAAACTTTTATAACACCTTGAAGACCATGAACTAAAATGAGTTTTTTTAAACATTGGCAGGCCTGTTATTGATGTTTTTAAATATAGAATATTAAAATTGATGCAACAGCAATGTTGATGATGTTGGGATGTCAAACCCTTTTTTAATTCTACAATTAAAAAAAAAAAACTAAATAAATAAATATTAAATGGATGGAGATCAGTTTTAGTCAGCTCAATTGATAATAGAACAATGTGGTTTGGTTCAAATGAAGCACATAGCTTGTTTCTATCTGTAATACTCGGACATTGTTGTGATACTGCGATTCAGCTTTTCCTGCTTTTTATGCAGTGAAGTGTCCAAAAAGTGGTTTTGATGGACTCTTGTGAAAACAATCCTTAATCTGGAAGTGTATGGTGAATATTATTGGTTTACATTTTGGTCTTTGCCTTTCTGTAAAGTGTTGATATGTGTCAAGAACAGGCTAACAAAAAAAGGGACTGAAATGCAGCACAATGAGTCTGATTGAGGCCAAAATCCGGCTTTTATTACGGTCCAAGATTCAGTACACAGTTAGACAGTCAACACAGGCAGAGATATCCAAAAAACACAAGACAAAAAGGCAGGGTCAAAAGCTTTCTAGGTCAGAAACATGAAGGCTATGGGATACTAAGGATGCTGGAACATGACGGCACAACAAACTGGTGACGAGACAGTGAGAGACATGGGGTTAGATCAGTGGTTCTCAATCCAGTCCTCGAGGCCCCCTGTCCTGCATGGTTTGGATGTTTCTCTGCTCCAACACACCTGATTCAAATGATCAGCTCGTTATTAAGACCATTACAGAGCTTGATAATGAAAACCAAAACATGCAGGATAGTGGGCCTCGAGGACTGGATTGAGAACCACTGGGTTAGATACAAGAGGTAACAAGGGTGATGGGAAACAGGTGGGGATGAACAATCAGGAGGCAGGTGTGACAAGACGGGGGCAGGGCAGACAGGAACATATCTAGAAGACAGAGACAAGGGTTAGTGCTACAAAGTAAAACAAGCAGGAAACACAAGAAATGAAATGATATGATATGAACAAAATAAAGGTAACTTGACCATTATATGACAGATCTGACCATGAACATATCTTCTCTCCTCCTCTCAGCAAAGCCTCCAGTGTTTGGTGCATCTAAGCAGTTGGACATCGAACTGGAGATGGTGATTACAGCATTTTACTTGATCAAATCACCCTAGTATTTGTTTTGGTGTTGGTCTGAGTTGCTTTTACTCAGTGGTGTATTGTGCAATCATGAAAAGTATTTCACAGCTTTTCTCTCTTTTTTTTTTTTTCTTTAACAAGGCCTTCTTTGTTGGTGGGGGGAATCAGCTCGGAGAGCCCATACCCATCAAGAAAGCCCATGAACACATTTTTGGGATGGTTCTTATGAATGACTGGAGCGGTAAGTGTCTCTGTAACAACATCTTTTGTGTTTATGCTTGTTAACAGTTTTTTGGTTCACTAATCACAAGAGACTGATAGAGGGAGATGGAGAAAGAGAGAGATTGACAGAGGAGAGACTGATGCTCATAGTTGAAGAAGCTGTTAAGCAGACAGGTCCTCAGCAGCTAAAGGTCTGCAGCAGTGATCCAGAGGAAACTACAGGATGATGGAGCTCAGAGACTCCCAGAAAAGACTGAGTATGAGTGACTCTAATGGGACATGATTCAAAGACACAGACAGACAGAAAGAGGATGGAGAAAGAAGGAAAGGTGCTCCATGAGTCCCCTGGCAGTCTAATGGGGCGCTCATACCAAGCACGAGTAAGATCATCTACTTCATTAATTCGTCTGAATCAAGATGTGCGAATGAACAGTATTTACTCGCTTCATTCCCGCATCAATGCTCATTTCAACAGTAATCCCTGCCAATTTAACCAGCAGGATCAAGTGATAGACAAAGATTTTTTTACAATTTACCAGGTAATCCGACCTCCTCACTCACTTGCCTCTAGACAAGCTCCTTTTTATTCCAGTGTCATATAATTTGGGGCACCCACACACCAGCTCGATCAGTTTGCCCTCCATTTTAGATACCAGTGAACGACCGTCTGTTTTCATACGTCACCCGGTAATCTTTGTGCTGAGTAGTTATCGTGACGCGAATATCTGCTCAAGTCGCCCAATGTGCCTCATTCACGCCGCCAGAGTCGTAGGAGTGACTAATCGGGTCGGTGCATCAACTTAACATGTAATTCATTCGGGCTAATGATTTTATCTGTGCTTTGTAAAAGACAGTAAGCCTATAGCAACATAACTCAGAACAGGTCAGGACCTGAACCAGCTCCAACTACTTGCTTCATCAAAGAACATTTTAAGTTGACTTTAAAATTGCTGTTGCTGTGACACTTTCATAGGTTTTAAAGTGATAGCATCAAATAGACTTGTTGAATACACACACAAAAAATAAAACAATATAATCTCAGTGTACACTGTTTACTCATGTTGAGAAGTGAGTTTGTGGTTATCAGGGGAGAGGAGTACAGCAGCTCTTCGTCACTCAGTAGACCTTTATCTCTCATTCTGCTGTGATGGTGTGTGTGTGTGAACAGACTAGGTTTAAACTGATGATCAGGATGATGAGACAAGAATCATATACAAACTCTGTTACATCTAAACACATTTTAGATGTTAAATACAAACATTTGCTTTCAACCCAAAGATTCACAAATACAAAAATAAATTCATTTTGTACCTATTTAGATATATATTGTAGATACATAAAAGTCATAGCTAATGAAAAGAGCTGTCGGTTTTAGCTTTTAAACATTTTATGATGAACATGTTCTTATTTTGTTCTGGACCTTCACTTAAAACATTCAACAGCACTTGAGAAGCAGTTACATACTCATCAGAAGTTTATCAGACAAAGTGTGATGTTTTATTGTAACTGAAGATGATATTTTGCTCAGATTGAAATGCCTTTACAAGCGTAGTAATTCTGATCAAAGTCAAAGTTATTAATGTATTTTAATGCCATGGTGGACCATGTCAGAACATCATTCCCAGCATTGCATGCTGTTGGTGGTGTATGCTGTTCTGATGGATGTTTTCTCCTTAATAACCAACTTTTTTTTACCCTCCTCTTGTTGTTTCCTGACATCAATTCCTTAGCATCATTACAGGAGAGCAACTGACTACTTTTGTGACAACATTTACTTCTCAGCCAGGGACATCCAGGCATGGGAGTATGTACCTTTGGGTCCTTTTCTGGGAAAGAACTTTGGAACCACCATCTCACCTTGGGTTGTCCCCATGGAGGCGCTATTACCATTTGCAGAAGCTAACCCCATCCAGGTCAGTACACCTGAGTAACAACTTCAAACAGCAGAGGTCAGCAGAGGGGAAAAACCTTTGGGAGGAGAGAAAAGTCCACGAGAACAACCAGGTTACAAGCTCATGCAACCTAATATAACCTAGTACAACCTAATACAAGCTAAAATATCTGAGTACAACATAATACAAGGTAATACAACCTAGTACAACCAAGCACAACCCAGTAAAACCTAATCAAACCTCATACAACCTCATACAACCTCATACAACCTAATACAACCTTGTCCAGCTTGAAAGCCAGGTCATGCTGACTTACAGTAACTGCTGATGGCTAGTTTTGTAAAGGCAGATAAATTGTTGTTTAATTAGGATGACTTAATAACAAAGAAAATACAAAGAGGTAGGTGCTTACAAACATCATTTTAAACCAATATTGTAAGTAACGGGCAATTATCAAATTTGTGTTTTGACCGAATTCTGAGGAAATAATTTTACCAACTTTGGGTATAAATGGTGATACAGCTAACAGCTATGAAGCCAGTGGTTGTACTATCTGTGTTTTCTTGTTTCCATTAAAGGGATATTCAGGCATGAAATTAAATTAGTGTCAAACACACTGTAACATTGAGTTAGACATCCCCTCGAGAGATGAATGTTGCTGACCGCTTGCTTTTCTAGTTATACCAACTTAAGTAACAACTGCACGATAGCAATACACAGTGGTCTGAGGAGCCACAAACAAACCTCAAACAAACGCCACTCTGTAGCCACAAATAATTCTCAAGCCAGCACCTAACTTCATCAACAGTACATATAGGGTCCCAGCCATAGTACTAGCCATCAAACATCTTATCAAACATTTTAGTTTGCTAAGAGGATGAGTGAAATCTTTTGTCTCTTTATCTTCCAGGATCCAGAGCCGCTGCCTTACCTGCAACACCAGGATGATTACACTTTCAACATTAATTTATTTGTGTCCCTGAAAGGTACGGACCTCCTGCTGAATCTCATCTAATGAACTGTGATGCATGTTGACATGTTTTTTTCAGATAAACAAACATCCAGCATCCCACACCTGTTTGTTAAGTAAACTTCTATACTTGGCACATTAACTACAATCAATACTTAACTAATTACTCAATCAATTAATCAATAGATCAATCAATCAATCAAACTTCTTTTGTGAAGTCCATTTGATAGAAAGAGATGGAGCACAAAATTGTATACATTATTCATACATCATTCAAAACCATGAAAATAAGAAATAAAATGACAATGATTAAAAATTCTACATCATGAGATTACTGGAGCTGAGGCAAACTGATATTCCTGTCCAATACAGTTATATGGTCTGAATCAACTGTTGCATATGAAGTTATGAAGTTTTGAACTGTCTCATCATGATTATAAATCTGTGTTTGCACTATTAGGACAGAGCATGGAAAGGGCAGCAACCATCTGCAGGTCAAACTTTAAGGTAAGTCAAAACACCTACATCTGTGTTTTTGCATGTTTTTGCAAAGCGTGGTAAAATTAATGTTGTTGGTGCACTTCTGCGTTTTTTCAGTCATCTGTCGTCTGTCATCATAGTGTTAGAAAAAGCATGTGCACCTGGCTTTATAAAAGACTGGGGGATATCACTCTGTTACATGATACTCCCCCAATCAACATGGTTTTCTGCACTGTGCGCCTTGCTTGGAGCCAGAGTTTGGTATAAGACAAGATAGATAAGGCCAATAATAGAGATATTAATGTAAGAAACAAAAATATCATTATTGTTGTTGTTTTATTATTTTTTTTGGCTGCCTGTGTATTACTCCTGAAAAAAGTTTAGATAGACTGAGACATTTTAAAAGAATAGTGTGATGTAATGTCATATTTTCCCCCTGTCCCCCGTCTTCAGTACATGTACTGGACCATGAAACAGCAGCTCACCCATCACACAGTAAATGGCTGCAATGTCAGACCTGGAGACCTGCTGGCTTCTGGTACAATCAGTGGACCTGTGAGTATCTACATGTTTATGATTTACAGTCTTTACAGATCCACCCATGGACTCAAACTCCTCACCTCAGTGTACTGTCTGCAGTCACAGTGCTGTGTTCCTGCAGAGGAGATGAGCAGGCTAATATGAAAAATGATAACAGAGAAAACTTAAACAGAAGTGAAAGGTTTGATTAATAAAGAACTGCTTATGTTAACAGTTTTCAATAATAAGCACAAATAATTAACTATTCATAGACCAACAAACCTGTGCAACAATACCGTACACCAGAGTGTGGAGCCACCTTGCATCGGATGTGTGATATCCCAAAGTTAGACATGCAAGATTACAAAACAGACACCTCAGTTTTAAATGCAGGGATGCTGTTCACCTGTTCATGTTGTTGACGGAGTGGTTGTTAATAAGGTTTTAAGGTGTTTTTCTGTTGTGCAACTCATCACTCTCTTTCTCTCTCTCTTTGACACTTTGACCATCTAACGCTGTGAATCATGTTTCAATAATTAACTTCAAATAGGTTTAACAAAAGTTTAAAGACTGCTCGCAGAATACTGAGTTATGTTACATGTTAGAACTGATATTCAAATCTGTGGCAGTGCTGCCACCTACTGGCAGCTGGTATATGTATATTAAAATACGAGACAGCCTGATTCATCCTAGTTCAAGTGTCATTAGTTAAACTCCTATATCTGTACAATATAGTATAAGTTCAGTAGTCAGAAAAATTAGTTTTTTTTTGTTTTTAAATGTTCTGTACATTTGCACGGACCTTTGCATTTACTGTGTGCTCTGTATTCAACAAGGATCCAGAAACTTTTGGCTCCATGCTGGAGCTGTCATGGAGGGGATCTAAAAACATAGATCTGGAAGGAGGAGAAACCAGAACCTTTCTAAAGGATGGAGATGAAGTCACCATCACAGGTGAGAACCAACTTTCAGCTTCTTTTGGTCCCAACCTAGCTAACACATTAACTGTGGGATTCCTTGGCAGAAGTGATTTTGTCAACCAGGACCTCAAGCATCATTGACTACACCTCACCCTGAATATAGCCGTAATGGGACTGTCTTGTCTACAGATATAAATGAGGGGTGTTTAGCTAATTAATTAAGTTTTCATCTTAACAATCCACCTGTAACACAGTATGGAACCTCTTCTCCTGTTTAGGTCACTGTCAAGGTGATGGATACAGAGTGGGATTTGGACCCTGCTCTGGAACCATTCTTCCAGCTCTCAACCAGCTCTGAACCGCTGAATCCTCTCTGTGTTACACCTTGTTGATGCAGGAGTTTATGGTTAAGGAGCCCAAAGCAAGAACTGACCCAACTTTTTAGAAGCTGAACGTTTTATAATCCTATTTGCAGTCATTTTTAAATATTCTGAACATGTGTGATTCTGATTTTCATGAGAAATTCAAACAAAAACAGACTTGAAATGTTTCCACATATAATAATATCTACCTTTTATAAATAATGAAGTTTACCTCTATGAATATTGAAAATGAAGGTTTTAATAGTCCAGTAAGATGCACCTGTACATCCAGTCTGGGCTGTAAGAGTTACTGATATTCTGGGTTTTAGCTGCTGAGTCATAATAAGTCTCAAAGATTGTGTCTTTTTCTCTGTTTGCTCAGTGTGCCTGTCAGACGTCTGTGGTCTTGAAACATGCAGAGTTTCTAAATAAATTGCTGATAAATTTTCTAATGCACAGGGTGGAACATGAATCAATCGAACTGTGATCCTGATGTTGAAGTTTCTCATCAATTCCTTACAGTGGGATTATTCCCAAAGACAAAAACACCTTTAGGTCAGAGATTGTTGTGGATAGCACGACAACGATGGCGATGCTGTGTTCCCTGTGTGCGACTATTTTTAAGTAAAATGACAAAAAAAAAAAAACTATTCTGTTTCAAAATACATTGTACTGACACATTTTTAACTAACATGCTGTTTTTCTGCCTCCAAAGTAGCTGAACCCCAAATGCTGAATGCACCACCATGACACTGTTCTTTTTCTGATCTGATTCTGAGGACACAGGAGGCCTCTGTAGTCTAGTCGACTCATTGATTGGAACGAGCTGAGTCAACCAAAATGATTGATTGACTTGATTTTTCTCCCGTGTCAATTTACAGTGTATGGTTAACGTCACCAGGAGAAATGTACTAAGTGCTAATGGGGGTGTTTTCAGAGCACCCCTGTTTCACAGATAACAGCCTGTCTCAGAACAACCCCCTTGTTTTCCCCATTTTGGATTCGTCCAACTCACTGGAGACTGACTGAAGACCGGAAGATTGAAGAGTGTCCACATTGAACAACCTCTGGTGGTTTGCTAAATATTTATATTTAGCCTTTTGTGTTTCATTTCTTTCTTGTGCTGATATCAATATATTTTCGCCCCGCAGAGTCCCCCACCCCACCCCCATTAGTCGATTTTTGGTCAAAAATTTCAAGGTTTTAGTCGACCAAGGATTTCTTGGGTTGATTACAGCTCTAGTAGTCCCTACACTCTCAGATTAAAGCAGGATTCAGGACTTGAGGAGGAATGGGTTTTCAGTTGTTGAGTTACAATCATACTAGAATTAACCCCAGAACATGACCTGTTATAATATGATGCAGTGTCATTTAAAAACCCAGATCTGAATGTAAGAAGTACCCGAGCCCTTTAAAAAGTTCCTTCTTTAAGACACAGAATCAGTTGGAATTTATTGTCACAAGCACGAACTGTTTCACAAAAATAATGAGTCACATTTTCACAATTTATACAGTTCTAAAACTCGATGTACAATTAACTAACTAAATACTAATCTTTTAATATGTTCTTCTCACATTGCACACAATATCACTGAAACCTACACAAAAACATGTACTGTGGGAAAGTAACACAGGTGACATAAAAATCACATTATTTACAAAAACATTGATTTAACACCTTTAGCAAAAGGACTCGAATGTCTGTTCAAGGTTCTCCCAACTACCTGTCAGAGACATAATACAATCTATCATGTAAAATCTCCCCCACTAAAAAGTACTGTTCAGTCTCTTTAGAAATGAAAGATAATAAAGTAGTAGCTCAAGTAGCCGGAGCTGAGATACACCAAATACACTAGTAAATACTGCACTTTGTATGGACAGCTCAGCGTTTTTCCCTTTAAAGCAGGCTGGTGAAATGAGAAGTTACTTTAATGAAGTGCACTTTGAGCCTCGTCTGCAATATTTTTTTCTCATTTACATTGAAGTCCTTCTCTACTGGCATGTTTTGCTCTAAAGTTCACTGCAGAGGTCACTTTGCTCTGAACATCACTACATACAGTTTACAGGAGGTTATACAACAGGACTGATGGAGAGAGTAAGAGCAGCAGCAGCTAAATGAGCCTTTTCTCTCCTCTTCCTCCTCCTCCTCCTGCGTGCCAGAAATAGACCCAGCATTGGTCAGCGATGAAATGAGCATCTTTCACACTTTAATCTGAATGTGCAGGAACATGTAGTGTGCGGAGGCTCTCTACAATCGCTGCAGGTATAACCAGATTATTACCAGGTTACTTATTAGTTGACACTGGTTAGTAACTGGTCTGAGTAAATTAGATGTTGTGGGAATGAAAACCAGCAGATTTTACATGACTGAAGATTTCAGAAAAGAGCTGCTGCTACCTCTCCAGGTGAGTCACCAGCTCTTGTCCAAAGTCTCTGACCCTACACAGCTTCTAAAGAGACTGAGTGAGTCTCACACTGGTTTTCATTGAGCCAGGCCAAGATTAATATTGATCATAACCTGCCAGAATCTCACAACCTGATCCTGACACGTGCGGACACAGTGAGATTGAATCAGTCATGATTCTCTGGTTGACTCTGGTTACAGATCTGCCTATGAGAGGAAGAGTTTTCTACATCAGTTCAATGGACTCATGAACACCAGCAATACTCTCTTTTTCTGATCCCTTCATACAACAAAAAAAAAAACAATCAGATCTAAAAACAAAAAAGTTTCTATTTTCCCTTTAAAATTAGGGAAAAAAGCGTCATTTAGGTTTGTCACCTGACATGACTCCTTCATCAGTATAAACATGTGCCAGTAATACCTCTTAGTCTATTACAGGTAATAATGTTCAGATAATGAACAGATCTGTCATCTGCGCCCCCAACTCTAAGAATAAAACCGTTCAGGTATCTACACATTACTTCCTGATTAAGTAGCAGGTTTGGGGTCTTCATAAAAACAGGAAACTGTAACACAGGAACTGAAGATCCTGTTAAATTACTGTAGATGATCACTCAGTGCCCTTTGACAATAACTGTGTGCAGAATCTCATGCATGTACAAACTGGCCATAAATGTGTAGAGTCTGTAGTTTCTGGATTTTTAATATGAGAGGTCTTCTGCTTTCAATTCGTTGTGCCTGTAATCCAAACAGTATTGACCAATCACAGACCACCAGTCCTTGTTTATAGGACTGTCCACATGAAGAAGAGTCTGTGGTAAGTAACCACATTCCTGCTGCTCCCATTAAAGATGGTACTCTGCTGATGGTTTGGTCTCTGAGAACAAACACCTGGGGGTAAACTAATAAACTAATGGTGTGTCATGAAAACTGTATTTGTGTTCATAATAATAATAATAACGGGGTTCCTACATAGTTGGAATTTCCATACTGTTCCATACCCTACTTGTTAAGAACTATTGTTGGAAATACCTACTTTTCTATTTTAGAAAACAGTATTTTAAAACTGTGGGTATAGTCAGGACACAAAATATTTTTCCATACTTTGTTTTTCATTTTCCATAATTTTTAAGACCTGGAAATTGATCAAATGTATTTCCATACATGTCATACTTGTGTAGGAACCCTGTAATAATTATAATAAACATAACACTAATAATAATATTGCATTTTTGATAGAGAGCACCCCTCCCGTAAACAGCAAGAAACTTGCTTTCTAAAAAAGGATTTCCCACTACAGTCAGCCAGTGAAGCCTCCGTGTACCAAACTGAGATCTATCAAACAAACAGATGAACTTCACTCTGGGAGATATACTACAACACCGTTATGCTGCAGACCCGTTCAATACCAACTTCTGGCTCCATGGCGCTACTCCAAAACTGGCCTGTGACCCCAGAGGCATCTCTGTCAGGAAAGGATTAATGACTGCTACTAAGTTTAGAAAGTGGAAAAAAGTAAATTGGTAAAAAGCTGATTTCCTCTCTGATATTAACTCAGATGTAATTAATCAAATCTCAAACTAAACATAATCTAAACGACAAGGACAAAGACAACAGTGGACACTCATGCAGTTCTGTACATTGTGGGGTGTAGTGTATCCAGCCCTTAGTACAATCATAAATTTTGGTCCTCTTCATACACCTTCATATCAACCAGCCACCTCTGGTCACCGTGAACACCACACACTGTTTGTTCAAAGGGCCTGAGACTTTTGTCCGTAGAGCTCCAACACTGTAGTTCCTTGCATTGATCGTAGAGTTCTTCTTTTCAGAGTCGAGTGATGCTGATGTTAACGAATACATACCAAAGGTAATGCAGCTGAAGCATTGGTGGACCGTGTTTTTGTCCGTGCGCAAATGACGAGTGCATCCACTTGACCCAGCTCCACATCGGTGGATGAGTCTTGGCTGTTTACAATGATGAGACGACATGAGAGATGAACCTAAGTCCAGTTCTGAGAGGGAGAGAAATGCCGGGGAGGTGGGGGAGGTTACTCAGAGAAGGGCGGGAACATGCCGAGGTCAGCGAAATCTTCAATGTTGTAGTTGGCGGTTCCCTGTGTGGGATCACCAGCCATGGGTAGCATGTCCTGCCAAAATAAGGAGAAGTTGTCATGATTATGCTGAGGATTAGTAGCACACTCGTGTCAGCAGTCAGCCCTCTAAACACCACAGGAGAGGGTCTTACAGGCTGTTTAACATGCAGATGTGTTCAACATCAACAGGTCAAGGTTTGGCCTGTCCTTCAAGCGATATTCTGAGTTAGACACCCCCTCCAGAGATGAATGTTGCTGACCGCTTGCTTCTCCAATTTTACGTACTTTAGTAACGACCGCACGATAGCAATACGCAGTGGACTATGGATCCATGCACACACCTCAACCAAAAAGCCACTTTATAGCCACAAATAATGTTCAGAACAGCACCTAACTTCATCAACAGTACATATAGGGTCACAGCCATAGCACTAGCCATCACGCATCTTTTTAGCTTTGCCTGATTTCTTTACCAAAGAGGCTAAACACAACTCACCCACTCTCTTCCAGAAGCCGCTTGTTTGTGGGAGAGCCCTGACAAGTTGATCACTGAGTGCAGTGGATCATTTCCATGAAGTAATAATCATCATAATAATAATTTTGCACTGCAGACGCAGTAGTTCTTCTGCCTTAGCGGCTCGGTCTGTTTACATTTCCATTAAGTAATAATCATAAAAGTTCTTTCTTGAGCTGTGAAACTCCGCTGCACTCAGCGATTGAGTCGTCAGGGCTCCCCCACAAACAAGCAGCTGCTGGAAGAGAGTGGGTGAGTTGTGTTTAGTCTCTTTGCTAAAGAAATCAGGCAAAGCTAAAAAGATGTTTGGTGGCTAGTACTTTGGCTGGGACCCTATATGTACTGTTGATGAAGTTAGGTGCTGTTCTGAGCATTATTTGTGGCTATAGAGTGGTGTTTTGGTTGAGGTTCACAGACTGCTGTGTATTGCTATCGTGTGGTTATTACTAAAGTTGGTACAACTAGAGAAGCAAGCGGTCGTCAACATTCATCTCTCAAGGGGGTGTCTAACTTGATGTTACTGTGTGTTTCACCATAACTTAAATTTACGCTGAAATATCCCTTTAACACAGTGATGGCGTCTGGAGCAGCTAGAAAAACACGTTTGAAACAGTTTCAGAGTGGAAACTTTTTATTCATGAGTGTTGCTCTGCTGTGTTCACTGGAGTTCTGAGGAAACTGCAGACACTGGGGTTGCCAGTGTCCTTTCATAGTGTTAGAGCTGATTATCTCTACACATCTGATTCTGATTCTACTGTAACATTACACCATGAGCTACTGGCCTGGCATACCTACTAAATCTTCAAATCTACATCATCACATCATCAACAAAGCCAAGTGTGAGTGTGTGTCTCACCTGGAAGACTTCTGTCTGGCTGGGGTTGGGGTGTGTGTGCTGTTCTCCAGCCTGCTGGGAATGATGCTGATTTTGCCACTGAGACCAGACCTCACTAGGACGTCCCTGGAACTGGGCTCCACTCTGACTGCTCTCCCCGGACACATCTGACAACAAAGAAAGGACTCACAAATGAGGCCAGCTCTGCAAAACACAACCCCGTGGATGTCTACTCCAGAGGAAAGTCAGTTGGATCATCTGAAGTTATTTTATTTCTGCACTTTTTTTCAGACTGTAATCTGGAGATGATCGGGTCCAGTGCTGTTCCTCGTAGATGTTTGTTTTTATAATAGTTGTCACGTTTTTGTTTTAATGTTTTGTTTTATATTGCATGTCTTTCACTCAGTTACAGTGTTCATAGAGGTATTCTTAAACCCAAACAAAGAAACAGAACTGGACCCCCACTGTACCACTCAGGTGGACTGTCACAACAGATCCTCTGAAAACCAAAGATGTGCTCACCAAAAGCTGTGCTGCGGTTTGTCAGTCCTGAGTAAGCGTTGCCACTTGGTGAGGATGTGGTCGGGGATGACAGGGGACTGTAGGAGGCAGGGTCAGTCTGGTAGCTGTGACCAGAACCAATACCGAATGGACTGGACTGGGTTTTACTAGACTGTAGAGCACGAACACAGATAACATATATACGAATATAAACAAGCTCTTATCAAGAACAAATAAACACTTTCAGAGCCTAAAATGACTTCAATTCTGTTAATGAGGATTTATAGAGTAAAATAAGGCACAAAGAAGTACATAGGCCCAGTACACAGCTGGACCGAAGTGTGTGTTTGTGTGCGTTAGAATGTGTGTGTGTGTTCTTTCTGTTACCTGTCCAGAGAAGGGAGGCCGGTTTCCTGACCATGCCACCTGACCTGGGTTGAGCTGTCTGGTGATCTGTGCCAGATTCTGATTGGATGAGCCCGACTGCTGAATGTCATTCACACCAGGGACATGGATCACAGAGGAACTGTGGGTAAAACACAAGCAAACACACATCTGTCTTCAATTCTCTCAAAAGGTAAAAACTCTTGTGACAGAAGAAAGTCCTGCAAATAAGGAACAGAGGGTAATCGCGCATGTACCTGAAGCTTTTGCCAGAGTGTCCCTGCTGGAAGGGGGAGCTCTGTGAGTAGAGCTGCTGTCCTCCAGCAGTAGAAGAAGGAACCATCATCTTCTTATCTCCAGCTACATGACGAACACAAAAGTCAGTTATATGAAAGAGACAGGGAGGAGGCTTCGAATGAGACAAAAACAGAAAGTATATCGCTAAACAAGACACAGTTTGGATATAAGTGTGTGTGGAGTTCAGATGTCTGAGTGTTTGTGTATCGTACAGCCAGAGATGCCGGTGTACATCTCAGTAAAGCGTGGATCTCTCTCCTGTGAGAACAGGGCCTCTGTCTTATCGATGTTTTTCCCTGCTTCATGCACTCCACTGGTGACACTGGCCACAGGCACCTAAATCAGAGTGGACAGCATCTTAAACTTGTGTCCAAATGAACCGTTATAAAAAATGGCTCTTAAACATCTGATATCTGGAAATTGAGTCCTGTTTCTCAAGAGGGAGAGGTGACATCCTTGGAACCAGGTGAAGAGGATGAGGGGGGTTACCTGGGAAAGATCATAGGCAGTCAGTCCATCTCGTTGGTGAACCTCCAGCTCTGCTTGTTGCTGCTGCTGGAGCTGCCTGCAAAAACCAAACACACCAAACTTTAAAAGCAAACCCTGTAAGACTGGGTAAACAAACCCTCTGATACAAAGATAAAGAAATTATAAACTACAAATACAATAACAATAACAAACCATCACTCTGTTGTTCAAAATACTGTCAGAAATATGAACTTAATAATTGTACTGATGTTGGAACTCACATAGCTGCTACACCACATACAACATCAAACTCCATCCTTCATCTGAACCCTTGTCTGAACTAAGTTTAAATCTTCTCATAGCTGGTGCAGGGCAGTGCTGAACATTACAAGCCAACCATTAAGTCAAAGTAACAGGGAGCTACATGCTTAAGCCTGCCCACTCCACAGGCTTAGGCAGTGATCTGCTTTGTGGTCCAAAAGTCTCAACTCACACACAGACTTTGTACTCGGGGTCAGGAAGTTTCAGAGTGTGATACAGGTGCTGAAAAGGCCATAGCGCCCCCTGAACTGAGCCGTAGAGTGTTCTTACAGATGCACACAGAAAGAATGAACCTGGACCTACTTGACGTTGGTGTTGGTGCATATGATGTACTCGATCTCATCAGAGTACGGGTTCTGGAAGGTGAAGCTGCTGGTTCGGATAAGCATCCATTCCCTGTTCTTCATCCGGAAACGATACATGACAGAGAGGACCTGACCCTTCAACTTCACCACCTGCAGAGGGACCAAAACATACAGTTAACTCAGTTAACTGCTGTGAGTCTAGAGGTCTTCAGAAGGTACGAATCATAGTCTGACATCAATCTTTCTATCTATGTATGTATGATGTATGTATGTTTAAATTTGTGTGTCTATCTGTCCTTTCTAAGCTAAACTTATTTCTTAAACACTGTGCACTTTGTAAATATCTTTATTTCTCATAATCTGACCTTTGTACTGTTATTATTTCTTATTCTAATTTGCTTACTATTAACATTTGTATGTTAATATCATTACTCTGATAGAACTATTGTGATGTAGAAAACACTTGTATCTTAATAAACCTCATCTGAAGCTTTAACCTGCTAACTGCCAACTTATTATATTTATGTTAAAATCACAGGCCTCAATTCAATTTGTCCAGTGTGAACACAGCAGGGCACAAAACTACGTGAATTTGTCATTTCTGCTAATTTCATTTTTAACAGAAAAACTGTGAGTCTAGTCATGAGCAGGTATGGATTTTGTTAGTATCTAAAACGGATCAGAGCTGCTAAAATATTGATGAATACGTGTTCATTCCCTTCTGCAAACAGTTCACACATCAACTTGTTTCTGAGACCCACAGACTCTAATCATAGACATCTAATGAAATAAAAACATAACCCGAGAAAGATGCCAAGTCTAGACAGTTTGCTCTGTAAATTGGGAAGCACACTTAGTTAATTTTCAACCTTCTTCAACACACTCATCCAGTCCAAACTTTTGCTCCCCAGTTTTTCAAAAGTGTCATCTGGAGTTTCTGATCAGTTACAAAGTAAATTAATCTGATTTAGTTTTCCTTTTTTTTCCCCAGTTAAGTATTGAACACCTTTCCTACCTGCTGAAAACTTTCTCTCAGGTGGCTCTGGTCCTCAGGGTGGCAGAACTCAAGGATGTCTTTCCCCAGCAGGTCCTACGAGATAATATAAAGTTAACGAGGATCCATCATCAAGAAAGAGGTCCATGTCACCATGACAATAAACAGGTAGGAACAGTTTTTCTTCCTTATCATTGTCGGCCTTCAGGAACTTTGCTCACTGGGGTTTGTAAAAGCTGCCTGTTGTCCTGGTTGTTTCCTGATTGAGGAAATTTATCTTTTCTTCTCTGGACAGGGTCAAGTGTAAATAAAATGTTTCTAATTCAAGCTACAACACCTTTTCTGTTGTGAACACATAAGCCAAGCTGCACAGACGTTTAAGCACTTCATCAAACATTGAAAAGGTTCTGGTGAAACAAACACAGGGTATCATAACAGATCCCCTCAGAAACTGTTCGAAGTAAAGTGGCTGAAGTATTTAAAATAAAGCTTTGAACCCTATGAGGGAACACATATGGAATTATGTAGTAAGAAACAAACAGGATTATACTCATCATTTTTTACTTAAAAATTCCTATTTTGTGCTAAAGGGACAGCTTTGCTCCATCAGCTTCATGATGTAGTTATGAACACCTAACTGTAAAACCTTAAAAGAAACTTCTGTCTGGGGGAAATGAGCAGATACTAAAAAAAAGTAAAATGATAAAGACCACATTCACACGAGGAGGTTTAACATGAGACACCTCCTCTCTCTCTTTTGTGGTCAGGCTTATACAATCTTTTTGGCCTGAAGCCAATGTTGTTATTTTTTAAAAATTATTATCTATTTATTTATTTGTTGAGCAACTGAAAACACAAACTCTCAAAGAGGATGACAATAATAGTAATACAGATGAAAACTGAGTACAGTATGAAAGTGCAAAAACATGACAAAAGGGGATTTTTGAAGTAAAAACAAAACAAATACAACACCAAACAGTTGCAGATGGGATAAGGTGCGAAAGATACATTTTATCAGGCATTTAGATTCAACATTGAATGGAGCAGCAAAATAATAAAACAAAAATAAATTACAGAGTAGAACAGCAGAAGGCAGCAAAGTCCAAGTTTAGTTTCTTGGCATATTTGCTCTTTTTATCTTTTTGAGCAATAAAAAAGTATCTTAAAATCGCGAATAAAACCAGGGAAAGAAGGCTTCGAGCTCCTTCATTTAGCATGACGATATGATATTTACTCAGTGTTGTGGTGAGGTCCACCCCCAGGAAACCTGGAGCATTAAAAGCTTTATTTTATTTATTCAATTTGTCAGGTAATATTTTTGATGATATCCAGATGTATCAAGAGCTGGACAAGGATGTTTGTTAAAAGTAATTATTCTACTAACTTGGTTACAGAACTTTTTACCTGTTACTGTGACCCTCTGTCTCAGGAATCAGATGCTGTGTGTATCGGTTTGTTGGGGGTGATTTGTTTGCTGCACCCATGCTCACAGGCTGCACAAATACTGTCAGTTCTTCAATTGTATTTCAATCACAGACTACAAAAAAACTTATTTTGGGGTTTTGTGTTTTTGCGGAAGTAGACTGGGGTCACTTTGGTTTTGTTCATACAGTTTTTCATTTATTCACTGGTTTTTCCTCCAAGAATAAGGCTTGATACTTGAAATCTCAGGGCTCAACAGTGCGACCGTTTCACTCGCATTTGTGTGCGAATTGTAAAATGTATTTAGGGACATGTGCGCATAAAAAATCAGCCGAGGCAACACATTTTTTTTTCATGTAAATACTGCGGTGAAGTTAGTTTAAGGTTGGATATTCAACAGACATTTACTGCAGATCCACTGGTTTCTTCTCACTCTCCATAACTGGGAATAGCAACATCAGCGCGATTAAATCTACTCTGCACCCTCGCTGTCAAAGTCGGGTGTTAAATAAGGGACCATCAATAAATTACCGGTTGATGTTCTCAAAAAAGCTGTTTTCCTTCAATAGCTTCCATGTCATGTGACCAATCAATTTCAAATAATAGTACTAAGATAGGACAATAGACACACCTCTTTATTTCCCTAATTTGTCTTGTAAACATTTTTATGTTAAATTCAAAGGCAAATTTTGAACATTTTCTTCAATAGCTTCCATGTCATGTGAACAAAAGACCTAAAATGGATTTCAAATAAAAGTACTTATGTCGACCAATAAGACAAACATTATTTGATTAATTTTCATCCTGCCCCTAAAGTTTTTTTGTGTGATCCTTACTTTTTCAATTTAGGAGCATAAGTTCCTTGTGAAAGAGTTAGTGTCGAGCATCTCTACAACTATACTGGACACACATTTTTCTGTTAGCTCAACATTTACACACAATAACTATAGTGGTGTGCACCTATTTTTGAAAAGTAAATCACACTAAATGCTGTTCTTCAAACTCTTCCCAATTATTCCCCCATTATAGGTCAGGCACCCTAGAAGAGGCCCACACCCACCGGTCACCCCCTCTCCCTTTATCTTACCTGAGGCTGGTAACCAATGACATTGATGCAGCGTGGGTCTACAAAAGTGATGACACCATCCGAGTTGTGACGCGACAGGAACTCTGTGGGCACCGACAGGCCATTCATGTCCATTGAGACAGGAGAGCTGGTCACCTGAGGGAGGGTACAGACAGAATAACTGAGGCATAGAGATGAAGAGGTTTGAGAAAAAAAACAGCCCTGAGTGCAAATGGTGAGTATTTGAACAGTAACTGAACTGTCCTCATACTCAGATAAGCTCTGTAATGGCTTAATAACGAGCTAATCATTTGAATCAGGTGTGTTGGAGCAAGGAAACATCCAAAACATGCAGGACAGTGGGCCTCGAGGACTGGACTTGAGAACCACTGGGTTAAAGTGTTATTCCTCAAAGCCATTAAAAAAATACAGAAAGCTACAATCTGAAAAAAAAAACCCACAAAGATTGAAACAAAGTGAGCCTCAGCTGTCTAAAAACTGAGATTCTTGACCCGTTTGTTGAATTGATGCATCTTACAGGTTTCATCGGAGGTAAAGCTGCACTAACCTGAAGTCTTCCAATGGCCACTAGGCAGTATTTTCCAGTCTGTCCTGCCTCTGTGTCTTCATCTGGTATAGTCATACCTAAAGAAAGAGAAAAGGACAGAAGTTTAGATTTTAAAATTTCAAATGCAATTTCAATAAAACCAATGGGATTGTAAACATTTGAGTCACTACTCTTTACAACTCCACAGTGACTATTTATTCCAACCCAAATTCCTGGAAATTCCTGGACAGTAGAGCCAGTTGGAAGTTTGTCATTTCAGATCAAAAAAGAAAGACTTTTTAGGCCAACACAGGTATGATGTTTATTGTAACCAGCGAACACTCTGACCACAGTTTAACACGACGGGTTGGATTAAGTCTCCTGATTATTCGTGTTTGAGGCAGATCATAAACCAAATCAATCACAATGTCAGCTCCAGTGCTCCACTTCATTCTATCAATGAAATCTGAGGAGAAAATCCTGTGGGGTCGTCCACATGGAGGCAGAAGGGCACCCTCTACAGTCCAGTCCAGAAATTGCCACCCGACCACTTAGCCCCGATGATGGCCACGCACCCTTCTGACCGCCATTAGACAGCACCTCCACCAACCCTCATTATTAGGGACTCCATTATGAGGTATGTGCAGGTCTTGAGGGGCTCTCACTCTGTTGTTCCTCAGTGCCACTGTTCTGAGGCTGACAGCATAGTCCACACTGGTGCCCACGACACCTTCAAACAGCTGTCAGAACCTCTAAGACAGGATTTCCAAAACCTCTCCAACACTGTCAGACAGTTCAACACTCTGGTTTACATTTCTGGACCCACCTGTGGCAAGGGCATCAGATGGTTCAACAGGCTTCTTAGCCTGACTGTCCTCCTGGTATCGTGGTGCCACAATATGAACTTCACGGACAGTTTCAATGTCTTTGAGATAGGAGGTATCTGTTTGGGGCTTCATCTCCCCAGAACTGATCATTTCTGTGTCTTTTTTACTGTGACTGATTTTAACCAACAGGAAAAGACTGAGCTGACTAGAGGAAACTCTATCCTGCAGTGACTGCAAATTTTATTGATATTTTCAAAGATACTCCTCTTGACATTTCACTTTCTGTCTCCAATTTCAGAACAAAATTTCAAATGACAAAAAGGAAAGACCCTGATGGAACATAAACTCTGCTCCAAAAGGGAACAGGACTTGAGCTCCAGACTGAGACTGATTTGAGATTGAATAAGACTGTGTGTTGTTTTACCTGCAGGGGGCCAGGCTTTGATATAACCCGTGCAGTGCACCACAGAGTACTGAGCCTCTCCTTCTTTTGACGGTCCAAGTCCATTCCTATCAATCAAAAACACACCCATCAACGTTAGATACCTGAGGTTTAAAAACTGAGCCCAGAATCTCTGTAAAAACCGACTTGAATGTGCCCCCAGAGAAGCACTTGTACCTGTATCTCTTCCTCATGTTAGACAGACGGTTGAGAGAAATGTGGTCCAGGGGAGCACTGCCACACCTGCAGAGAAATACCACATGAATCCCAGAGCAAACTTCACATCCCACAGAAATCAGCACATCTGCGATGACTCAGAAGTTATGAAAGTTTTTATCAAATATATGTTATTCTTGATGTAATTTTGCCTGTAGTGCACTGTCAATGGTGTTATGTCCAATGTCTCTCAGCTGTTTATTAGTAAGAAGGATTTTAAAGATTTCAAACAATGGTGCTAAACCTATAAAGGTAGCTGTGTGTGCTGAGGCTGTTCACAACTTTGTGTAACTTAGTCAACAAGAAAGACAAAAACACTCAAATCACTCTTTATTTCATTACACTTCATCAAACGATCAAAGCTGTACAAGAGTCAGGATTTAAGCTTTAAGGTCCTTTTACACCGGGAGCATTTTTTTCGTGTGATTATTTCGGATTTCAATATTTTTTTGAGCCCGTATGTTTGCGTGAACCCGTATCCTGTCAAACAAGCGTTCACATCAGCGTCGTTTTCCCGTCCTGCGCTATTGCGGCATTTATTTTTTCAGATCACGAAAGATAACGACCTGAAGGTCAACTTGTGGAGAGTCATAGCGTCAGATCTCTAATATGACGATAGTTTGTGTGCCTTAACAGTTTGCTAAACGTCTTTGTTTTAACGTTCATCTGTGCTAAGTCACTTTAGCTCGTAAGCTAACCTGTTCAGATACAACATACCATATGTATTTTCACTGTCTCAAACTTAATCACGTTGCTTTCACAGCACCATTAGGTCTCGGTTCTTACCTTACGTTTATGGATTATAGTTTAATGTGCTTATCTGGTACTGGCCCCGACTCAGTACATGCTATCATGACAAACAGCCATCTCAACACTAGTGTCTAATCAGAACTGAAAAAGTCAGTCTGCTGTTGTGTCAGTCTTCTCACTTCCACCCGGGATGCATCTTTTTCCCCCTGGAAAGTCGCAAAATCGCATCGGGCTTGATGTGTATAGTCAGGCGCGTCAAAATTCGCCTCTGAATATTTTGTAAATTCGTGACGTATATTTGCATTGTTCCCGGTATGTAAGGACCTTTACACTTAGACTTTAAGCTAAAACAAACATCCAAGGGGACTGACTAAAAACATTTATCTGTAGTCGGTTAGCTATGAGTATTACAGCCAAGAGAGAGATATAAAAATGGTCTACTTGATACTCCATGTGCAAATTGTTCAACAAATTCAGGAGCACGTCTTAAAAAGTCATCATGACATCTACAGCAGGTAATAATAAGGTTCAAAGACTGTGAAGAGATATCTGTGACTCATTAACACCATCCTGCGGTGCAGACGGTGCACTGCTAACTTCCTGCACTGACAGAGAGAGGAACAGGCCGCTGTCTTCATACACGAAGGGTCTAAACATTTTACTCAGACAACCCTCTATTATCACCACATAGGAGGGGGGGAAGGGTTACTAAATTACTTTATATCTGCAGCCTGATTTCTCCACATTCGACACACAGGAAGTGATGGTTAAATCTCGCACCTTGCTCTGAGTGGGTGCAACGTGTCCCATTAAACACCAATTTTATGAGGCACAGAATAATGAAACAACTAAAGTCATCAAATCCAACACATGGTTTGGTTAGGACTTCGAACCCTACATCAGAGGTACACCAACACAACACTGATGCACACACCCATACAAACCTCATTCTGCAGATAAAGGAGCGTCTGGAGCCCATGCACATCCTCATGGACGACTGCTGACCCTCCTTCTTCACTGTTCCTGTCTTTAAGTCCAGAATCCGTCCTGATGACACACACAGAAATACAAATTCAAAGGTGACATCAGCAGGAAGGTAACAATGAGCTGGTGACTTCTTCAAGTCAAGAAATTTGATGCCTTGAAAGCAGAAAAATGAGAAGAGTGAATGGGCTTCTATGGGACTGCTCAGCTGCAAACCTAAACCTTATTAAGTAGTTGGCCAGAATGTTCTTGCTGACTATGTTTCTGGCTGCTTCACCTGGTAGAGCCTCTGCTGTAGGCACATAAACAGGAAAACAAACATATAAGGGGCAGCTGTGACTCAGTGGTACAATTTCAAGGTTGAGGGTTTGATTCCAGACCCTGCTGTCTACATGCCCACCAGCCCCTGATGGCTGTACCCAGAGGTGTGTGAATTGGACTAGTCAAAAACTGACAGACAGAAGCATAGACTGTTGACAGTTACGTGAAAAAGATCACTTTTAGGAGTACAAAAAATGTTACGTTGCATGAAAAGACCTGCACTGGATGAATCCTGATATATTTGCCAGGCCCTCAGCCATCTATCAGAAAGATAGGTGACGTAAAGAGAAACTAAATTGAACAAGATAATTTTGGTACTCATAGCGCAGAGCAAAGTGAAAATAGAAATGGAGATCCTGGAGCAAAGAAGAAGTGAGCTCACAGAGGCTAAGGAAGACATCCTGGGAGTAACAAACAACTGAGTCAAGGTTTCAAAGGGTTACCAACCACCACTGAAGAAACAGGAAGGAAGAATCTGACCAGGTGTGCCAAGAGATACAAGCAGAGGTATGCTCGTCATCAGCCAAAGACCAACAAACCAGGTTTGACAAATCATGGTGCTATCAGTGAACTCACCCTCACAGTAATGGTTATCTATTCTTCAGCAGACAACTGACTTCATACAGATGTTGTTTGAGCCGATCATAGTTCAGAGTGGGGGTTTCTGAACAAATCAGCTTTGATATGAAAGGTATTACTGGGTTTGAGCGAGACCAGCAATGCACTGATCCAATGATTACAGTCCCATAACCGACATCTGGACTCTGAATGGCACCGATACCAGGGCTGGGCGATAAACCGAAATTTTACTGATACCGAGATCTACAACAATAACCAATGTCATTTTGCCCATGTCAATATATTCCGAGTCAAGTCAACAAGAGATAAAAGTTTGTTTTGGATGTGTGTAGGTGGGCTATGATCTCGTCCTTTTAAGATGCTGTCCTACGTCAGAGACGTGACTCCACCCCATCCAGTCCTTAACAAAGAGGGAAAGACAGGTGAGGAGATGGAGGACAGTTCAAAAGTTGTAGTGGCTGGAGTAGACAAAGTTAATGTGGGAGGGGGTGAGCAGCTCGTGGAGTAGTTATCGTCTATTTATCGTTATCGAGGTGAACTGCTCAATATATCAAGACATTGATTTGAGGCCATATCGCCCAGCCCTGACTGATAACAAGAGCTAGACAACACTAGACTGACAAAGTTTGGTAGAAAAAAGGAGTGAGCCGGTGTGTGTGTGTGTGTATTATGGAAGAAGTCACGGCTGCTTCAGTAAAATTAATAGCAGACCATTAATAAGTCAATAAAGATGATGAGTTCAGAGGTGGTCTTGTGAACCGTGTGCCTTGTACCTGTCATGGAGTTCTCTGAGGTGCTCAGCTGTTCCCTCAGCTTCTCCACATCATCAGGGTGCACTTGTTCGTACAGCGTGCTGCCGAACCACTCTGACTGAGGATGGTTCAGCACGGGCGTCACAGAATCTGACACGTAGATCACCCGGCCTGTTTCTGCAGCGACCACAAACAGGAAGCCGTCTGCTGCCTCCAAGATCAGATGCTTCAGTTCCTGCAGGGTGTGGAAATACAAAGCAGAGGGGTTACAGTCTGGACAGTGACCTCACTATAATCAGCTGTTTGATGGACACTATCTCATCACTGATCACAACAAGAGCAAGGGTTGGGCGATACTGAATAAACACTGTACCTTTGACCTTCACCCTCAATAACTGAAAACATACATATTGAGCTAGTTTATAAAGGTGTATTAATGCTGCGTTCCAGTTACCACAGATGTCGGAGCTGGGAATGACGACACACTCGAGTTGATGGCGTTCCAGTAAACAAGTCGGAAAAACAAGATGGACGCCTACTGTTGTTAGCTATTGTTAACAATTGTCAGCTTTTGTTAGCCGCTGTCAGTTGTTGTTAGCTATAGCAGTTGTAAACAACGCATAATGCAGTATTTTACTCTTACAAACACCGTAGCATCGTGTTCACAGATAGACATTGAGCAGTACAACATATACCACTTGTTTAATTTCACAAAAACAAAACAGAAGTCCTAATAAATAACGAGAGCTTTTACTGTTACTCTTTACTGTTGATGCACTGTGTTGCCATCTTGGATTATGACGTTGTCTTCAAGTCGGGGTTGGTGAGGATCAGTGGCGGCTGCTGGTCTTTCAAGGAGGGGAAGCTCATTTTTCTGGCCTACATCATAATTGTATTTGTTTATTTGTATGTAACAGAACAGAGTCGCCAAACACAACAGCAGTCGTTTTTAACAAAGACAAAAGTCGCTGAGGATCGGTAAAGTCTCTGGAGCAGTTAAGAACAACTGAATGAATAACTTGGAAAATGCTCTGGTAGATGTTTTATTCTTCAAGATCGCTGATTCGCTTGTTTATCTGTCAATCAAAAAAGGATTTCGCCTCAGACAGCTCATCCAATCATGGATACAGAAGTTCAGAGTCCAGGAGAAAGTCGGGACCGCCCTCTCGCCATAGAACTCCAGAGAAGCCGAGCGTCCGATGGGCGGGACAAAGCCCAGCATTTATCCAATGAGCGTCTAGTTTCGCTGCTGGAACAACCCACTTTTAGCTTCCACATTGAAGTCAGCAGAAGCCCAGCGTCCGGCTGTTTAAAGCGCTGAGGCGCTGCGAGGATGAATGAGAACAAAGTTGTGCAGAATCAGCTTCTTATCACAGTGTGATAAGAAGCTGATTCTGAACAAAAGATGAAGGCTTTCTAGCGCGTATTTAGTTAATGAAATGTACACACAGCAGTACGTATTTCACCACTTTTTCTTTTTTGGGGGGTGACATTTTAAGGGAAGCTGAGCTTCCCTTGCAGTCTTAGAGCAATCGCCACTGGTGAGGATCGACTTTCCGAGTTGGAAATCTGACTTTAGGGGGGCGTTCCACATGAATTTCCAACTCGGAGCTCAGAAATCCTGACTACCAAGTACAACTGGAACGCACCATTAAACTGCCTGTAAACTTACATACACACTAGCTTGGGCCTTACATTCACTTTAATCACAGTTTTGTTGGTTAGTATTAAATCTGTCTGCTCTCCTTGTAATTTTCCAATTTTCTCATGTCAAACATATTTTAGTTTTAATTTTAAAGTTCCTGAGCAGCTTTGGTCACTCCGGTTGCAGCCTGTTACATTTCAAGTTGTAACAGGATTGTTGTGCTATTTTAATAGCTCCACACTCTAATCCCTAATCAGGAGTAAACAGAAAATATTCATTTGTTTCCTGAGATGGTTAACCCATTAAATTCCAATCGGATTTCTTTTGGTATCATTCAAAGCTGCTTTGAGCACATCTGTTTAACCTCATGTCCTCTGTGATACACCTCAAGGTGTCTGCCAGCACAGTACCTGCTCAGTGAGGAAGGAGGGCTTGTACGCGCCATCGGTGGACGTGTTTCCTGTGCCCCTCATGGATTTCATATGGGAGACCGCCATACGCAGAATGGTCAACTTATCAGGTTTTCGTGCCAGGGCACTGCAGGTGGGGACCATGTCTGACAGCTCAGTGATGTACTGGGTCATTTTGTTGCGCCGGCGTCGCTCAATTTCACTGTGATTCTCTCTAAAACAGTGAAAAGAGCAGTTAGGGTCTTAGAGAAGGGACAGCCTCAAAACCATCAACCAACCTTGACTGAACTAATGATCAGAGGGTGAATCTGAGAATTGTTTTCTTCCTCGATGCCTGTATCTCATTTTAATGTGGATTGATTTCCAGTTTGGAGCATTTTTGATTGTAACAAATGATCTTTTTTACTCTTACCCAAATATTTGATCGCCTTTTTATTGAGTAGCCATCCTTCAGCTATTTTTGAGTTTGAGGGGATCTCTGTGGAAGTTACCTCCACAGCCACTCTCCTTCATATTCTCAGCGAAGTTCATTTATAGATGGTTGTTTGGATGATTAAAAACAAGGAACTACAAAATCAAAGAAGTCTTTCCAAATGACTTACAGAGACATGACACCAGTCTAAAACCTGTTTAATCTGAGTTTTTAAACTTTTGACCCAAAATGAAAATAAGACACATGTTTATGAATTTGCAGTAAAATGAGGTCAGAATGAAGATGCCAGTAGAGCGGGGTTCCCTGCTCAGAGTCAAACACCATTTTTGTGTCTAAGTATTGACTCTCTCACTCACTCGTGTTTCTGCATTACGGCTCAACTTTGGATTCTGTTGTTCACAGTGTTTCACCTAATGACTTGACTGGTAAGAGTTTATCCTAACTGACTCCGTCTGTTTCATCGTTCAGGAAACTCCTCCATGTCCACAGAAGAATCGCGTCCTGATGCCTAATACCTGACCTGATACCTGATCTGGAGAGAAGCGTATTGAAGTCTGATCCAGTATTTTCCATTGATAGCTGACACTGACAGGACCCTTAATTATTCTGTCGGTATTTCCTCTACCTAAATTGAGCCTTTCATGATTAGTTGGCCTTTAATTTTGGTTAGGTCAGGACATTTGTAATGTGCTCTGGTAGGACAGTCTGTGGATCCCTGAGTCAATGGAAAATCCTCTCAGGCCCCAGTTGGCTAGGCCTACCTGGCATATCTCTCCTTATCCCCACCAGGAATCTGATCCTCGTCATACCTACAGAGAAGAGAGGGCACAGTGTGTCAAAAAAACTCAGACAAACACAAGGGGGAAAGCACCATGCAGCAGCTCCACCATCCATATTCAAAACATGCATTATTGATTTGAAAATCCATGTATGAGGAAAGACTGATTCAGAGTTTCAGGTTGTAATGACATGAGCAGAACTGAAAAAGAAAAAAGCAGATGTAGTTGATGAAAGTGATTCTGTTATAGAAATATTCTGTTCAAGTCTAAGATTTAAGCGTAACAAATCAGATTTTTCAGTTTTTTAACACTGAGTTTTGTCTTTAAATCTTATGGGGTCTTGACCCGGATGACCTCCATGTTTAAGAGGAAATCCATGAGCTACACCTGCAGTATCAGTGAGGTGAGTAAAGCAGCCACACATGGTCCCAGACAGGGCTGAGCAATGTGACAAATAACTATAATCTAAATATCTCTGTTATATCATGATACACAATTTATCTCCTCTGACTTACTGTTTAACTGTGACATTCCACCTTTTGCTGCAGAAAATGACACCAGTATGAGGATTCAAGTGAAGTCCAGTTCAGTTAAAGTAAACTAAATCAACTTTAAATCTTGAACGAAGGAGCAGCTCATTAACACAGTATGGTAGGCTTTTCTACTGGGGTTCACAAGAACAGAGACCATAGAAATTAAGACAGATTCTTTAATCTGATCATGTTTGTACTGTAACAACACATCTTTTAAAGAAATAAAAAAATGTATCTCTTTCCCATAGGGTCTTTGCATTAGAGCGCAAGAAAAAAAAGCACAGATGGATTCAGAGTGTCCTTTTTTTGATATGGGATAATCCAACCCTGAAATGGGGATAGACATAGAAGATTTCGGCCTAAGTGGGAGCTGTCCTGCGTTTAACTGCCCTGATATATTTAGTGTTAACTTCCACTGAAACTGTATTATACAGCACAGTTACAAAACGTGTAGAGGAGCAGAATCTGACAGTAAAATTAACATGTTTCTGGTCAAGTCTTCATACTTTTACAAGCCCAGTATCTACGCTGTTGTAAATCCCAATATATTAAAAAAACAAGAAAACTTGTCTTGTGATGGGAAAACATTTGGAGTTTTAATCTTAAGCTTCCCTGCTGTTAAGTCATGTTTTATTTACAGCTACTCTTTACTGTGACACGTGAATTTCATGGTCCTCTGCAGACAGCAGCTCCTCCTGTCCAGCTGATTCTGTCTCCACTTAGCTGAAACAAAATCTCTACTGTGGAAAAAGCTCTGAAATACACCACACACCAGCACTCTGCACACCATGACCAACAAAACATGACGTGGCTGAAGAAAAAACAAAGAAAAAAGAAAGAAAGAGCAGCTGAGATGAAATAATCAAGAGGGATCATTGGGATTCAGTTACTGAGACAGACTTGATTCCTTGGTTAATACAGGAAACATATCATACAGCCAATGGCTTATAGATGGTGGAACAAATAAGACCAATCATGACGTGTCCATGCAGATAAGAAACAGGGTCTCTGCTGGTTTTAAAGAAACAGCTTTAGAGTAGTTCAGTCCTCCAGGCCCACTGTCCTGCATGTTTTGGATGTTTCCCTGCTCCAACACACCTGATTCAAATGATTAGCTCGTTATTAAGCCATTACAGAGCTTGATAACGAGCTGATCATTTGAATCAGGTGTGTGGGAGCAGGGAAACATCCAAAACATGCAGGACAGTGGACCTCAAGGACTGGACTTGAGAACCACTGCTTTAGAGGATCTTTATGAAACTATCTAGAGTTCATGTTCAAATTAACCTTTTAGTTAGGTGCACGCTCACAGTGCTACAAAAGACTTGGATTCAAAGAGAACAGAAAAGATCCAATTTGTTTTGAGACTTCAGTTATTCTGATGGATTCTCTCTGCTGATAACTTGAAACAAAAGTGACTGAAAAACTCTGCTAGGAAGTCTGCTGAGTTAGGAACATTACATGTGGATCCACCGTATCTGCAAGTAGCTAATAGTCTTACCTTGAAAATTTGCTAGGTCCTTCCCCATCTTCATCATCGAAGTCCATTCTGAAGAACAACCACAGGAAACATCATTAATAATTGAACTGTGATTCCTATGACCACAGCAGCAGGTCACAGTTCTGAGTCACAGGGTCACCCTTCACACTCAGACTGATCTCTGTATCCGACCAACAGTGGATGAAAAGTCTAAATCAAGATCTCTCCTCCTCATACATAACATTTATCCATGCAGTATGGAAACACATCTGACACCTGGAGTTTAAAACCAATGAGGAATCGTAAGTGATGGCTGCCATGAACGGGCTCATCAATGAGGGACTGATGGTCTGGATTAGCACATGTAAAATATCTCATATGAAAATCTCCTCTGCACTGACCCTGTTACCTGTTCAATCTGGAATAAAACTGACACTTGTCCTTTTCCCCAACAAAGCTCTTGAAGGGGAAATAACGCCGTCACACCGTACAGGACTCATGATCACCTCTTTAGTTTCAGTGCACTGACTTAGGAATGAAACCATGTCAATTTGCTCATATGCTGATTATAACTTGTTATACTTCCAAGATCCCTCAGCATCCCTCCAAAACATCTACTTCTTACTAGGTTATGATTATTCAGTGAACTAGTATGTTTTTCTGGTCAACATCTGCTTATGAGTACAGCAAGTTAGGAAATAATATGTAAGAAAGAAATCCACAAGTAGTGATATGAATGGATGTTCCCAGTGAGCTTCACCATTAGTCTACACTTTTATTATTTTATTATTCTGCACCCAACATACTGTCTGTCTGCTGATTGAGTAACCCACATGCATCAAAAATACACATTTCATGTACCCCCTCCCTCTAACATGATAATGGCTTACTATAAGAGCATTAAAACATGTTTAAACTGAAGTACAACAGAGAGCACGGAAAACACATTTAAAAGGTTTTCTCTAAATTTCATATCATCACAGACAAATACTACTCTCTTTGTAAATACTAAGTTAAAGAAATAACCAGTTATGACCAATATGGTCTGAAAACACAACCAAAACAACAAAACAGTGCTCAGTATGACCAAGCAGATGACCAAGCTGTTTAATACATATCATATATCATTGTTTGGACACTCCTCATGTACACTACTATTACAAACAGAAGATCAATTACCTCAGAAATGAGTACCTTTATTGGCAAATGGTGACACTCCTTGTTGAATGAAACTCCACAGATTTCTTCAATTTATTATTATTTTGCTTTATTTAACATCAGTATGAGACCTTGAGGTTTAGACTAAAATAAAGCGATGCTAATTACTAATTTGATACAAATACAATTTCTATGTAATTTACATATGAGCAGTGATAATCATATTTATTTTAACTAAGGGTGAAAATTGCCAGGTGAATCACAATCTAATACTCAGCCCATAATAACAATCATATCATCGTACAAGGACATATCCAAAACACTGATATATTATAAAAAACAGTACACGTGTAAGTGCTTAAACAACTTTAACCAGCCTCTGTATAAACACCTCTCCACATTTTATTCTTAAACTTTAAAACATACACCAGTTTGATGTTTACCAGGGGGTCATGTTTTCACTTATAATACAGGTGCAGCTCAAAAAAATCATAATGTCCTGTAAAATTTCATCTTTTACTGTAATATAAAAAAGGAAACTTTCATATGTTCCTGGTTCATCATGTAAAAGAGTTAAATATTTACAGACTTTAAATCTTAATGATTGTGGCTTACAGTTAAAAAAAATCACAAATACAAGGCATCCCAACAAGTCCACCTTTTCCAGTCCTTAAAAAAAAAAAAAAAAAAACTCTAATCAGCTGATTGACCCACCTGTAAAGGTTTATCAAGCCTTTATTCTCTCACTCTGATTGAGTTCATAAAAGAAGTAATCATCGGGATTAACACAAAGAGTCTTTAAATATTTCACTCTGTGTCAAATTTTCTTCCCTTTCCTTTTTTTTCGATATGGGATAATCAAACCCTGAAATGGGGAAAGACGGAGAAGATTTCATCTTAAGTGGGAGCTGTCCTGCGTTTATTGCCCTGATATATGAATAATTAACTTTCACTGAAACTCTAGAAGAGTTTATTATACGGCACAGTTACAAAACATAACGTCGATCTCCAGTGATGATGTTGAACTGTGTTTTTTTTTCTCTTTGCTCATCGTAATCAGACTCAAGGATGCAGTCCTGCTGTTTTAATTCACAGATATACTGTAGAACTGTAAACCAGGAACATTAACAACATCTGTTCTGCTGCTGCAGCTTGTGGCTGAGACGGAGGACATGCTTCATGTTTGTTATCCTCATTTGGTGTTATGTAAAGTCAAATTAAGGTGTGAGTGGCTTTGTGTACATTTGGGATTGGAGTAGGGGAGCAGAATCTGACAGTAAAGGTGTGATGAATCTAGAAAATGTAGAAGTTCCACTTTTTTCATCTAATTATGAGAGAAAATGAACATTTATGGGACATTCAATGATTTAAGCTGCGCCTGTAAAGGAGATATAAACCTGATGTATTGACACTTGTACCACACAGGTCAGGGCAACGATTGAAGGTCAAACAGATATTTTGTCCTACATCTGATTTTACAAGTGAAGAAAACCTGTCTGTCTGTCTGTAAGTGCAACAACACAAACACTAAACTCTGTGCACAAACACATTCACCCATGACAACTTCATCTTCATTAACACAAGACACATTTGGGGGTCTCTGCAAAAGTTTCTGTCCTTATCTCCTGGACTCTCATGCTCGTCTTCTGTTTTTCTGTCTCCCACATCGCCTGTAGAAATATAAATATTTGATGAAAGAAAAATATTTTGTATTTTATTAGGAAAAGTCTCATAGTAATTTATGGCCTACTCCAACATCAATTATGTATCATTTTGCATAGAATGTAATTTGAGATTAATGTAAAGTTAACAGAGATTTTCATAGCCTCTTTATGCTCCCTCTCTCTTGAGTGTGGTTTCCTCTCTGCTTTTACACATCTGGGAATCTGAAAGAAATATGACACACACTGGGGAAAAAAAAGGTCGAGAGACAAGCTCAGATAAAAAAAACAGCAGTCTGCCTGAACACTAAAGCAGACTCTTTGTCAGGTTTGTCATCACAAGACTAAGACTAAGCTATTCTGTGTAAAGTCATAATGAGGTAGAATTGAACTGAAAAAATACGACGCTTTATAAAGTTTCTCACAACAACATCTTTTTAGATTTCTTCTATTGTGAGACGTCTTCATCTCTTCATTTAGATGACTAGATTTACTTCACTTTTACACACATTCAACAAGTTCAGAAGTGCATCTTTCTACCCTGAACAAAATAACTTCACTTATTATCCAGCTAATGCTGCTTCTAATTAACATTACAAAGTTGTAAGTCATTCATGGCTTCATTTATCCACTTCAGAGAAATGTTTCATACTTTATATTTCTAAGCCAGCTCAGCATATGTTATCTGAAAACAACTAACTTACCACTGAGAGGGTTTGTTTTTGCTTGTAGTTCTTTGTTGACTCTCCGTTGCAGCCGGGTGGATATTTTGACTGTGTTGTCTTGAATCACGCTAAGAAGTCCATGTTCCCCAAATCTAATGAGACGTGGTTTTCTTTAAACCCTGACTGGTTGTATTTAAGGCATAACGCAGGAGGGAGACATGGATGCAGATGTGTTGGGCTGCTCTTTACACTTCCTGATACTCCAGGTAAATCATCCATAAAAATTCCTTATGCACATCTATGCAGGAATTAATGAAGACTTGCAGACAGGAGAGGATTGACTTGTATCTGTTTCAGTCTTTAGACTTCAGCATTGTTAAGACTGCTGCTTAACTTTTTCTCCTCTGAAGTAAAACATTCACTAGTTTGTTTTTCGGGAAATATCATCAAGCAAGAACTCACAGAACTCTCTTTTACACGGTCCAAAGTGCAGCAGTGATTATTCAGGAAGTCTGCTCAGATTTATGTCATAAAATTATAGATAAAACATGAAAATAAAAATATACAAAAATACAATTCAAAATACTTTAATGCTATGTATCGGTCATGAGCATATACGTCATGATATGCGAATATACTTAAAGCTTATTGTAAATAGAAGCTCTATCAGCATTTATTTATTCATATATGTATTTAAATCCGGTGTCCTCAACAACTGGATGTGGTCAGAGAACAGCTGCCATAAAAACGTTAAAACAGAGCAACAAGTTGTCCGTGTTGTTGGTGACGTACCCGACTGCTGCCGAACAGTTTCCTCAAACTGCTTTGGTCTGATCCACGTTTCTTACTCCATAGTTATATTTAATAGAAAACTGTAATGTTCCCACACAGGAGACCTTCACGACAGCTGATGCTCGTGACCACAAGTACGCAGGCAAACCAAGCAGCCATGGCATTATGAACACCTTGACAATCTATTGAGCCCCAATACAACAGCTCTACCTCAAATTCAAAGTTTCTAGAAGCTTCTATGTCTTCATTTTTGAAAAAAAGGACACAACCACCGCCCACAATGTTTTCATAGTAAATATCAGGTCCAACAACACGTCTCACCATGTCACCAAAAACATTCAGAAGCTTCCTCAAAGCAGAATCAGTGGTAGAGCTGTTGTATTGAATAGTATTAGATCACTCTGGTGTTCATATTGTTACAATTGGTCTGAGTTTATGAAGCGGTTCATTTTAAAAGCAACTCAGCTGTAAGTGTACTTACCCTCCTGATCTCCTCTTGCCCCCGCGGCCTGGCATGGCTCCTCCCATCCTCACTTGGCTGGCCCCGACTGCTCCCTGCATTGTGACTGTGCCTGGCAACTCGCTTCCCATCTCTGTTGAAGATACGACATAGACAGTATTTATACCGTTTTTAAAACTGCCTCTAAGCTGAAGGTCACGTTTTAAAATCCAGAGAGTGAAGGGATGTTCTGTCAGTCCTCTCCCAATCATGGGGGTTGGGGGTTTATGAAGTTCCACTTCCTGCATGCCAATGTGTGCTTGAGCAAGACACTTGACCCCACCCATCCCCACTGCTGCACCCAGTGTTGTGTGAATCAGGTGAGTCAAAAGCTGGCAAGCTCTTTAATGGTGTTAATATAGTAAAACATGGTTTCTGTGTTTTTCCATGATGAAGGTGATGATAATCTAAGGTACCATCATTTTGCACTCTCTCAGTTTGGATGTTTCTCACCTGATCAGCAAACAAGGAGTTAAACTATTTGAAGTGAGATGTTTGTCATTTCAGTGACTTTATAAAACCTGAAGAATATTATCATCAGGTTTTATAACCTGAAGAAGAGAAGATGACAAACCCCAGCAGGCGGTAAAGGACAGAGACGGGGTCTAGAACTCAGCTGACTTTTACAAACTCTGAACCATTTCATTGTTTTTCAACGTGAAGTGGTCTCAACCAGCCGCACAGCAGCTCCCGCTCTCTCTATCTCTCTCTCTCTCTATTTCCCCTCCTCAGTGCAGGCTGGGTGCAGGAGGTAACCATGGTAACGTGGCCACTCTGTCTGTCATTAAACTTGGTCCTGACCCCCTCCATTAACCAAATCAAGATTCAAGTACAAAGAAAAACAGAGTCAGGTTTTCACAAGTTCGTGTGAAATACAAGATCTTTTGTGGAAGATGATAGTTTTATTTCAATCTTTGATGACTCTCCGAAGACACACTGACATGATTTTAAAATTATTTACAAATCTCAGGCCTCCTAGTTAGGCTTTAGTTCCAGTTAAAGCAAGAACGTGGCTGCAATGGAGGCACTAAGCAGCTGCAAACTAATTACCCAGAATACATTTCAGAAACAGTGTTACTCTGACCTTTATAATGTTACTTGTTACATGAACACTAAGCCTTACTGTGGCAAACGCTTTCTCACAATGTTGATAGGTGATAGTCAGTAGAGTGACAAAGTGGCAAACAGCAGAGTTACTGCTGTGATTGAAAATACTCTTCATTCTGTTACACTGTTAGTGCTGCTGCCTGCAAGTCGCATTAACATTTCAACATTCAGGATTTTCTCACATCCTCATGTCAAAGTCACAAATTTCCTCAAAATACTGTGATATAAATCTGCACATAAAGCCTCAACAGCCATGCAGAGGTATTACAGCGACTTCTTCAGGTGATAGAGCTCTTCATGGGAGCCTGCCGGGTGGAAGGTAACTTACACGAGTCAGTACAACCCATAACACTAGCTATCAACTCCAGACCATTTGTGGAACCACAGGCCATCCCTGGTTCACATGCACAACCATTTCTTGAAAGGGAGCTGGTGCCACAATAACAGTTCAGTGGAAACAGGAGTTGATAGGTGATGATGACCAGGTGGCAGCAGAACACATGTCTACCAAAGCTGTCTTATTCCATGGGTGGAAGTAGGGCTGCACGATTTTGGCCAAAAAAAAAAAAATATATATATATATATATATTTTTTTTAATTTTTAAAAAAAATGTATATATTTTTTTTTTTTCTCTGAAAACTCTATTTCAGATTTTGATTTTTTATTTAGTGACAACTTCACCAAACTTCACTTTAAAAATAAAAAGTTTTTCTATCATCTCTCAAAATGAAACCACTGAGAAAGATGTCAAGCCAGTAAGTGGTGCTGAAACGCTACACAGAAAATGCACAAAAGACAGAAGAAGAGTATTGAGCGTGCGTATCAAGGTTGTTTCGGTTGGACACGCACAGGCGCCAAAAAAGAGTTACGCTGTGTGTAACATAACTGTTTCAAGAGAGATGCAGACAGGCATCCACGCGGAGATGAAATGGTAGTCGTTTATGGATTAATGCACTCTCGTACCCCTTTTAAAAAATGTACCGTTTACAGTCACCCGAAACACTGTTTCGGTGTGGATGAAACGCCGATACTACAAAAAAACATTTGCATTTACTCCAGAATTTGTTTCCGTGGACGGGTTGAACCGCCTTCAGACAGACCTTGCTGCAGGAAGTGATTTGATCTTTGTCCAAAACCAATTCCACACGACTGACTCGCTCTTGCCCTCTTTAGCCACGAAATTATCACCTGTTTTCACTGGTGTGTGTGGGAACTGGGGAGCTCTCTCACACAAAGGGGGAGCCTACGGTGGCCTGGAGGTGTGAGACACGATAGAGAGGAAAATCCATTTAGTGATTTAAATTTTTTTAACAACGTCATAATCAAATAATTGGATCACGATTTAAAATCGATTTATCGTACAGCCCTAGATGGAAGGTGCCTCTATCCCAGACCAGACTGGTATACTCATGCTTCCTAGTATGGAACCACTGCTGGATAATGTCAGTGGTTAAGTGGGTCAGTCTAACCTTTAACAATAGTCCACCAAGACAGTCCTGCTTTAGGCACATTGAAACCTGGTCAGGCATGCTAAAAGTCTGTGTGGCCCTGACTCACAATGCTGATAGTTAATGGAGTATTGAGTAATAGATTGTCAAGAACACCCATGAACGGACATTTTTACTTATTAACTACTGAGCAGAGAAAGTTTTGCAAGCCTGTTTCCACTCAACAGTCTGTTCACCACAGAATGAGATCATTTGTGTTTCTACTTTGGATGTAGTTATTTTCAGCCAAAAGTTATTAAAATGCTTAAATCACCAAACCAACCTGTTATTTCAGAAGTATTACTGGTCTCATCAACAGGGTCCTTAACACAGACACCAGCTGACACAAAGTTAGTAAAGCCCTGAACTTCTCATTTTTCTGTCGACCATGACTCACTCCACATGTTGGTCATGAGTCCCCTGCTCTCAGTTTTTCACGAGATGGACACACTGCTCATACCCGCAGCTCTGCAGTCCTGTGTGTTGTTGGAGCGTATGCCAAAATGAAAATCAAGCAGTTCTGTCGTGGAGCCAACATGCTTTCCTGTCTGAAGTGCCCAAGGCTACAGTTGGCCATGGAAAAGCAAACAGAACTGGGGTTTACTGTACTGAACTTACTGCAAACCAAGAAGATACAGGTGTTGTGTAGCACACAGAAGCAGAATCTCTCTTTAGGGATCAATACATCAGCCTCCATGACCAACATGATCATCCAGGCTAAGGTATTTTGATGGATCAGGACTCGACAGTCTAGTGGAAAGACAATGCATAGGCAGTGTTTCCCCTACATTCATTCAGCAGATAACGTGCGCCCCGACTGAAATTTCACATGATCATTAATAACAATGCGCCACTAATGATTTCTACTCGCACTGTGTGAGCACAACAACACATGACGTTATGTTCAACTTGTTTTGAGTCATTAACAAGTACATCAAATCCTGTCGGACCCTCTTCCATCAATGTGAAGGGTAACATTCAAGCTTTTCCACGGTCCACGGTAACGTAACATAACGTGAACATAACAGTGTAGCTCCTTGAGCGTAAAGAGAGTGGCGGTAACAACGAAAATTTCTAGGTGGAGACTGACTAGCCTGAGGAACAGGCTACAAGAAGATGCCTGTGAGCATCAATGCCCCCCGGAATATAAATTTTTCTCCCCCCTGGTTGTGATGTTGACTTGTAGTTACTATAAGACTGGTTTGTGCTCAAGTCCTCTTTTTCCTGTGCAGCTCCATTTTTAAGTTATTAGGGGGTTCATGTTTTCTATGATTGACACTTGATACAGCCTATGGGCGTACCAAGACTGCGTAGCTCTACCGGGGGGATACGCTTTTTGAGCCAAGCGTCATCACAGCGACTCCCCAGCCGAAAGCGTACAATGCTACTGTGCAAGTGGTGGTTCCAGGAAGTGGAAAAAGTCATGGAAATACCAAGAGCAATTTGGCTTCAAATTCATATAATGACGGAAGGCGGGGCCAAGTTGTCCATAGTAGCCTATATACAGTGTAAGGTTAGAACATATTAAGATTGTGATAAAAACAGGGAGAAGATGGCTGTCATGGATCAGGACAGACAGCTGGCAGCAGCAGAAGGCTTTCCATGTGATCAGATATATCAATTAATACAACGAGAGTGAATGATAAGTCCACCTCTCTACCACATTTCCTTTTTGTTTTCATTGCTACAGATCAAACAAAGTCATGGGCAGCCGAAGACAGATCCTCTGAGGCTGCTCTAAAACCTCAACAGCCAGATTTTACTTGCTAACAACCAGATCTGTTAGCAGGTAAAACTCTGAGGTGCAGTGGCACCAGGACTTAGCTTTGCTACGTCATGTAGGTGTGAAGGGAGCATTTATACTTCACTGTTGCAAAGCATTTGAACAGTTAAGCATCACAGTGTGCAAGAAACACCGAAGCCACATTATTTGTATTGGTTTTAAATCTCTGGAAGGTACTGACACAAACAGACTAACAGACCAACGGACTGGCTGCTTCAGTCAGCAGATCTCTCACTGTCACAGAATATTGATCATCTGCTCCATTTACAGTAATGTCACATTTCTAGCAAGAACATGTTGGCAGTTATTTTATCTTGTAACCTGGCTAGATTTCTGGCAGTGCGGATATAAAGTCTTGGGATGGCCATGATCTGATCCTCCTTCGGACAGCAGTTTACCAAAAGTCCAATCCACATACAGATGTCTCACACAGAAGTTAAACTGGAGTTACTACAGGCCACTTGATTACAGACACATGGGGTGATTTAGAGGACCTCACTAGAGCTGACTGACACACATTTATAAACACTAGGGGCCGATGCCGATACCGGTTATTAGGGGGGAAAGAAATCTGATTAGCGATTAATTGGCCGATTTTTTAAAATTTTTGAGTTATAAAAAATATATATATACAGTAGATATCTGCAAAATATTGTAGATAGGCTACTACTCTTCACACCAACAGGAAGACCGACTGATCAAATTCAGACCAGAAAACACTGATGGAACATTTCCGAAGTGAAACCAAATCTTATTCTCCACATTTTATTTCTGGAAATATTGGCGAAAATCATCGAGTTTTGGACGATTACTGATTAGTCTCAAACGGGCTAAAATTGGCAGATTTATCGGCTCGCTGATAAATCGGTCGGGCCCTAGTAAACACACACACACAGACATTTTTCCAGTATTTGTCAAGGATCTTCTGCCAATATCAACTCTTCTTTCATTCTCATGTCCTCATAATTCCTCATCTCTACCGCCCCTGACTTTACCTTCATCTCCTCACAATCTTCAGTTTCATTCTTATGCTGCTTTCTCAGCTCTTCAGTTGTCAATGAAGTTTTGTGCATTTTGTAGAAGAACAGTGTTTCCACTCATCCTCAGTGGAGTAATTCTGATTTTAAAAAATCTAAGTTAAAGAACAGCATTAGCACTGAAGCACCAGTTTTTCCACGTTTTTCTCTCCATCTTTGACACCTGACTTCCTCTTCCCCTCTTTAAGCAATTCTGCAGTCTGGACAAAGCTTTTCTATTTCACATCTTAATTCTTTTATACATTTCTTTTACATATTCAGCATGCAGCCTTCATGGCAGCCTGTATTTTGTCTTTCCTCCTCAACCTAACTGGAGAGAAGACATATTGCTGATGTTAACAATTCATTTGAGAAGTAATATCAGTGTTTGTGGTTATATCCTATGTTCATCTAAAGACGTTCATCTAAAAATACTTCTTAAGTTCGGATTCTGTCCATTAAAAGTGATATTAGTGTTGTTTGCCTCTCACATTAACCTCCAAGAGTAAGGGTTAGCTTAGAGATGTAACAGACATTTTCAAGAGTCTTTTAACCTTTATAGCACCAGTGCTTGATAATTACATATACACTGAGTGAATATATCTGTGTGCTGCTGGAGGCTTTGAAATTACCTAGCTGCTCTATCCGTGCTACCCTTAATCACTCATTTCACTTGTCGAGTTTCACAAGCTCACACAGCAAAAGGATCTGGGTGACAGCCAGCTGGAGATAATCCCGGGATGACACAGCATTCCAACATCCTTGGTATCTGGCCTGAGGTCATTACACCTGTACTGTCATGGCAAAGGGAACACCGAAGCAGATTACAGCTCAGCATGCTAACGCTGTCCTCCTCTGGCAATCGCAGTAACAACAGCATTAGGAGAGACTTAATTCTTCCTGGGTGTTATCCTCATAGAGCTGCACCATGTAGCACTCATTACACAGACCTTTGGATAATGATACTATAGGTTTGTCCTTAATGCTGCCTCCACACACAACATATGATGTTTATGTACAAAACAACAAAACAGCTGAATTACTTTCACCACAACCAAAGCTCGATCAAGCAGCAAATACTAGTGTTTTCATATATTTGAATAGCTACTTTTATTATCCTCTTCTGCAATTTTTTTTTTTTAGTTATTATTAGTAACTCGCAGGCTTATTTACATTTAGTGACTCATGGTTGCTAGAGCACATTTTGTACAAATGCTAAAATTTGAATCAGTCAATTGAGATGAGTAGTATGAGTAAATTGTCAAAGTATAGTTGACAATTTCAACTCAGTTAAACCTCAGTTTGTGTTTCAGGTTTGTTGAGAACAGTCTTTGGCTGGTTCATTAAAAAGGAAGAAGAAGAAGAAAAAAACAAGAACCAAATTTCCTTTAGCAAGTCAGCATTGGAAAATCAGACAACATCAGACCAGACTCTCTACATATACACTTTTATGGTTAGCAGGCACATTAGAATTTTTTTTCTGAATAATTCCCAATAAAGCGGGACTCAGGACTCCAAACATGTAAATACTGAACTGCACAATAGGCTCCCTGCTGTAGGATGGACCTGCCTGTAGAAACAGGGGCATGTCTGCTGAAAGTTCACTTTGCATCATAGAGCACACCGATGTTACATGAATCACCAAAACCTGGATTCAGCCAAACGTGGTCTGAATAATGTCAGCAGGGTGAGAGATGCTGCTCAAGTGGTCAACGGGGGCGGTACTGTACAATAATATCAGGGCGTACACACTGATATAAGCTAGTTTTCACGCTACGAGTATAATACACACCAGAACAGGGACACAGAGAGATGTGAACGATGCTTCCAGGAGCTTCTGTTCAATGTTAAAAAACCCTTCGAGGTGATATTACAGAGTAAAACTGTCCAAATCAATACACAAGCCTTTAGCATCAAAGAAAGAAAAGCAGTGAACACGTTAGCTAAGAGAGTTAGCTTCACGGAGAAGAGTCAATACACGAGAATTAGCCTACATCTGCATTTATACACAGTCTGTATGCTCGCTGTGTCGTTTTTAAGGCAGTGTTAGCTCGACAGGAGCGAAGAAAGGCTGTGTTATAACGGCGGTTCAGTGGGGGGAAGGGGATGGAGGCTTCAGCGGCCTGCTTCAGTTTCAGCCCTCTTCACTAACATCTTCATGAAACACAGCCCTGCTGCTTTTTTTTCTCTTTCCCACACATTCAAGTTTTCTCATAAACAACACACTGAGCAGCAGGTCCACCTACCGGACGGGTTGACCGCGGCGGGAGTTGCCATCTTTCCGTGGATGTGAAAATATAGTACCAAAACAGCAGCGATGGAGATTACGGACAACAAGGCTGGAGAGCCCCCGTGAGAGACCGTCTCAACTCCACAAGAATGGCACGCGAGGCAGCGTCCGAGCGTCTCACATCCGTCCGCACGGGATCACAAACACGAGTCCCAGATCACTGCGATGGAGATATGCAGCACATCAATGATGTGGTGTATGAAAAAAAATTTCCTCTACACCAGACTTCATCAAATGCAAGATGTCTGAATTGAAGCACCGCGAGATTTTGAGGCAGCCTGTTTGAATAGAGCAGGGTTACATGGCAGGATTGGTGCAGTGATGAAAATAGGTGGGCACATGACGGTTTAGATGTGGGCCCAATTAATAATGATGAAAGTGTGAGTGGACCTTCTATCAGAGAGGGTTTGTTCTATATGTAATTATTCCCACTTTCTCACTGGGTTGTTTTGTCCTGCCACCAGAAGCTGCCCAGTTGTGGACATTGGTGTCAGAGAGGGGGGCAGTGGTATTGACTAACTGAGGCCCTTAAGGGAAGGAGGGGGGTGGAATAGCTCGAAATATACATGTTTTCTTTGCTTTTTTCTGTCAAAGTTAGTACTATTATGGTAAAACCAAAACAGTCTCATTAATTAAGATAGCAAAATTATTAAAGTTAACTACTACTAGGCCTGCTGACTGTAATCACGTTTAAATCAATTTAACATAGTCCATAATTACTCATATCCTAACCCTGTAAACTGAATTCATTTTGTTTCACCATTACATGAGCTGTTGTTGTTGTTGTTGCTGTTGTTTTAATGTTGCTGCTCTCTCTCTCTCTCTCTCTCTGTATTCCTCCCCAACCCAGCAGTGGCATGGTGGCTGTCTCGCATGAGTCTGGTTCTGCTCAAGGTTTCTGCCTGTTAAAAGGAAGTTTTTTCTTGCCACTGTCACTCATGTTAGATGAGATGGGCCAAATCCGATCTTAGGTTGGGTCTTGATAATTCATCAAACAATGAGCGTGGTCTAGACCTGCTCTTGTTCTTTGGAAAGCGTCTTGGGATGATGAATGTTGTGAATTGGCACTATATAAATAAAATTTGATTGATTGAAATAAATGGACACTCAATATTTCCTCCTGGAAATAATGTAAAGTTTCTGCCTCCTCCTCAACACCTCAAAGACAAAGGAGATGGTCATGGACTTCCGTAGATCCAAACCCCCTCTTCAGCCAGTGAACACCTGTGGAGTGGACATCGAAGTGGTGACATTATATAAATACCTAGGTGTACATCTGGATAATAAGTTGGACTGGTCTAAGAATATAGACTTCATCTACAGAAAAGGGCAGAGCCGCCTCTTTTGGCTGAGAAGACTCCGATCAATAGACATCTGTGGTAAGATGCTGCAGATGCTTTATCAGTGTGGTGTCTACAGTGTTCTGTTCTATGCTGCAGTCTGCTGGGGAGGAAGCATCAAACACAAAAATGCAAGACGTCTTAACAAACTGGTGAAAAAGGCTGATTCTGTGGTTGGATTCAAGTTGGACTCAGTGGAGGATGTGGTGTAGAGATGTACACTGAGAAGGGTGGAGACTATTCTAAAGAACATGGATCACCCACTTCACAACACCTTAATGGACCAAAGGGCCAATTTGTCTCATCAAAGACAGCAAAACCAGGGATTTAAAATTGAAGAGAGGGAGGAAAACAGAGGAAAATAGATCTTTAAAAAATTCCTCTCAAGAGAAAGGTGAGCACAGCTCATATAGTTTAAGAATCGTTTAAGGTCACAGCCATTCATATTTAATACAGTCGGCTGAAATTCTATTATTGATGATCATTTTTGAGCTATGTTATATGTTGACTCAGCATCACAGGTACACTCTCATCTGACCTAATACACAGGAAAAAATACTGTATCATTTTGCGCCCCAGCTCATTCCCTCTTTGTCATACATCAGCTTATAGTGTATTTTTTTGTATCATATGATATAATACATGTAAATATTTTCATCCCTTACTCTTGCTGGAGTCTTTCTTCCTGGCTATGTACGTGTTGCTGCAACAACAGAATTTCCCCTCTGGGATCAACAAAGTATAATCCTATCTTTCTTCTCTTCATGCCATCAGTTTGAGCTTATGTTCACATGGTGCACATGGGACTTGATATAAAAGCTAAATATAATCTGTTCTCTCTGGGTCTTTGAAAACTATTTATACCCACTTAGTCAGTGAAACTTCCAGCATTTATCAAACTGGTTGCACTGCTATCTATATTTTTGATTCACACCAGTTGCTATACACAACAGAAGTGTTATCTTTAAGTGTAGTCTTAAAAATTCAAAGGTGTGCAAAAAATCAAAAAAACAAAGATTTTGAGATTGAGATTTTTAAAATGCTTCGCATCTTTTGAAAAAAAAAAAAACAATGATAAGATTTATTTGAGACATCAGTGGAGTAACTCAGTGCTATCAAGGAATAGGTGCAATCATCCCGAAGACCTCTGTTTGGTCAAAATAAAACACCAAATCAGCAGAGACAAAGCTGTCAAGATGTCATTCAACATTTCTATCTAAGGTTAATTGTCTCATATTCATTGATAAAGTAAAAAAAAAAAACAAATATACTGGATACGGGCGGATGACATTATGACAGTTAAGCCTGAAAAATACTTTTTTTTTTTTTAAAAAAAGGAACTCAAATTTCTAGATTGCGTTTAAGTGAAACTAATTTCATATTAATGTATGCAGTATTTTAAATTTTGGTGACATGGACGGTCTTACACATAAGTTATACATTGAGTTTAGTTTTCTGAACGCAGTCCTTTTGTCAAACATTTTAATTGTTATTTTACTCAAATTCAGTGTTGCACTCTGCAAAATCTTTACATTTCTTTATCATTTTTTACCATTCTCAGATAAAGTCACATAAAGCCCCCATTCTTTAATCTTTTCTGCAATCCAAAAAACATGGTCTGAAATGTCTTTATATTTCTGAGGTTTTAACTTTTTCTGTCAAATACTTTCAAAATGCAGGATATGTTTTTCTACTTACTTAGCCTTTCGTTGTAAAAATGTTCAACTTCACACCAAATTTTTTTTGCATGTTTAGTTTTTGTCATATAAATCAAAGACTATCAGGGCACAAACATCCAGACTTCCTACACCTGCTTCTCCTGCATGCAGCACTCAGCTGGAGAGCTATGTAGCTGTACAACAGCAGTGTTATTTGTAGTCAGTTCACTGGCTGCAGTGTCACTATAACTTGCTTCCCTTCCCTTACAAATAATAGTAATGACCTGGCCAGCATACCAGATTTTCTAAGAGCATGCTGGTGTTGTTAGTCTTTATCAGTGAAAGTGGTAAACTGCTGCTGGGGCAGGGAGAACCAGAGGGAACCCTTAAAGTTATTGGTGCTGGAAAAGTCTTGGATGAAGCGGAGCTGCTGGGGACAAAGATCAGGGATCAGACTGAGTAGATCTGCCTTAAGAGACGGTGGAATTGGGGCTGGGACAGGAATTATCAGCAGTTTTTTTTTTTTTTTTTTTTTTTTTTAAATTCTCTCCTGTATCTACACGCTGGAAGCTGTCTGGAGACTCGTTCCTTAACCCTAGAACACTATCGCTAAAATTTGTCACACCATCACTATCGCTGGGTGATTTTTACATGAAATAATATATCCAAGAAAAAGTACTTGCCATCAAAATATATCAAAATAGGACAATACATGACAAATTAAAGTACTTTCTTTTTAACTGTGCAATGTCCAAAGGGAGGAAAAAAAGTGCCATGAGGGGGGCATATTAAAATGCAAGAAAATAACTGAAAAAATTCCTAATATATACAGCACAGGCCAAAACTTTGGACACACCTTTTTTTTCAATGCATTATCTTTATTCTCATTACTATTTTAATTGTAGATTCTCAGTGAAGGCATCAAAACTATGAATGAACACATGTGGAATCACGTGCTTAAGAAAAAAGTGTGAAATAACTGGAATTTTAGATTCTTCAAAGTAGCCACCCTTTGCTTTTTTGATAGCGCTGCAAACTTTTGCTGTTCTCTCAATGAGCTTCATGAAGTAGTCACCTGAAGTGGTTTTTACTTCAAAGGTGTGCCTTGTCAGGGTTACCTTGTGCCTGACAGTCAGTCACTAAGTACTTCTGTCATCAAGAGCAAAGGGTGGCTACTTTAAAGAAACTAGAATATAAAACATGTTTTCAATTATTTCACACTTTTTTTATAAGTACAAAATTCCACATGTGTGTAAGCTTAGTTTCTTTTCCACCCATTCTTGGGGAATGTGAGTCTTCCCTGGGGAAGACTCAGGGTCCTTGGCACAATAACAGCTGCAGGAGAGAGAACCAAAATACAGGGCATATTTTGAGTGAGCAAAAATGACCATGTTTCTTATCACCATATAAATTCCCTTGAAAATCTCTACTTTGAGATAGTTATTCATAACCACTGTGTTAAATAAAGGTAGCATGCAAATTCCAGGACCACTCTTACTGACCTTAAACACGTGCCTGTAGGAAAAAGCAGGTTTTGGATCAGGGAAACAAATATGCCATCAAAGATATCAAAGGCAATGCTGAAGCTACCCGGGAATTTATTATACTCAGACAAACGCAACATAATGAAAATAACGTAAACATGTTTGGTGAAAATCACCCGGTGATAGTGTTATGGGGTTAATCCAGTGGTGGGGGTACTCTGTACTTCTGGATGTGAACCGCCTCTAAGAACCACCGAAGAAGAAGAAGAAGCGGTAGTGGACATACCGGAAGACGGGCTTGCCTCCGTTACAGTCTAATGGCCGCTCTTGGTCCCGTTATGCCGTGACAGGAACTCTCAGCGTCCGGCTTTAAGGCGTTTCAGGTCCGGGATAGCGATACCGGGGCTGGTCTGTGTGCGGTCCGTGTGGTGAATGTCTATAGTAGGGTTTTATTCTCCCTTTCTTCTTAACTTCCATGACCTCTGAGCTTACTGCCACCTGCCGTCTGGACCTTTATTGAAGTCGGTACTCGGACATGAACGGGGTCCAGCAGAATTTGTTTTCTCTTCAATAGCGCTTATTTAACCGGATCGGCCTGCGCTTCTGTCCCCACAGAGGAGGCCAGGATGAATGGATTTTCCCTCGGTGAACTGTGTTGGCTGTTTTGTTGTCCACCATGTCCCAGTCGCATCGCGGCCAAGCTAGCTTTCCTCCCCCCGGAGCCCACGTACTCGCTGCACACCGATGCTAACGGGGTGGCTAGCTTACACCTGACCGAGCGTGCTGACTGGCAGTACTCCCAGAGAGAGCTCGATGCTGTGGAGGTGATCAGCACCAGAAGCAGCCGGGGGAACCGGGTTGGATGCATGTTTGTACGCTGCGCCCCGAACAGTCGGTACACTCTGCTGTTCTCACATGGCAACGCCGTGGACCTGGGGCAGATGTGCAGTTTTTACATCGGCCTCGGCTCCAGGATCAACTGTAACGTGTTTTCCTACGATTACTCAGGATACGGAGTCAGCACCGGGAAGCCCTCCGAGAAGAACCTGTATGCGGACATCGAGGCGGCCTGGCAGGTGCTGAGGAACAAGTGAGTATGAGACACACGACCAAAGACCACTAAAAAAGAGTCCCCGTGGTCTTAAAGGTTAAATGTCGACTCACCGGAGCTCCTTAATGTCATTTTCTGTCATGATTTGACCAAAGTATTATTGAGAATGAATTTTAATATGAAATCCTCATTGCACTACCTGCTCTGTGTCAGTGGTTCTTAGGCCTGGGCGATTTGGCAAAAAAAAAAAAAAAAAAAAAGATCACGATATATTTCGTCATATCGTCCGATCTCGATTATTATCACGATTTTTTAACTGCCTGTTTTAAAGCATCTGTACTAAAAACTAAAGAAAACAGAGATTAGTTCAACATTTTATTAACATACAAAGTAAATAACAAAGCAAATTGAATAAGATACACTTAGAAAAATATAAAAAACATATTAACTCAGCAGTACAACAAATGTAGATAAATACTAGATAATACAGTGAATTAGTTTACAGTCCTGAGTGTTTTTAAGGTATGCCAGACCCAAAATAATCAAATCGCTCCCTCAGGGATAATGAAGACGCCTTAAAATGTAAACATTAGATGATGTAAATGTAGATGATACGATTAATCGCTGCCTAGGTCTGGTGACTCCACTGCTAGTTGTGGTTAAACTGCTAATGCTACTCGTGCCATCAGCAGTGACCGGCTGTACAGACTATGCTCACATTTTCACGCTTTCTGCATGATCATTGGGGAAGTACTTCTTCAGACCATTAAACAGATTTGTTGCGTAGCTGGTTTTTGAGAGCACCGATCGCCGACATACCTTGTGCATTGGATAAATTACTCGATGTCACTTTGGAGATACCCGAACCACCGCCACACAACCAACGTTGAATGACTTCTCAACAATAACATCTTCAGAGAATGACTTAAAGTCACGACTGATATCTATTTTGCTGCCCTCAGCTCCGCATTTAGCTCCATGTTCGGTCATTCTGTTTACTTCTCCTGTTTACTTCTCCGGCAACTTATAGCTTGACTCTGATCGGCTGTTGTGATGCACATTTCCTCTATGTTTGATCGAGTAAATATGCTCTCAGATGATCACCATAAATGTTGTCCTAGCTCACAGAGTTGATCAAGAGTTATTTTCTTGTTGCTATTTCAAAATTCACCCATTAATTCACTAATTATCACACAGATTAGCTCTGTTTTAAAGAGACTGGATCTGGACAGTCTAACAATCCCTTGATTTTCTTGGTGAGATAGAAAATCTCCTGGATGTCACCAGAAAAACAGAAAAAAGCATTAAGTCTTCTGCAAAACAGTATCGTGTCATATATAATGGCAGTTTGCATGTCAGACATGTATACAGACACTTAATTGGCTTGTTTGATCATTTCCCTAAAGTCATCCCTGAATGGCACATCTATACACGTGTAGAAACATGCTTCTTGACTGTAACTAGAGACCATACTGGACTAAATCTGAAAAACCACCATTAACCGAGCGTTTGAGTCTTCTGTCCCCCACGAGTGCTTCCTCACTTTCTTTGTAGTCATTCATACTGACTGTCTCACATGATGCATCACATTATTGCTGATATTTCCTGCACCAGCTGCTCCTGCTCACTGAGGTGTCTACATAGAATTCATATTAATGTCTGTACTTTCATGTCACAGTTGTGTGAGGTCAAGTCATTCAGATAGTGTTGAGGTTGGGTCATCAAGTGAGACAAAGAGTGGTGAGTGGAAATAAATCAGAGGGAAAGACACTCTTGAAGTGGTGCCAAAGCAGTGCACTTTAATTCATGTTATTGGCAAATGGTAAAAATAACAGCAGCACAGGTAATTGTTGGAATGCTGGACATTGGCCCCCATAATCGGCCAAGGCTGATAATCCTCAACCCTTAGTTGTGATAAAGGCTTCAGGCAGCTGCTGGAGTATTCTGAGCTACCTTATGTAATCCCTAGTTAGCAGACCATTGCAGAAACTGTGCTGTGGTGGACCTTCTGTATATTCATCATTTATCTGAGAGAACAAGCAGCTGCAGTCAGTTAGGTGGATGTCTCTGCTCTCAACACTTTCTCCACCTGTCAGAGGATGGCGCACTAAGCTGTAAAACGCCCACAACGATAATGTGATCACATTTGAAGGCAAGCTTCAAAACTCAAACGTTTACTGATTGTTGTAATAACAGTCATAATAATCTTATGATTATTATTAAGTCTTTTTAAGCATCATTATTATTATTATTATTATCAACAATTGCAATGATGATAATAACAATAATACTAATTGTTATCATTAACAACATCAGTAATGATAAAGATTTTAATGATAATGCATTTTATTTGTACTGTGCTTTACATCTAATAATAATAATTGTTATTGTCGTAGGGGTGTTATGATTCATCCACAACATCAATGTATTGATTTTTTTTCGTTAATCCAACTACATAGATCTGCGCTCGGCAAGTTGGCCTTTTAGACGACATATATCAATCCTACATTGTTTGAAATGTAATGAATTGTTTGCATTGACACTAGGAAATAATTTTTGTCGAAAAAGTTACTGACTAGATTTTAAGTTACTGAATCATTTCCAATTGTATTTTTCTAAATAAACCAATATCATCCTTGAATCGAATCTGCAGCCATGAATCATGATACAAATCGAATCGCTGTTAAAATGAATCGTTACACCCCTATAATATTGTTATTATTTATATAACAATAACAAATATTATCATTAGATCAGATTCTTTGAATTGCTTTACGGTGCTGCTTTAAAGTTGAAAGACTGTGTAAATTCTGCCTTTGCTGTTTTTCACTACAATAAAATACTGCTATTGTAGTAAGTTCTCTATAGGCCATGATCATTGTCTTAAAATTATAGGATATGTCTGATATGTATCTTGTTGTGAGGCCATGGGAAATTGCTAGCCCCATCTCCTGCCAAAGTTAATGTTGTGAGATAGCCTCAGTCTCCTCGACATGAGTTTGTTTCATCGTTGTATTTCTCTATTTTTTTTAATAAAGGGTGCTGTCTTGTCCATGTTATTTACAGGTATGGTGTGACACCTGAGAACATCATCCTGTATGGTCAGAGCATCGGCACGGTTCCAACCATCGACCTGGCATCTCGCTATGAATGCGCTGCTGTCATTCTCCACTCACCACTCATGTCAGGGCTACGGGTGGCCTTCCCTAGTACAAGGAAGACTTACTGCTTTGATGCTTTTCCAAGGTAGGTGTCACACCTACAGAGACAGGCTAAATGTAAGGTGCACACCATCGAAAATATATAAAATACATTCAAAACAAATGCAGAGTGGGTAAGTCTGTAAGTGCATTCACTTATTGAGAAACAGGGAGATGTGGTTATGGGAGGTCCAGGGTCATGCTTTCCAAGTTATCACAGCCATGTGCATAACTTGGTACAAATATAAATACAGAGATTGGAAAAAAAAAACATAGCAGCAGCCACCGGAGAAAATCATGTTAAAGATTTTCAATCTGAAGAAAGGTGGAAATTGTTTTCTGTTTCAATCTTGAACTACATCTCCACATGCATGAAAGACATTAAAGATCTCCTCACTATGCCCTGTGAAAATCATATCTCAATCTTTTCGTTCTGCATGTCAAGATGTGAAGACAGTTCATGCATTCAAGCTTGTGGATTTCCAACTACTGTATCAGGATCTGTATGTCTGTTAGTAAGTAAACAGTGTTTCCCACAGGGGGGGGAATGTACAGTGGATATAAAAAGTCTACACACCCCTGTTCAACTGCCAGGTTTTTGTCATGTAAAAAAATTAAATCAAGATACATAAATTCACAACTTCTTCCACCTTTAATGTGACCTATAACCTGTACAACACAATTGAAAAACAAACAGAAATCTTTCAGGGAGGTGAAGCAAAAATAAACAACTGAGATCATGTGGTTGCATAAGTGTTCACACCCTTTAATAACTGGGGATGTGGCTGTGTTCAGTTTTAACCAATAACATTCAAACTCAGGTTAATTTGGAGCACACACCTGTCACCAATTAAAGTGCCTCTGATTAACCCCAAATTAAGTTCAGCTGTTCGAGTAGCTTTTCCTGACATTTTGTAGCCACATCTTCCAGCACAAGCCATGGTCTGCAGAGAGCTTCCAAAGCAACAGAGGGATCTCATTATTCAAAGATATCAGTCAGGTGAGGGCTACAAAATAATTTCCAAGGAATTAAATATAACGTGGAACACAGTAAAGCCCGTCAACATCAAGTGGAGAAAATATGGCACAACGGTGATATTACCAAAAACAGGGTGTACGTCCAAATTTGATGATAAGACAAGAAGAAAACTGGGGCCTGTTCTACGAAGCAGGATTACTGCTTAGCGAGATAACTTCGAGGGTAAGTTCGGGATTTCCTGTTCTACGACGTGGGTTCACTTCTTAGCGAGGCGAGTCTCCATAGCAATATATGCTGAACGGCTAACCTGCTCCGGGGCAGGTTAAGTTCCAGATTGAACTCAAAGAGTATAAAAACCCCGCCCACTGACCAATGAGCTCTCTCGAAAAACGGCTTGTCCGTTCTTGGAGGATCCTGTAGACCTCGGTGCTCGCATTGTCCGAGGAGCACTCCGGCTCGCGAGAGTTTACAGGGAGAGTTTTCTCCATATGACCACCTTTATGAAAGGCTCATATGGCCGACATATTACACAAAACATGTAAACACGATAGGAATGAACAAATGAATCATCCATCTTGGGAATGAATGGGCATGAGCTGCAGGAGCTGCGCGATCAACATCTCGGTACTATTTAGTAGCAGCGCACGCCCCTTATAATAACCCCGTAAATACTGTTGTTCAGGACTGCTTACTTGTGCTTCCTACCCACTGTAACAACCGTTGTTCTTGCCCACATGCAACATTTTTGTTCTCATTCATGAAACGCTTAAATCAGGGACATTTTCGGGGACAGCTTTAGCCAGGGACAGATCATCCAATTCGGGGACTGTCACTTTAGTTAAAAGCACATGTTGAACAGTGCTATTTCAGGGTGATAATGGCATCAAAGATTACTTTTCTGCCAGCCTTCCCTCCATGCTTTTGCAGCGGCGACGGTGTTGCTTTTGAGGTTTGTGATAGCTTTCAATTCTTCATACTTTCTCATGATCGTCTCCTGTTACTCGTTTGTTAAGTCCTCGGTCCTTCACTCTCCAGCCTGCTCTGACGCTCCAGACTGGTCCATGTTCGTGATTGGTCAGATGCGGCGGGCTCTGCCTTATATGTGTACACGCGCTCATTGCAGAGCTGGATCCACTTATGAGGTTGATAACCAGCGTCGTAAAACCGCTTAGTGAGACCACTGGCTACCGCGCTAAGTTGAGCGAGGTAGCTCCAAGGCTACCTCGCTAGGTTGAACCTGCTTCGTAGAACAGGCCCCTGGTCAGGGAGGCTACCAAGAGGCCGACAGCAACACTGAAGGAGCTGCAGGAATTTCTGGCAAAACCTGGCTGTGTAGTACATGTGACAACAATCTCCCGCTGTCTTCATATGTCTGGGCTATGGGGTAGGGTGGCAAGATGGAAGCCTTATCTTACAAAGAAAAACATCAAAGCCCGGCTAAATTTTGCAAAAAGACATCTGAAATCTCTCAAACGCATGTGAGAAAATGTGTTATGGTCTGATGAAACCAAAGTTGAACTTTTTGGGCATCATTGCAAAAGGTATATTTGGCGCAAAATCGACACTGCTCATCACCAAAAGAACACCATACCCACAGTAAAGCATGGTCGTGGCAGCATCGTGCTTTGGGGCTGTTTTTCTTAAGCTGGAGCTGGTGCCTTAGTCAGGGTGGAGGGAATTATGAACAGTTCTAAATAACAGTCAGTGTTGACACAAAACCTTCGGCCTTCTGCTAGAAAGCTGAAGATGAAGAGGAACTTCATCTTTCAGCGCGACAATGACCCAAAGCACACATCTAAATCAACAAAAGAATGGCTTCACTGGAATAAGATTGAGACTTTGGAATGGCCCAGCCAGAGTCCAGCTATGTGATCACTGAAGACAACTCGCTGATATTCACTGCACGCCCCGCGGTGCACCTGTGTGCGCTACATATACTGATACATACTGAGTGGGAGGTAGCGCCACGAAAAAAACCCCTTATTTTTAAGGTGTGCCGGCTTTTATTTTGCAGCGGCAGTGCACTAGGATCTATTGCATGTAGGGGGAAACCCTGAAACAAGCACAACTTTGATCTGTTGTTTTTTTCCCTCCTATCTGCCAATTCTTTGTTGTACAGCTACATATTCACTATTTTAAGTCTCACCTAATCCTGTAGTTGTCTCTGTACAGCAGAGCGCTAAATGTCTGCTAACAGTTATATCTTTCTGCTCATATTCACATTTTACACAGCCGAATACATTCTGACTTTATTTCTCTTGTCTCTTTTACTTCCATAGTATAGATAAGGTGTCCAAGGTTGCATCCCCAGTGCTGGTGATCCATGGAACAGAAGATGAGGTGATAGACTTCTCCCATGGTCTCGCAATGTATGAGCGCTGCCCCCGTGCTGTCGAGCCCCTGTGGGTGGAGGGAGCGGGCCACAATGACATTGAACTTTACGCCCAGTACCTGGAGAGACTCAAGCAGTTCATCTCCTTTGAGCTTCCTACCTCTTGAGGGGAGCACAGCACTGAAGGTCGGAGTTCATCATAACAATCTTTTGAAGCCATCTCTCGATTATCATCCAAGTTCTGCTCTGAGCATGGGGACGTGACTTGAGTGAACTCGTCATTTTGGTCATTTTGTTTCCTTCGGGGTATTTGAAGGTGTAATGCAGACTAACAGAGATGATTTAAGATTGTTGAGGTGCAGCTGAGGGTAACAGCTTACTATGAAGTGTCCCCATAACCTGGCTGGTTCTCTGAAATGTGTGTACAGAACCTCATCTTGAGGAGTGTTTGCACTCTCTATACAACCCGCAGCTTAAACTCTGTCTCTATCCCCGGTTCTCTGTCAGCATCCATCACTGTGAGCCTCAGCTCGTAACCCTGACTTATTCTTCTCCCTGTTGTAATAACGCGGCCTCATTTTCTTTTTGACTCTTTGCAGCATTTCAAACTTGCTAATTTTTCATGTTTTTTATCAGCTCGAAGTATCAATTTTGCTATTCAAGATGCAAATGAAGTTTTTTACTTTTTTCTGTAATTGTAAGTTACCTTGTAGGGTTGATGAAACAATTGCACTTTGATTGTGCAGAAATTTTCAGGTATTTATTTGGATATGTATGAGTTTATTTCTTTTGTTATCATTCCATATTTTTTATGCAGGGCAGTGCTATCTTTGTTGTCCTGATGCCTGTTTCTCTCTCTCTCTCTTACAGTCATCTGAAAATGTGAAAAAATACCAGAGACAAGAAAACTATAAGGGGAAATGGACTTGATTATATTGTAGTCAGAACTTAGATATTACCTCCGGTACTCACCTCAAACAAATGCTTGCATTTAAAACTGGACTGGCAACAATCTTATGATTGAAACTCACAGATGAAGAGCAAAGTTGTCCTGAAGGTGCAAACTGACTGTATTTTGACTTGTTGATAATCGATATATGAATGTAATGATAGTATAGGACTAACAGGATGTATACAATCACTGAGCAGTAAGACTGGGTCAAACAGACCAAAAGCCAAATCCTTGTGAGTAAGTCTGCTCATGTCAGTCATTTCTGAAAACCATGCTGGAGGCCATAAGCTCTCTCTCTCTAAGACAGAATGTCTGAAAAAGATGCTGCTGACAAACAACCCTGCATCAAAGTTGTCTCTAAAGTGACAAAAACATGGACTGGAGCTTACACAATCCATCTCCACCATCAGGGAGTGAAGTTCTTCATCACTACCATCCTTTTGATATTACAGAGGCTGTGTGAGATACATGTAGATCTAGATTACATCTGATGTTTGTCAAAACAGTGAGGGAACATGTTGGCATGGTAACCCTCAAAGATAAAGTGAGACAAAGTGTTTCTGTTGAAACGGTCGCACTGGAGAAATGATCTTCTTTGCCACATTATTTTCATCATGAACATGATAAGTTTACCTACAGCTCGAGCAGAAACACCCTAACCTTGGAGAGCTGTATAAAAACTGACATCTCAGCAGCAGCCCCGACCTCACTGAGGAGGAACACTACTGAAATAGCACTACAGGCAGTTACAGCCACCCCACCCATTAGCTGGAGTGTAAGCTAACCTAATGAGCATGGACCACATGGAAGTGCCCTCTGCAGCTGAGATGAGTGCAGATCAAATCTATAAGAGAGGAAAGCTCTTGGGTCATAGTATCCCTTATTTGAAAATCATGTAATTTGATGAATCACAGAATCAATATAAACTGCTCTGGTTGATCCAAAATCTTGCGCTCTGATCGCAGCAATCATTCTGTGCAAGTCTGGCCCATGCACTTGAGTTCTGTGTCAGTATCGTGTCTGTAAATTGTGCCATATGAGGGGAAACATTTGCCACAGAGCAACCCAAGAAAACCCTGAGTATCTGGGTGAAAGAGAGAGAAGCAGGTATCGGGACTTTGTTTACTGTCGATCATGTGGTTTTAAGACTTGACTGCTGTTTGCTGTTTTTCTACAGCCACAGACTGGACTCTGTGCCGTAAACTCAAGCCAGGGACCTTGGTTCTAAAACTCAAGGTGGATGTACTGTTGCTTGGTTAGCGTATTAATTTATCAATCATATCTACAGACGAAGCCTTATGTTTACAGACATTTCATGCAGTCCTGCGAACCACAGCAGGGCCTTTGTGTTCTCAGGAGGACTAATAACTGCTGCTATTCTTTGGAGGTATCAATCGATCACTGTGAAAGCCAGATAGCATGGGGGACTAAAATGACAGGAAGTTACTTCAACCAAATTTACCCTGACCACTGTCATGCCTTTTATCAGCCATGCATTTCTGCCTACAGTAGGAGGGAAACCAGCCAGGGAGGCCCAGCTCTAACAAGAAGTGTTGTCTGCCCACAACTCCAACTCAGAGGTATTTCAAGAACCACGAAGAAGAAATATGAATGCATGCCTATTAACTGTAATCTCTGAAAACACTAAGTTGACTGAAGTGTATTTATAAAATAACTGACAAAGCAAAACTGAAGTTTTACAGTCTCATTAAAGTGCAAACAATTGTAAGACAGTTGCCCAGCGGTCGTTGCTTCAAGTGCTAACAGGAGAGGATGTAATGTTCAATCAGTGTACTGCTGTGAATTGATTTGTCATTTGGGTTTTGATGTTTTCTGATTCTAGATCATGTCTTTTGGATAACAAGCCCATAACTATTTCCATGTCATTTCCTCTTGCTCCTGTTTTTGAGAGGAAATGAGGACCCGTCTTTAGTCTTGATTATTGTTTTGATACTGAAATTTGTACACAGTTTTCAAGTCTAATTGTTGATAGATTTACACTGTCTCTGGAGCTGGTTTATATGATAATCCTTTGTAATGGTATAATTCAGCAGCTAATGTATACATAGAAGCTCATACAGTGGGCGGTTTAGTCTCATTGATTTAAACACTGGAATCATGATCAATTGAAGGAAGCTTGTAGAGTCTGACAAACTGATGTATGGTAAGGGACTGATGAGCCTTAAACACCAAACTATGAAACTGATGATTCTGGTGTTCTTGAAGAAGAAGCTTCATGGATGTTTTAATGCTGTCATGATGGAATAAAGGATGCATGAAAATAAGTCTGTGACCTTATTGTCTCCTGTGTTAAAGACAGAAAAGTCTGGATTATCATCTGTACTTCTGTTGAACAGATCTACGAGAGCTTCCTTACAGATCTTCCACTAAGGTTTAAAAACCACTGAATGAAGTGAAAGAGAAGGTTTCAGATGTTGAATTGTCCTCCTTAGTTTCATCTGAAGAATCTGTGTTTTTTATCTGAAAGCTATGATGCTAATGCAGTGATATGTGATAGAGGGGTTGATGTACTGTGTGATGCTGTGAGTCAGTCAAAGGCACAAAGGAGCAGATTAGGTAACGTAGATAATCTAAGCACTGCTGGTATTCAGTACACTGATACTACTACTGTGCATTAAACAAGACAAGAATACTAAAGGGGAATGATCTAAACCCATTATTTATCTAATCCACAACTGAACCCAAACTGCAAGATGACCAGGAATAGGTCGACTTCTTCACTCCTGCTGTAGTGTTTGTGTCTGGAGAACCAGGACTTAGTTTCATGTTCACTTACCTGCATATTTTAATTTGCTATTGTGTGAATCTGAGGAACTTTATTCATTTTTAGAGACCGACTTTGTGTCTGCTGACTGATGTTCTCTGAGGGATGAGGAAACAAAGATGGAGGCCGTGCGCTTCAGAATAAAAGCCTTTGAGCCTGAGCATCAGTCTGTTTGCCATGTTGGATAACTCTCTGTCCAACCATTCAAGGATTAAGAAGATCTTGGCATAGCTAGAGGGACAACACTAAGCTTCAGCTGTAACCACATTATTTCACTTGAATATCCAAGGTGACTGATTAATTAATATGTCTTTTTAGCAGGCTGGTGTTGATCTCCCACACTAGCTCCAACAGAGGCCTGACATCTTTTGGATATCCCTCCAACTCAAACTCCCACAGCTTCACTCGCAGTGTCTTCTTGCTGTCGTCCACCATCAGGTTGGCCATGGCTTCAGCAGTCAGCTCTGCAGCAAGCTGGTTGTTCTGCTGAATTTTCAAGAGTTCAGCCTTGAGAGCCACCTTGGCTTTATAGGCCTGAACGTTCCAGCAGATCTGCTTGGCCTCTTTGTAAATAGGTGACTAAAACATCACCTTGATTAGCTTGTAGATTCCTTTACTGCCTTTGATAAATGCCATCGTGATCAGATTCTTGATGTATCAGAAGATAACTTCAAGATTGATCGTTTGCACACTGATAAAACTCTGTCTCCTTTGCAGTCTGAACTATCTCTAGTATAAAGTGTCTTATATATGTTTGCACATCAATGGACGGACTGAAGAGTGTCAAACAAGATTGTGAGTCATAGTAAACAGTCTATAAACAGTGGGTCAGAAGGATCAAGAACACAGACTGGTTCTGTTATCGCCATGGTGACACAACACAAAACTACACACACACACATAAAAAAACAAAGCCCTCAAGGTGCTGAAAAGTAAAAATAATGTCCCATGAAAATGGATAGGAGCATAAAATAAGGAGGAGATGAGTGTGCATGGACTTAGATCAAGTTCACTCTAGCCAAAGAAAAGGAGTTGTTTCAGAAAGAATAACAGTCTATTGACTTCATTTGGTCTCAGAGAGGACACTCAGTATGTAACCCTTCATTTTCATTTAAAAAGAAAAAGGTCTGCTACCTCTTTCTTCTAGATGATTGTCATTTTCTGGTCAGATTAGAGGTCATATTCACATGGTGAACTGATAATATTTTCAACTTGGCAGAATGGCTAAGTCTGATTACAAAAAGGGAGGAGCAAATCATGAACTTATCAAGTCTGAGTTTAAGTTAAAGGTCTAATGCAGGCTTCATGTCTGACAGAGGTGAACATTTCAACAGTCTGAAACAAATCAAAATCATTTAAACTTGATTTTTTGATCAAACCGTTTATAATTGTTCAAAAGCATTTCAGCATGTGGTTATTATTTTGAAGTAAAGTGAGACTCTCAATATTATTTCCAAATTGAGTGAACAGCAGCAGCAGATCCACAGTCTGATGTTGGGCATACCTGATTGCACTAGTCTATTCCCAAATCTTGAAGAAAATCCCTCCCTCTTTGAAGAATTACCCTTTCTTTTTTTTAAATCTTGCATATGGCGGAAGTTTGTTCCACATCTCACTTATCATATCTGAGCCAGTTCCATATTAATGATATGGAGCCTCATTTAGCAGTGAGCTGCTCAGAGACGTCTTCTCCACCACCTTCGGCCATGTTTGTTTGTTATTTTACTCTGTGTTGGCTACGGCTGCGAGTCTGTCACCCACGCTTACGTCATCAACTTGCATATGTCGCATTTATTATGAGATGGCAAATATTTATTGTGGAGGATTTTTCTGCTGATCAAATCTGATTGTTCTGATTGATAATTTATCACCCATCTCTACCTGGAATACAGAAACCTGATCCAGCTGCAGGACTCACATCTGGGACCTGTAACACCTGTGAGTGAGCACATCATGGACCGGTAACATGAGATCCAGCAGAAACAGACACAATAAAGAAAAACAGGCGAGGTGATTTCAGTGACTCAGTTTGATGAGTTTTATTTTTTTCACCCACAATCAGAGACTTCACCACAATCTGAGCTGAGTCAGAAACACAAAAACAGTCGGACTAATGAATGTGATTATTATTAGAGTGATTGAAAAGCTCATAACAACATGTTGATCTGACAAAAGTCTCATTATAGATGTCTTTACAAACACACTGATCCAACAGAAGCAGACAGAAATATCCATCCATGACATGAATACAAATATTCAGCAAACAGAGAAAGCACAGATCATTTGAAGTGTTTTTGGGGACGACTGGAAAGATTTTAGAGACGCTTTGATTTGGGACAGGAAATAAGGTTGTGCTTTTTCATCTTTCTGTTATTTTGACGTCACTTTTTCCTCAGACCTTCAAAATCTGCACCAGCTGAAGGTGATTTGAACAAATGATCATCTTGATGTTGTTAAACTTTAGTGAAGAGATTTTTCAAAATGAGAAATACAAACAATCAAAGTTATCCACAAACACTGTCCTTAAAGCTGCGACCAAATCAGCCTCTTTAGAAAAGAATGAAAAAGCTGAAAAGAAGAACTAAACTGAGAGTTTTTGTTGAGACTGATCCACAAACATTTACAAACCAGAACATTTCAAGAGTTCAGTGATCTCATTACATGTTTTTGTTCTGATGGACTCAAAATTCTGTTTATTTCAGTTTAATAAACTCAGCAGAGTCTCCATATATGTAGCCCAACCACAGTCCAGCATGTAGCGGCTGAGTGAATGTGGTCTGGACGCTGTGGAGGAGAGTCATGGTTTCAGAGACGCTGTAGAAGGACAGAATACCTGCTCTGTGATCCAGGTACACTCCTACTCTGGAGGACGGAGGACCTGAGACACGAGTGCGGACTTTGTTGTGCATAAATTCATAACTGCCTTCATAACACTCTAACCTCCAAGATTTGTCATTGTATCCAAATAAACAATCATCTGAGTGTCCATCTCTCCTGATAGTCTTGTATGCAACTGCTACAAAAACCCTGTCCCCTCTCCAGTCCACCTCCCAGTAACAACGTCCAGTCAGACTCTCTCTACTCAGGACCTGTTCATAATAAGAAGTGAATCTGTCTGGGTGATCAGGATAAGACTGTGGATGTTTTGTAAATGTTGCTCTTCTGTTTCCATCAGATAATAACAGATGTCTGTTTGCTGTGTTTAGATCCAGTGTGATTCTTTGTGAAAATCTTAAGAAACCAGCTCTGGTCTTGGGTTCTGGTTCTGGTTCTGGTTCTGACAGTAAAACATCCACTTCAGTCACTGCCTGTGAGACGTTTGTCCACGTCTCTGTCAGAAGATCCTGGAGTTTCTCTCTGAGCTCTGACACAGCTGCTGTCACCTCCTCAAAGTATCTCAGAGGACGGATGTTGATTCTGGATGAGTCTGCAGGTTGATCCGGTCCTGACAGTGAGGGGTAGCTGTGCAGAAACTGGTTGTGGTCCTCTGTGAGTGAGAGCTTCAGCAGATCAGCGTCTTTCCTCTTCAGCTCAGTGATCTCCTGCTCCAGTTTCTCCTGAAGCTCTTTGACTCGACTCACTTCACGTTCCTGCTGAGATCTGACCTGCTGCTTCACGTCAGAGCGGCGTTTCTCCATGAGACGGATCAGCTGGCTGAAGATCTTCTGGCTGTGCTCCACAGCTTTATCAGCAGAGCCGTTGATAGCTTCCACCTCCTGTTGGAGCAGCTTCACATCTTCTTCTCTGTCCTGGATTCTCTGCTGGATGTTTTCTCGACTCTCCTCCAGATCTTTCTGCCTCTCAGCTCTCTCTGCTGCAGCTGAGACTGTGTCGTGGCCTTTGTGTTGGTCCACAGGGCAGAGATAACAGATAGACTGTTGATCGGTGCGGCAGAACATCTTCATCACCTCATCATGACGAGAGCAGATGTTCTCCTGGAGCTTCTTGGAGGGCTCCACCAGCTTGTGTTTCTTTAATGGAGCGACTTCAAAATGAGGCTGGAGGTGAATCTGGCAGTAAGAAACCAGACACTGCAGACAGGACTTGACAGCTTTTAGTTTTCTCCCACTGCAGAAATCACAGGCCACATCTTCAGGTCCAGCATCAGAGGGATCATCAGGAGCAGCTTGGAGTCCACTCTTCTTCAGTTCCTCCACTAAACCTGCTAACATGGTGTTTTTCTTCAGGACAGGCCTCGGTATGAAGGTCTCTCTGCACTGAGGACAGCTGTAGATCTTCTTCTCATCCTCAGTGTCCCAGTAGGATTTAATACAGCTCATGCAGAAGCTGTGTCCACAGGAAACAGTCACCGGATCCTTCAGTAGATCCAAACAGATGGAACAAGAGAGAGACTCACGGTCCAGCTGAACTCCTTTCTGCGCCATTTCAACACTCGCTGTCGACAACTGACTGAGTTTTATTTCCTCAGAAGTGAAACTAGTCTGAGCTCTGATCTCAACAGCATGTGTGTGTCAGCAGGATCAGTTCCTTTAGACTGTAGATCTGAAGAGGAGGGAACAAGGAAGTGAGTGTGCAGAGTGGAGTGTGCTGTGTGAGAGACGAGGGAGGGGGAATCCAGTTTTCCTACAATCCAGGAAGAGGAGCGGCGATGTGAACTTTAGACTCTCAAACTTGAACAAACTGAAGTTATTAAAGCTGCAGCAGTCCTGAAGATCAACTGCAACAACATTTGACTAAATGCATCAACATTTATTCACCTAAAATAAACCTCACAGATCACAGAAAGACTTCTACTGTTTTATCCTGATATCCACACATATTTAAATATACACCACATATAAACATGATATGTGATACTCACAGTGAACAGGTGAGCAGGGAAAGAGGGCTGGATCTGAGTGGCAGACAGGTGGAGTGGTGGATGAGGAAACTGATGCATTGATGGATGTAGAGATGGGGTCTACTTGAAATCCACAGCATCAGGCGACATGTAGAGGAAGACTCAGAGCTGAAACTGCAGCAGAGGAGATGGAGGAGGAGTTTTCTTTTGGTGCTCCTCGATCTGAAAAGAAAACCAGGAACAGTGAAAAGAGTTGACAAGATCAGAGCTTTAACTTTGTTATAGTTTTAATAATCAAATAAAGAGTTTGAAAGACAGTCTTATTGTTCCTGCTGGTTTTACTGATCAGTCTTTGGCACTTGGTGATGTTTTTATCAGAAGTGCATTTTGGCTTTTGAACACTTCTTTTCTGCATGATTGTCAATTTTTTAATAGTTTTGGGTTTTTATGGACAAATTTTAGATCCACATATCAAGACTGTAAACCCTTAAGACAGTGGTGGGATTGTGGGAAGACAGAAATCCAAAACTTCTGTCAACAGTACTCTCTATGTCACACGGGACATAACCAGATCTGTGGAGGCTTTAGAGATCCATATAGTGGAGCTCCAGTCTTCGGTTGACTCCACAGGAAATTAAGGACAAATTAAAGTCCTCACAGCTAAAAAGAAGGCCAGAGACATCAGGAGACGTGCTGTGGAGTTTCACTCTGAGATGTATTTCAGTGAGTATTCAGAACACAAAGCACCTTTACCTCTGGAAAGTTCTGGAAAGTTCTGGCCTCAACACGGGTTTCACTGCTATGATCCAGGTTCTGTACCAAGACACTGAGAGTGTACTAAAAATCAATGGGGGTCTGAGTGCACCTTTTAAAGTCCAGAGAGGACTAAGGCAGGGTTGTTATATTTCATCTCTATTGAACCCATGTTGTGTAAAATAGGGTCGTCCATTAAAGGGTTAATTTACCTCACTGTCCAAAGAGTTTGACTGTCTCAGCATAGGCAGATGATCTTGTTTTAATGATTAAACATCAGAGAGAAACATCTTTAGCAGAAAAAACTGCTCATGATTTTGGTGCCATCAGTACCTCGGAGTGTTTTTAGATGATGATGGACTAACTGAACAGAAAAACTGAGACGAGGTGGTGGAGAAAGTGAAGGGGAGGCTGGAGAAGTGGAGATCATGTGTAAATACCTGTCTGAAACAGGGATATGTGACACATTTTTTTACTTCTACCTCTCAATAACAACACATTATCATCTTCACCTCCAGTCCTTATGTTACAACATTGAAAAGGAGAAACATAAATCATATGTGAATCACTTTACACAAGTCTTTAAACGTCTTACAATGTTATGTTATGTTATATTCATTCATCTTCTTAACCACTTATCCCTTTCGGGGTCACAGGGTGGGCTGAAGGCTTTCCCAGCTGTCATCGGACCAGAGGCAGGGTACACCCTGAATCAGTCTCTAGTCAATTGCAGGGCCTCATAGAGAGAGACAGACGATCATTCACACTCACATTCATACCAAAGGACAGTTTAGAGTCACCGATTAACCTTATGAGCGTGTTTTTTCGGTCTGTGGGAGAAAGCCAGAGTGCCAGGAGAGAACCCACACATGCACAGGAGGAACATGCAAACTTCACACTGAAAGGCCCGGGGATCGAACCAGTGACCTTCTTGCTGTGAGGCACGTGCACTACCTGCTGTGACACTGTGCCGCCTATTATATAATATATTTTTCATATTTCTCCTAAATGTTTTTCTGTGTGATAATACTTGTAACAACAGAGTGATGAGGTCCATCTTTTGGTATCTTTGGTACTCATTATAGGGGGGCAGTTTTACTCCAGAAACATACATATATGCTGTTTATGTGTATATGTGTATGTTGATGAACTGCTGTATAATAACATGTTGTCTTTGTCCTAAAGTTAATTTGTCCGTAGATAGGTTCAGGGATACAGTTTGATGATTCCAGTCCATTCCTCTCCTGCTGTGTCTCAGCATTTAAATCACTTTTCTCAGATTCATTGGTTCAGTCAGTCTTTCCCCCAACCCAAAATGTGTTATGCTTTTCTTTCAGAAATGAAGGAATTTTTGCTCCCAATACTGAGGTGTATTCTGCAAAGCCCCAGCTTAAACTCAGTTAAGAGACATTTAATTACATGTTATATACTGATAAACTAACAAAACAAAGCAACCTTCTGAAATTAAAATTTCTCCACTAATAAACAAAAACATTACAAACAGGTTTTGAATCAAACTGATATAATTTCTCAAACATACCACATGAATAAAGAGCACTTATTATTTGCTCTTATTTCACATTAATGCACAGGTAAAGTCTGCAGGGGCCCAGCAGAGGGCGCTGTATATAACTGTGAATGCTGGATTCCAGGAACACATCTTTTCTCTTACAGATATTATAAATGCCTTATAGATGTCTTCTGAAGTTATTGTCTGCACAGATTCATCCTACAGCTAATTAACTTGACAACAGAGAACTACACAAGTGTCGCTGTATCATGTTCTTTATTCTTTGATGAAATGTCAGAATTGATTTTATTTACAATGTTAAAAAGTACAAGATAGCATGAATGGTATCAGGGGATCAAACTGAAATACGTCCAAACATATTTATAACAAAGCATCAACACATGGATGACAATAAAGTAAGACAAGATAACACATGTGGGGTGCAGTCAGTTATTTACAGTACTTATGAACATTGACAGGTTACAGATACTCAGATGACTCAAACAAATTACTGGGATTAAATAAGCCTCCAGTAATGTGCTGATGTTCCTCTGCAATGTCTGTGTTTGAATTTTCACAGTCCTGAGAAGTAAACAGTTTTATTTTTACTTTTGTAGCTAAACTGTGTTAACTAACATGAGCTTTTACTTTCTGAAGAGCTGTCCTGTGTGTGAGCAGACACTTTAGATTCAGTGATAGATCACAGGCTCATTTATGCTCCCCTTTATACCAAAATAGAGCTGTATGTTTAAAACAGTAGAACGCCATAGCACACTCACTAAAAGGTCAAGCAAGACATCCACTAGAAGGCGCCTCTTGCACTAAAAAGTTACCCAAGACAGTAAGGAATAAAAAGTTCAAACAAAAACAAACATGGCGTTGAGGGATGAGAAATCAATCATGTAGAGGTCAACTGAGGCAAAAACAAAGGCAGCGTTGCAGATTGTGGTGATCTGTTTGGTCATTAATTACTGAAGAACATGTGGATGAAGAGTGAAGTTTTTTTCAAAGACTGATGTGTTTTTTTACTTCACTACCCCACACTGCCCTACAGCTTCCAGCATTAATGCAAAGTTTGGTACAGAGTCACATGACTGAAGAAAAATGACAGAAATAAAGCCAAATAAAAGGAGAGCACACAGATGTCTCTGTCTGTACTTTATAAAACGCATCTATATAAAAAGATTTTTTCCCTGTAGTGTAAAATAAATCATTCACACAACAATACAAACACATCTGAATTTGCCCACATTAGCAAGACAGACCAGTAAGTGGATGATAATGTGGAATCAGTCATCTAACTACTGAATGAAGACAGATATCAGTTTTAGTGACTACTCCAAAACCATCAGTTTTTAGCGACCTTAAACTCTGGTTACATGAGAATGGGGAGCTGATAGGGTGTTTGGAATATATATTTTCATGTACATGTAGATTTGGGATCAGGGTAAAAACATTGTAATTTAAGATCATGACTACAGACCGGCTGTATTAGGAGATCAGGTCGAAATAAGGCAGCTAGCCTGTGATGTCAAAAAGCTGCTGTGCACTGAATGGTGCACTGGTCACAGACTCACTGACATCAAGTGGAGCACTTCACTCCAAATGTGAGGCAGATGTCTTTTCAGTTCTGAAATCAGGCTCTTTATGTCTAAAATGTAAATCATGCAGAGATCATCTGACTCATGGATCTTTCTCATCACCTGTCTGTCTCTCATACTGCTGTCACAGTCAGCAGATCACACTAAAGTAAACACTGCAGTCATAGAGGCTAAACATAAACTGATCAGCATGTACACTGATACTGAACAGTTTGAAATTATTTACAGAATATAGCAAAGTGTAGAATAATAAAGTATGATATACTCTGAATGAAGTTTGTCTTATACCACCTGTAAAAATATCAGACAAACGGTGACTGAACACATAAAGAGAGAGTCTGACTGGAGCTTCATGTCTTTCTGCTTGTTAACAGTTTTTAGTTTAGGTCATCTCATCATTGACCAGCAGGTGGTGCACTGCTCAATGAGTCTGAGTAAAAAAAAAGGAGGTATAGGAGACCCGAGCTGCGTCCGAATTGCCAAGTAGTAGTCGAAGTAGTAGTCGAAGTAGTATCTAGCATGTCCGAATTGGCCACCGGAGCGAGTAGCATGCTACTTCAGATACTACTTCAGATGCTAGACACGCCCACATTGTAGGTTGGTCTCGGTGCATCCTACGGACATGCTACTGACCCAAAATGCACCGCGGGCTTCTTCTTCGTCCTCTTAAAAGTTGTAGAAGCGCATGTGATGCTAGCGCCACCAGCTGCTCTGCCTATTTAAAAGTGTCGCGAACGCCGGCTGGCCACAGCAGCGCGCACCATGTCGGAGCAGCAGCAGCAGCAGGCGGGACCGCAGCAGTACAGATGTAAGTTTCATGTAACTTCACACACTGTCCTAAAAAATGTGCGGTTGTATCTCTTTGTCATGTCATGGTGTCATATTTGCCCAAGTAATCATTTTATGAGCAAATATGTGGCGACATCATGGAGGTAAAGCTCACTTATTCCATCATTAAACTGCACAGCTGCAGTACTACAGCCAGGCCCGCAGATGAGGAGCTTCAGTTACCACTGTCTGCACGGGCGCAGTACCTACTCTCTGCCTGCGGGGGTCGTCTTTCCCCACCGCTCGTCTAGTGTGTCCGAATTGGGCCAACGTTTTTAGTATGTAGGAGTAGGATCTAGCAGTAGCACGTAGCAGTAGCATGTAGTATCCGAGCGGGCAGTTCGGACGCAGCACTCATGTTATCATAATGATCTCATCATGGCTGAGTAATAACATTTTCTTGAATGAGATCAGTCAGTGAAAACCTGCAGCAGCACAAATAACTTAAAAACATCATTAAAAATGGCAAAAATGTATTATTACATACACTTTATGACTACTGTGAGACTCATGATCACAAACATGAAATATAAATAATAAAGACCATCTTAATCTTCACTCAGCAGGGACTCATCAGCAGATCTGAGGTCAGACGTCTGTGGATTTACTGCGTTTCATTTCACTGAAAAAGAAAAAACACACACATCCTAAAGTTTGAATACCTCAGCAGACAGTCACATCTGTTTGATATTCATTTGTCCTTTAGGGCTCACCGTAGCTCCTGTTTGAGGCGAGCAAGTTTGTCGAGAGGTGACCAGATGCAGCGCAAGATGGCGGACCCAAAGATAGAAAACCACATTTACAAAACGCAATAAGTTTCCGCATTACCTCCGATTGGCGGACCCAAAACAATTACTTCCGGTGGAAAGGCTTTCTCGTTGGCGGACTTCCGGCGCCGAAATACTTCAGGTAGTCGGATTTAGTCGCCGGATCCTTTTTTTTTTTGCTCCGTTCATTCCATAAGAATCGAATTAAATTTATTATTGAGCTAAAAATCAAAATAAAACGTTTATGTATTAATTATGACAACTGTTTTGTTCTGATTTAATTCTGAAGTTTACAGTAATATGTATATATAGCCTGATGTCCTCATATTCTGATAATTTGTCAGAATAGGTAAATGTATGTAGAAGTTATCATCTTACTCAAATTCTTTTGTAAGAGTTTGCTACAAGTATGGACTGTTTTAACCTCTCGTTACACATCATATAACAGTGTTTTCTAACTTTTCTCTCCAATAGCTTTATTACACAGCACATCAATGTTTCTTAACTTCTCTGTGACCTTGTTTCTCCACTCCTATTAGGACCTCGTTTAATGTCAACAATGTTGCCCTGACCCTCACATATTTTCTGTTGTTCATAATTATGTTTTATGAGAGTGCTTATGTTGCTGCACAAATTTACTCCCCCCATCCTTTAGTAATATTGTGTAACCAGGGACATAATTTATGAAATGGTGTGCTTCCTGGTGAACCTCTTCAGGATTGCTTGACTGTGCAAAATCCAAGTATACAATAGTTGTAGAGACACAAGTCACATGATCTCTTTAAGGTTCAGAAGAGCCATATAGCAAAAACAATTGAATAGCGATATCATTACAGACTGTGTAAAGAAATGGGAAATTGTCATACAACTGCTTTGAAGATTTCTTTAATTTTTTCCAAACAAAATCGTGAACAGTAAAAGAATATATATATATATATACAAAATTCAGCACTGCCGTCGGTGTGGTGGGGGGCTTAAAACACGTTGCCACAGGCCATCATCAGCTCTGCTCTGAACCGGGTGATGCCATGCTCCTTCAGTGCTTTGATCAAAAGCTGAAAAACAGTCAAATAATGTGAACAATTGAAGTTATGCAGTATGGGTTAATTGTTGTTCTTGAGCTTTCCAAATGAATAAGAACAACCTCTTAACAATATCATCAATTTTCAAAGCAAGCTATATAGTTTGATCTACTCACCTCTGGGAGCATGACGTCAAAAACGAAATCAAGCAGATGAATCTCGCCTCTCTTTATTTTTTTAGAAATGTTTGTTGCCACCTCAATGAACCGCAGGAGCTCGAACATCTATTGAAGAAAAACACAGAAAGTAAACACCTTTCAAATGTAACACCCCTGAGAGTAAAAATACTCATGATGGATGGCATTTTTACTTACGCGCTGCTCACTCCAACTTAGTGTCCTTATCTTAAGATGCTGCTTTAGTCGGAGTGAGGTGGCGGGATTCCTCCAAAGGAACATTCTGTTGGAGCGGATCTTTCCAGACAGTAGATCATCGTGTAATGTCTGAAACCAAAGAGCAAGAGACAAAAATGTAATCATCTGAAAAAGAAACGGTGGCTTTAACAACTGATAGTGCATTCAAAAGCAACCTTGATCTGTGTCTTAGAAAAGACAGCATGAATTCCTCAACTGTCAACAGCATCCTTGATCCTGCAGAGAAATAAGAAAAGAGCAAGCCCTCATTTTTTCATCCTTTGAGCCTCGTATTTTTGACTGATACTATGTTTCCTTGATAAATTATGTTATACCGAGGATGCTCAATGGAGTCCTCGCACCCGCAGTCAAACGGCTCCATTTCAATCCCAGCACAATCCTGATGCAGCCAGCCCCTGCACGTCTTGCACTGGACCCATTTTATGACGTTTACCTCAGGGTAAAGCAATCTGATCAAATGAGAGACAAACATAATATTAAACAAACACGCTTTCCAATTGATTATACCTCTGCAGCACATTTGAATGTATAAATAATTTTCCTGCATGATTCGTGCATTTAAACTATATGTAAAAGTGGTCACTTCATGGAAAATCACTGAATAGGCCCCGATAATTGCATTTATTAAACTGAGTCTGCAACACACCTCTCTCCTGTGTTGTTCGATGTCTGGTAGACACAGAATTGCATTGAATCTGCCATGCACATTCTTTGGACATCCGATACCGTCTGCGTCATGGTTTCCTTGACAAGGCAATTTGAAAAGTAACATCAATTACCAAATACATCGAGACAATGTTGATCCATACAACTGTGTGCATTTTGAAGGACTCCCACTGAGATAATACTGTTTTTACAAGGCAATTTTCTAACCTCTATGTCCTGCTGCTCTGCCTTCCTCTTTAGACTGAAGACCGGAGTATGCTTTCCAGCAATGAGCTCTTGACATTCTTTGGTCCAGTGGGCGAAGATTTTCCCACAACTGTAATGACAATATGTCTTTAAGTACAATATATTGATTGTCTTCCAGTTAATTAGGACATCTAGTTTACTTAAACTGTCTACCTGTTCAAAGAATTGTTCTCCAGGAGCAACAGGCACCACCATCGCCGCCAAACAGGCATGTCATGCTGAAATTGTTGTTTGTATTTCATTTTAGTGCACAATACAAAATACAATCTTGAGGATGACACTGCGTGTTGAAAAGTACTTACAACTGAGTAGTCAAACTGTGACTCCATAACGATGTACATGGCAGACTTAAAAAAAAAATTATGAGACAACATGTGAGATAACTTTAAAAAAGTCCATGTTGGAAAGTTATTCTAGATACAATATTTGTGCATTACAGCTCGTTATGACCTACCATCAACATGAATATGCCACAGTCTGAGCCGAAGTCCTGGCTGGGGAAGCCCTGATTTAACAAAAGCAAACGTTAATCATCTTGTCACATACACTTTGTAGGAGCCAGATTGGGGTTTTGCAGTTTATTGTTATGTATTTTTTGTGCCAGCAGATGGTGCTATTGTACCCGTCTATTTAATGGGTGGGTTGATTAGGAGAGGTGCGCACATAAAATGATGAATGAGTAAATAAATCAAAACAACAGAAAATGTGTGTGACATGTGACATTATTCCACCTGCGGGCACGCATCAACTCAAGCAAAAAGGTGTTCGCCACAAGTAACAGCATTGGAAAGCTGTTATACACTTTTCAACTGTAATATAGAGCATGCACAAATACCTCCAAATCTCTGCCCGTTTTCTCAGTCCATTGCCCAGGACATATCTTCTGCGCAATGTTCCTGTTAATTTGAGAGCGTCACTTAGATTTCCCATGATGGAAACAATGGAATGCAGGGTTAGGGTTAGTTTGAGTGGTCGGAGGTGAGATTGAATGAATGCGGACGGCTTGCTTCTTTTCAAACTTCCTGAGAGTTCTTCTTCTTCTGTAAATTTTGCCGTCAGAAAGTGTAGGTACATACCGCCACCTACTGTTCTGGCATCGCAAAGCAGAAGTTCAAAGTTCATGTTTTTGGGTCCGCCAATCGGAGGTAATGCGGAAACTTATTGCGTTTTGTAAATGTGGTTTTTTATCTTTGGGTCCGCCATCTTGGCGCTGCATCTGGGTACTCTTGAGTTTGTCATGCATTCGATCGTTCTTCACCTGGATTTAGGGTGACCATATGTCCCGATTTGCGCGGGACTGTCCCGCATTTTAATGATTTTTAATGCGTCACGCAAAACGACTCGCTGCACCAATTTTCAAACGTGCGTCTAAAATCTTGTTTTTTATCAAACGCCTGTGTGAGGAGAGCAGACAACAGATAGTGGAGGCTGTCATGGGGGCGGGTCGCGGGCTGTGTGTGTGTGTGTGTGTGTGTGTGTGTGTGTGTGTGTGTGTGTGTGTGGCTGTCTGTGTGCGCGACTGTGAGAGGCAGGGGTAATCTGTCAATCAAACAGCCGGGCACACATGCACGGAAGTCAATGCTGTTTAAAGAAACGCCCATCAAAAACAAACAGTCAGCGAAACACACGGCGAGCCTTTTAGCCTTTTAGCGACGCGTTACATTGAAGAGATTTGTGATGAATGAATGAAAATGGAGGACTCTGAGGAAAGTCAGAAGACTGCAAAGAAAAGGAAATGCAGAACTGCAGTAGTTGTTGTAGCCTGGGTTTGTTAGGAGGAATTATGTTTTCTTTGCTGCTCTAATAAATTGTTACTGCACTTTATGCTCGACATGTTGACTTGAGATTTGACAAGGTTCAAGGTTCTATTGTGTGAGTGTGACTATTGTTAAAGTTCATATAGCTCAAAATATGATGAGACTGACTAATTACAGCCTTTATTGTGAGCTCCTATTGGTAATTAATGTCTACAAGATTGACCTGTTTACTAGCAATTTGTGTTGTGTTTTTGTAAATACAAATAATTTCAACTGCAATTTTGTTAAGTTTTTATTTATAGATCTATAGCTGTTATTTTGTTACAGTCGTTAATATTATATGTTACTGAACAGTTGGCAAGCTGTACCATATGCATTTTTGGTGTCAGCGTCTGCTGTGTCCCACATTGTCCCCCACAAGCATACTCCTTGTCCCACATCTGGTGAGTTTGGATCTGGTCACCCTACCTGGATTGGATTGTTGGGGACGAACCAAGCAGCGATAAGCAGCGATGGTTGTATTTAAACAGTTTCAGCTTGTTTTAGACGAATGATGATTTACACCTTTTCACCTTCTTTACAAACAAATTTATGCACTTCGTTTCAGGTATTAGCACAGTGCTCAATCTGCACAGAGCGACACACTCTGCCAGAAAGAGACACACAACCTGCCACCTGTCTTTTTACTCTCATTTACAGAAAACCTGATCCAGCTGCAGGACTCACATCTGGGACCTGTAACACCTGTGAGTGAGCACATCATGGAAATCCTGCAGACCACATGAATCCATGACACAGACAGACCGGTAACATGAGATCCAGCATAAACAGACCAAATAAAGAAAAACAGGCGAGGTGATTTCAGTGACTCAGTTTGTTGATTTTTATTTTTTCACCCACAATCAGAGACTTCACCACAATCTGAGCTGAGTCAGAAACATAAAAACAGTCGGACTAATGAATGTGATTATTATTAGAGTGATTGAAAAGCTCATAACAACATGTTGATCTGCCAAAAGTCTCATTATAGATGTCTTTACAAACACACTGATCCAACAGAAGCAGACAGAAATATCCATCGATGACATGAATACAAACATTCAGCAAACAGAGAAAGCACAGATCATTTCAAGTGTTTTTGGGGACGACTGGAAAGATTTTAGAGACGCTTTGATTTGGGACAGGAAATAAGGTTGTGCTTTTTCATCTTTCTCTTATTTTGACGTCACTTTTTCCTCAGACCTTGAAAATCTGCACCAACTGAAGGTGATTTGAACAAATGATCATCTTGATGTTGTTGTTATTAAACTTTAGTGAAGATTTTTCAAAATGAGAAATACAAACAATCAAAGTTATCCACAATCACTGTCCTTAAAGCTGCGACCAAATCAGCCTCTTTAGAAAAGAATGAAAAAGCTGAAAAGAAGAACTAAACTGAGAGTTTTTGTTGAGACTGATCCACAAACATTTACAAACCAGAACATTTCAAGAGTTCAGTGATCTGTTTACAGGTTTTTGGTCTGATGGACTCAAAATTCTGTTTATTTCACTTCAATAAACTCAGCAGAGTCTCTAAACATGTAGCCTAACCTCAGTCCAGCATGTAGCGGCTGAGTGAATATGGTCTGGACTCTGTGGAGGAGGGTCATGGTTTCAGAGACGCTGTAGAAGGACAGAATACCTGCTCTGTGATCCAGGTACACTCCTACTCTGGAGGACGGAGGGCCTGAGACAGGAGTGCGGACTTTGTTGTGTATAAATTCATAACTGCCATTAAAGCAGTCTAAACTCCAAGATTTGTCATTGTCTCCAAATAAACAATCCTTTGAGTTTCCTGTTCTGCTGATAGTCTTGTATGCGACTGCTATATAAACCCCGATCCCTCTCCAGTCCACCTCCCAGTAACAATGTCCAGTCAGACTCTCTCTACTCAGGACCTGATAACAATAATAAGTGAATCTTTCTGGGTGATCAGGATAAGACTGTCGTTGTTCTGTCCTTGTTGCTCTTCTGTTTCCATCAGATAATAACAGATGTCTGTGTGCTGTGTTTGGATCCAGTGTGATTCTTTGTGAAAATCTTAAGAAACCAGCTCTGGTCTTGGGTTCTGGTTCTGGTTCTGGTTCTGACAGTAAAACATCCACTTCAGTCAGAGCCTGTGAGACGTTTGTCCACGTCTCTGTCAGAAGATCCTGGAGTTTCTCTCTGAGCTCTGACACAGCTGCTGTCACCTCCTCAAAGTATCTCAGAGGACGGATGTTGATTCTGGATGAGTCTGCAGGTTGACCCGGTCCTGACAGTGAGGGGTAGCTGTGCAGAAACTGGTTGTGGTCCTCTGTGAGTGAGAGCTTCAGCAGATCAGCATCTTTCCTCTTCAGCTCAGTGATCTCCTGCTCCAGTTTCTCCTGAAGCTCTTTGACTCGACTCACTTCACGTTCCTGCTGGGATCTGACCTGCTGCTTCACGTCAGAGCGGCGTTTCTCCATGAGACGGATCAGCTGGCTGAAGATCTTCTGGCTGTGCTTCACTGCTTTATCAGCAGAGCCGTTGATAGCCTCCACCTCCTGTTGGAGCAGCTTCACATCTTCTTCTCTGTCCTGGATTCTCTGCTGGATGTTTTCTCGACTCTCCTCCAGATCTTTCTGCCTCTCAGTCCTTTCTGCTGCAGCTGAGACTGTGTCGTGGCCTTTGTGTTTGTCCACAGAGCAGAGATAACAGATAGACTGTTGATCGGTGCGGCAGAACATCTTCATCACCTCATCATGACGAGAGCAGATGTTCTCCTGGAGCTTCTTGGAGGGCTCCACCAGCTTGTGTTTCTTTAATGGAGCGACTTCAAAATGAGGCTGGAGGTGAATCTGGCAGTAAGAAGCCAGACACTGCAGACAGGACTTGACAGCTTTCAGTTTTCTCCCACTGCAGAAATCACAGGCCACATCTTCAGGTCCAGCATCAGAGGGATGATCAGGAGCAGCTTGGAGTCCGCTCTTCTTCAGTTCCTCCACTAAACCTGCTAACATGGTGTTTTTCTTCAGGACAGGCCTCGGTATGAAGGTCTCTCTGCACTGAGGACAGCTGTAGATCTTCTTCTCATCCTCAGTATCCCAGTAGGATTGAATACAGCTCATGCAGAAGCTGTGTCCACAGGAAACAGCCACCGGATCCTTCAGTAGATCCAAACAGATGGAACAAGAGAGAGATTCACGGTCCAGCTGAACTCCTTTCTGCGCCATTTCAACACTCGCTGTCGACGACTGACTGCGTTTTATTTCCTCAGAAGTCAAACTAGTCTGAGCTCTGATCTCAACAGCATGTGTGTGTCAGCAGGATCAGTTCCTTTAGACTGTAGATCTGAAGAGGAGGGAACAAGGAAGTGAGTGTACAGAGTGGAGTGTGCTGTGTGAGAGACGAGGGAGGGGGAATCAAGTTTTCCTACAATCCAGGAAGAGGAGCGGCGATGTGAACTTTAGACTCTAATACTTAAACAAACTGAAGTTATTAAAGCTGCAGCGGTCTTGAAGATCAACTGCATCAACATTTATTCTCCTCATATAAACCTCATAGATCACAGAAAGACTTCCACTGTTTTATCCTGATATCCACACATATTTAAATATACACCACGTATAAACATGATATGTGATACTCACAGCAAACAGGTGAGCAGGGAAAGAGGGCTGGATCTGAGTGGCAGACAGGTGGAGCGGTGGATGAGGAAACTGATGCATTGATGGATGTAGAGATGGGGTCTACTTGAAATCCACAGCATCAGGCGACATGTAGAGGAAGACTCAGAGCTGAAACTGCAGCAGAGGAGATGGAGGAGGAGTTTTCTTTTGGTGCTCCTCGATCTGAAAAGAAAACCAGGAACAGTGAAAAGAGTTGACAAGAACAGAGCTTTAACTTTGTTATTGTTTTAATAATCAAATAAAGAGTTTGAAAGACAGTCTTATTGTACCTGCTGGTTTTACTGATCAGTCTTTGGCACTTTGTAATGTTTTTATCAGAAGTGCATTTTGGCTTTTGAACACTTCTTTTCTGCATGATTGTCAATTTTTAAATAGCTTTGGATTTTTATGGACAAATTTTAGATCCACATATCAAGACTGTAAACCCTTAAGACAGTGGTGGGATTGTGGGAAGACAGAAATCCAAAACTTCTGTCAACAGTACTCTCTATGTCACACGGGACATAACCAGATCTGTGGAGGCTTTAGAGATCCATATAGTGGAGCTCCAGTCCAGTGTTGTTTTTGGCAGGCATTTTAGATTTAGTTTTAGTCTTAGTCATTTTGACGAAATGCTTCTTCGTTTTAGTCCCATTTTAGTCATTTCTATCCTTGATAGTTTTCGTCTAGTTTTAGTCCGACGAAAACTCAAACGGTTTTAGTCTAGTTTTAGTCGACAAAAAGGTGCCTTTTGAGGTTCGTGGTGTTCTTTCCCGACAGTTTGAAGCCGCAGCATGAGGAAGCTGTGGCTCCACAACTGTCGTCTGTCTCGTCTCCCCGTACAAGACATTGTGTTTTATTGTCACTTGGACTGTATCTGAAGTAGGACCATAAAGCATCCCTCTTTTTTCGGCCACCGGGCACCGCTGCTGTGCCTGCCGCCACGGTGTGTGTGTGTGTGCGCGCGCCTCGTCCACCTGCCGCTCTGTGTATGCGTATGAGTGTGTGCGCGCAGCTGTGCGCGAGCGAGGCTTTTGGTGCGTGTGTGATGGGGGCGTGACTGTTAGGACAAAAAAAAGCATGTTTTGAAACTTTGTTCGTCCACCTAATAACAATTTAGTCTCGTCTCGTTCTCGTCTGACGAAAATGAATACAATTTTCGTCACATTTTAGTCTTTACAGAGCTTTGGTGACGTTCGTCTTAGTCTCATTTTCGTCAAGGAAAAAAGGGGTCTGACGTCGTCATTTAAGTTTTCGTCCTGCCTGACGAAAACAACACTGCTCCAGTCTTTGGTTGACTCCACAGGAAATTAAGGACAAATTAAAGTCCTCACAGCTAAAAAGAAGGCCAGAGACATCAGGAGACGTGCTGTGGAGTTTCACTCTGAGATGTATTGCAGTGAATATTCAGAACACAAAGCACCTTTACCTCTGGAAAGTTCTGGAAAGTTCTGGAGCGTTCTGGCCTCAACACGGGTTTCACTGCTATGATCCAGGTTCTGTACCAAGACATTGAGAGTGTACTAAAAATCAATGGGGGTCTGAGTGCACCTTTTAAAGTCCAGAGAGGACTAAGGCAGGGTTGTTATATTTCATCTCTATTGAACCCATGTTGTGTAAAATAGGGTCGTCCATTAAAGGGTTAATTTACCTCACTGTCCAGAGAGTTTGACTGTCTCAGCATAGGCAGATGATCTTATTTTAATGATTAAACATCAGAGAGAAACATCTTTAGCAGAAAAAACTGCTCATGATTTTGGTGCCATCAGTACCTCGGAGTGTTTTTAGATGATGATGGACTAACTGAACAGAAAAACTGAGACGAGGTGGTGGAGAAAGTGAAGGGGAGGCTGGAGAAGTGGAGATGGTGTGGAAATGCCTGGCTGAAACAGGGATATGTGACACATTTGCAGGGCCACATAGAGAGAGACAGACGATCATTCACACTCACATTCATACCAAAGGACAGTTTAGAGTCACCGATTAACCTAATGAGCGTGTTTTCTGTCTGCTGGAGGAAGCCAGAGTGCCAGGAGAGAACCCACACATGCACAGGAAGAACATGCAAACTTCACACAGAAAGGCCCGGGGATCGAACCAGTGACCTTCTTGCTGTGAGGCACGTGCACTACCTGCTGTGACACTGTGCCGCCTGTTATATAATGTGTTTTTCATATTTCTCCTAAATGTTTTTCTGTGTGATAATACTTGTAACAACAGAGTGATGAGGTCCGTCTTTTGGTATCTTTGGTACTCATTATAGGGGGACAGTTTTACTCCAGAAACATACATATATGCTGTTTATGTGTATGTTGATGAACTGCTGTATAAAAAACATGTTGTCTTTGTCCTAAAATTTAGTTACTTTGTCTGTAGATAGGTTCAGGGATACAGTTTGATGATTCCAGTCTATTCCTCTTCTGCTGTGTCTCAGCATTTAAATCACTTTTCTCAGATTCACTGGTTTAGTCAGTCTTCCCCCAACCCAAAATGTGTTATGCTTTTCTTTCAGAGGTGTAGGAATTTTTCATTCCAATACTGAGGTGTATTCTGCCATAAAATAGGAATATAATATCTGTTATGTCACAGCCCCAGCTTAAACACAGTAAAGAGACATTTAATTACATGTTATATACTGATAAACTAACAAAACAAAGCAACCTTCTGAAATTAAAATTTCTCCACTAATAAACAAAAAAATTACAAACAGGTTTTGAATCAACCTGATATAATTTCTCAAACATACCACATGAATAAAGAGCACTTATTATTTCCTCTTATTTCGCATTAATGCACAGGTAAAGTCTGCAGGGGCCCAGCAGAGGGCGCTGTATATAACTGTAAATGCTGGATTCCAGGAACACATCTTTTCTCATACAGATATTATAAATGCCTTATAGATGTCTTCTGAAGTTATTGTCTGCACAGATTCATCCTACAGCTAATTAACTTGACAACAGAGAACTACACAAGTGTCGCTGTATCATGTTCTTTATTCTTTGATGAAATGTCAGAATTGATTTTATTTACAATGTTAAAAAGTACAAGATAGCATGAATGGTATCAGGGGATCAAACTGAAATACTTCCAAACATATTTATAACAAAGCATCAACACATGGATGACAATAAAGTAAGACAAGATAACACATGTGGGGTGCAGTCAGTTATTTACAGTACTTATGAACATTGACAGGTTACAGAAACTCAGATGACTCGAACAAATTACTGGGATTAAATAAGCCTCCAGTAATGTGCTGATGTTCCTCTGCAATGTCTGTGTTTGAATTTTCACAGTCCTGAGAAGTAAACAGTTTTATTTTTACTTTTGTAGCTAAACTGTGTTAACTAACATGAGCTTTTACTTTCTGAAGAGCTGTCCTGTGTGTGAGCAGACACTTTAGATTCAGTGATAGACCACAGGCTCATTTATGCTCCCCTTCATACCAAAATAGAGCTGTATGTTCAAAACAGTAGAACGCCATAGCACACTCACTAAAAGGTCAAGCAACACATCCACTAGAAGGCGCCTCTTGTACTAAAAAGTTACCCTAGACAATAAGGAAAAACCAAAAGTTCAAACAAAAACAAACATGGTGTTGAGGGATGAGAAATCAATCATGTAGAGGTCAACTGAGGCAAAAACAAAGGCAGCGTTGCTGATTGTGGTGATCTGTTTGGTCATTAATTACTGAAGAACATGTGGATGAAGAGTGAAGTGCCCTACAGCTTCCAGCATTAATGCAAAGTTTGGTACAGAGTCACATGACTGAAGAAAAATGACAGAAATAAAGCCAAATAAAAGGAGAGCACACAGATGTCTCTGTCTGTACTTTATAAAACACATCTATATAAAAAAGATTTTTTCCCTGTAGTGTAAAATAAATCATTCACACAACAATACAAACACATCTGAATTTGCCCACATTAGCAAGACAGACCAGTAAGTGGATGATAATGTGGAATCAGTCATCTAACTACTGAATGAAGACAGATATCAGTTTTAGTGACTACTCCAAAACCATCAGTTTTTAGTGACCTTAAACTCTGGTTACATGAGAATGGGGAGCTGATAGGGTGTTTGGAATATATATTTTCATGTACATGTAGATTTGGGATCAGGGTAAAAACATTGTAATTTAAGATAATGACTACAGACCGGCTGTATTAGGAGATCAGGTAGAAATAAGGCAGCTAGCCTGTGATGACAAAAAGCTGCTGTGCACTGAATGGTACACTGGTCACAGACTCACTGACATCAAGTGGAGCACTTCACTCCAAATGTGAGTCAGATGTCTTTTCAGTTCTGAAATCAGGCTCTTTATGTCTAAAATGTAAATCATGCAGAGATCATCTGACTCATGGATCTTTCTCATCACCTGTCTGTCTCTCATACTGCTGTCACAGTCAGCAGATCACACTAAAGTAAACACTGCAGTCATAGAGGCTAAACATAAACTGATCAGCATGTACACTGATACTGAACAGTTTGAAATTATTTACAGAATATAGCAAAGTGTAGAATAATAAAGTATGATATACTCTGAATTAAGTTTGTCTTATTCCACCTTTAAAAATATCAGACAAACGGTGACTGAACACATAAAGAGAGAGTCTGACTGGAGCTTCATGTCTTTCTGCTTGTTAACAGTTTTTAGTTTAGGTCATCTCATCATTGACCAGCAGGTGGTGCACTGCTTAATGAGTCTGAGTAAACATTGAAAAAAAGGAGGTATAGGAGACCTCATGTTATCATAATGATCTCATCATGGCTGAGTAATAACATTTTCTTGAATGAGATCATTCAGTGAAAATCTGCAGCAGCACAAATAACTTAAAAACAACATAAAAACAACATTAAAAAATGGCAAAAATGTATTATTACATACACTTTATGACTACTGCGAGACTCATGATCACAAAGATGAAATATAAATAATAAAGACCATCTTAATCTTCACTCAGCAGGGACTCATCAGCAGATCTGAGGTCAGACGTCTGTGGATTTACTGCGTTTCATTTCACTGAAAAAGAAAAAACACACACATCCTAAAGTTTGAATACCTCAGCAGACAGTCACGTCTGTTTGATATAAATGATTATTACTGTTTTCAGTACTTTTACTTATTTTATATGTTTCATATGATCTGAAATTTGTTCTTTAGGGCTCACCGTAGCTCCTCTTTGAGGCGAGCAAGTTTGTCATGCAGTCGATCGTTCTTCACCTGGATTGGATTGTTGGGGACGAACCAAGCAGCGATAAACTTACACACAACTACGACATGCTGCAGACACACAGGCACAGTGGGTTTGAAATGAAGTTAAATCAGACTTAAACTGTATGTACAAAGCAACAGGTATAGTAAAAAGGTGATGCACAACTTTATGACAATTGGAAGATTTGAGCCAATATTATCAATTTCGATGAAGTGACAGTACATTTTGATGAATTGTTCAAAAGTTATATAACTAGTAGTATAACTGGGACAACTATGGACACAATCAATAAAATAATCAATCAATAAAAGGTATTTAGTTTACAGAATATGAGACTCAAAAATGGCGTAGATATGATAATTTTTGACTCAGAGCTCTGACCTCAAACAAAATGACGAAGGCGAAGCGTATCGCAAGAACCAACCAGAACTGTGAAGTCAGAGTGTAGTCGTCATTCCGGTAGTCCCTGTAACTGCACACACACACACACACACACACACACACACACACACACACACACACACACACACACACACACACACACACACACACACACACACACACACACACACACACACACGTATATTTATTTTGCCACATTTTTTAATTGACAAAAACAAGACGGTAAGTCAATGATAATGAAAACTAATGCAAAAGGACAAAAACCACGACAAAATGACCATTGAATCCAGCTTGTGGGTGAGTCCGTGTGAAATTATTAATTTCCTATTATAGGAAAGAATTCTTGATTTTACTCAAGTGGAGGTGATAAAGACGGAAAGGTTGCTTTGCAGAGTTAAACACTTGGTAAAACAATTTTTGATCTGCTCTGTACGATTGTAAAGAGAAAAAGTGTTTTCACAATGGGCAACGACTTAAGTGTGGTGACACTAAAATGTGTCGAATTTGACGACTAGACCAGAGTCAAATGAAAAAGGGCTACAATGATTATGTAACTTAAATTAAAATGCATGTTTGCTTCAAGATCTACTCTAAATTGGCTGCCAAATGAAACACTGATTCACAGCGTTTATGTCTCCTCACCTGCATTGCGTCACGTTGAGTCCGTAATCTGTGACCATCTGACCGGGGAGAAAGTCCAGCTTGACTCCCTCATGAGACACGAACGCTGTGGACAGGGTGTCGTTGATGTAGCCCTGCATGCAACTGCAACAAATACACACACAGACAACTTGAAGCACACACACCTGACTGGGGTTCAGCTGTTCTAACTGCTGAGTCATGACTTACTGTGTGTGGGGTCTGCTGGTAGCACATGGGCCGTAACGGTAACGATAGACAAGGCGAGGGATGAAGTCTGACGTTATGCCAATGACCAGACCATTAGCTATCACTGCTAACACGCCGATAGCCTCCAACACCTTTGTCCACACACCTGGAGAGAGAGAACATAGCACTTTGACATTAATGTTTCTTCTTTTTAGTCAGACACAAACCTCCTCTTGATTACAAACGTTGATATTAATGATCAGACTCAGAGCTCACCAATGTCATTGGTCTTCCGAGGAACAAGCCGTCGTTCCAGTTTGACCATCTTGATAGCGTCCAGACGGATCTCAAAGATGTTGTTGATGAGAGCCAGCAGGGGGGCGAGGGGGAACGCAGCCACAAATATAGTAGTGAAACTAAACTGGACCACTAGAGTAGAGACGGGACATGGAGAGGTACATCTCTGAAATACCAAGATTTAAGGATTCAGCCTTAAATGGTGGACTAAACCTTTATAGTAACAGTATCAAGATGGAAAAAAAACAACTCAGCAGCAGGTCCTGTTAGTGTGCAGTCATAAACCAGCCTAAGCCAGACAAGGCAGTCTTCAGATCAGACTAAAATCTTACCCATCTCTAGGAACTCATTAAACAGGCTGAAGGCATCAGTGTCAGCCAGATGGTAGTTTCGCAGCCAGTCCCGGAGTTTGCAGATATCACATGGCTCTATCTGCCCGTTCTCATCTCTGCACGCCTTCCTGTAGCAGTAACCGCACTTTCTCTGAAGCTTCTTCGACGTGTTTCTGCTCACACAGCTCTTCAGCCAGCTGCAACACACGGGTTCAGATTTTTAGGTGTTATAGTAAACAAACCGCTGATGAGGAGCTTACTGTGAGAGAGGTCAACTATTATGTAACTGTATAATTTCATTGTGAGGAGTAAGGTCCCTCTGTAAGTTCACCAAAGACGTTACAAGGTCATCGTACAGGGTCACTACATGAGGATACTTTGTTAGGTCTCCAATGAGGTTGTTGTGTAAGGTCACTCTGTGTCCCAACTTAGGGGCTGCAGCCTTTGAAAGACCCTGCCTTCGTGGGCTACACAGACTGATCAGGTCAAACTAAGAGGTCCTTCCCTTTGGAGGATGTCCTGCTCACCTCACCAATATTTCTGTCTTTTCCTGTCTTGTTTGCATTGATGCACAAACAATAAAGCTTTGTTAGAATGTGTTGGGCTTCAAAGGATGTATCTAATGCCGCCTTCATGGCCAGGTAGCAGTGGGACACATTTATAGGCCACATTTGGAGGACCCTTGGAAATTCAACTCAACTCAACTTTATTTGTTAAGCACTTTTAAACAACCACAGCTGAACAAAGTGCTGTACAAAACTAGACAAAACAACAAGATAAAAAACAATCAAAAAAACAATTAAAACAATTGGACAGCTTTTGACACACCATGTCACACATTTAGTCTTCAAATGTGGCCTTCAATGACTCCTGCCTCTGGATGGGGACACAGCTAACGTGAGCAATCACTATTTGAAGTCACTGACTTAGTCGCTGTTAAAGGTCATTGATGAGTTACTGTGTGGGGTTGCTACAGATGAGAACAATCCTTCTGGATACTTACGTTGCGCCCCCTTTTGGATGAAAGCAGTTGATCTGTATTTACAGGCAGCAAATGAAAACTATGCAATCTTGAGCTATATAATAGTTCAGGACACTGAAATCCCAAATCTGAAAGCCCTGTATGGTGTCAGATGGTAAAATCAAGAAAGACAATTTAAAAGCGTCGACCCGACTCGGGTAACTCGACTGAAATATACACAATTTCAGTCATGACTCCTCTGGTCACAAGATCTCATTCATCAAGTTTGTTGGAGGAAGACGAAGAGGACACTCACATAAACCTTTGAACATTTTGATTATTTTTTAAATGTTGTGTTGCTGTTCACTGATCTTAAATGTCATGCTTTATATGTTTGCATTACTGGACGTTGGATTTGGGCTCTCAAGAGTCATTAAATTATACAGTTGTCTTATTTTGAGCTAATATTCTGCCGAAAGCCACAGAATTTTCAATTACTGCCATAAAATTCACATCGACCACTCTCAACCAAAGGGGGGCGGGGCCACAACATGAAGGAAAGATACCCAGATGGATTACTCTCATCTTTTAATGAGTGATTGGGTCACTTTGCAAGATCACTGAGTGGGGTCACTGTCACTGATGAGGAGAAGCTACTCCAGTTGGTGCAGTTGTAAAAACACTTACGGCACGGTGAACTCAAAGATGTTATTGAGCGTCTGTTTGAGCAACATGATGACCGCCATCTGGATGAACAGGTCTGTCAAACAACCACTGGGATGGCACTGCAAGACAAACACACACTTAAGTCCCCAATGTCGTAACAAAAAAACACATGTGAACTCTTTGTAAATGACATTCACACACACATTAATCCTGTCATAGCAACATAAACGCTTATCTGTTAGTCCTGTGTAGCACACAAACACACTTCATGAACGGATCAAGAGTCTTCAACTCACCTCCTCCAGTCTCCATCTGGCAATCCGCACGTAATTTCCTGGGTGTCCATTAATCCTAAAACAGAAACACAATTCAGATTTGCATGCAGCTTCTCACATCACAGCCACCTGTACAGGTCAAGAATACGTTAGGTATGTATTGATGTGTAGTTAACTAATATACCTGCAATGATCTGTACAACCGTTGGCTGTTAGTGTTTGGTTAAGTTTGGTGAGATAGCAGTAAATAGACTGAACTAATACAGTATTTTGATATTTACACTAGATGTCCCATAATTCACAGGGCACAGTGGACAGAGCTCAGCCTCAAACAACTCAAAGTTGACCCTCTGATTGGATGAGCTGAGCTGCACTGAAAATAAACTAATAAATGTTGAGGAGGACCCCAAAATCCCCCTTTGAGACACACAGCTCACTAAGGGACAAAAAGTACATAACACAGGACTGAATTACATTATTACATTTTATTACACAGCTGTGTGAACCTCTTGATTCTAATTGGTCAGATCTCCATAACAAGAGTTAATTCTTAACAGCAAAGGTGACACTAGAGGATATGTGATCATGCACATCAGATTAATTTAGTCTATGGATAGGAGCCCAGCAAACTTCACCTATGCCTGGAAAAACCATTAGCATCTGCCTCAGGGTGGTCTTGAGGGTGGGAAAATAATGACAGTCAGCAGAGTAGCCTGAGGAGTTACTGGACCCCAACCATCTCTGATGTTCAAATAAAGTAGAGTAGCATAGTGTCCTGCAACCAGGTAATGTGCAGCAAAGCTGATAAGAGCATGTCTAAGGAGATGGTCTCTACAAATTGATTAAACCATAACATACTGTAGCTGTAAGTGCAGCAGTGCTAGAAGTGAGGACATTCCTGAAGAAGACTTCTTCACTTTGTTGGACGTAATCTTTGAAATGTTTGATTTAATATAAATTAAAACAAAAAAACAAGGAGGCTAATGTTTCTGTTTGATCATAATATATAGAGTTACATTTTAATTTGTCCAGAATTAAAAATTTGTTGCCATGGAAATGCTATCAACTAAAAATGATAAGCCATTTTTTGACAACCTTTTATGTTTTCAGTTGATAGAGAGGTAATATATGTGAAACGTTTTGATGAGCAGTTGGTAGTTTGCAGGACCTGACACGTAAAGGGACAGAAACATATGAACACACACACACACACACGCACGCACGCACACACACACACACACACACACACACACACACACACACACACACACACACACACACACACACACACACACACACACACACACACACACACACACACACACACACAGGTGTTTTACCTGCCCAGGAAGAAGGCCACATAGAAGAGTGAGGAGAAGAGAGTGAAGAACTGGAAGGTGAACATCTTCACTGTGAAGCTCCTCTCAGTGGCAGCGAATGAGTTCGTCTTCTCTGAACACACACAAAAACACACATAATATTTACCTAGTATATACAATATATATATGAACTGAACTACTTCATGTGAGGTATCAATTTATACAGTATATTCAATAAAGTGTATAAATCAGTGGCGGCTGCTGGTCTCTCAAGGAGGAAAAGCTCATTTTTCTGGCCTACATCATAATTGTGTTTGTTTATTAGTATGTAACAGAACAGAGTCGCCAAACACAACGGCAGTTGTTTTTAACAAAGACAAAAGTCGCTGAGGATCGGTAAAGTCTCCGGAGCAGTTAAGAACAACGGAATAACTTGGAAAATGCTTTGGTAGATGTTTTATTCTTCAAGATCGCTTGTTTAGCTGTCAATCAAAAAAAGGATTTCGCCTCAGACAGCTCAGCCAATCATGGATGCAGAAGAGTCCGGGAGAAAGTCGGGACCGCCCTCTCGCCATAGAACTCCAGAGAAGCTGAGCGTCCGATGGGCGGGACAAAGCCCAGCATTTATCCAATGAGCGTCTAGTTTCGCTGCTGGAACAACCCACTTTGAGCTTCTACATTGAAGTCAGCAGACGCTGAGCGTCCGGCTGTTTAAAGCGCTGAGGCGCTGCGAGGATGAATGAGAACAAAGTTGTGCAGAATCAGCTTCTTATCAAACTGTGATAAGAAGCTGATTCTGAACAAAAGATGAAGGCTTTCTAGTGCGTATTTAGTTAATGAAATGTACACACAGCAGTACATATTTCACCACTTTTTCTTTTTTTGGGGGGTGACATTTTAAGGGAAGCCGAGCTTCCCTTGCAGTCTTAGAGCAATCGCCACTGGTATAAATGCTTTTTGTTAAAAATGTATTGAGGTAAACATTGTGGTCTAAAAACAAAGATTGGTTAATAGTTTCGGCCAGACTATGAGACTAAACCTCAACTTCATTTATGTGCAAAGTTGTTATTTCAAAAACAATGTTTTCCTTTTTATAGACAGTTTTTATCTGATATTTTAGATGAAGTGTTAAAAAATAAAATCACAATTAATGTCATTGGGTTACAGTAGTCTTTATCAGCGGATTGCTTATTGCATTATTTTCGTGCATTTTATTCCATTTATGTAGCTGCAATGGACACAGTTCTGTGTTCTCACCTATTTCACAGAGCTTCAAGGAGACCCATCTGTTCACCTGCAGGAGGTCAAAGGTCATAAAAAACACAAGCAGACAGTTATTACACAGTTAGATGATTTAACGAGGTAACAGCTGTGTCTGAAGGTTTTCGATATACATAAACATATCTTAGCTGTTCTGTCAGGGCTCTAATGGTGTATCTGAGAGTCTGAACAAGAAAAAGGGGGTTTAACCAAATAGAGAATTTCATTAGATTTCTAGGGGGCGTCCTCACTATGACTCGATGTTATGTGCTTCATGTGTGTGATTTGAGTCCTTAAAATCAGACTCTCTACATACTTTTTGATACTCTTTTTAGTCCAATATACAGACTGCATACTGCTTATGCTATTATGTTATTTCCCCTCAGAGATCTTAATTTTATATTCACTTCACTTATATTCACTTTACTATTCACAGATATTCATGTCTGTGGTCAAAAATTTCTGTTCAGTAGCCTAAGCTAACCTCTGAGAGTAACCACTAACCTTTGACAAACACTGACAGTAACAAGTCAGAGGTCAGGTGTACATACCCGCGTCATGATCTGAATGGTGACGTAGTGGAGCACGGCTCCTAACATCATTGCCACAGAGTTAGCATGATCCCTGATGAACTCCGAGCCGCCCTCATCCAACAACGGGGCCGCGACCACTCGAAACACCACCAGGGCGTGAGCCAGGCCGATGATCAGGGACAGCTGAGACACGCATACACACACACACACACACACATTCTGCTTTCACCACTGGGTAAATGAAAAAGAGAATTTGTGTGTCTCTCTGTGTGTGTTTATGCTTCTTACCATGAATGTCACCATGATGAGGACCAGGGCGCTGCGTAGGTACGAGTGTCTGAACTGTTTTGGTTTACAGTCTGGAGAACTGACAATGTCAAGAATCAGCTCCTCCTGCAAACAACGGTTAAATTACAAACCATTCTATCAGTGGATTTAATGAGTCTCATTTAGCAGGTTTGGTTGGAGAGTTCAAAGTGAGCCGTACCTCCTCCTCACACCAGTCATAGACCTTCCACTGAGACACGTGACGAGCTCTGTGCCTCTTCCATAACTCCAGGAACAGAGTGGCTGAAACACACACACACAAAAAAACACACGAATCTGAGCTGAGAGGCAAGCAAAGTAACTTCAACACCTATGTTTTTGTTAGATTTCCCGTCAGGTTCAGATAAACAGTTTAAAGCATGGTCCTCAAAGTCAAAGCAAGGCTTTATTAGTCAGACTGGAGTCAGTAATCTCTTCATTAATACTTGAGGATCAAACTGGTTTCCGCAAAGGGAGAGAGGCATTCCTCAGAAAACCCTGGAGATTATTCAATTTAACTAACTCTCATCAAAAACAGCTCCTCCCATCATCCATCATAGCTACACTGAGATACAGAGAAGGTGTTTAATAGGGTAGACTGGTCCTTAACCACTTTGGTTTCCTTCCTTTATCGATTGGATCAAAAACACTGTACAACTCACCTCCTGCATTCATAATAATTAACAGACTCATTTCATTACCATTTTAACTACAAGGTCCTTTCAACACACTGGAGCACTTCTACTTTCAAAATATTTAGTTAACAGAAGTCATCAGAAAACAGATCAATCCCATAACCTTCAACAACTCCAGCCCTTCCCTTTCCTTTTCCCCTTACCACTGAAAAATGCACCACAGACATCAGTAATAACCCTTCATCAGACCTCAACTGAAAAATATATGCAGTAATACATTTTTTATGTCTTGCAACAGTATCAAGTTCTCCACAGAACCCATGTCAACACTTAAAAACTCTACTGTATGGGATTCAGCCAAAATAACACAGTCCACACTGTCCAACCACAACTGGTAACCACTACCATGAGCTCTGGACCTGCTAATTCAGTCAATCCCTCTGGTCAGAGGTGTCTGAGATCCACAGCCTCAACATCCTCGTATGTCCATTTATTGCACTCCTTTGCAATATTTCTTCACTTTCCACTTCCAAACACTGTATGTCATTAACCATTGCAAAGTAGTAATAATAATAATAATATTTAATTGGAAAAACAGAACCAATATCTAAACCTCTGGCTCATTTTACTCACAGACCCCTCAAACCTAGAAAAAAATAACAGCATCTTTAAAAATATCTCTTCGTCTGAAAACATCTTGTCCGCCTCCTTTAGAAATGTTCAATGCTGATTCCTCTCCGTCCAAACAGTTCCCTTTGTATGCACAGTATCCATTTCACCTTTCTTGTCATACCTGTTTATTTCAGACACTACAACTACCAAGGGATCAAGGTGGAATGGCTCTGCCCAAAAAATGGCTCTGCCCAAAAAAATATTATAACGCAGTACAACTGCATACATTGGTTTGCTGGTATGATCCTGGCTTTGATGCAAAATGGAAGAACTTACAGCAAACTCAAATAGACATCCCACCTCAATCTATACTGGGAGACAAAAATCTCAAAAAGAAAAATTTAGAGAAGCTTTCCAAATGGAGTGTTGTCCCTTTAAATATTTGGTATAAAAATAAAATGATAAAAAAGGTGAAAAAGACACTAGAATACTACGCCGGGTTACTCATGACTCTGACTTCACACCAGCCTAAGCAGATATCAGATTCAAACAATGGGTCAATAAGGGGATCACATCATGTAGTTCTATAGCCAATAATAAAGGTTTACATTCCTTTTTACAGGGAGGCAGAATTTCTATAGGTATATATGTTTTTCGGGCTAAGCGTAAAAGCCTCCCAGGTTGTATTCTACGTCTTTTTAAAACAAGAGAAGGACGGTACAATTTAAGAGGGGTTTATATTTTTAAAACAGATAAAAAAGCAAGAACAAATGTGAAAGCTAGATGTGTTTCAGTTTGGGGAGTTAAGCAATGGAATAACCTTAACGATGGGTTAAAATTGTGTAACTCACAGGTAATATTTAAAAAAGCATTAAAAAGCAAAATAATTCAGGAGTACATACAGCTTTGAGTAAGACATTTTCTTTCATCCTTTTTTTTTTTTTTTTTTTTCGTAGTGCAACATATTATTTTAATGTTTTCTTTTTAATATTAAAGTGTCTTTCTTTTTTTTTTCTTATTTCAACATTATCAACTGTTTTAAATATTAAAATGATGTTATAAGGATTGTAAAGGATAGGCAACTATAAGCATTGTGCTTCCGCCTAATCCTTTTTTTGGTCAAGTTTATAATTCTGTTTGTTTCTCATTTGTTGTTATTGTGACCAAAAATAAAACCATTCATTCATTCATTCATTCATTCATTCATTCATTTATTCACAACTACGAACTTATTTTGAAAAATACATTAGAAACACTGAGGAGGAGGAGAAGGGTCTGATTAAGACTTCTGTTGACATGATTAATGGTAAAAAGAAGAGAGAAGGATCTCCAGAATCTACTCCTTTTTACAGCTGAATAGGGGTCTTTCTACACTCTATCTCAAAGCTAGATGGGAGAAAGAAACTAACATAAAATTGACAGAGGAGGATAAAAATGTTATCGACCACATCAAGCTCTCACCTGTGAAGAGAATACAACTTGAAAAACATGATAACACTCAAAATCAAACAAATACCAAAAAACTATCCAAAGTATGGTCAATGCTGGAGAATATATAGTAATATGTCTGAAGGTCATTTTCATATATTTTGGGACTTTTCCTGTTATTTCTTCTCAATGGTTGGATATTGTGACTGCAGTTAGATCTATAGTTAGTCTGAGCTTAACTTTCCTTAAGTGGACATAAGAAACAGGACAGATACTTATTAAACATACTACTAGCTGGAAGTAGAGAGACAACCACCAGAAAATGGTTGAATAAGGAACCTCCAATAGTCACTGGATGGAAGAAAATAATTCAGGAAATTTATTAAATGGAACAACTGAAATGCTCTCTGAGCCACTTAGAGGGGCGTCACAGTGAAAACACATGAAAGTGTTTTCACTGTGAAATATAATATTCTACTACACGACTGAGTTTCAGGAAATAATTTTAGATCTGATGAGAAAAACAAGACAGCAGATACTGTACATCAAACACCATTGTAGTATTTATTATTCAAGATCTGATCACTCACCCCAGATAGCCATGAACATGGCAAAGGCGACTGTCCCCTCATTATCAAACAGATGGCTGACCTGAAACAGAGTACACAGGATTAATATGTTCACCATAAAGTGTTCAATATTGATAAATATAAACGTGAATAAACAGAAACAGCTGTATGATCAATGTCAGAGTTTATACTAAAAACTCTCCTAATCTGACATATGAGCTACCTTGGCGTAGGTACAGGTATCTTTTAGCTGCCACACTTGACACCTCTTATCACAGCGAGGACACATGATCACACTGGAATTGCACACCTCTTTACTGAGGACACACACACACAGGGACACAGAGAGATACAGACACACACACAGGTTCAGGTTAAAGGGTTTAAGGTTATAACTTCTGGAGAAACTTGTTTAACAGGAACAGTTTGTTGCATCATATTCTGTCTTCATTCTGTTAACTAGCTTTTAACAAACCGTCTTCACAACACTGACATGAAAGGTCAAAGGTCAGACACTTACATGAGGGGGTTAGTGTTGAAGAAGGCAAGACCGTACAAAAACACAACCACGCCTAGAACAGCAGCAGGAACCAGCAGCTTAGTGTACCAGCCCAGCCACAGGTAGTACAGCGCCACCTTCTCTCCAAAGTAGCACCTGCAGGTCGCAGAGACACAGGTACATAATCAGGTAGACAGTGTGCAGACACCTTATTTCATGAACTACACACGCAGAAACAAAGGTACTGACTTGACTTCGCTGACAGGTTGATTAACAAACAGACCCGACCATCGAGCCCACTTCTGCTGCAGGTATTTCTGCTTCTTTCTCTAAGCATTATGGGAAATAAAACACACAGATATCAACATCACATTTTGTTATACTTTTGCTCTTATTGGGCAGGACAGCTGGGAAGCGCCAAGGAAATGTGGATGCAAAGAGTGCGGGGACACCTATTAAGGCTATCAAAGATATATCAGAAAGGAAGTGTGGAGATTTAAGAGAATAACACAGTTGTGTTTGGTGTGTCTCGTTAAACTGACTTTAATGTTTTGTCTCCTCAGCAAAAAAATTTAATCAGTATCGAGACTCTGTAAATATAGTGCAAAAAATGAAGACGTGAGGGAGCCACCTTCGAAACAGTATTATAGACAAATAAACAAGTTTAAAATATGAGTTTACCGCAATTTTATTCTTGTGAGAAAATCACTCAGGAAAAGTTGAACATTTAAAAAAATCCATTGTTCATTTATGACTTTAATCTCATGAGGTCTAGAGTTAATTCAACAACATTTGAAACTCCTGCATGTTTTACTTTTTTTAACAACTCTCTTGTAAAGTTTTGACATTATTCTTTTTATATCACAATGATATTCTCAGACTCTCATTTTTATGCCAATCTGGTCCCATTTCCCTGTTATAAGATAATGTTAACAGTCTGTTATTTAAATTTTATTTTAACTACTTTAACTATTCAACCGGATGTTGAAGAAGAGGCCTTTTTGGGAGTGGTCATGCAGTTATGTTGTAGCGAGTCCTGTGGTGCAGCTTACAGTCTATAAATGAATAGATAATGACTTTAAAACCAGGTTTAGGGAGTAAATAGATTCAGACGGAGATGTTTCACAGAGTGACTCACCTCATGGAGACAGAATGTGGTCTCAAACACGTCCCTCATCATCAGCTCTTTCAGGTTCTCTGATTTTAAAAAAATCAAAATTACACATCATATCTGCAGATCTGATATATTAAAAATATAAAGACTGAAGAGCTGAGGGCAACACATGTGATTATAAGATAAAATACCACAAAAGTCTTTTTAAGACTGACCTCCTGTGTTGATGAAGGTCTGATGAAGGATGAAATGGACAATTCTGATTCTGTAGAAAAAATAAAAAGATGAAATCAGGTGAATTAAAACTTTATTGAGGATGAGAACACACAGGATTATGTGAATTTATATATTTTATCTCTTAATATATCTCTGATATTAACAGATATGCTAGGTCTGTAGTAAGTCTGTTTAGCTTGTGACCATGGTTAAGTCTTATTAAACACATTTAGGTCTCACAATTAAACTTCAAAATGTAAATAACCCCAAACATACAAACAGAGTGTGCATGCATGTATGCGTATCACCTGGTTGCCTGGGTGACAGCCCCCCTCACATCCCCACACCAGTTGCAGGAGTCAGACACCTTTAGCAAGTACTGATAGTCTTCAAACACCTCACGAGGAGCACGGATCCCAAAAAAGACCTTATCATCATGAGTGATTTCCTGAAAAACAGAAATTTGTGTTATATTAGGTTATGTGGCATAGATATACATATGTGTTTTTGTTAATAAGGGGATCATGTGACAGGTTAAGATAGAGAGGGCAGACTGACGGTAACTGTCATGTTCTTCTTCTGCAGCTGCTGGATGAACGCTCTCTGTCTCTGAGCTTTTGGATCAGACTCATCTTCCACTTTCTCACCTACCAGGATGTAATCAAACGTCCTCTGAACAGGCTGTGATACACACACAAAGAAAAAGACAATAAAACAAATTAAAAGTTACAAAAATACCTTAAAACTAAACAACCATTCAGACACATACACATCAAAACAGTTAACAGGGTAAAACACCTTAAAACAGATTTAAATGACTTTCAACTTATCCAAACATGTTAAACATTTTTCAAAGTTTGAAACACAATGCAAAATACCTCAAAACAGCACAGGATGTTAAAACACCAGTTTTTACCACCTCTGACATGTTAGGTATTAATGCTGTTCCCCTAGTTCCCACAGTCAGGACCACAGTCATGTTCACTTCTACATGTTTTTACTTCTCCATGTTTATTTCACTAAATTTACTTCCTTCCTTGTGCTATATATTGTTTTAGACAGATAAACATGTCATCTTGACCATGTACATTAGATTTTAAAGTTCATGGAAAACCAAAAGTAATGAAGAACTAGAAAAGCACTCGAGGAGCGCAGACCTCCGCCAAGCAGCTCATGTCCCCCCTTATATTGTGATTCACACCAAAACTTTTACTGTTACGTGTCTTTTATTCACTTTTATTTGTGTTTAAACTGGTATGTTCACTGTTCATAATGTTCCTAAAACAAGAAATGCCCTGACCCGGATTCGAACCCAGGTCCTTCTTGCTGTGAGGTGACAGTGCTAACCACTACACCACTGTGCCGCCCATTGGTTATCTTACAGCATTGAAAATTCCAACGACACCCTTATTTTTGTGTGTTCTGGATCACAGTATCCGGAATTTTGTCTGGATCAAGATCAACCTTTGACCCCTCATAAAACTCATTGAGATCCTTTTGTGTAATTTTCACTAAAGACTCTGGACATTTTTATAGAGTTAAATGCAAAAATTCCCAAATTTGCCCTATCTCACAATGATAAAGAATCCTTCAAAAAATCCAGAAGGCGATCCGGATCACCACCAAAATGTAATGGGATCCTCCTGGGGCTGAGACGCACCTCTGGTGAAAATTTCAGGTCAATCTGTCTGTAACTTTCTCTGTAAAGTTGTTCACAGACCAACAAACAAACGAACAAACCAACGCTACCGAAAACATAACCTCCTTGGCGGAGGTAATAATTTTACTTGACATAAAACATGAGACTGAAGTTCTGTTTCTGATACACAGTTTTAAGGCTCAGTTTTGAAGCTAGCACAAAGTAATGAGGCTACTACCATTGGAATCTGACAGTCATAATCATTCCAATGACATTAGTTATGTAACGCTAGTTTACCTGGAAGTGTCTTAATCATTGCTTCAAAGTTGACTCTATTTACAGTGAGGTAATATTTAATAAAGGCCAAGTCCTGTGAGTTCTATGATGCAGAGACATTTATGATCATGATAAACTTAAGCAACCTGAGAAATGTAGCCTAAACGTGACCAAAGCTACTGTCATTTCATCTGACTGTATTAAACCTCTTGTTATCGGGATTGGCTGTTAAAAATAGGATATTGCTTGATCACTCCTCTATAACACCACTTTCCCTGTAGCGCTTGTCCAGGTGATGCGAGGTGGACGGTAAACAGGTCATATGATGCTGTCTCAGGGCAAAACACACTTACAGTACCTTGAAAAAGTCTTCATACCCCTTGAACTTTTTCACATTTTGTCACTCTATGACCACTAACTTTAAAGTATTTCATTGAGCTTTTTTGTCATAGACCAACACAAAGTAGCACATAATTACCTCCGCCAAGGAGGTTATGTTTTCAGTGGCGTTGGTTGGTTTGTTTGTTTGTGTGTTTGTTTGTTTGTCTGTTAGCAACTTAACAGAGAAAGTGACAAACGGATTGACCTAAAATTTTCACCAGAGGTGCGTCTCAGCCCCAGGAGGATCCCATTAAATTTTGGTGGTGATCCGGATGGCCTTCTGGATCCAGGAATTTTTGAAGGATTCTTTATCATTGTGAGATAGGGCAAATTTTGGAATTTTCTGCATTTAACTCTATAAAAATGGCCAGAGTCTTTAGTAAAAAATGACACAAAAGGATCTCAATGAGTTTTATGAGGTGTCAAAGGTTGATCCTGATCCAGACAAAATTCCAGATACTGTGATCCAGAACACACAAAAATAAGGGTGTCGTTGGAATTTTCAATGCTGAAAGATAACCAATGAAGATACAAGGAGGTGCACGCTTACAAATATTGCATAATAAATCATGCATTTATGTATCTAATATGAGCTTTGTTGTTGTAGGAACATTATGAACAGTGAACATACCAGTTTAAACACAAATAAAAGTTAATAAAAGACACGTAACAGTAAAAGTTTTGGTGTGAATCACAATATAAGGGGGGACATGAGCTGCTTGGCGGAGGTCTGCGCTCCTCGAGTGCTTTTCTAGTTGTGAAGTCGAATGAAAATGATTCATGGTTTTGAAAAATTTAAACAAATAAAAATCTGAAAAGTGTGGTGTGCATTTGTATTCAGCCCCCCTGTGTCAATACTTTGTAGAGCCACCTTTAGCTGCAATTACAGCTGCAAGTCTTTTGGGGGTATGTCTCTACAAGCTTTGCACATCTAGAGACTGACATTTTTGCCTATTCTTCTTTGCAAAATAGCTCAAGTTCAGCCAGATTGGATGGAGAGCGTCTGTGAACGGAACTTTTCAAGTCTTGCCACAGATGCTCAATGGGATTTAGGTCTGGACTTTGACTTGGCCGTTCTAACCCATGAATATTCTTGGATCTAAACCATTTCATTGTAGCTCTGGCTGTATGTTTAGGGTCATTGTCTTGCTAGAAGGTGAATCTCTTTCCCAGTCTCAAGTCTTTTGCAGCCTCCAACAGGTTTTCTTCCAGGATCGCCCTGTATTTAGCTCCATCCATCCTCCCATCAACTCTGACCAGCTTCTCTGTCCCTGCTGAAGAAAAGCATCCCCACAGCATGAGGCTGCCACCACCATGTTTCACAGTGGGGATGGTGTGTTCAGGGTGATGAGCAGTGTTACTTTTCCGCCACACATAGCACTTTGCATTCAGTTCAACTCAAAGTTCAACTTTGGTCTCATCTGACCAGAGCACCTTCTTCCACATGTTTGCTGTGTCCCCTACATGGCTTATGGCAAACTGAAAACGGGACTTTTTATGTCTTTCTGTCAACAATGGCTTTCTTCTTGCCACTCTTCCATGAAGACCAGATTTGTGGAGTACATGACTTATAGTTGTCCTCCTGTGGACAGATTCTCCCACCTGAGCTGTGGATTTCTGCAGCTCCTCCAGAGTGACCATAGGCCTCTTGGCTGCTTCTCTCACCAAAGCACTGAGGCCTTCACACAACAGTTGTATTTATGCTGATACTAAATTACACACAGGTGGACTCTATTAACTAATTAGCTGACTTCTGAAGGCAATTGATTGCACTGCATTTTATTTAGGGGTATCAAAGTACAGGGGGCTGAATACAAATGCACACCACACTTTTCAGATTTTTATTTGTTTACATTTTTGAAAACCATGTATCATTTTCGTTCCACCTCACAATTATGTGCTACTTTGTGTTGGTCTATGACAAAAAATCTCAATAAAATACTTTTAAGTTTGTGGTTGTAGAGTGACAAAATGTGAAAAAGTTCAGTGGGTATGAATACTTTTTCAGGGCACTGTACTGTTAGTTTCAGTGATCATGATTAAGAGACAGGTGTGTGTTTGAACAGGTAAGAGAAGTTAAGAGCTCATTTTCATGTTTTACTGATCTGAAACACAAACACGCACAAAGTGAGCTCAGTGTGTGTGTCCAAGTGTGTGTGTGTGTGTGTGTGTTAGCTCAAAGTGTATCTGCTCCGAACAGTCAAATCATCCCTTAACTGAAGTAGATAAATGAAGTGTGTTTGCATGCTGAGAAGCGTTACCTGCTCTGTATGAAAACATGACACACACCGAAACACACACACGCACAAAACACAGAAACACATTTACCGTAGTAGGCAGTAAGGGCTCAGTGCTGTCCTTCCGTCTGTTCCACAGCTCGATATTTTCCTACACACACAAACACACACACAGAAAGAGGTTAGTGTCTGATCTACATAGAAAGCATGACTTCAGAAAGTAACAGTGCGCTTGTTGACCTGTGGTGAGTCAGCGCTTACCCTTTCTGGATTCAAATGATGTCAGTTATCTCTGACACATGTAAACTGGTGTCTGGTTATCACCTGCTGACTTCAACACAAACTCTTTTTTTTTTTTTAATCTGCCGCTCATGAGGTAACCAGGTCACAGGTACAAGTGTTTCTGCACTTACAGGTTAAATAGTACAACTTGTACCATCCTGGCCAAAGTATTTGTATTTCAAACGTGCCTCCACCAGACATGTGACTGAAAGTGTTTCGATTGTTCTACATTTTTCTATTTCTCTTCAGCAAAAGCAGAAAAAAGGCTTTGAATGCCACTGAAAATATCCATCATCAAAGTCAACACAGAAAGAAAGTACCCTACAGGGGCTTGAACCCAGCTGCTGGTTACTCTCTTTCTGAACTTAAGCAGGAGCAGTATTAAACTACTTCCCTTAAAAAAAAAAAAAAAAATAGGCCATTCGTCTACAACAGCTGCAAACATTTATAGCTTCTTACAGCATAACAGTGTAAAAGTTAGTCATCAGATAAGAAACAGCTAAATTTTATGAGTTCTCTTTATGTTCCCTATCCTCTCCTTGCTGCTGTTTGCTCTGTTTGTTTCTCTTTTACTAACTTGCTGAAAACATGTTGCTCCAGTTATTTCTACCAGAAAGACCAGTCAGTTCTCAGTGACCCGTGGATCTGTAAGGTAAGAAAACAAAGCAGTGACACTCTGACTGAACCCGAGAGAGGGGGAACCTCTTCAAATAGTTGAAATCACGTAACCCTCAAAGAAATTCCCTGTTAGATCTGAGAGTCAGCTTGTTGTTGCTAAACAGTGAAGCAGAGAAACTTGTGTTTTATTTATCTGTTTATGTCAACTCTCAGCTCAGATTCAGGAGCAGATCTCAGAGTCTTTATGTTTGTGACTAACAAAGTCTGCGGGTCCAGACAAGACCCCCAAGCTCCCACCCTCCTTCTCTGCTGTGCTGTTTTCACTATCTGCTATTTTAATGTCTGCTGTGCTGCGTTCACTGTCTGCTAGGGCTGCTCTGACATCACAATTGTTAAAACCCCTATGATTTCACATCTGCATCATCACACACATTTACAAAACTTAAAACCTCTTAAAAACTTAAAAACTCTTAATTCTTAGAAGACTGAACAATTGTTAAAAACCGTTAGGTCTACCTGTTTGTTAACTTGAGCATGTTTGTCTGTCTGACTAAATGATAGGAAATCATTAAAGTCATGCGTACTGCCACTGAAGGGGACCCTGCATCACTTCTTATATTGAAGTTTGCGGATGATACTGTTACAGTGAGCCTGCTGAACAGTGCTGATACTTCACATGGTTCTGTGTTTAGATATTTCCTGAAATGTTGTGAGGAATCCCTTTTATCTTTCAATGTCTTAAAGACAAAGGATATGTGTATTGATTTTAGACACGCCCAGCCCTCTACTGTAAGTAAAGTGGTTGATGGTCAAAAAATTGAAATTAAGTCCTCTAAATATTTAGGCACTATTATTGACAATTAACTGTCATTTGATAATAACACAGACTCGTTACATAAGAAGAGATATCAGTGTCTTGTCTTTGAAACCTTCAAATTCCAGATTGATTCATCCCTGATGACAATTTTATATCGTTCTTTTATTGACTCTATTACCACATTCTCCTTCATTTGTAGGTTTTAATCTGTGAAAGTTAAAGACAGAAACCTACTCAACAAGGTTGTCAGTGTTAGCAGTAAAATCATTGGGTCTGTACAACAACCTTTACAAGAACTCTACAACTAACAGCGGATTAAGAAATCCAGCTCTATCTTGTCTGACTGCTTTCATCCCTTACATAAACTGTTTCAGTTTTTACCATCAGGTTCACTGCTTAGACTCCTATTTGCAAAGACAAACAGATATAAACACTCCTTTGTACCGTCCGTCAAGAGGAAAAGGTAGTCACGGTGAAATAACCTTCCCTCCTAACTTATCTTGGGTCTGTATTGCGATTTGTAATGTATTGTAATTTCTCATGCCATGTGTTTTGCTTATTTTGTCTTATGTGCTCCTGCAAAATTAATGGCCCCCTTGGGGACAAATAAAGATATTGATTGACATTGATTGATTCTTTGCTTCTTTTTGAGAGTGATAATACTCACTAAATCAAATGCCAGATTTCTCTTGTCATACTCTGAGTATATTGTAAGTATTTTTACACTGTTCTATAGAAATCTAAGGTTTTAACCTTCTTCCTGTGTTAGCTTTTACTACGCACCCACTATGTTAAGGGTCGGTTTTGACCCGTGTCTTAAATCAGCTGTAAATTACACATAAAAAAAAAATTCTCTATCATCCAATTTGGTTCTCATCTCTAGGTTACCTTGTTAGGCTTTATTATCCATGAAAATATTGCTTATAATAGCTTTCGTTTCGGCCTCTGTGTCTTTCTTTGTCAGGATAACCCTCACACAGACATCTATGCTGAATTGATCTTACATGTCTGGACATGCCCGACATTGTTTTCAGTGCAGGAAAAAACACGGCAAAACGAGAATCTCCTAAATCTCACATGATTGAAAGAGGATCTGACTGTCAGTGTGGTGCCTGACAGTGCACTTATGATTCCAGTTTTTGCTCTAATTATTAGATATTAATCTAACCAGGTTAACAGCGACCCTAACACGACAAGTGCCATAATTTTACTAAGAGCATTTTATAATTTAGTCAATTTAAATTTTTTATTCGGTTGATATAAAGTTTCCTGACAAAGTCAAAAATTATTGATGCAAAAAAGCTCATTTCAGTGGTTCTTTTACGCATTTAAAAACAAAAACGGGTGGGTGCAGACCCTAACACCAGAGGAGGGTTAAAGCTCTTTTTCTAAACTTTGTTTCACGCTGATCCAAGCTGCTCATGGTAGAGTGAAAGGGAGAGCTGTTCTCGGGAGGGGCCATGCTCATGCTCTGCTGTTAAGGAAGAGAGGGAAGGTGCATTCCATTCCATGTGTAGGACGTCACAGAAACAGCACAGCAGGCAGCACAGTAATTGTAATTGAAATGGAGACCCAATCAGTCACCCGGCTTCTCTGTCTGCTTTGGGGGGAAAGTGTGGTAAGCTGGGAAAGTCTTCAGGTCGGCACACTCCTCAGAAAGATCGTGTCGTCTAACCTCAACATTAGGTCAACACAGTCTACAATAGGTCAGAGTCACAGGTCACCAAATCCATAATAGGTCAGCAAAGTCTTTCGTCAGTACAGTCAACAGGTCAGTGCAGGGCTCATTGCTTTTCAGTCTTCAACTCATAAATGAAGCTAATTAGGAAGCTAACAGGCCTTTGAATACCAATACACCAGAAACTGGATATCAGACTTCCTAGTAGACAGACCATAAGTCTTGAGGATCGAAAGCAGGATCTCTACAGAGCTCACAGTCAACACTGGAACCCCTTGGGCTGCTGCGTCACCCCAAAACTGTTCTCCCTGTACACATACTATGACTGTGTCTCCATCCATCAGGAACATTATCACAAAGCACACAAGGGGACACCATTAACCTGAGATTTTTTAAACGTTAGGGATGAGTTTTTATACAGGGACTAAGTCCGTAAGTCCATAGTCTATGGACAGGGAATTACCCTGGTCTTAAAACAATAAATAAATTCTGGACTCCATCGCCCCTCACCATCAACGGGACTAAGGTGGAGTGGGTTGACAGTTACATGGTCCTTGGTCTCCCCATTGCAGAAAACCTCAGCTGGGCTAAAAACACTGAAACCGGCAGTTTCATTTGATCAGACTGCTGAAGAAGGCTGGACTTAAACACAAACCTTTCAGGCAGGCTTACAAAGACAAGAGGAAATCACTTCAACGAGTCATCAATACTGCAGAGATTTTATTTGCCCTCCATGAACTCACTCTACACAGTGCTGCAGAGGGAAAGCACTTCCCAGAGACAAATACTGTCCAGCTGATGATCTGTTCAGGTGCAAGGATGACGACTTCAACCTAAGACACCAACCCAGAGAGCATCTCAATTCATAATTCATGTCCTGTCTCACCAAAGCTTCTTTCCAGCTGCTGTAAGACAAATCTCAAAAGACATTAAGACAGAAGGGAAATACTTCATCAGAATCGGCAGCTTACTACCAAAGTGCAATTACAATGTGCAATACTACCAACATGAAACCATAATAATGCACAATAATAACAAAGTCCTAATTGCACTGCGCAATAAAGATGATGTGCAATAATAAAAATGAGCAAACCAACAGAGCAATATCATGTGTGACAGTTGTGAAAGATATAAGAGAACATTAGTTTTGTAGTTGGGTGTATATTTCTTGAAATGTGAATATTTCTGGCACTTTCTTCTCTCTGTAAACACAGTTGTATTCTTTCTGACCTTAATCTTTTACAAATAGTTTTATTTTATTTCCCCCTTTATCTCAAACAAACACCTCCGTAACACAAGCTAATATGACGCGTCACACCTACCACCAAGTGACAGTTCTAAGAAAGGCAGAAGTTTCCGTCGAAACATGCCAAGGTACAGGAAAAAGATTATATGTCTGTGTTACAGGACAACAATAAATAAATAAAGGAAACTATTTCTATGTTCCCGCAAAAGGTGAACAGACGAGGCATGACCGTCCTGTCAAAAAAAATGACAGGAGGGTTGCGCTTCCGTAACACCAGCTAATTTGATGCGTCACACCTACCACCAAGTGACAGTTCTGAGGAAGGTGAAAGTTTCCGCCTTCCTCAGAACTGTCACTTGGTGACAGCTCAGACATCTATTTCATGCCTCAAGATACGTGAAAAAGATTATTGAGGACTCTAGAGGACTCTAGAGGTATGGCACAACAATTACAATGATTTTATACTTTCCTGACTGTGCAAATAGCAATTTACATCCTTCCTCGAGTTAATTTCGGTTTAAATCAATTCAATTCAATTCTGTGAAGCCCTAAACAGGTCAGCACAACCACAAGGGCGGTACAGTCTACAGCCTAGCATAGTCTTCACCGGTTCAGCACAGACACAAGTCATTCGTAACCACAGCAGGGGTGCTAGAGATGTGACTTCAGTTGTTTGAAAGGCTCTTTTAAGTGAATGGTAAGTTTTTCTCTGCTGCATTGTCCGTGATTTTAATTCCCTCTGCCTTTCCGTTCAATCAGGCATGTCATGTGACAGCATTGCATGTACTCCCTATGGTGATGCATCACATGGTAGCACAGCGTCCTCTCACATTGCTCACCCGAGGGATACGCTGTTTGAGCCGAGCATCATCACAGCGACTCTTGGCGACTCTCCCACCAAATGCGTACTATGCTACTGCGCAAGTGGTGGAGTGCGTACAACGGTACTGTGCAATGTTGGTTTCAGGAAATGGAGAAAAAACGCAGAATTACAGAGAGCTTTTTGGCTTCAAATCCATACATTGGCAGAAGGCGGAACCAAGTTGTCCATAGTATATACAGTCTATACCTCCAGCGTATCATGATCAGTGGGGTATTAGCCTAAGATTGACAGGTCGATCGTGATCGACTGGTTGGGCACCTCTGATCTACAGGAAGGCCTATGCACATATTGCAGGTCAGCTCTGTTTACAATTTAGCACATGGCAAAGAAGAGATGGTGATGATATAAGAATGTAACTAATCATAAAAACTTGGTTTTATGCCATTAACAGGACAAGATGGAGCAAAAATGGTAGACAACACTGCCAGATGCTCAAAATCTACTCTTTACCCACTGTGTGTCTGCTCTGTTAGACTCGATACAAGTGATGCATTACTAACAGGGGTTGAATTAATACAGGGCACAGAGTTAATTTTGTACATCACAATAAGCATGCCAGAAATACAAGTCCTGCATCCCTACAGCATTTCCAAAGACGATTATGATGTCTGTGACATAACCAAAACAGTCCTAAAGGTGACAAAAGTTCAGATTTGGAGTTTGCTGTCCTGTTGTCTGCAACCAGCAAGTCTACAATAAGTCAGCGCAGTCTACAACAGGTCAGCAGGGTTTAAATTACAGCAGTGGTTTTGCATTGTCAGGACAGGCTACTGTGTTACGGGTCACCACACTCTTCACCAGTTCAATACAGTCTTGTAAGTCTTCTAGGAACCTTTTGTTGATGGGTCTATATCAAGACAGTTTCTATTTTAGGACAGCTGACGCAGACAACCAGGTTATTTTAAGACCAGTGGCGCGTGTTCATGTTTATAATGTTTTTTTTTAGCTACCCTGGCTTTCCAGAGCAAGCAGCACTACAGGAGCCTTACTTGTCCATAAAGCTGTCAGCCATGGTGTTTTACACCTTCCTATAACCTCAGATAACTTATCCAAACTACAAGAGACTAAAAAATGAACACTTAGACATATTCCAGCAGGATGAGAACTTCAAAAAAACAGCTGTCATGTCATCTATCTTTCATACTGTCTTTGGCTCATACCATCACAGATGATCTGATAAGAGGTGATCTACATTCAGACTTCTGCAGTGAACTTTCATCAGGGTGTGACCCAAACTGCTCCCACCACTCATAAAATAGTTCTTTCTCTCTCTGAGACACACAGACACACAAACACACTAAACCATCCAGAGAGTTGAACAACGATAGAAGAGTTAAACTTCAGCGTCAGCCCAAAGAATAACAGACTGATCACTCAATATCAATAACTGTTTCTAATCTCTGTCTGCTTCACAGTGTGACAGCTCAATATGACATTGCTCTCAATTTAAACTGAAAGTATTTCTGCTGGAAATTTAAAGCAATAAAGCAATTGAGTCTGATAAACAGACGGCAGGTTCACTGATGATGATAAATGCGTAAACTAGATAGAAAAATAAATTTCTTCACATTGAGGTGGTCCTCTATGTAGACGAAGATGATTTTCAGTTAAAAAGTTGACAAACAGATGCTGGTCAAATCTACATGACCAGTGTGATTTTCATTTATTTAACCATTTATCTGCTTTTTTAACAGGGACAGTTCTTGTCTGCATGGTTAGGTCTGATTAAAGAGATCCCATGCAGTGTATAGAGGACTTGCTAATTTGCAGTTCTTGTCCCTGGTTAGGTTGTTAGGAATTAGTCTGTAACATTAAAGACTTTAAAATGAACAGTTTTAGCAAACACAGACAAGTGGACACGTATATGCATAAATACTAAGAGCAAAGCAGACATAAAACAAGTAATAACTTTAATGAATAAAAACTAATGATTCATGTGGGCAAAGTCAGGGAGACATATGCCTTAGTTTAAACCATAGTTTTAATCTGTTAAAGAGTATAAATTGTAAAAACTGTTAAACTGTCTTCAAATTCATCCAGCTCTTCATTTTACTCTCTCATACACAGATGAAAAATAGATTGAAAAAATGTAAACACCTTCAAGCTGTTTGGTCATTGATATTTCACTCTATTCATTAGGAAGGTTCATCGAACAGAAACTTTACAGCAGATCTATAAACTGATCTGACACTGTAGTTCAGCTCAAAGTACACCAAGTTAAAGTGAAGAAAAGTGCAGTTTTAAGTAGGTTACTGTAGTATTCATTTACATTGTTTATTTTCTACAGTCAAACTAATATGTTGAACTCTGAATATAAACTCTGGTCAAACTGTTAGCAGTTGGCTGAGGTGTGGGTGGCTGTGCGCGCGCGTGTCTCTGTGTGTTTGTATGTGTATGTGTGTGTGTATGTGTGTTTACCTGAGTGCTCTTGAAGAACATGTTGGCTCTGTTCTCGTTGTTGAAGTGAGGAAACATGGCTAAGAGTTTCCCTTTCTGTAAGTCCATCCATCAATCAGCCTATCACGGTCATTGAGATAATCAATAACTCCGATCCGCGCGGCACTTCCGCATTCCGCCTCAGCCTGTGTATGTTTGTGAACGCGCGTAAGCAGGTAAAGGTGTGCCGCGTCACCTGGAGCCGCCAACGTCACGCTTTTTTGGAGAGGGACATGTACATTGTTGCATTCAGGGTCCAAGGTAAAACTGGGAAATACCGACATTTTATATACTGCCGTTATTAAATACAACAATGTTCTGGTAAAAATCCTACTTGTTTGACTTCGTCAAACAAGTAGTTAAAATAAAAATTCGTCACAGTTTTTTTTATAGATAACGATATCCTTGAAATAATCCACTGAGGTAAAGGACATTTTTAAAGTGGCATATAATTTGAAATGTTTTTAAAAACTATAAATTCATCCAAATTTTTACACTTACCAGTACTACTCTTTTAGTTGAGAACAGCAGATGGTTATTAGAAACTGTAATATACTGTATATAAGACTATCATTCATTCGATTAGTTAGTTTACCAAAGTTCTTACTGATTCACTGAACTGATCAGTCATCACTTCAGCTTTTTTTGTCATTCATGACAGGGCTGGTGTCAGATATTCCTGTAAATGAAGGGAACAAATGCAGTAAAAACAAGGGGAACTAGATTTTGTTGCAGTTTAAAACAGACTGACAGTCAAACACTGTAAACCAGATTACTTTTCAGCTTTTATAGATTACCAACCACATTTATATGGTTTTATTTATACTCTGTTGGAGTTAGAGATATGGCGGAGGACTGGTCTTTAAGGATCTGGACAGCCTCCTCCTCTTGTATGCCTCTCTTATGTGGGGTCTCTGTATTGGTTCCCCTTTCATTCACATGCTTGAAAATTTTCTACTGTTTAATTACTCAAATTTGAAGTTATTGTCATTGTCATGTTGTTACTGTCTCCCTACCGTTTTATGAACATCAATAATCTGCCCTCCAGTCTGAGTGTCTTATCTAATGTTTGCAACGACACTTGACACTAGGAGTCACCGTGCATCACTTGACTGTTCCTGACAAAAATTCAGTACAAAATACAAAATCAAAAAACATACTTACAAACAATCCTTTAATGAAGAAATGTCACATTTTCGTTTTTTTTTTTCAGGACATCATTAAAAATGATCAAAAGAATGATCAGATGTTTTCTTGCATTATCAAATAAAAAAACATCACCTTTATTATTGATATTGATGAACCCATCAGGTCTTCATCAGTCATTAAGACTACAACACAAAACCATTACACACTCCGTGATCACCTGTGAACACTAACGTCACTGTTTACAGCTCTTCCCTCTGACATTTGCGTTAACCCTCAGATACTCTGACATCACTGGTGGGTGTGGCTACAGGTAGGACAGGACTCCTTAATCGCACACTAAAGTCGTCAGAGCAGCAGGTGAATCAGAGGAAGCAATGAAGTTGACCAATCAGAATTTAGGGTTTAATTATGTCTGAGTAAAAGTCCTATTTAGTGCTCTTCACCCTCAGAGCTCTTCCTGTAGTTCTTACTCCTCATCCTCTTGAAGGAGGTGAACACTGGGGGGGCCTCCTCTTCACCCTTGCTTGTCTCCTTGTCTGCTTCACCCTCCCTGTGTTTCTTCCCTTCTTTCCCCTCCCCCTCCTCCTCTTCCTCCTGCAGGTGACTGAGGTGTGTCTCCTTCTCTCTGCTCTTCTCAGCAGGTTGTTCTTTCTTCGGCATGTTTGGTCTACAGAAGACCATTCTGTGCTGGGGCTCACAGGAGGAGGAGTCAGTGTGGCTCTGCTCCTTCTCCTTCTTCTTGTCCTCCTGCTTCTTTTCCTTTTCCTCTCCCCTCATCTGCTCCTCCTTCCTCTCCTGCAGATCTGACAGGAAGCTGAGAGCTGCTGCGGTGTTGCCATGGTCACTGGTCTCACTGACATCCTCCAGGCTGTAGTGTGTCCAGCGCTCTGGGTGCAGCAGGTAGTCGGGGGTCCATCGTTTCTTAGCAGCGATGGGAGGGTTGGGTGGAGGCTGGCTAGTCTTCCTGCTTGGAGGTGGAGCCAGAGGCCGGGTAAACACTCCATCTTTCTGCTGATTCGTAGAGGAAGAGGAGGACGAGGAAGAGACAAATGTAGAAGTAGAAGAGGAGGAGGAAGAGTAGGAGGTGGGAGTGGCTACTTTGTCCAAACAGTCAAAGATATTGTGTGTGCGGTGAGAAAAGTCTGAGCCCCCCCCTTTCAGACTGAACTGGCCCTGAACAGCTGGAGCACAGGGCTCCTCTTCGTCATCTTCATCACTGTTGTCCAGCTCAGGGTCAAAGATCAACGTGCTCGGCCTCTCCTCTGGCTCAGAGTCATCACTGGCTGACAGCTCATCTTCATCATCTCTGAGACCACTGCTGCCGTTTTTCTGATCACTCATCTGTGCACTGGGAGTCAGCAGACTGAGGAAGATGAGGATGAAAAAGATGAAGTCAGCACTTACAGAACACTCAGGGACATATGATGTGTGTTTAAACAGCTTAATAACAGTCAGGTTAAAGATGAAACATAGAAACAGATTATAAAACTAAATGTTTTACCACCATTATCTCACTTTAATCTAAGCACTGTATTTGTTATCTTTCATATTTGACGCATTATCTAAAACAGTGGTTTTCAAGTCTAGTCCTCGAGGCCCACTGTCCTGCATGTTTTGGATGATTCCCTGCTCCCACACACCTGATTCAAATGATCAGCTCGTTATCAAGCTCTGTAATGGCTTGATAACGAGCTGATCATTTGAATCAGGTGTGTTGGAGCAGGGAAGCATCCAAAACATGCAGGACAGTGGGCCTCGAGGACTGGACTTGACAATCACTGATCTAACGTTTAGTGACAGACGGGTTAAGGTTGTTTTAGCCTCTACAAACCTCAATTCAAAAGAGAGCTAAGATTACCTTGTTATATGTTACTGAAGAACAGAGTTTCTATTTTCACATCTTTAACAGCATTTCAAAAAAAAAAGATCAAATGCTGAGACTGAATTTTTTTTATTTTACGAAAGTATAATTAATTTACTTTGATGCCAGACAATACAAGTGCAAAAGTTGTGACAGGGAGGATATTCACCATTCACCTCCTATTTTAACAACACTCCATAAACATTTGTGGACCCAGGAGACTAGTTTTTGGAGTTCTGAAAGTGAAATGTTGGCCCACTCTTTTTTTTGGGGTGATGATGCTCCAAATATTTGTCAGTCAGGATTGCAGACAGGCCAGTGTGGCACCCAAACTCTTCTACGACAGAGCCTGATGTTGTCATATGTGCAAAATCATAGTCTGGGTGGCGGCATCTGTTACATTAAAACCTGTTCGCCATTAATGGTGCATTCCTAAATGTGTAAACTACTCATGTCAGGCGTACTTACGAATCTCCAAACCAGCAGGGATACTGGCCCCTGAACTGTGTGCTGATAACAAGCTGGTGGTCACTCTGTCCGTTACTTCTAAAAAGAATGTGTAATTTTGATTTTTCTGATTACAAGACAACCTGAGGACGATGATCATCCATCAATAATGTTCTCAGATCAATGACTTGATCACAATATAAGTAATGGAGGTCAAAGATTGCTGCTGTACTGTGCAGTCTTAACAGAGTTACACTGTTGACTTCAACACCTCTGCTTAAACATATCTGACTCTCTCCAGGGTATCAATCTGTCACTGTATCACAGCACCCCCTGTAGGACAAACCGCTGAGACACTGTGTGAGCAAGAGCAGCTCAGGTGTTATACTTTCTTGGACCTTTTAGATTTTCTCCCTCTCCCACATGGGGTCAAATTTGTTTGAATTCACCACTACAGCTGAATAGCAAACTCTTCATCAAGGTAGAGGTATCAGGGATGACTGCAAGCTTAAGGGCAGGCTAAGGGACTTTATGGAACCATGGCTTCCATGATCCATGAACCACAATTTTTTCACATTTTCCCTTTTTTTTTTTGGTGGCATACTTTTTTGTACATATGCTGTTTTCTAATCGGATATTAAGCATCTAGTATTTTTTGTAAAAATTGATTACCTTAAAAATGAACACTTCATAGTCTTAAAAACCTGGAGTTTGCAAGACTTTTCCAAGCTTTCATATTTTAACTTTGTCTTGAAAGCAGTTGATGTCTGTGCAGGCAACAAAACAGAACCTTAACTGACAGCCCTCCATATAAATATTTATATACAGCAGGTGAAACATGTAGTAAGAGGGTGTAAGGGCAAGTTTTCGACAGCCTCACCAGGATCCAGCATGGAGTTGAACATGATCTAACCTGAGGGTTAAGATGCTACAAGATATCTACTCAAAATCACTGTGGTCCCTTGAGTCTTTGGGTTATAAAGATTATCTTCTTCTCAAATTCTCTTGGGGTGTGAGGTGATGAAACTGATTTTACTTCCCCGATATGCTCAAAATACTCATAATGCTATGAGGGTACAGCCTGTTAGACTGATGCTGCAAACATGGTTTACTTGGATCTGGAAGACTAACAGATCTGGGTTATTGTTGTACATTGGTCCAAAATCAGGACTTCACACATTGAAAATTAATGTTTAGTGTCACAGGCTGCTCACCAGTTTAGATGTAGGTTGACTCAGAGGACCCACAGATCGACCAGTCAGGTGAGTCCTGGTGTTTACTGTCACTTTGTCTTTGTTGTGATCTGAGGTTGAAAACACAGGACAGCATTCAGACACATTGAGGAGGTGTTTCACAGTGACCTGTCTGATCAGTCTCATAGGTGTGTAACAGACAGGTGTGACAGTCTGTACCCATATGTTGAATTAATGACTGTAGTTTCATTCACAGGACTGACTTGCAGTTACAGGATGATTACAGGGTTTATTATTAGAACTTACAGCCAGTTTAAGTTTACGGTTTTATTGACAGTGTTGAAAGACCACATACAAAAAAACAAAGATGTTTACGAGGCTAAACTTTAAAGCACAAGGAAACAGGCGAACACCAGATCCAGTAATACATTTCAGAAAATTACAGGTGACCGTGTAAACAGCTGAAACATCAACGAGAAGAATCAGAATCAGCAAAGCTCGTTTAAAACAGCCGCTCCAGTCACACGGCTGTTAGCATGCTAATGCTAACTGTGTTTTAACAGAGAGCTGCGTACGTTCAGTCAAACTAGATTAATAAACAGGCGTGTTACAGCGCCAACAAACGACATAATGAAAAGGTAACACAAGCATTACTGACTGTACGGTTAATTTATTGAACGCGCATCCAAAAAACACAGACGTCTACCTGACTGCTAACGTCACATCCTTCTCCTTCTTCCATTGAATTTCCGGCAGTTTAGACGCAGCCAAGGCGTGTTGCTGCCCTCTACAGGTACTTAGCGCTGGTTAGTCAGCGCCTTAAGTTACACAGTCCAGTCCAATGCAAAGGAAGACATTTTTCGTGACGCTTCCAGCTAAAAAGTGTGTTGAGGTGATTTTCTCCCGACCAAACATGTTTAGGGATTTTCATTATGTTGCGTTTGTTTGAGTATCATGGGTCCCTGGGTAGAGTCAGCATTGCCTTTGACCAGGGCCGGCTCTACCTAAATTAGTGCCCTAGGGGAGATTACACCCCCCCCCACACACACACACACACACCACCACCACCACCACCACCACAGCACACCAGCCAAATGAACAATCACATACAGTTTAATTTTAACAACAGCAAACGTTCAAGTAAGTAATGAGAGTAGCTAAAAGAATAATCTCAATAGTCATAACAATCACAACTTTCAGGTAACTCTTTCAACTAAAACTGTAAACGTCTGGACTTCCTTGCAGCAAAAGCATCAATGGTATCATCAAATGACACCTGCCTAGACATTTAACGATTGGTGCTTATCAGTGCAAGTCCATTTAACTTCTCTTGAGACATGGCAGATCTCAGGTAGGTTTTGATTAACTTGAATTTGGAAAAGCTCCTCTCTGCAGCAGCCACTATCACAGGAATGGGGACAGCAATCCTCAGAGCTATCCACATGTTAGGGTAAGCAGAACCACATTTTAGGAAAATCATTGTTTATTCATTTAATATATTAAACAATATATTAATTAAGGCTGTCAAAGTTAACGCGTTATTGTCGCGTTAACTCAAGTGACTTTTATCGCCACTAATTTTTTTGACGCACGATTAACGCAAGCCTTAGCCTGGCTTGACCAAACTATACACACACTGCGTAGATATTCCTGCCGTTGTAAAAGGGTAGAGGAACCGTTGGTGAGGTGTCCAGGTTATGTGAGCCTCGGGGCACTCCGTAGTTTCGCGAATCAGGAAGTAGAGCACTGACTGATACCGCAGCAGACATAAACAAATCCCCGTGAGCAGTAACTAGGATATAATGGATAAGAACACGATTTTGAACAGAAAGTTCAGCTACAAAGCCTTGCCAGATGGCTCTCTTGACAGGACAAAAGTCATTTGTGTTTCCTGTCGAGCTGTATTTAGTTACCACCGGAGTACGTCTAGTCTCAAATATCACTTGTCCGCCAAGCGCACAGCTGATGCAGAGAGCCCCGGTAAACAGATGGAGAGCTCCACTAAACGCAAACTTGAAACAGAAATCGCTAAATGGGTGGCTACCGCTTGTCGGACGATTAGCATTGTGCAGGACGTTGGTCTGCGTGAAATCATACGGATCGCATCCAATGACTGGACATATGAATTACCTTGAAGGACCACCATTACCACGAAAATCCACGATCTGTTCTCATGTTGATTCTCATGTTGATAAAAGTATAACAATTTAAAAAAGATCGATTTAGAATGGATCAAAAATATGCGATCAATTTGCGATTAATCATGATTAATTATGATCACAATTCGATTAATCGCGATTAAATATTTTAATCGATTGACAGCCCTAATATTAATGTAACATTTTCAAGAGAGGACACACAAACTAGGGCGGCAGGGCATGGAAAACTATTTTAATTTTATGTATTTATTTATTTATTTTTCCTTGAGGCCAACGGTCTCTCCAGCAGATGGCACCCTGGGTGACCACCTATATTGCCATCTGCCCTGCCTTTGACATCTTTGAAGGCATATTTGTTTCCCTGATCCAAAACCTGCTTTTTCCTACAGGCATGTCTTCAGGATATTTTCACCCGGCAATAGTGATAGAGGGTAGACTAGGTTTGGGTGGATTCGATAGCTGCATGTAGGTGAATAAGGTTGGTAAGAGTAGTCCTGGAATTAGCATGCTTTCTTTATTTAGCACAGTGGTTATGAATAACTATCACAAAGTAGTGATTTTCAAGGGAATTCATATGGTGATAAGAAATATTTTAGTCAGCTGGTCATTTTGGTTCTCTCTCCTGCAGCTGTTATTGTGCCAAGGACCCTGAGTCTTCACCAGGGGAGACTTGCATGCCCCGGGAATGGGTGGAAAAGACACTAAGTTTACAGTTTGTTTGGTTTTTTTTTGTTTGGTTTTTAAGGAATTCTTCGTTCATGAATGCCTAATTTCAGTGATTTTGTTGCATTTTAATATAGTCCTCTCGTGGCACTTTTTCCCCTCAATTTGGACATTGCACAGTAAAAAATAAAAGAAAACTACTTTAATTTGTCATTCATTGTCCTATTTTGATATATTTTGATGACAAACTACCTTTTCTTGGGTATATTATTTCGGATAAAAATCACCAGGCGATATTGATGATGTTACTAATTTTAGCGTTATGTGTTCTAGGGTAAAGTGAAGTGTCTGTGCTTCCGGTTACTGTCAGGTCTGTGTGCATCTCTCTTTCTTGTAGTTTGTGCATGCTGTAAGAGCATGGGTTGCTTTTTCTTCCTCACCATATTTTCCATCAAGATGTTTGCCAACCATTGCAACTGCACTATTTATTGCACAATGCCCCAGCCTCAGTTTTGTTATCACCCCAGTGTCCCTCCTTCCCTTTGGTATTTGGTTGTACCAAAAAATTAAATCTGCCCTTGCTCCCCTGCTCCACTCTTTTTGCCATGCTCTTGTGATTTCTTGTTGTATTAAGTTCTTGTATTCTGCTCTTCCACATTGCACTTGTATTGCTACTTCCTTCCTATTTAGTGCTCTTTTTGCTGCATTGTCGGCCTCCTCATTTCCCTGTTCTCCTAAATGTGCTGGTACCCAGACAAAACCAACAGTACAACCCAATTTGTCTATTATTCCAACTATGAGGTCAGATCCAACTCCAATCTTCCCACCCTTCAAGTGCCATTAGTGCTGCTGCTGAGTCTGAGCATATAACTGCATGTTCAGGTTTGATTTCACCCACTCACCCACTCAAGTGTCCATATTATTGCCACAGTCACTGTAAAGACCGATGCCCAATCTGAAACCTGCTTCCCATACTATATTTACAAATGTGGTATACTCACCCCTGTTGCCGCCCTTCCATTGTTTTGATTTTTGGAGCCATACTTGTAAATCTTCATATCCTGCCCATTTGTCCTTCAGATGCTTGCTTGTTAAAGCAACTGGATTGCCTGCACCCTTACTTTTTTAAAAATCTTTTCTTGAGAGATCGACTTCTGGTTCTGGTAGGAGCCAAGGGAGAACAGAAGGCCAGCACACCACACCGCTCAAGGACAAATCAGGTATTCCACCTTCACTGATTAGACTAGATTTCCCTTCCTCCCTTAACACTATTCCCCTGCAGTTCCCAGTGCTCTTCTAAGATACTTGCACCAGGGACTAGGGACCCCCAGCTCTGCAGTTTAATCCAGTAATTCAGTGCCAGTTTTCCTCCTTCCCTAATGGCCTTGTTGTGCTTTGGGATAAAGACTGCCTCTCCTGTTTGACCACTCTCAGGGTCTTTCAAGCCATCTGTGTACATTGTTATTTTCTGACTGTAATGCTGGTTGATGTGGTTGATTGCTATTTCCCTATTTGTTATCAGTTTACACTTTCCTTTCAACTGGCTATGAATGCTCATGGCAATGGCTGGTATAATAAATAACCAAGGCAGTATTTTTGGAAGTGGCACTATTGGACTGAAGTAAAACTCATGTAGACCTACACTCTCTGCAGCTTTATTTGCCTCCCATCCAATCTCCCTGCCAGGCATCTTAAAAGATTATATACTTTTTTTAAAAAACTTGCCCTTTGGTTTTATCTATGTATTTGATGTTTCCAGTTCAGTTTTTTTTAAATACCCCCAGAGTCATTTGTTTATGCCAGTTGGAAAAACAGATCACTTGTGATTTTACAATGGATAGCCCTAACTTCACATCCCTCTCTCCTTTGTTGACGTTATCTGTACTGCCACCGGCTTCCCTCATGACACTGCCACTGTTGGTCGGAGGCCGCCATTAGTTATAACTCTGACTGTCTAAATTTACAATGACAAATCTTTCTGAGAAAATTTAATTTTTCATAATATAATGGTGACTTTTAATTTGTGTTTCTACTTTATCACAAGAGTAGCCTGTCAAACAACACAAAATACATATTAAGTAACTTGTGAGGGCAATAATTTCACTGAGTGGCAACAATATTCTGGATTGGCAAATGCCTTGTTGGTTAAAATATAAATACACATAAGACAATATTGACTCTATCCTGTTAATTTTAAAGGTGCAGTGTGAAGAATATTTGGCATTATCAAGCAGTGAACTGGGAACTCAATTAACATAATAATACGCATAAACAGTGAGAAAGTAGTGGGCACATATGAGTTCAAGTCAAGATTAATCAGGATGAGAGAAAACCCATAGACATTATACACGTAGACGCCTCATTACGGACTGGACCGTAATCCTGCATCACCGCCATATTGGATGGGTCTCCCCACTCCAGGCTCGCTCAAGAGCTGAAAGGGATCAATAGAGAACGAGCAACTATGCCCGTATTATTGCACTCTATGGATGAAAAACCCAACGCAGAATTAAAACCAGATCACGTAGGATTACATTTTCCAAAAATGACTGAAAAAGATATATTTTTTATTTAATGTGTGGCATTGTCCTGTGTTATGGCTACATCCTTGTCGCTGTAACAAACCAAACCGTGTGAAAATCGGACAGAGATTCAGAGAGTTATTGTCAATATGGTTGGGCATTCCTACCTACCTTAATGCACAGGAGGCGCACAGGAGACCCATCCAAGATGGCGGCCGCGCCGATACGAGAGCTCTAGTAGGCAGCGTCAGGCTTTGCGGCGTCTACGTATATTATGTCTATGAGAAAACCTCCCGTGTTTGAGGGAAAGTGTTCTCTCCTACGCATGCTCAATACTCTCTTCACCATTGGTCAATGTAAGTGATTTTATTAGAAGGTGGGACTTCACGCAGCAGCACAGTTCGTGATTGGCTGCGGCCCCTCAGACCGGGAACATTTTGAAAGTAGCTGGGTGGGACTGTGCGGTTTGTGTTTGTCACAGTGAGCAGACAGCGTTGGCTTTTAGTCCAGTCCTAATCATATTGTAGAAGTATAACTCTTAATTTTAACACTTTATGGAGCAAGAACCAGGACAACAACACTCCGCTGGGGGAGCAGTAAACATGGCGGACATCGTGGTAGAGGATGTGGAGTCCTTCGTGAATATTGATCTGGAGACAAACACCGAAACTTCAGATCACGGCATGTCCATCATTTCTCAAGGTCTGTTTAAAGTTCATGACAATTTTTTTCATTGTTTTCTGATTATTCAGATCATATAAACGTCAACTATCACTCAAGGTCTGATTAAAGTTGTATTATCTTATTTTCTAGTGTGATTTACTCAGATCAGTACAGGTCCGTTATCAGTTTAAACCGGTTTACAGCATGATTATTATATCTGAATATGATTGCTGTTGTAGTTTTTATTGTTTAATGTGAAAGGATCGTGTTTTGAATGACCATCTCTGTTAGCCTCATTAGTTAGCGACGTCACGCGCACAGCTGTTGGGACTTTGACGTCATTAATGGCGTTCAGCCTGATGTGATCCTGCCGCAGTGATCAGTAGTTGAGCAAACATGGCTGTCTCAGGTTATCCATTTTAAGACTAGACGCTACTCAAATAGGTTATTACAGCAGATACGAGAATCTTCAGGAATCATCCAATCAGCATTTATTAATTCTGTGGAGGCAACCTGGAGGAGTTAGACAGGTAGAGAATCTGTAGAGAGTAGGGCTGGGCGATTTGGCAAAAAAAAAAAAAAAAAAACGATCAGTGATATTTTGTCATATCATCCAATCTTGATTATTATCACAATTTTTTTTAACTACCTGTTTTAAAGAATCTGTACTAAAAACTAAAGAAGCTAGTTTAGTTAGTTCAACATTTTATTAACATACAAAGTAAATAACAAAGCAAATTCGCTGACATACCTTGCACATCGGCTTAATTGCTCAACGTCACTTTGGAGATACCCGAACTACCGCCGCACAACCGACATAGAATAACTTCTCAACAATAACATCTTTGGAGAATAACCCAAAGTCATGGCTGACAACTATTTTGCTGCTGAGCAGGAAAAGCTTCACTCTGATTGGCTGTTGTGACGCACATTTCCGCTGTTTGATCGAGTAAATATGCTCACAGCTGATCATCGTGATCGAAAAATTTATCACAATCATCGATCACGATCATATAATCACCCAGTCCTGGTAGAGAGTGCAGTTTACTAGACTGGAAAGAGGTGGGGGTCAGATCCCAAGATCCACAGAAGGCCAAGACAAGCAGCATAGCATTCTAAATAAGTTGCAGACACACAAAACACATATCAACATTTACTGAATCATACAGCAGAAGTCATCATTCAAAGCATCTAGGTACAGCTGGGTGCATCTTCCTCCTACACCAGGGGTGTCAAACTCAACCACAGCAAGGGCCATAATCTGAATTTAGGTCTCACCTGAGGGCCAAACAGGGTCAACATTTAACCCAAACTGTCAACCTTCTTCCCAAAATATGTAACAAAAACAGCAATGATTATAAATCATTTGGAAATTCAAAAAAGATACGTTTAAAGGCAATCTTTGACACCACTCATGGGTAACAGACAATTTATCCCAGGAATCGGGAGTTCTGTTTTTAGGTCTTGGTATGATAAAGGTATTGGGGTTATAGGAGACTTGTTTGACAATGATGGTGTTTTTATGTCTTTTAGAATGATTGAGAATAAGTATGGAGTTCCAGGAAAAGACTTCTTCACTTATCTACAGGTTCTCCATTTTATAAATGTGGGCATTGAGTTTCCTTCAGACCCACCCAGTCTCGGGCCTTTGGAAAAATCTATTATGTACTACACACAGAAAAAAGGTTTGATTACATACTTTTATAACATATTCTTGGGTCAGAACAAACACAACTTGGACAATCTGGTGGGGAAATGGGAAAAGGACTTTGGGACTGAATATGGTAAGGACTGCTGGATGAGTTGTATTGAATCTACTCACACCATCTTCCTAGGTAATAGGTTTAAAGAGATGCAATACAGGATTCCTCATAGACAACAACTCACCTGTCCTCGGGCTTCATCAGTCTGATTAACAGCCTGACACACAGATCTCTGCAGACATTAATAAATCTGTTTGATAACAGAGTAGTGTTTAAATCTGTCAATCAGAGCTTTGTTTGCTGTCTCTCTGATTATCAAACACTTGATCATATCAGACTGAGAGCTCACCTGACAGCAGATCAGGACAGTACCATCGTTTCAAAGTCTTTGTGATTAGAAATCATCCAGAGTGTGTTTAACAGAGCAGAAATGTGTGACCCACTTTATTCTGCAGCCCACCATACAAGTATCTGTCAGACTTGTTGCTGCATCCTCTGTACTTGTTAAACTTGTCTGACTTGTTTAAACAGCAAAACAAGGTTATAACATTTAATAGTTTATCATTAGTTTGAACTTTTTTACTTCATTATTGCTTTTGTCCTGGGTTACATTTTCTTGAGGATTTTTTTGGGTCATTTTTCTGCCCCTTTGTTGGGACGGCTTCAGACAGAGAGACGGGATACATCGAGACAGTAAAGGGGGATGACATTCACCAAACAGGCACCCTCTGTGGAAAAAGCCTGCTCTAGCAACTAAGTTAAACCAGCACCCTGAATTCCATTGAGTGTCATTTTTTTATAATGCTTGTTTTCCTTGTTCATTTAAGTGATTATTTTCAGAAACTGTCGCCCTGATGTCAGACAGGGTGCATTAGAAACAAAGAGGCTTGACTTCATGCTGCCACTTGCTGATGTAAAAGAGCCACAGCTAAAAAGAAAAACAGAAAATAAATCCTGAGTATGTGTGATATAAACTGATACAGGCAAAAATTGGATGTTACATGTGTGATTCAACCGGGATAATACATGAGTACTGGCAGGTAATGTGTTAAGAAGTAAATTATCTGTTTATGACCGGCTACTGGTATGTATGGATGATAAAGTGATGTGTTAATTATACCCATGCAATAACAGCCTATGTGCGTCAACAAGTTTCAACATGTACGGTAGTTGTTCTTGGTGTGAAAACTGAACACATTACATGGTCGGGTGTGGGTCTAGGGTCCTACCTGGTTGCAGCAAATGCGCTTGCATGACACTGATGACAGAGATACTGGTGTGCAAACTTTTCAAGTCACAGATCATCTATCCACATGACCAATAAAAAGTTCTCAGCCTTTGCGTCTGCTTTGTCAGTGGTGGATATTGTGAAGTGTCCCCCACAATAAATGTTTCCAATGACCTTATGCACAGGTGCAGTCCCTCTGCTGCGTGCAACACCTCTGCAATACAATGCAAGTACTGTATTGATCCCCAAAGGGAAATTTGTTACTTCTAGCTGCTTGATCTCATTGAAACATGATTTAAGTTCAAACACTGATAGCTCAATTAAGTATCAGATCACAAGTTGTTTATCTAGATTGAAAACAGAATGAAAATGTTTGTACTTAGCAATCAAATACTCCATACTTGATTAATTGTTAACATCCCAAACAGTAGAATTAAAAACTTGTCTAGTTCAGGGTTTTTAAAATTGCAAAATTAGAGTAACAGGTTAACTATAATAAAGAGTGGACTTGGTGTTCTTCACAGACAAAAAGGAGAATCTGTTTGTATTTTTGTTCGGCCAAAACGATTGAAAAATTTAGGCATGTAAGATATAAGCACAAATCTAGTATTGTTCATCCTGACAAAGTCCTTCATCATCATTGTCAGGCAAATCCTCTTTGATGACACACCTGTGTTTCCTCTCAGCTCTGTTCCAGGGTGCAGAGGATGAAGGCGACAGTGATGATGAAGATGATGAAGATGACGACGACAGTGGCACAGACCACTATAACTGCGTGAGGGGCGGGACTCAGCTGCAGAGGTGTGAGCGGCAGCCAGGCATGCAATCAACTGTTCCCGATACCTTTCAGACTAGTCACCTGCTGTTCTACGAGAGGTTCAAGGCCTACCAGGACTACATGCTGGGTAAATACAGTTCAACACATGCAGTATGAAAATAGAATAATTGTGATAATTAACAAAACATTGATCTCTATGTACATGTGTGTATGTAGGAGACTGTAAGCCCTCTGAGGTGAAGGCGTTTACAGCAGATTACCTGGAGAAGGTGTTGGAGCCATGTGATTGGCTGGCTCTGTGGTGCACTGACGTGTTTGATGTTCTGGTGGAGGTGAGAACAACCCCTGAAAACATACCCCCTTGTCTGTGATGCTGTCTTTCTGACGCACAAGTGTTCTGATTCAAAGTGGCTGAAGTGTTGAGTAACGCCAGGTTTTCTATCACCCTGGAGATCTGAGCAGACATGTTAGTGACCACAGCTCACGCTCTTCAGTCCTCAGTGTGTTTATGTGTGTATTCTGATGACCTGTTGGTCTTCCAGGTGCAGGACCTGGACCTGAAGGACCTGAAAGCGTGCGTGCGGTTAGTTCTTCCTCTACAGTGTGACACACGTGGCTGTGATCTCTCTGAAGATTCGATGACAGCTCTGCTGGAGGCCACACAACACAGAGTCCCCCTGCAGGAGGTGCATGCAGTCTATGATGCATCAGGAGACTTTGACCTGACTGCACTGGCTCTGGAGCACCTCAGGTGAGAATCTGCAGTTGTGACGCTGATCCTTGAACTCATCTGCTGCAAATCCTCAGATAGAGACAGCTATTCAATTTGGGAATCATACAGAGAAGAAACTGTTGTCTTGATCACCGTGATTCGAAAGGGGCGATGTTTCTTAATACTCCATCACAATTGCATAATTGATCATTTAAAGGTATGCAAACATCACTGGTGCATGAAGACACTAGGTGCTTGGTAGTGCAGTTTGTGAAGCATTACACCATTTTTGCTTTACGAGTTACACAGTGGCTTTGTCCGAAATGGATCCCTAACCCCTGTATAGATGACTATAGGGGGGTTAGTGCCATTTTGAGGGGTGTCCAAAACCTGAGTGATCAATTCCAGTGCCCCCATATTGGCGACTCAAAATTTCCTATAAAGCATTGCAAAATGTAGCGACCATCCAATGGTCACTCACCGGTGTTGGGCATCCCGTCATAAATTGCGTCTTGCCATGTAGTGTCCGAAACCTCGGGTGATTGAGTTCACTACATAGTCAACTATATAATAAAACCCCATATGAGGGTTAGGGATTAGGGATTGAGTGATTCATTACAGATACAGCCAGTGTCTTTTTATCTGAGCTTAAAGAAGTAGACTCTCCTTTTGTGCTAAAATATAAACAATTATACTTTAAAGTCTGGGAATTTGAAATCAATTTCTGCCTCTATTAGCCTGTTCCATATTTCGAGAGCTGGTACCTTCAGAAGTAGGGTTGCAAAGGGGTGGAAAATTTCCGGTAAATTTCCAGAAACTTTGGGAAGGTAAGCCTGGTGATTTTTGGAATATTCCAAATTGGAAACTTTACATAGGAATTATGGGAATTATTGGGAATTAACTGGAAATTGTGGGTAATTTAAACAAACTGTATCATATCCAAACATAAATGTAAATATATTTCCTTCAACATTAGCTTGTGTGAAATGCTTCCACACATCAGATGGTGAACGTGGCATTTTTCTGTAGAATAAAAAAACAAAAAAGCTTGTAAAAACACTAATGCAATGAACAGAGATATCGTTGGCTAAACAGCTGCAATGGTCCTCAAAATATTTGACTACTGATGTATAAATTATTGTATGGTTTCAGAAAACCGTCTTGCAGGAGTCAGAAGAAACAGCATCACATTTGAGGTAGCTACCACCACCATAATAAGCTAGCCCCTTAAATGGTCAATGAAATGAAAAATAGCTTACATTTAGCACATACTTTTAAGAATTTTTTTTTTGTTAGTTAAATATTGATACTATTAAAAATCAGATATATTTACCCCATAATATTATCAAAACTAATTTGACTTTATGTAGTCTGTGGACTCAAATGTCTTGTGCTCTGCGCTCAAAAGTGTGGCCTCCAGGGTTCAAGAAATCATCTGTGCGTGTGATGGAGGAATGCACAGTGCATGTAGGGGGTGTGGCCTCAATAGCCTTGCAGTACACAGTGTGCTGTGTGCATGTGATTGAGGAGTGTACTTGCATTAAATCTGGTTGTTTTAGCAAAGATTATGCTACAACATATTTTCCCCAGCTATAATTTAAGCTCCCTGTTGAGGGCCAACCTTCAATTTTGTAAATTTCTGATTTATTACCACTAATTCCCATGGAAAGTTTCCAACTTTGAAAATTTCCAGAATTTTGCAACCCTATACAGGAGTAAAATCAAATAAGAGAACTGGATGGGTTTGAAGATTTGATGTATGTGCAGGTTCTTCTACAAACACATCTGGAGGCAGTGGGATGAGGAGGATGAAGATGATGACTTTGATTACTTTGTGCGCTGTGTGGAGCCTCGTCTGCGCCTGTGAGTACTCTTACAACAGTGATGATGATGATGATGATGATGATGAAGGTGTGCTGGTTCTTATTCCTGTCTGAATACCTGTCTTTGCTTTCAGCTACTATGACATGCTGGAGGACCGGGTCCCTGCAGGTCTGGTGACAGAGTATCAGTCCCTGCTGGAGTCCTGCTCTAAGTGCTTCAATCAGTTCTCGGCTCTGCGCAGCGACCTGGGCTCAGACTCTGACTCTGAGCTTGATAACGTGTCCATGGTGGAGGGACTGAAGCTGTACGAGCAGCTGGAGACACTGCGCCGCAAACTGCATATCATCGAGAACCCTCTGCTCAGGTAAACACACCTTCATCACAGTCCCATATGGAACAGCCACTCACTGAACTGTCAACATCTCGTGTTTGTGTGTGAGAATTCAGCATTATTAGGCATCTACAACACTCTGATCAGGTAGGACCCTATCCCTCTTTCAGGTATGTGTTGGGTTACCGTGGCAACAGCAGGCAGCAAAGTGTTCAGAGTCGGGGTCTCAGGTGCACAGGTGTGAAGGTGATCCACGTGGTGACAGCATCCTGCAGCAGCCACCAACTACAGTCCCTCCTCACAGACCGCCTGCTGCCTCTGAGCTCCTCTGAAGACACACAGATACAGGTAACACACACACAAACACACACACACTTTGACTATGTTCAAGTCTGAGTGGGTGTGTGTGCAGACTTACAATATCTTAAACATTTTTAAGCAATTTATAAGGAGTTGAAGTCCTCACAGTGTAAAGTCATCGTCATCCGTGTGTGTGTGTGTGTGTTTTCAGTTCCACAGTGATCCAGTATCAGCAGTGGACTCCTGTCATCAGGGGGACGTGGTTTGTATTCTGCCTGGGACCTACAGTGTGACCAGCTCCATCTGCATCCCCGACTCCATCACTGTGGAAGGTACACACAAACACAAACACACTTATACACAAGTTTATCTGCATTTAAACTACATAGTCTTTGTTCTCTAACAGTGATGGTTCTGGTGGATATATGTGTGTGTGTGTGTGTGTGTGTGTGTGTGTACGCTCTTATGTGTGTCAGGGTTTGGACCTCCTGATGATGTTGTGATAGAGAAGAAGAACAAAGGAGACTCGTTTGTGGAGTCGACGGGACCTGAAGTCAAACTGTCCAACATCAAATTCATCCAACATGACGCCATCGAGGGAATCCTCTGTGAGTGCGCACACACACACACACACACACACACACACACACACACACACACCTCCATCCGTGATACAAATATCATAGCTGAACATTGTGCTGATGCGCTGTGTACTGTCTGTATTACCTGTGTTCGTCTGCCAGGTGTGCGTCAGGGCACTGTGAACATGGAGAACTGTGTGTTGCAGTGTGAAACCACAGGAGTGATCGTGAGAACGTCAGCCTGTCTCAGCATGAAGAGGTGTGACCTGTATGGGTCAAAGGTCAGACTCTATATACACACACTTTAATAGTAATAAAACAAAGAGTATATGTGTAACAGTGGCTAACAACAATGAAGTATTACTTCACTCTGACAGTATGGTCCACAAAGACTCAGCTGTAAATAAAACTGGTGCGTAGGATGAGTAATTATCAACTGTGTGTGTTTGCGTGTGCATGTGCAGGGGGCAGGTGTGGAGATTTACCCCGGCAGTGTCTGCAGTCTGACAGGAAACGGCATCCATCACTGTAAGGACGGGATCCTCATCAAGGTGAGACACAGACACAGGCCCAATCCCAAACCGCCGCCTACACACTCGTAGCCTGGCTGGGCCATCCTGTTGCGTGACTCACTTGCTGATTTTTTAGTAATTTTGATACTTAAGTAGAAAGAACGTGATATATTTAAGACTTGGACTCGAGTAGAATTCTCATGGGAGACTTTCACTTTGACTTGAGAGTCATTTTCTGGTGAGGCAACTGTACTTCAACTCAAGTATATTTGTTTGGTACTTCATACAACACTGTGCCCCATCCTTCACATCAATGTGAGCTGTGTGACCATGTGTATATTTGATCCATGCGATTATGTGTGTTCTTGATGCAGGATTTTGCTGATGTGCTGGACGTGATGCCGTCCATCACCATGGAGAACAACGTGATCCACAACAACGAGGGATATGGAGTGATTCTTGTGAAACCAAACAACGGAGAGACACAGAGAGCTGAAGGTAGAAGGATGATCCATTAAAGAGCTGTAGGGAGGGGGCACTTTAATCAAGGGGGACCACATCTAAGGGGGCGGGGCTACAAGTTTCCATAAAGTCTTTATTTAACAGTTTCATTCTGAACATTTAATCTGTCCTCAGGGGACTCTGCCGGACCCTCACCTGACCTTCTATTCACACTGCAACTTCCACCTGCAGAGAACCATGGCACAGAGGGTGGAGCTTCCACAGAGGCCGGAGCCTCCACCTCAGGCAAGAAGTGGGCGTTCAGCCGTCAGCTGAGCAGAAACAAAGAGACTTCCTGTGTGAGCCGAGCGGTGGAGGACCTGACGGAGCTCCCGGTGTTTGTGTCGATAACAGGAAACCAGTTCAGACGGAACGGGATGGGAGACTACGGGACATTCTACTACTAATCTACTCTCACATACACACCACACACACACACACTCAATTACAGACACATAAACACATTTTTGGACTAAGAGTGTCTACTTTTTTTGTCTTGAGCTCTGAGAGAAAGATGCCGATGACTCCACCCACAGATTGATCTGAGATTATTGTTTTTTTGCTTCACTGACAGCAGATCTGATCTGATCTGCAGAGATGCTGATGAAACAGGAAGTGATGTCATGAGTTACAAACGGAGCTCTGAACGATGTTTTTATCTAATTTATTCTTGGTGCTGCAGAGGCTAAATGTTTTATTTCTTTTATATTTTTTGAATGAATTCACTGGGCACTTTGAACACAGGTTTGATAGTTTGGGGTTGTTTTATGGATGTTACCTATCAGGTGAGATGGGATCAGGTGGTGTTTATAGTTCAGATATTCTTTGTTTGGTTATCACGAGGCATTCAGGAGTTGAAGATTTAGTGACATGTTTTCAGGCTGAGGGTGAAATAAATGTTGAGTTTTAGTTTTTTTCCACTGTCTGATCATGAAGTGAGTGTGTTTGATTTTTGTACAGATTGTTAAATGAATTTCCTGCAGATTAAAAAGGTCTGTTATAAACTCTAAATTGTCTCAGTTTGGTTTCGTAGAGGATGTTGCTCCTCTTTTCTCTGTCAGAGATGGTTGGGGTCCAGCAGCCACTCAAGCTGCTCTCACATCTGTGCCAGCTAACTGTCATTATTTCCCCTCTCTCAAGTCTAGCCTGATGCACCTTTTAATGATTCTTCAACACTGTTAACAGGCAGAGGTGAGACATTCTAGAAATTTTTTATCTCTACTGAAGATAAACAGTAAAAATAAACTGGTTTGTTGGTGGGGTTGACTGAGAGAGAGGATTAGTGACACCTTCAAACAATCAGCATGCTGATGCCTGTGTTAATGAGGCCGATGAAAGAAAATAAACCGATGATTACTGCAGACAGCCTCATTGGTGTGGCTGCCGTGGAGCAATACTAACCCCCTTTTAAATGAAAAAGGGTAACACTGCAGAGGATCCAGCTGCACCAACTCAATACAGATGCACTGTGAGGAGGATGGAGATGACATTTCGTAGGAAAATATTATGTGCACATGCTTTAATTGAATGTTTTGTCAGTACTTGATCAGTTGTTTGATTATGTGATCATAATAAATTCTTTTCACTGATATTATTTGTATCCTTCCTTTGAAACAAGAAGCAAATACAGAAAACAGAAAAGGGCCAAAAAGCGTTTTTGATGGGGTCATACTTACATGCCAATGTCTAAACTTTCCCTTCATGGGATTCCTTGGGTCATTTTTTCAGTTATTCAGGACATATTGAAGATACAATATCTGAAGAATTTGGTTTTGTTGTAGTTAGTATTGTTCAAGGAACAAAAACAATAAAATCTAGCAGAAAGAGCCAAAAAGCGTTTTTTGTGGGGTCATACTTAAAGGCCAATTTCTATACTTTCCCTTTATAGAATTCCTTGGGACTTTTTATCAGTTATTCAAGACATATTGAGGATACAATATCAGCAGAATTTGGTTTTGTTGCAATTAGAATTTTACAAGTAATAACAAAAATATTTATATAATCTACCAGAAAGGGCCAAAAAGCGTTCCTGGGGGGGTCATACCTTAAGGCCAATCTCTATACTTTCCCTACACATAATTCCTTAATACTTTTTTCATATTAAGGACACAAAATCAGCAGAGTTTGGTTTTGTTGCAATTAGTGGGAGGTTGACCCCCATTTTTGTGTTAAATGCCTGTACTATTCTGCAGCACAGTCTTTAAGCGGCCTTGGAGGCACACCATCTGGACCAGCTGCCTTCTCATGGTGATGTCTTCCAAGCTCCAACCTCACCGTTGTTTCAGTGACAGACAAGGGTTGATGTACTGGGAGGAAGGTGGTTGAGACATTCGGATGAGACGAAGGAGGAAGAGGAGAAGTTGTAGTGGAGATTTGTTGCGGAGAGGAAGGTGGAGTAGTAGTGGAAGTCGGTATGTCAGCAGTGTCAAATCTGTTGAAGAACAGGTTGAGTTCATCAGCTCTTTCCACATCACCCACGATGTCTGTCTTTTCTTTCTATTGCTGTGTCAAGAGATGGTGCTGATTCCTCTCCACACTTCACAGGTGTTGCTGTCGTCTCTATCTTCTTTTTGTTTTTCAGATTCTGTATTCAAACAAACAAAACAAGCTCTAAATGTTATGTTTTATTATACTGAAGTATTTTTATCATCAGGTGTAGGAATCAGATATTTGACATGATTAACCTCTTTAGTCCTTGTGCATTGTGCTGCTTTGCCCCATTCCAACAAAAGCTCCCTGTGCACTTTGTCCCGCGGGTGTCACTGTGTAAACACTGCAGGTAAATAAACTAATGAATCTTCTCACAGTGTGACCGCTCACAGCCCAGTACTCTGCTGTCAGATACATCCTCTTTCTCAAACACTTTTGCTAGAGGACAAGCATGGCTCTACATAATCCCATCCTCTACATACAACATGGAAAATCATAAAATGGTGAAATAATTTGAGACCTTCTTGTGAGTTTTAATGTGACACATCTGCAAATGGATTCTGTAGGTAAAACCCACTCCATGGTCTTAACTTCTCAATATTTGAAGGTAGAGGTATAGTCATTTGATTGTCCTTATGAATAGGAGGAACACGTGTAAACTCCTCCAATTATCATTCAGGGATAATTTAGTATAAACAACAATTTCAATCCATTAGGGTTCAAGCATGTTAGCATCAGCTTATCAACCACACAGAGTTCAGAGCAGCAGAGCTGTTATCTACTGCAAAGCATTTGTGAACAGATGGACCGGACAAGAATCAAACCACTAACCAGAGCTGAGCTACTTCTGTCATCAGGAGTTCGCTGTTTTTTGATAGATATCAAAGATAAAAGATAAAAGCTGAAACTGAAAAGATCGAAACCTTAGTAACACAAAGTTCTTAAATAAGCATGATTTTTACCACACAGTGATGAAGTTGAGATGAATATTTCTGTCATTAGATGTATGTTATTGTGTTTGAGTCAAAAAAAGAGGAAGTGTGTTTAAAGAAGGCACATCACATAATTTCATTTATTCAGAAACAGAAGTAAAGAAGGGTCACAGCTGCAGGAGCTGTTGTGGTTTTTATCTGTAGAAACAAGAAGTGGCTATTTTTAAAAATACTAACATCCAGGCAAACCTTAAACAAAGTTTGTTTGTAAAACCGGAACCTTTTTTTTTGGCATGTTTCAAGATTTTTTTACACAATGTGGATTTTTGCTGTCAGACAGCATGTGAAAATAAACAAGTGAAATAAATCCAGAGCAGAAGACATAATCGAAATAGAACAACAGACAGGTGCAGGTGTGTTCACCTGTTTGTACAACACAAACATAGAAATAGTTCAGGCAGGTAATGAGTGCACAGTTATCAGATTCATTCACATAAGGCAGAGTGTCACGCGATGCTAAAGCACATCCTTCTCAAAGTATTGCTTCATCAGGCCAAGAAAAGTACTCTCTGCTGATTGGTTTCTTCAGGACCATCTCCTGTTTGAAATGATGCATTCAGGAGCAGACAGACTGTAGGAAATGTTCAGAGGAGACTCCACAGGTAAACGTTCTCTCATTGGTCCTCGCTCAGGTGAGCAGCCTGCACCTCCAGTTCCTCCGCTGTCACCATGTCTGGACTGATGGCGGCATACCTTGTTCCGTGGAACTGACGCAAGTGGATCTAAAAAAAAAAAAAAGGAAAAGGAAATGTTTATTTAAAATAACAATAAAATCAGAAAAAATAAACCTAAAACCATTTGAAAGTATACTGCTTGACTGCACAATGAAGGATCTATAGACTGTAATACCTGTATGCAAACTGTAGTGTTGAGATTGGGATTGAGATTGTTTATTCGTTGAAATATACATACAGTACAATTTTAGACAAGGAATTCCTTGCCATACAATATAATAAGTGTGGCAAAATGAAAATCTGTATATATACTTTAGCACCTGTATGTAGGGTTTAATACCTGTATGTAGAGGTTGACCTCAGCACTCCTGCACAGGTAGGGGAAGTTTCCTCCTGTCTTTAGGTGAGCTCTTCTGGCATTTGGATACAGTTTATACATTTCCTCCTTGGCCTCTAGGGACAGTGCGCTCTGATCAAACACCTGCACACAAAACACCAGTCATTCAGATAACTGTGGTACTTACACACATGTATAAAAGTGCATCTATAGAGACACTTACGTCTATTATGGTCACAGCCACATCTTTAATTTTGTGCGGCTCTACGTAGGAATTCTGACAGTTGAGTGTTAGCCGCGATGCTAACTCGCTTTGGTTCAGACTCTCCAACTGCAGGGCATAAACACACAAAGGAAAGAGTTACACACACACCTGACAGGAGCACAAGACCTCTGAATCACACAGCCACATACACATTTATGAAAAAAAAAATCAAAAAGCTTTTTGCAACACCAGCCTGCTTTAAAAACAATTTCCATTCTTATATTTGCACACACTTGTGAAGAGAGGGGATATTTCACAGCATTAGCATTAGGGTGTTTCCAATACAGTGACCGCTTCAAAACCAAAGGGTGACATTAGTGTAACCATCTCCATGTTTTGCAGCAGACCACAAACCAACATTTGCATGACTATAGCCTGATAACAGTTAAACTACAGTCTAACAGACCGACTACAGCTTGGGTATGGACTCATCTGCCTGATCACAGCCAGACCTAAACCAAGCCCAAGTGCAACCAGCAACAAACAGACAACAGCCTGACATAGTGCTGAGCGATAGGACGATAGATATCGTGGGCACGATAGAAAATGTCTATCGTGCCATTTTTATTTTTATCGTTTCGGGCGATAGGCTATATTTTATCCATAGGGCTTGTGCCATCAGATGATTCATAGTAACGACAACAATAATTGCACATTCTGTAAGTGTATTTGGTGTCAAACGGGAAAGAAAACAATATTTTCTTAAAAAGAAAACGATGCGTTGACATGTAGGCTCGCATTTCTCTTTCGATTTTGAAGCCGTTTTACGTGCCCTCTTCGTGTCCAGCGTCTCCCGCCGTTGCGGGTTACCTGGGTTACACACGTGAGGGGATCATTGTAGGCAGTGCTTAATTTGTGCCGGAGCAAGTCGGAGCACGATCCGGGACCTCTTTTGATCGGATCCGGGACCTATTTCAGCCGCTCCGGCACCTGTTTCATCTGCTCCGGGACCTTCCCTGTAGAGGATGACTTTTTTCGGGAATTCCCGTGGGTCACGTGATTCCCGCGAGAATCCCACGGGATGGGAGTCATTTTTAAATAACCTCTTGATCGGGACGGGACCGGAAAAAAGCATCGGGAGAGGGCAGGAGCGGGAACAACATTAAAAGATGATCATTTTCAGCCGTGTTTAACAACCAGATGAACAGGTGCATCCATTTTTGTAGTCATGTCTCAGTGAGAGCCAACACTCTTGACCGCGCTAGCAACACAAAAGAACTACAACAGTGGTTTGACTTCCTGTCAGCTGGGAGCGCGGCTGCGCATTTGTACCCTTAAAGCCAGGGGCAGGGAAACGTAATTTTGTGACATTCTGTAGTTTTTAATCATTTCTGGAGTCGTGGCGAATCAAATAACCTAACCTGTCTGCCCCTGATAGGCAAATAAAGCGCTCGGATTCATGCTCGGGTCTTGCTACGTGCTTCACGAGTAAAGTAAACAATGATGGAGGCAGAAAGCAGCTTTGGAGGAGAAACATCTAGCAGTGTGAACAACCTCTTCAAAAGAGCCCTAAAGACCTACCTTTTTAATAAAGCCTTTGGTTAGTTTTCCTCTATGCTTTATGCTTTTACTACCTTGCCTCTTACATTGCAACTCTATATTTTTTATTTTTTTTAATTCTGTTTTTATGCCAATCTGTGACTGTCATTCTATTGCTTTTTTTATTGTTGCTGCTCTTTTTTTACTGTGTACTGTAGCACTTTGAGATTTTTTGTAAATGTAAAGTGCATTACAAATTAAATTTATTATTACTATTATTATTATTATGGAGTGCTTTGGCTCACACTATCTGCGTTTTCTGTGAGTGTTGCATAACTTTGGGTGAGCACAGACATGAACGCACTTCAGCCACGTATTTATTTATTCATTTTTCTGGTTTTAAGTGCTGGTCTTGTACTGGTACTGTACTAGTGCAGCTGTATACACTTAAATTTTTCATAGAACTGAAAGCATACCATAGCTATATCGTGATATATATCGTTATCGTGATATAAAATGATCCATATCGTGATATACATTTTTTTCCATATCGCCCAGCACTAGCCTGACATTAACCAAACTGCTGCAGCAGTACACCCCAAGAAACCCCGACTACAGCCAGATACACCAACTATGGATTAACCTGACAACAGCCTTAACCAACAACCTTATAGACAGACCATGGCCACACTATAGCCTGGTAATGGACACAGTAAAATCACAGCTATACATTTACGTGACTTAAGTCACACAAAAGCCAGAGTTTAATCCAACTCCAACCACATTACAGCCTTAGTATGGCCAGAATACAGTCAGACATAAACCTAACCAGCACACTGATGGTCAGTGTTTCACAGCTGAGGTAGAGTAGACAATCGGAGGGTCTGACAAAGTGACATTTACTGCAGGAAACATGGGAATCATCTTATTACATACAGACATCCATTAAAATCACTCAAAACAGGATATTACAAATCCTATATCTTTACAACGGCACATTGACAGCATTCACACACACACACACACACGGATCACACACTCACCCTGTCCACCATGAAGTCAATAGCATCGGCCATCTTGGAGTCCACAGGTCCTTTAGCAAAGTTTCCGAGAACAATCTTCTTCAGCATGAATGCAGGCATCAACCAGAAACTGAACAAGGACCATAAACATGAAAGATGAAACCTTTAACACTCAGGTTTGTTTGTGTGTTTACCTGTGCTCAAACACTCACCTGTTAGCCGTCCAGGTCTGGTTAAAGATGGAGGTGTCGCTGAAGGAGTTACACAGGATCAGAGAGTGAACTCTGGGAGATTTGTGTGTGCACTCGGCAAACTTCTGAGCCAAGAATCCTCCCAGAGACGCCCCAAACAGGTGCACCTGAAAGTCAAAGACATGGATCACATGCCCACATTAATTACCCGAGTCAACCTCCAGACACCTGGACAACAGATCAGGATTTTCAGTTACTAAGGCACTGATAGGATGTGCACTGCCTGTCCTTCCTACATGGTTTCACTGTAGCTGTGCTTATTTTAACTCAGAGTTTGTGTTCAACTTCAATATCACATTTTGCTGTGACGGCAGTCTGTTGATGCTTGTAACTGGTCAGATGCTGATGCTGTTGACCCCTTTGAGTGACCAGACTCAAAAAACACTCAGAGCTGGTTTATCAGGTCGATAATTCAGAGATTAGAATTAGTAGAGATAACTCAAAATAACCTGGTTATGTTCAACTCCCTTTGTCCACCTCCATTCAAGTTGTAAAAACAACACTTCCTGGAGGTACCTAAGGTCCACCCCCACAGACCCCATGTTTTAAATGTCTTGTAGAGTCTGGTACAAAAAACTGTTTTTGTCTTTATTGTGACGACTTTGCTGAGCCTGAAGACTGCTTTAAATTTGTGTGTATTTCTTTTTTTTGCCATAGGTGAGGGTATTCCTGACAGTAACTGCATCAGAAAATTAAAATGCCATATTCACTTCTCAGGCATAAGTATGTCTCTCTTTCTCTGGCTCTTAAAAAAAGTTAAATGGTTTGTGTAATTGCCAGTCAAATTAATAGTGAGTGCCCTCACAGCTTGGTGACAGCAGGTTATTATAAAGCTCTGTCAAAAAAAGTGCTGTAGAGAAAAATGTGTCGATGATAAAAGGGTAAATTTGTTATAGCCATGAATATTCACTGTGGGAGAGAGAAAGACAGAAGTAAAAGTTCATGCTGCCATGCTAACAACAACAACAAAAAAATCATTCGCGTGAGCAAATTACAAGTTAAGTCAATGCCAAGATGCTGTCTACTCGGGCGATGGAGATGAGCGAATTGTGCAGCGCAAATAGCAGCAAGTAAATACATAACAATTCCGCATCCAGTTATGCACAAATTAAACAAGTAGATGATTTTATCCATGATTGGCGTGAACCCAACATATGTAAATGGTAGTCACATAAACATACAGCTATGGTTTAATCAGCCATGTGATGTCGTAGGTTGTTTTGGGGTCCTGTCATGTTCAGTTTTTACATGAATACCAGTACAGCCGACCTATTGTAGATATTTCTTTAAGTGTTAGATTATAAATAAATGAGACTCCATCTTTTAACCCCCATGAGTCAGCGATGGCTTTGAGATCTCCTCAAAGGCCTCATTTGGTTAGAGTACAACTACACATACTGTTAGCCATTTATGTCCTTAGCCTGTTTAAACGACTAACTGTGCAACTTGTGATTGGTTTTAGAGATGTAACAGATTTCTTTATATTTTTTGAGGAAAAAAGTGATCCAGTCCTGCTTTGAGTAGACAACACCTTCTATGACATGGTCAACTCAGACTCACTTTGTCCAGCTGCAGATGATCTAGAAGCTTCCTGAAGCCATCGCAAAACTCCATCAGGTCCCAGTAGACTGGGTACTGCAGCTGCAGGGTGCAGACACACCACCAGGAGGGGTTACAGACTTATCATTCTAAAATGACTGCTAATTTATTATTGGGCAAGCAGTTTGTGTGAAAGTGTGAGGGTGTCTCACCGAGATGACTCTGTATCCCCACCCTGTCAGAGCTAACACCTGCTGGAAGAACACCTCAGCTGTCCCGCTGACAGGAGGGAGGAGGATGATGGGACACCTGATGCTCTTCGGACCGGCGTCATACAGAGACCAAACTTTACTGTCATCATCATCGACAATGATCTGAGAGAGAAAGACAGGTACACACAGACACTGCACATTAGGTGGTTTGATATCAGCAGTTGTTTCATGATGTGTTCATGGTGAGTGGATGATGACAAGAGAGATTAACGTGCAATAAAAGAAATACACAAACATATGTCAAGTGAACTGAGTACATACTTTGTCATCAGGGTGCTGCACATGGAAACCAGAGCCGACACTGATCAAAAACCAGGCAGCTGAATGTGTGGAAAACTACAAATACCTTGGAACAATTATTGACTCTAAACTGAACTTTGAGAGGAAATGTACTTCGCGGATTTTGTCTTAAGTTTTGAATCGCTGTTGTTTTTAGTCTCTTGGACCTTGTACACCTGTGTGCACAACAGGTCAAATCAAATCAAACTTTATTTATAAAGCGCTTTAAGCCATTACAGAGCTTAAAAACGAGCTGATCATTTGAATCAGGTGTGTTGGAGCAGGGAAACATCTAAAACATGCAGGACAGTGGGCCTCGAAGACTGGACTTGAGAACCACTGCAATAGTCTATACGACTGGTGATAAAAGCATGCATTAGCGTCCCTGTGTTGGCCCGAGAGAGAATGGGGTGGACTCTGGCGATGTTCTTTAGGTGATAAAAACCTATTTTTGTTATGTTCTTAATGTGTGGACTAAAAGTCAGCTCAGAGTCAAAAATGACACCCAGGTATCTCACCTTTGGTGATGGGTAAAGAGACAACGCTTGTAGTTTGGGTGAAAGTTTCTCTCTCTGGGCCTCAGGACCGATGACTAAAACCTCAGTTTTATCCTGGTTTACCCTTTTGTGTACTAATAAAGATCCTTGAACCATATTCATCAAATTACAATTCAAGGGGAGGATTCAATCAAAGCGTTTTTTATAACAGAATCACTGATAACCCCCTACTCGCTATGCTTGTTTAAATAATCTAACATAGTTTTTAAGTCTGTGTTTGACTGCTTGTTACATGTTGTGTGCTGAATTTCAGAGGCAGGATTATTAGAGATTACAGATTATAAATCATGAGGTACTTACTCTCTTCAGAGGCACTGTGCTTCTGAACCAGTTATAGTCAGGAGACACTTTAATCTCGTCCATCTGAGGAAACAGAAACATACATATACACAAAATCAATATGGCTTTATATTTATATAGAAATGAATAAAAGCTGATGTCATCTTTTGTATAAAAATCACTTAATAAATGTTAAATTTGATCTTTAGCTGGAACACAGTTTAAAATAAGCCACAGTTCAAAAACCTTTAACATTATGTTTGATATCAAAACTATTCAATATCAGCTTCAAACACTTTGAAATAAACTCAACCTCTATTACTGTTTACAACCTGCACACTTTATAAAAGCTTTAGCTGATGTGTTAAAGACTTAATTACATAATAGCTTTAATTTTTGTTTATTTAACGCAAGCTCTGAGTTAGCTCCAGCTGCCACAGTCTCAAATATCAGCTTTAACTCAGTGTTTAAAATGGTCGTTACCTGGTAAACAGTCCAAATATCAGCGTTAACTGATAAAGTCTTCAAAATGATTGTTACCTGGTAAACAGTCCCTCAGCTGATCCACTCTATAACATTAGCTTTATTAGCTACCGTGCTAACTGTCTCACGTGACTCTATGTCCGATAACAGTTGTTAAATCGTCAATTTTTACAGAGCAGAAATATGTATCATAGTGTACATGACTGATGGAGCTGTTACCGTGTTCGCCGTGGATGCTGGTCACCGTGTCCGGGAAAGTTTATCCATACCTGGGGAGCATTTTCTGCCGCTGCCTGCCTGATCACATGACTGCAGCCTAACACACTTCCGCAAAGCATCTGACAGCATCAACCCACAATGCACAGCGTCAGACTGCCCGTTAGTCCAACCATAGACATAATAAAAAGGTAGACCCCGCTGGGGGTGCTGCGCAGCGAGAAATGCGGCCGCCATCTTGGTCAGGTCAAGCTTCCCATACGCTCCGGTCAATCATATTCATTCATTCATTCATTCAGCGATGCCGGAGCACTGTGCGGCGTATTCCTGTGCCAACAGGCGGACAGCAGAGAACAGGGCTCAAGGAATAACTTTTCACAGTTATGATTAAACGTTTTTTAAACATTACACTTGACTGTAGAGTCATTTGTAGGCCAAAGAGGAAGACTATCGGTCAACTCCAAAAAGGAAACAGCATTTGCGAACAGCTAGCTTATTCACAATAATAGCAACTTTGGTCGATTATCAACAGATTTGCATTAGATTGAAAAACTTTTGTTTGAGAGAGGTTCTAAGAAACGTTAAGAAATGAAATAGAAAGAAAAAGGAAGAAAGTGAGCTCTGTTTTATTATCTGTTTTATTAAAGATTTCTTTGTGGTGATCTCCTGTTTCATTTTGAAGATTTCCTAAGGACAAAAACTTGAGGAAGAAGTGGGAGATTGCTATTAGAGGGAGAAATTCGCAGCAAGTGATTCCTCTGTGCTGTGTAGCCAACAAGCAAATTGATATGTAGTTTAGATGCTGTCCTGTCATGCTGTTCTTGTGTTTAAATCTTTTTGATATGTAGGCTATACACTCACCGGCCACTTTATTAGGTACACCTGTCCAACTGCTCGTTAACACTTAATTTCTAATCAGCCAATCACATGGCGGCAACTTAGTGCATTTAGGCATGTAGACATGGTCAAGACAATCTCCTGCAGTTCAAACCGAGCATCAGTATGGGGAAGAAAGGTGATTTGAGTGACTTTGAACGTGGCATGGTTGTTGGTGCCAGAAGGGCTGGTCTGAGTATTTCAGAAACTGCTGATCTACTGGGATTTTCACGCACAACCATCTCTAGGGTTTACAAAGAATGGTCCGAAAAAGAAAAAATATCCAGTGAGCGGCAGTTCTGTGGGCGGAAATGCCTTGTTGATGCCAGAGGTCAGAGGAGAATGGCCAGACTGGTTCGAGCTGATAGAAAGGCAACAGTGACCCAAATAACCACCCGTTACAACCAAGGTAGGCAGAAGAGCATCTCTGAACGCACAGTACGTCGAACTTTGAGGCAGATGGGCTACATCAGCAGAAGACCACACCGGGTGCCACTCCTTTCAGCTAAGAACAGGAAACTGAGGCTACAATTTGCACAAGCTCATCGAAATTGGACAATAGAAGATTGGAAAAACGTTGCCTGGTCTGATGAGTCTCGATTTCTGCTGCGACATTCGGATGGTAGGGTCAGAATTTGGCGTCAACAACATGAAAGCATGGATCCATCCTGCCTTGTATCAACGGTTCAGGCTGGTGGTGGTGGTGTCATGGTGTGGGGAATATTTTCTTGGCACTCTTTGGGCCCCTTGGTACCAATTGAGAATCGATGCAACGCCACAGCCTACCTGAGTATTTTGCTGACCATGTCCATCCCTTTATGACCACAATGTACCCAACTTCTGATGGCTACTTTCAGCAGGATAATGCGCCATGTCATAAAGCTGGAATCATCTCAGACTGGTTTCTTGAACATGACAATGAGTTCACTGTACTCAAATGGCCTCCACAGTCACCAGATCTCAATCCAATAGAGCATCTTTGGGATGTGGTGGAACGGGAGATTCGCATCATGGATGTGCAGCCGACAAATCTGCGGCAACTGTGTGATGCCATCATGTCAATATGGACCAAGCTCTCTGAGGAATGCTTCCAGCACCTTGTTGAATCTATGCCACGAAGAATTGAGGCAGTTCTGAAGGCAAAAGGGGGTCCAACCCGTTACTAGCATGGTGTACCTAATAAAGTGGCCGGTGAGTGTATATTTGTGTGTATTTTCCAGTTATTAAAATAGTGCTTCTATATGACATTATTTGTGTGTGTCTACAAATGGATAAATAAAATTAAACTATATAAAAAATTATAATCAAATCAATATATATTGAATTGGCCTATTAAAACCGCCAGTTATTAATAATTATTGAGACATAGCAGGAACCTAGCTCTAAACCTAAATATATCCTTGATTAATTGTTATACTATAATACAGCCACTGCTGCCATGTTCTAAAATATGGCCTCTATCATGCCTCTTTGAATGGCGTTTGCAGAGAAGAAAATTACGTAGTATTGAGCGAACTATGATTCATTTAATGCGCTCAGACTTCATTCCGCCGGTTAAACAGCGGTGCAGAGTGAGGCGGATGACCGGACCAAGATGGCGGCCGCATTTCTCGACAGCGCCCATTCGTGGTAGCGGCCGATGCGGAGTCTATCTTTTATTATGTCTATGAGTCCAACGGAGAAAAACAAGAAAAAATCTAGAAAAACGTAAAGCTTTAATATCTTTGAATAAGTGGAGGTTTATAGAGAGTTTCTCAGTCTCAATGTAATTAATAACATTTATTTTACTACGATTTATTTAATTGAAATTATTTCCTGTCGTTCTATGTTGTTATTATTATTATTATTATTATTATTATTATTATTATTATTATTATTATTATTATTATTATTATTATTATTACTATTATTAGAACTTTATCTGTAAAGGACTTCTAAAAACAGAGGTTTACAAAGTGCTTTGACAGAAAGTAATTTTGTATAGTTTGTGTTTTATTGTCATAATTTCTGAAGATGTGTTATATGTCATTGACTCCAAAACAAATTATATAATTTTTTCACTAATCCACCTGAAATTCTTATTAATTGAAAAATATGACCACACTTAGCTGTTGTCAATTTCATCCCCTGAACCAACAGCCTGCAAGTAATCATAATTACTTTACATAAAAAGATTTCCAAACCAATATGCGTTCTTTTTTATCCGTACAAAGCATCCCAAACTTTTAAGGAATTGGGTTTGTTGGCTGTAGTTGTTCAATGTGATTTGAAACTGACCGCAGAGACTGTTGATGTTTTTAAGAAGAGGCTCAAGACTCATCTTTTTAACCAGGCTTTTCCCCAACTGCATTTTTATATCTCTCTTATTGCAAATGTTAATTTTAATCAAAGTTTTTAATGTTTATTTTATATCATTTTATTAATTATCTCTGTTCTTAGTCTTTTTCTTAATTCCCATTAAAGAGGTTTTTACTTCTTTTACCCCTTTAACATGGTAAAAAGCTCTTACTTATCTATTCATTTAATATTATTTTCTTGTCTTAGTCCGACAGGTTTTAGTCTTTCTTTTTACCATTTATATTTTCATCTCCAGTGTTTCCTAGAGTTAGCTCTTTTCTCATGTAATGTCTCGGTGTCAGGCCATGACTCTTTAACAATACATCTTAAATTCTCACACTGTGTGCGCTTGTGTGTGTGTATGTGTGGGTGAGTGAGGATAGGTGTGTGTTTTTGTGTGTGTTGTGTGTGTGGGGGGTCCATGGGTGGGAGGGTCAGGTTTTATTGTTGTTAATTGTTGTTTTTAGCCTTTTTTAAATCAAGTCATTTTGGAGGGAGGTGTCAACCGAGGTAAATAAAATAATAGGGGTGGATTTAGATTTTTCTGTTGTTGTTTTATATCTCGGTAAAACCCCAGAAACAGTCCTACATAAGGACAGGTACCTGTTGAAGATTCTTTCGGCAAGTGGTAGGAAAGCCATAACAAGAAGGTGGTTGCAACCAGATTCTCCAAAACTGAACCAGTGGAACGGGGTTATTCAAGAAATTCACTGTATTGAGAGACTTACTTTTGTTTTAAGACTTATGTTGGAGAAATGTTTGGAACGCTGGGAAAAATGGACCGGGTGTGCACCTTGAATAGTGTGACATTTTGCTATGATTTATGTGTGTGTGTAAATATGTATTTATGTGTAAAAAAATATTTCCATTTCAACTGTATCACCCATGATGACCTCATGATCTGAAAATAAATAAAACGTTCACATAAATAAATAAATGAATACATAAATAAGTTGAATTTGAATTTATATAATTACCGACTCAGTCATGTGCAGCTAAACGCACTTATCTAACCCCAATTTATCACTCTGCCTGTCAGTTTTCTTTCTTTTTTTGTTTTTTTTGTTGTCGTTGTTGTTGAAAGTTTTTATTGCAGTATTGGCTTTGGCCGCTGTAAGGTTTTAGCGCTGTTTGCTTGAGTATTCCGAATAGAACAGACAGAACCCGAAGAAGAAACAACATGGCGACCACCATGAAGCCTGAAGATGAATAATGAGTGTATTTGTTGAGTTTGGTGTCCGATAGTCTCTATAAAGTTCATACGGACAACATGGATCAGACTCAGCAGCCTCCCGACTATTATGGTGGCTATCAGCAAATGCCGTACCCCGCTGACAGACCTCCGTACGCAGACGCAGCTCCAGCACCGACACACCTGGATCCCGCTTCTTCTCAGTGGACCTCTCAACAGGGTCATGACGGCCACATGTCCGGATTCAGGTACGACCTACCCCCGCCACAACTTGGGGGAGGAGGAGGAGGTTTCGGAGGACCTCACTTCCCTCCGCCTTTCGGGTTTGACCCCACAGTCCCCCCTCCGCCTTTCGGCTGTCCACCACCCGGACACTTCCCCAACATGTTGCCCCCCAACCCGGTGAACCCCCCGAGCCACAGCCCGGGAGACTCGCCCTTTCACACATTCAACCAACAGTACAGACCTGCTCCTCAGAGTGCTCGGTATGACCCGGTCTCAAGCCAGAGTCCGCTGACTCCTTTGCGGAGTAATAATCCTGACCGGGCTCCAGGACCTCCGAGACGAGCAGAGGATGAAGCCAGTCTTCAGAAGAGCCAGGACCAGCAGTGGATCAGACGCTTCTTACAAAGTAGAGGCAAGACCTGCAGAGGTATGCAGACCCAGCAGCCCGGGAGTGTCACAGACCTGCAGACCCAGCAGCCCAGATGTGTTCCAGAGCTAAGGCGAGCTCTGTGCCGGGCGGCTCAGCTGGTCTCCCAGCTGGCTCAGACCTGTGAGTCTCTGAAAAGCTGCATGAAGGAGGGCAGTGATTGGACTCAGTCTTATTCTGGGGCTCTGAAGCTGAAAGAGGAGCTGCAAGACTCACTGTCTGTCCTCAGTGACAGCCAGAGTTTAGCTCACTGGAAGACCAAACTGAGCCAGATTGCTAAGAGGAGGTCCAGGAGGCAGAGGTCCAGGAGACTACTGCAGCTGGAGGAGGAGCAGAGAGAGGAGCGCAGTGCCGAGAAGGAGGCTACCATAGACAGATGGAGGCTGCTACAGATCCAGCAAGTGGAGGAGAAGAAGAAGGTGAGCAATGTTGGTCCATCAGGGGGCAGAAGACCCCAAAGTTAAGCCGGGTCATTCCATGAAACCGGTGCCTTTTCATCTAAGAAAATTTAAACTATATTTGTTAATTTTGAAGTACCCAGAAATCAAAGAATGTTTTAAATGGCAGGAAATTATATTGTGCTGTCTCAGGCTGTGTTATTTCATATTTTATAACTGTTTTTCTCCTGGCTGTTTTCATAATCTTGTCAACCCTGATACCGACATAAACTTTACAAAATAGAATATTTCTAATTAAAAATATGCAATATTATTTGGTACATATATTAGCAGTACTTAAGTCTCTCTGTCCATTGAGATTATTTTATTTTGTGGATTTTTTTCTCCAATTAGATATTTGTAAAATGTACCCTAATTTTGCATGGCGATCATGTCTCAACATATATCAGTTATTTTTTAGAGGAGAAATGTTGAAAAATGGCCCAATCTATAATATAATGTAATTTAAATTATAATGGTAAGTGTTGAAAGCCCATTTGAGTTGTCATTTTTTACATTTTTGTCAAATTAATTACAACAACAGGATTGATGTTATGGTAACAGGGCTGACAAGAGTAAAAGTAACTGGACACTCAGTAAGTGGCTCTCCACCGGCATATCCATCAATAAAAAAATAATTGTTAGCTCAATAATGTTCACTTGATGACCTAAAAATGTTTTAATTTTAAAAGGTTAACCTTTAAAGAGAGAACAACAAGGGTAAACACTATTCTATGTCATCCCTGTTACTCACATATCAAATCCTGTTACTGTGGAAAGGTAACAGGGTTGAGAGTAACAGGGTTGACAGTAACAAGGTTGACCATTTTAAGCTCATCTGTCTTTGGCTAGCTTAAATAAGTGCTAGCTAAAGTACAAGCTAGGTACTTTGAAAGGTCATTACTTGTTGATTATATTTTGAGAAATAGAAAATTGTTTAGGTTTATATGTTAAAAAGTGGTAACAGGGTTGACGTTGTATGCTTGTCACCCCCGGTTAAACCTTGAAAAAACATAAAAAAAAGCACATCAGAAATGAGAGAAACTTAATTTTACAGAGCTGTTAGCATCCTGACACAGAGATGATGCAACCTCCTGTTCATCATGTCAAATCTGGAACGTACCATTATTTATTTTAGGGTGTTTTAGTTAAACAGGGTTGACATGAAATCAGGGGACGCCAATAAATTGGTAAATATTTATAATGACTAATATACATTATTACCAAAAACACTGTTTAACAATAAGATCATACTTAAAACAATATGTAAATGTGAAAATTGTAACATTTTACAAATTAAAAGTCCTGTATACATACAGCAATAGTAGTGAGGGACAGGCTAAAAACCTCACCCTCATCAGCATAAAAGTAATTTATATTATTTAAAATGATTTTTAATTGACTTTAATTTAATGTTATATTAAGGAGAGAAGTTTAAATTACATATTAATTTGCTGTTATCATGATTTTATGAATGATTGCTTCTTGGGGACGCAAAAGGCGCCGATTTTATGGAATGACCCAGCCGTCCACAAAGACGTAGGATCCACTCATATTTGTCGTGATGATGATGAAGGTTGTGTTTGTTGTGTGTTTCAGGAGCAAGAAGTGAAACGTGCTGCAGATTCTGTGCTCTGTGAGGTGAGGCGGAAACAGGTGGACGTAAAGAGAATGCAAGATGTGCTGAGATCGGTGGAGAAGCTGCGCAAACTGAGGAAAGAAGCAGCGTCCAGGAAAGGTAAGAAACACACATGCACAACACACACACACACACACACAAAGGAATATTTCATACCTGTGTACAGAGTAAAAGAAAAATAAAATTTTCCCCTCCTGATGTGTCTTCAAAATAAACAGTGTCAACTACTATTTCCTTTCGCATTTGTTCTGTTCTTCTCTCTGTGTTCATGGATGAATTTTTTACTTTTTTTTACTGCTTTGTGACAGCTGGTTGCAACACAAATTGCCCTTCATGGGGACAGTAAAGTTTACCATGACCTTGAACTAAAACTTCCTCACTGTAGTTTTAAAGGTCAAGGTCAGTGCTTGTGTTATACAAGGCTGCACAGAAACATTGTATTGGATAACAATCAAACTCAATATCACTGTTTCAAAAACACACAGTCACATTTGTTGGTCAAACATTAATTGTAGAGATATGAGAGGATTTTCCACTTTAAACCAGCAGACTTAGAAACATGAAAAAGATAAACAGAGGTGCTAAAATCTTTGATATATGATATATATGTGTGTGTGCTTGTGTGTGTGTGTGTGTTTCAGGTATCGTCACAGAGCCCGAGTGTGATGATGCTTTCAGAGAGCGTGTGGAGCATCTTAAGAGCGTGATAAAACAGAGGACAGTGGTGTACTGTGCAGAGGAGAAGGCTCTGAGGGTGATGCTGGAGGGGGAGCAGGAGGAGGAGAGGAGGAGGGAGCAGGAGAGGAAGTGGAGGAAGGAGAGAGAGAGACAGCTGCAGAGGAGGAACAGAGCACACGCCATCCTGTTTGGAGGTAAAAAAAAACAACCAACTGATCAAGAGAGGGGCGTGATGTGGATACCTGCACAGTACCTGAATCATGTGTGTGTGTGTGTGTGTTACAGAGGACCTTCCTGTTGACCATGTGCTGCAGCCTTTCACACAGTTTTACACTCAGGCTGAGAGGAGTCTTCCTGCTCTGCTGCACATCAGGTCCTTCTTTTGCTTCTCCTTAGAGCACAGCACATTTGTCAATTCACATCCATCAATCATCCTGCTATTACTTCAATTACATTGATAATAATAATTTTTGTTTATTTGTTTATAGGAGAGAGTGGGACATGTTTGTGGTGGATCCTGATCACCCTGGCAGCTCTCCTGTTCCCCAGACATGGGTCATACCTGATACCCCCTCTGACCAGGTGTGGGCCTCCGCTCTGGAGACCGCAGACGCTGATTGATGTTATCTTTAACACACCAACACAAACACAGACCCTGAGGGGATGAGGTCACATAAACTCTACAGGTGTGAGTTAGGATGAACCCAGAGCAGCTTGATGATAACTTGAAACACTTCTCTCAGTCTATGTGGATATTGGGCCATATCGAGCTATGTGTCTGTGAGTCCGGTTTGCAGATATCTACCGAAGTTCTTTTTACATATTTTTCTGTTTGATTTTTTTTTCTATGAATGTGCAGGAAACATTAAAATGAAGTCAAATGCTTGATAAATATTGTGTCTATTATTGTGTGTTTTTAAAGGAACATTTCAGGTATTTTCAGATGTTAATGTTGTATCAGAGTTTATTTCTGCATGACGTCTGAGTCGACCATCAGACTATGACCTCCTCGAGGAGAGGAAGTCTGAGACAGTATTTTAAACATTTACTGTAAACATCTTTATTCTTCTGAGCAAGGGTCTGTCCAGGCTGTACTGGCCATGGGGGCCACACTGGGGTCATATAGGGCTGTATGGTCAGCTGGTGGTCATGTGAAGTAAAATCCTAACATGGTGAGACAAGATTCTGACCTCAAGTGATTTTATTTCACATAATCAATAGCAGATACTCCTGTTATTACCTGACTATCAACTAAATTTAAAAACAAGTTGACAAAGATAATTGATCTTAAGATGGATTTAGTGTTTAAAAATGTTGAATTCATTTATTTAGTTTAAAAGACAATCCCTCCGTTTTGATGACACTATTATTGTATTTCATGTTTTCAGCCCATGGTTGCTTTGTGTCTGTTTTCTTTGGTCATCATCTCTTTCTGTGCTGTTTTCCCCTCTCTTTTTATTTTTCCCGTAGGTTACTGGTCAGTGATTGACCACAAGTCTGAAGTTTTTAGCCGCTCAAATACATTGAGAATAATGATTTAAAAAAATCCCTCCTGATGTGTCTCTTATAGCCATCAGAAAAGTCATGTTTGATGTATTGTCAACATAGAGCAGTAAAATCAGACTCTAGATTTTCTATAACTTTTATTCTGTGGACTGATTTTGTGTGGTATCTAATATAATCACATCATTATTTTACATGATATCCACAGTATGGAAATGTACAGATGTACAGACTCTCGTGTATAATTTTCAAAAGTAACAACAGAGGTTAAGTATATAGTAATCATCAAAGAAGCAGACCTGTCCAAAGTCACAATCAACTGCCTGTCTGTAAATGAATAAAAAAGCTAGACTCAGCATTAACACTGGCCTCTAGTAATGCTCATACAGTTACAGTATAAGGATTTGGGGGTAGTACCTAGTGTGGGCTGGACTGACATGTCTCCAACAGTCTACTGTGTGTCGTTCTCTTTTTAGAGTTGCTCTCCCATTTGCACTGTTATCTCTCTTGTAACCACAACCATGTTTAAATACTTATTCTTATATACTTGTGTTTCTATCTTTACTCTTGGTTTCAGTCTGGTTTTATCAGTTTAATCTAATTTATTTCTCCTGATTTCTCCCACATGTGGCGTCACATGCTGCCATCTGCTGGTATAAAACAATGTCAGCTACAGTTTATAGATAAATTTAACATCACTGCAAAAAGAACTGAATGGAATAAAATGAAAAAAGACCTCTACTTAAGACATTTACCCTGTTACTGTATTTTAATTTATTCTGTGTAATGTAAGTTTCTGTGTTCTGTAAGCAACAGTTATCCCCATCAGGACTGATCTCAGCTGATCTGCCTCCTCGCTCTCAAACACCAAGACTAGTAAGCACTCCTTAAACTATCCAGGTGTATTGAATATACATATATGAATTAATGTCCTTAATATTATTTCAAATGTTTTAAATACACATTTGTGTACTTCTGATTATGTGTTGCGAACGGTAATTGTATCTTGTGTGCTTACACTTATTTTGAGTGAAGCAAATACATAGGTGTGTCTCATTAGAATTGTTGTTTCTCTTGTTGTTAACATGTCAGTGTGTGATGTTTTCATCAGATCTGCGTGTGTAATATTCATATTGTGTTGTTTATGTGTCGCTGTTGTTGTTGTGTCTGTTGGTGTTAACAGGATCAGTCTGTATGAGGTCACTGTAAGTTAGTAGATTAGTGGTCCAGGTGGTTCTTCTGATTTAACCTTCAGTCTGAGCTCACACACACACACACACACGCTCTCTCACACACACACACACACGACTGCACGCACGCACGCATGCACACACACAGGAAGCTGGGAGTCAGACTGCAGTTGGACACGGCACAGGTAAGACCTCCTTTTTATTATTATAACAATTTACAGAGTAAACCTGCAGCAGGCAGTAGGATGTGGCAGATTAACTTGCTTATCTAAATAAAGTCTGTTAAAATGACATGTACAAATAGAAATATCAATTTACAAACATTGTTCTCTTAAACACAAGTTACATGAAAGCCCTTCTGTACAGAGAGCTGAGTTAAAGCTTCAGACTGAGTGAGATGCTGTACTGATAAAGTGTTGACAGTCCAACAAAAAACATCTTACCTCACTTTAACACTATATACTGTATATGAGTCATGTTTAAGAATGTAAAAATGAAGGAAATAGGCTGTCTGAGTTTCGTAAAAATACTGAATTTAACATCAGGACTGTTAAATAGATAAATTATAACTCTGTTAGATTAAATCTGTGTGCTACATGTGGTCCAAATATGACATGTCTATATTTGTATTAATAAGAAAAGCACATATTTTTAAAAAAGGGATGCCTGATATGATCTTCATGATAACTAGTTAAAAAAGTTAATAATTGGTGTCAGCAGGTCTAAAAATCTGTGCTGATAAAAAGATGGTGCATGCAGTGACAGCTTACACATGTTGGCTGTATGGAAGTGTTTTAAAGAGTGTTAGAAACAAATAGCAGCTGCATTTCTTATTTCTACAAAACAGAATAACATGATGATCATGTATAAAAGAACCAAATGTTGTTGTCTTGTTTTATGTCTACAACAGCACAAAAGGTAAACTCTACTACAGGAGAAACTTTGAGCTCTTTACCGGTACTGATCGATAACGGCCAAAAGAAGTTTAAAAACACTGGCTTTCCAGATATTCACCAAATCAAATATCAGGCATCCCTACTTTTTATTCTCTTTGTCAAAGCTGCAGGACTGCAGTCGTATCCAATTTGTTCTGTTGAACGTGTGTGTCTGTGTGTGTCTGCGTGTGTGCGTCAGAGGCACAGCAGTACAATAAGATTATGCTCTGTGTCTGTGGGAGCAGCTGCTCTGTGATAAGCTTTCACACACTGATCTCTGCCTTCTGCTGCATGGTGTGAGTGTATGTGTGTGCATGAGTGTGTGTGTTATTACACTGTCACCTGTTAGCCAGTTAGCACGTAGCCTCCCTGCTCTCACCTGGTTGTGTAATCGAGGCCAGATTTAGACTCTGAAGAGCAGGAAAAATGAATGTGAGTGGTCAGTATTAGAGGCTGTAGGTGGGCTCAGAATCAGCTGATCCTTTTACCTGTCTGTGGGGGAGGGTGGGGGTTCACTAAATTCCCTGACTTTGTCAAGTGTGTGTCACATAACATGCCCTCTGGAGGAGAGTGGTCTGATTTTTAACATGATTATCTGTACACAGATAGATGTTTTTGTAATGATAATCTGATGTGAAGGAAATGGATTCATTGAACTGTGGAAAGAGTAAAATGTTCACATTATTGAACTGTCTTCAAGTCTGAAAATATCTGTACAAAAATAAACCAACACACGCTGAAGGATTTCACAGACATTATCTATCTAAGAAATGAAAAATATATTAATACAGATAGATACAAAAGACTTCTCGGTTTTTATCCCCCTGAAATTATACAGTTTTTTGTTGTTGTTGTTTAATGACAGTTTTAGTGATGTGCGAACATCCTCTCAGCCTGTTATTATCTGTAACCAATCCAACACATGCACACACACACACACACACACACACACACACACACACACACACACACACACACACACACACACACACACACACACACACACACACACATCACATGTGATACAAAAAAAAGCAGGTGGTGTTATGGGGCTGAGTAAAGTGACAGGTGAGGATAACTCAACCTGTAACCCGGTCACATGACTTCCACCACACGCTGAGCTAACATGTTATTACACTGATGATGTCACAAGAGATGAGCTCCAATCAGTTGTCAGCATGATTACTTAGTTAGCTAAATCAGGCACACACCTGTCAGACACACACTTGTAAATGTGTGTGTGTGATTGTGATATATATTCCTATTAGATCAGAATCAGTTTAATTTTACTGTTTATCAAATTTATATTGTGTATTTGATGGGGGCAATGAGAATACTATAGTACAACCTCCACCTGTTATAAACAAACTGTAGTTACTGATGTTTTACATAAAAAGGTTTATAGCTGTTGCTAGTTTCTATCTCCTGAAAAGGGAGGAAAATATTACATGGAATAACATGCATACAACAAATGTTTTAAAATAGAATAGCTATTTACATTTAGTTGTGTAAAATTAAAATGAGCTACAGTCATTAATATGGTCACATCTCTTGTTTTGTTTTGGCCTCCCTTTAACGGTTTTGTTAAAAGTCTTTAAATCTTGTGTTAATTTTGTGTAAATTCCCAGTGTCTTACACATTTGAGAGCTTTTTATGGAAGAAAAGCTGACTGCCTAGAAGAGCTCTTTTCATGTGTGATGTTAATGTTTCCACTGGCTGTGCTCCTGACACTATTACAAGAATTGAAGAATTTGCTAAAAACTTCCATGCAAAATTTTGCAGGCATTTACAAACCTGTTTAAGAAATAATATTTTATAAATATGTGCCAATGATGTCAACTCCTGAATTTTTATTCATTACACTCAAGGCTTGGTTATTTATTAGGTATTTTAAAGAAAATCAACACATCATTTAACAAAAAAAAAAAAAAAAAAAATAGTGTTGTTCTGTTAAATGTCCATCAGGGGTGAGCAGGGGATGGTCACTCTGAATCATGTAGTCATGTGACCAGAGCAGGTTGATGGCTAACACTCACACCTGTTGCTTTAAACAGCCACTCAGGTGCGTCTCAGATAAACTGATGTTTAGCTTGATAAAATATTAGGTCTCTGTGAGGCCCTTTTTTGTCTACATTTTATAATGTTATAATGTTGAACAGCCAATTTAACAGCAATATGTCAATATTCACACTGTGACTACTATCTGTTTTGTCCAACACTAAACTCATGTCAAACTTGCAGTGATTCCTGTTCGGCGCCTCTCTTTGATGTTGTTATCAGGTTGAGGTCAGGTGTGATCAGTCAGCAGTAAGCTGAGTGCTAAACAGTATCTTTATTATTGTATATTGATGGTCATGAATTTATTTGTAGACGAGGTAACAGGATGGAGGGCGTTCCTCTGAAGATACCAGAGTGTACCTCACAGGAAGTCAAAGATGACCTGAAGGTAGAAGTTCCTGATTACCTGATCATCCTGCAGGACACAGAGGTGAGTGAGTGTGTGTGTCACAGTTTGATATGTAATAGATGTGTCTCCAGTCAGCCCATGTTTTCTATAAAACAAATGATTGCAGTTAAGGGTCATATTGTGAGTTAAAGCAGCGGCGTCCTCAGCTAAAGAGACTAGCTGCTGATCATGGTGGATCATTTAGCAGCTAAAGAGTCTGCAGGTCCACTCCAGAGATCATAAACAGAGATCAAGACAGGTGACACTTTAATAAAAATAAATAACAATTAAAAAAAATAAACGTATTCAAAGAATGTTTCTTTGATTCTGAAGAAAAAAAACAGGGAAGTAGGAAGTTTTTATCCCAAGACTTCTCTACAACAAAGTAGCAACATCTGTTGCTGAAAATTGAAGCCAGTATGATTGTCCCAAAAACTGTAGTTCCTTCAGAGTCTACCAGAGGCTGTCTCCCAAAGTGAGTTAATCCCATAGATTGTATATAGAATGGACGCTGTCTGCCTCCTCGCTGGGTGAAGCCACCCCATGGACAGCACCCTCTGGTGACAGGCTGCAGTATAGGTCATAAATCCTGCCTCCTCTAGCCATCCTTATGGAGTTCTAGACAAACTTTAGAAATTAATTACACAGAAGATAATTTTTTCTCCCCCCTGGTTGTGATGTTGACGTGTAGTTACTGTAAGACTGGTTTGTGCTTAAGTCCTCTTTTTTTCTGTGAACCCCCGTTTTTAAAAGTTATCAGGGGGTTCATGTTTGCTATGATTGACACCTAATACAGCCTATGGGCGTACGAAGATTGCGTAGCTCACCCTGGGGATACGCTGTTTCAGCTGAACGTCATCACAGTGACTCTTGGCGACTCTCCCGCTAGTTGCGTCCTATGCTACTGCGCAAGTGGTGGAGTGCATACAACGCTACTGCGCAATGTTGGTTCCAGGAAATTGAGAAAAATTGTGAAAGTACCAAGGGCTTTTTTCGGCTTCAGATCGTATACTGGTGGAAGGTGGAACCAAGCTGTCCGGATATACAGTCTATGGTGAATCCCCATCAAGGCCTGTGTTAATATGTCTTCTACCATTACATTAGCAGCAAACATGCACAGCCTCTCTATTTACTGACTTGTTTAAATTTTGTCAAAGCTTGACCAGTTCACATTCAGGGTGTGATCTCTATGAGTATTAGGTGGATGTGCTGTAACTATCAGTTCCACTTCTTTACCTGGTGACTGCTATCATTGTGCTTCATTATGCCTCTTCAGAAACCACTGGGTAACGTCGCCCCCTGCTGGATATTAGACAGAATGCGTGTATATAACACTTTGGCACTGGATTCACAACACAGGATTGCTGTTAGAGAGGTTAAAACGTGTTGACATGAACTTGATCTATCACCCAGTGAGCTGAGATATATATAACTCCATAACTGATGCATCATTCATGATGACAGGAGGTGAATTCACCAAACTCATATCTCTGTCTGTTAACATAAGTCTAAAAGAGGACTCTGCAGTCTCTAACACATTTTCTCTCATATGTTATTTGTCTGGTTCCAGTATGAGTTCAGTATGGAGAACTGGGTTTTAACTGGTCTGCAGAGCGGTTTCACCATCCAGTCTCGCCCTCAGCCTTCCTCCAACTCCACCTCCTCTGGCTTGTTGCCATCCTGTCCTCCATATTGGATGATGTTCAGCAGCCCTCAGCAGAGCCGGCTGGCCAGCCGCCACTGCTCTGACTTCTGGGAGCCTAACCCCCGTCAGCGCTCATACAGCCTCAACCCCACCGTGCTGCGCTCCAAGTCCGCCGTCTCAGACTCTGAGGAGGAAGGGGAGGGCAGCAAACGGAAGACCAAGGCTGGTTCACCTGTTAAAACCTGCCCAGGAGGGAAGAGTCCTGCTGCACAGGGTCAGAGGAAAGCTCAGAAAGCCTTCATCCCAGACCTCCTGAACCCTCCAGCATGCCTCAGCAGCCTCCCTCACCAACGCAGGAAAAACCTCAGACAGTGCTCCCTCTCTGGTCTGGACTCCTCCAAACCCGACCTTGTGACAGACAACAAGACCAGGAAGACCCCAGACATCAAGGCCCCCAACACTAGAGCCCAAAATGCCAGAGTCCCCAACACCAGAACCCTCAACACCAGAGCCAACACAGTGGACAGACCCCCCAGTATTAAGCAGCCCAACACAGCACAGAAGGTGAGACACAGTCAAGGTTTGGAAGCTTTTGTTTGATTTATCTTTCCACAGAACATCATCACTTTACAGTCTGTAGATCTGTTATGTCAGGTACACTGCCACATAATGGGGATCCCAGACTTCACTCTGATGTTTTTGAAATCAGATCAGTGTCATTGCTCGGTCAGCAGTCGGCATCTGTCCTTTCCAAGACAGCTGGTTTGTCTTTCCTCAACCCTAGAAACGAAAAGGATTTGACAGAAGTCCAAGAGGGTTTAAGATCTGTAGACAGCCCTTGATACAGTGTCCGCACTAAAGTTGATCCAGTCAAGTATATCTCCCTCGCTAATCGGTGAAACTCGAGGAGCTGTCAGGTCACTGCCAGGCTGATGTTGTGGAGCAAAGTTAGCCCTCAGTGTGGTCTGCAGGAGCACACAGTGACAACAGCCTTCAGCTCCTGTCTTAAACATGCTATAAAACTGAACAATGGTCCAGGATCAGAGTCAGTACAGTGTCTGCAGAGACAGGGATTAACTATATTCAGCTGTGTGTGTGTGTGTGTGTGTGTGTGTGTGTGTGTGTGTGTGTGTGTGTGTGTGTGTGTGTCCTCTGTTATAGCTGCAGGAGCAAATCTATCTGAGCCATCACATCTCTTCAACTACACATTTCCTGAATGTTTTCGAGGATCTGCACTCTAAAAATAGACAGCGTAAAGTCTGTTCTGAGTTCAGCTGAGTTATAAGACCCCGGTCAGGATTAGAGACTAACATGTCTGACAACATCTTCCTCAGCAGAGCAGGATCAGATTTACTCAATGTTACACAAATACTAGGGCTATTCATTTTCACAAATCAATTTAAAATCCATATGTAACATGAGATGCTGATATTTGAATACACTTTCCATTTCAAAGACACTCAATATTCCATGTGTACAAAGTTGATATATAGTCTTATTTTCGTCCTTTCTTTTGTTGTTAAGTGATGTGAAGAGCCCCAGAATACTTCCAAAAATGTGCTTCTCAGTTGTTTTGGTCTTGTGTTTGTCTGTCCAGGATGGCTTTGATGCGCTCATTATTTATTTTTTTAATGTTATTTTTTGGGGCATTTTCGCCTTTAATGATAGGACAATTGAGAAAGACAGGAAATGAGGGAGTGAGAGAAGGGATGACATGCAGCTAATTGTGAGGGCCAGGACTTGGAGCTGCGAATGCTACGGGGACCATGGTCCCCATACGTGGGGCATGCTAACCTGCTAGGCTATCCGCATGCCCTGCATCATCCATTGTTGTAGATCTGAAAAACATCACTGTATTAATTGACTTCTGTCAAGAAAGCATTCGTTGGTCAGGAGTACCCAGTGATGGATCAAACAACAATGACCAGACGGCCTGATCTACTGATTAACAGAAAATCTTCTTTACAGTTTGAAGATGATCTTTTCACCCTGGGAAGACTCTAACTTCACATAGAAAGTGATGGTCCTTACACACACATACTTGCCCCTCTCTAACATAGAGCCCTGATGTTTTCTAGACAATTTCAGGACAGGAAAAATATTAAAAAATTAAACTGCCCACACAGACAGGTACGAATATTTCCCAAGTTTTACGTTTTCCCACTGGACTACAAATATGAATGCACTGTAGACGGTGTAATAAATGGACATAGTGTTGGTAACATCACCCATTTGTTTGTAAAGCAGCATTTGAGGCCTGTCTTTGGCAGTACCCAAACTGCTAACTAAACCTAACTCTCGGTCTTTAGCCTTCCTGCAAATAGCAACAGAGCGCCTGCCTGTCAGTCAAAACAACTGTGGCCCTGATTTACCAATCCTGAATTCCTCTATTTGTCTGTGTTATGAATTTTACTGTTGTGTTTGTGTTTTTGGAACAGCCCTTCAAATGTGCACTAATAATAATAACAACAACACACAAAGAGTGGGCATTTCTCAACCCTCCTTTTCCTGGGCAGTCAGTTCCTGAAAATATATCAGGGCCTGGATTCCTGTTATGGTCCTTAACACATCAGGTGCTTATGTGTGAAAGCAGTTTCAGACTTGCACACACTCAGTTCAGTCTCTTTCTTCTCCTTGCAGTCTCTGCGTTCAGACTCCTCCACAGCACCCCCTGCAGTCTCCCCTCGCTGTGGCTTCCCCTCATCCTCAGACTCTTCAGCAGAACTTCTGTCCGCTCTGAGCCCAGAGGAGAGAGACCTCCTGGCAGCCATCACTGCCAGGGGATACCCCCTGAAGACTGCCATCATCACCCTGCAGAAGATGGGCCGGCAGACCCCGGACCAGGTCAGTATAGACCCCACACCAGAGTATGGATTACCTCAGCGTGAGTTTCTGAGCCGGGATCAGACACACACAGAGTGAACATTTAAATGCTGACGGATGTATAAATATCACTGTGGGTGGGAGTGAAACCAAAATCCATAAGCCAGTATAATCCTGGGTAAAAATAGAGCAGTTTCCACAGTCACTGTGTGAGTGTTTTCCCACAACATCATCTGACCTCAGGGAGACCGCCAACTCAGTGTCTGTGGGAAAGGACACCAACAGGAAGTGACCTTAAAATGCAAATAGGAGACAGGGGATGTACACGGCAGGGGGAAAAGATCAGAAGATCAGGATTCAGATCTAAAGCTACAATAACAAAGATTAAAAAAAAAGAAGCATTTTTCAAATTTCTAAATCCAATCCAATCCATTTTATTTATAGAACATGATTTAAGCAAACACAAGGTTTCCAAAGTGCTGCACAGCAAGATAAAAATACATGAATAACACACACAATAACGCACATACATTAATTAATAACACAACGGAAGTAAACCACAACTTTCTCTGTGTCTGAAACAGTCCAGATTTCATGAAATCTGACTCTAAATAACCTTTCTTAACCTTCTCTTTTAGTCTTCCTCTAAGCCAATTCATCAATCTCTATCATTTGGTATTAAATACTTTTAAGAAAACAAAACAAAAAAAGAACTTTCATAAAAACTCCTAACGGTGCTTCTCTTCCAACTGTAATATTAATATGATATAACAGTTAACAGTCAGCTAATAACAGCTCTATTCTGTTTTTATTCTACTTAAATAATCCAGGATCAGTATCAGAATCTGTGTTCATGAATATTATAAAGTATGCTGATTTTAAAACATTTGGTATCCACCACTACTGACACATTGAATGAAAGTTCAGCCTAAATAACTGACCCCCGTTTATGTGAAGCTGGTTAACTTTAGAAAACATGTGTATCTGTGATTTGTGTGTGTGTTTTGTGTGCAGATCCTGAGTTACCTGGTGGCCTGTGAGCACCTGTGTCAGCTGGGTTATGACATGGCTCAAGTGGAGGAGGCTCTAGAGATGTTTCAGAACTGTGAGACGAAGGTGAGAGCTGCAGAGACTCCCTGATAAATCCCACTGTTCAAACATCAATCTGATTTAAATGTGTGTTTCCTGTTTAGGCCGGGGAGTTCCTGCACCTGCTCAGTCAGTTCAATGAAATGGGTTTCCAGCAGAACGCCATCAAAGAGGTGTTGCTGGTCCACGAGAACCACAGAGAGCGGGCGTTGGAGGAACTGATGATGCGTGTGGCATGATGTTTACACATATGATTACACTGTTACTGCTGAGGATGGACAGTGGCCTTCTGGGCTCAGTTATATTTGTTACTTATCTGTGGTTGATAAAGATGAAGATGAAGATGATGGGGATACGCCATTGTTGCCCATTTTTACTCCTGTGTCATAAACACACTGTTGACAGTGTGCCGTCACTTCAGTGAATGTGTCTGTACTTTGAGTTCAAATAAACAGTTATTAAAGATGAACCTCTCAGCCTCGTGTTTCTTCTCTTTCCTCAAAAAACAATCAGAGTCCAATGGGTTCCTACAAACTTAAATAACACGTGTTATTGCTCCAAGGTTCAGCTCTGCTCACATATATGAAAGTTAGTCACAGCTTCAACAACACAGTCACTAAACATAAAAAATACAATCTTACAACACTATGTGTATTTATGAAATATGAAGATAAAAGAAAATTAGGACCACAGAATTTAATTTTAAAGATTTTTCACATTTTTGGAGTTATAATCGCTCAAAATTAAAGTCATTTGATTACAAGAACCATGTCATAAATTAGATCAAGGATTATCCACATGTTGTTTTGAAGGGGGGGTATCACACATCTCAGCTTTTGCTCAGCCTTTTAGAGTCCTGGGGCCGTATGCACTTTGCTTGGCAAAACGCGTTTAGCGGGCTAAACGCGTTTAACTCCTAAACGCCAAAAATGTCGGTATGCACGTCACTTCGTATAGCCGTTCCTATACGGATTTTCGCGTTTAAAGTTATCGCACCTCTGGGGGTCCAATAGCGGGTCTAAACGCGTTTAAATACGGCGGCACTCTTGTTGTTCCAAGGAAGACAGCGGCGACAATTGCGTCGAAACAGGATTTTTCGTGACAGAAAACACCCCTTCGACACGTATGACGACCACGAAGTGTTCCGTAAGTTTAGATTTCGACGGCACCATATTCTCGACCTCACACAGGAGATTTCCGCTGAAATTGAACTTTCGAACCGAGGATTCACCCTCACTCCACTACAACAAGTCCTCGTAACCTTACGGTACTACGCCACTTCTTCTTTCCAAGACGTGTGTGGGGAGTTGGTAGGAGTGGATCAGTCGACAGTCAGTCGAATCGTCACTCGAGCGTCACTCGACCCGTTTAAGACACAGTAAACGCGGTTAGCTATACGGTTCCGTTTACAGCATTGTGCATACCAAAATCGTATAGGAACTAAACGCGTTTAAGGCCCGTATAACTAAACGCGTTTAAGCCCTAATCGCGTTCACGCTAAACGCTTTCAACGTGCATACGGGCCCAGATACGTACAACAATGCAAAACTGAGGAGACAAAACATGAAGTACAGTTTAATGGCTGCTCACTTATCCAAAACTCTGACTGTATTCTTATGACAAAATTACCATATTGTGAAAATATTACAACTCAATTTTGTTGAGACTTTTTTTTTGTAACATTCCAACTTTCATATTTTACAAAATCTTAAAAAAAATCTTTAAAGTGGCCCACAATCTGTTGGTATTATCATTTTGTTTTTCAGTTTCCCTTTCTTCCCTAAAAGACATGTTGACATGCTTTAGCAAAATCAAACAAGTTCTTTAGCTCTTGAAGTTGATATTGTGCTGTGTTTAAACATGTAAACACTGTCACTGCACTTAAAAGGCAGGGCCAGGAACAACCTGTGTCCTGCAGCACCAAATATGTGTAAATACTAACCATAATATTGTCACAGGTGTGATGTCAACACTTCCAGGAGCCAATTTGATAAAAGCTTTTTTCTTTATGAAGTGTGTGTTTAAGAGCTGACTCTCATGCCTGAATAAAAGTTGTTAACTCCCTTTACTCAACTAAAATATGCAGAAAGATTTGTGAAACACGACAAATCAATATGATATGGCGGTAATTAATCATGTGCCATGACAATCATTTTTTTTGTGAAGGACTTCCCACCTACTTAAAGCAAGGTGTAAGATTTAAGCTGTTACTTATATTTACATTGAAACAACCTCAGCTGGTGCACAACCAATAATGTTAGTAGAATTTATGTTCACACCAGGCTAAGAGTGATCTTACACACAGCTGATTCAAGCTGGCACTGCTCACACGTCATATCATGTCAGTCCAAAGAAAGGGGGAGTTGGAGGAAGATGCATCAGGCTGTGGTTGCTTTGAATGACAGTTATGTGACCTGAAACTGTTTTATAAATTATGTGTTGTAACTTTGTGGGAATGTGCTGCTGCTATTATTAGCCAGGACTCTCTCATCAAAGTTTAGTTGAGTTTATTTGCACATCATAAAAACAAAACAACAAAGAGCAGTAAACACTAAAACATTGTGCAGGGGAGGTCGGAAACCCCAAAAGGCTCATGAAGATGACTCACACCGAGGATCAACAAGCAACAATGCAGATCAGTTCAAAACAGAACAGCAACATGGTTATATGTTTACGGAAGAGATTTATAATCTCAACGAGGCTGTCCTGGCTAAATGAATTCAATAATCTAATAAATAATAAATAATAATAAATAAGATCTGAATTATAATATTATTATATTAATGTAAGTTGTGGCTGTGTCACTATAGTAATTTTACACTTTAGGCTCATTATCACCTTGTTATAAAGCTTTATAACAACTTTTGTGCTTTGTGCTTATGATAGGTTCTTGTTCATTTAGTTTTTTTCCTGGTTTCTTAATTTAGTTGTATTTTCTGTGTATTTTCCCGAGTGTTCCTGTCTCCTGTTGTTTCTGTTCCCCTGTGTTAATTATTCTTATGTCTCTGTAATTCTTGTTTTTCACTGTGTGGTTTCTTAGTTCAGTTTTCAGTGTTTCCTGTTATATTTTGTGAGAGTCAGTCCCTATGGTTCAAGTCTGGTTTTACTTCCTTAGTTTTCCCTCCTTCGTTAATCACTCATGAGTTTCACCTGTCTCGTTAGCCTCACCTGTTGCTCGTTTCCCAGAGTGTATATATATACAGTCCCTGTCTTCCCCTCCTTCCTTGTTGGTTCATTGTCTTTGCTGCCCATGTGTTCATGCTGTGAAACTCTACCTTGTGTTTTCCCTGCCTTTTTGTTTCGTTTGGATTGCTTGCTCCTGGTGTGTTGGGATTTTTCAGTTGGACATTTCCTACCCAAAGTAAGTTTTTGTTGTTGCAAGTTAAAGGTGGGGCAGGCAGGATCTGAGGAAGTGCTAGTTTTTGGGGGAAATCTTGAATGTAAACACTACCCCTCCAAACCAGCTCTCTGCTCCAGCAAGCCCCGCCCACAAACAGACGCTCCTGCTCATTCCAATTTAATTCAGATATAATGCAGATAAATACTTCAGATAATTACAGATGGGGCCCAGTCAACGTGAAAGTAAACAGCATTGGTGCTACTGTAGATGCCAACAGACTACCAGCAAACACAATGTTTGCAGAACTTCTACAACTAGGATAAAGTGACATAGTCCAGAACCCGAGCTAAACAGATAAGCGGCGCTACGACACGCAGCAGGTCCCATTTGACAAGCAACACTTTTGTTACAGACACTTGGCTTACTTTGTTAAAGCGGTTTACCTGTCCAGCAGAAAGGTCACAGGGTCTGTGAGATCCCTAAGCCTCCCCCGTTGTTTATGCTAATGTTGACTTGGCTTTTTTAGGTCTTGTCCAATCTATCTCCTTTTTAAGCACCAGCTATTCTGCCAGAGTCTCTGGTATTTACTTCATTTACTTTGTTTTCTTGCTTGTGTTGGCAGCGTGCCTCACAACACAAGGGAGCAGCATCCGCCTCACAACCAATCAGGTCGGGGAGGTGGAGAATGGCTTTGTTTACAGTTAGAAAGAGCAGGCCACCCAAAAATTTTAAAATGTTGACTACACAGGCATAACAAAACACAGCGATATTGTGATATTCCCAAAAGTCATCAATAACTAATAGCTACTGACTAATATTAAAAGCTTTTTTGTATATACACCACAAAATAGATGCTTCATTAACAGAATCCTGCCTATCCCACCTTTAAGTCTTTTGTTAAATGAAAGTTTTTGAATTCTGCATGTGGGTCGTCCATTTTGTTTTTTATTTTCAAAAGTAACAGAATCTTTTGTCACCAATAACACAACCCAAGTTATAAACCAGAGAGTTTTACTTTGAGAAATAACTATTCACGACGGAAATAACAGCCACCACCAGGACCCGAACTGCTCACCTTGGTGGTGGTGGTGAAGAGTCTATTTTCGGTACTGTAGTTTGAGTACTTGGCACAAATGTTTGAATAACTTGAAATTCAGGAAATAAAGTTTTTGCAAACAACAACAAAGCATAGTCTGATTTTGGTCCAGATACAGCTTTATGAACCCTGTTTGAAACACAACAATAATAAAAATAATAAGGTGAGTTAGCCACCCTTACAGATGATCAGGGCACTCTGAAGGGAGTCTGGAACACCGTCTGAGGTCTCTGAGGTTCTTGTTCTGAATCTGATCCACAGACTTCCCTGTGAGGAGGACCCTGGTTTTTGGCAGCCTCATCAGAAACGTATAAATGGATCCAATCCTTCCAAAACCTTCCATCTGACGCTTCAGCCTCCATGTTTGTTCCTCCACTGTGAACTCTGCGGTTGCTTGTCTGCTCAGCGTGAACACCGAATCTCCTCGCACCACTGCCGTGAACAGAGAGCTCTTACTGTTCCCGTAGAGACCCAACATGGGCGTCCACTGACCGGAGCTCAGGTTGTATCTTTCCATCGCACACTGTAAGAAGTCCTCACAGGGTCCATTACGCATCACGAACAGATTGTCCCCATGAGCCACCATACAGAGACCGTAACTATGCTGGCGAATGAGTGTGGAGACCAGGATCCACTTGTCCTGTTCAGGTAAGTACTCATGAATCTCTGTGGCCCCCTTACCTCTCCAAAGACAGATAAAGATCCTGTTCATGGTCACTGCAGAGACCACTGAGGCTGAAGAAACCGGTAGAGGGGACACAGAGCTCCAGCTTTGGTTTGACACCCTGAACATCTCCACAGAGGACAGGGGCTTCATGTTGGACTCACCCCCCAAAGCATAGAGACAGCCCTCATGGCCGATCAGAGTGAAGTTGTAGCGTAGCTGCTGGGGGCCACAGATGGTGGTCCAGGTGTTAGCTGCAGGGCAGTAACAGAAACCGCCCTCCACTACCTTCTTACTCACATCATACACTCCTCCTACGATGTAAAGTTTGTTGTCCAGGACAGCCACACCTGCCATGGTTGTGCTGGTGCACATGGGTAGGTGAGTCAGGACCTTCCAGTCCCTGCTGGTTTCATCCAAGTAGCAGATGGTCCTCTGGGGGTCCTGCAGCAGCTCACTGGAGGGCGAGTGGCTGCACACAGCCATGTAGCAACTGGGCTGCAGGGACTTGATGTAGTCCACTAAGGTCTGGGGTAATGTAAGGACATCCTCCTGCAGGTCAGGGTACAGGTCTCTGATGAACAGAGCCGAGCTGTGGGACAGATCCCACACCCCGAAGGTGGCAGCTGTGTGGTACATGAGCAGGCAGTTCTCAGAGTTGATGATGTTGATCAGGTGTTTAGTCAAAGCTGGGACCTGCAGGAAGGCCGTGCACTCGATGGCTTCTACAATCTGGTCACTGTCCAGCATGGGTCTCTCCCCATTCAGGACCTGCAGCAGAACCAAGAAGCCCAGAACCCCCACACATCTCAGCTGGATCTCATCCTGAAGACTTTCCCTCATCCCCGACTGGAACAGAGCTCTGAAGTACTCACAGTTCTCAGACAGGACACCGCGGTCAACCATAAAGGAGCTGCAGTCGATCCAGACCCTCAGGCTGTTAGGGGGCTTACAGGGACCAGGCTGTGGACAGCTGCTGAACTCTTTAAGGTCCCTGCTGCTGGACTCCATCCCCTCACTGCAGGGCTCTGCCAGGTCCCTGATGTGGATCTTCATCCCCTCTTGTCTTGTGTTTGATCCAGATTAGAGTGTTGCAGCTTGTCCGAGTTTCTGACCTGCAGGACTTAATCACCACCCGTCCTCTCTGTGTCTGTGTGTCTCTGTACTCCTCTGCCTCTCTCTCCGTGAGCACAGGCTCTATAGATAGCCGTCTCTCCGAGTATCTCTCTCTCTCTGATGACATGCAGTGAGAGCAGAAAGACGAGCCGATAATGTGCTGATGGTTCATGTTGCTCTTTGTATGTTTGAACAGCTGAGTCTGTCCTTGAGTGTATGAACAGTCACTCAGTAACAATGGATTAAAAAGCAGGTCACATACTGAACATGTTTCTAATACACACTGGGGCTACTCTTACTTTTAACTGAGTGCCTCTCTGGCACTGATATTGTACTGCAGTAAAACAGTCTATAAACTTTTTTATTTGTCCTTTAAAAACAGGACCATAAATCCCTGTCTGAGCTCATTCGGGGTCCACACACTCTGCATAAACTTTGAAACACAAACATACAGTACATTGCTTTTCATCATTCAGCAAACTAATAGATGCTGACAGCAACCAGAGCCCAGAAGTAACTTTGACCTTGAACCTGCAGTCCTTTTAATGTCCAACGACTTCACTAGCTGTGAAAAGCAAACTGACTATATTAGCTCAATGAGAAAATGCTCCTTCTTTCAATGTTGGCCATACACTGGGCAACTAGACTTCAAAGTCACAGTCCTCATGAGAGTTTTGCTAGTATTAGTGCATGTATACATTCTCGGGATCTTGGTTATTTACCTTACTCCAGACTGTTTTTAACCTGTTTCTTAACACAGGTCTTCACTCTAGTCTTATGCAAACTATGATGTTCATTGACTTAAAAACTGTTGACAACCAAAAGACACCTACCTGGTTAGTGTTTCCAAGCTGGAAAATGTACATGAATGCCAGCTCAAGCTGAAATACCAACACAGAAATTAAGGAAAGAATTTGGTAGCTTGAACTTGGTGAATTTTCATCATGATTGTTGTTAAAATGGCAGGCTAATGATTTATTTATTCATTTTTTAATTGCACAAATAAAAATTAAACAAAAAGAGGATAAAATAACAACATAAAATAACATAAAATAACAATAACAAAACCCAGGATATGATGCACATAAATAAACAAACACTCTAAAAGGTGCAGTGACTGACTGGTTTTCTAACCCCCCGGACAACCCCCGTACAGTAAAGCTGCACCTTTTAGTGTGGCCTTTTATTGTGGTCAGTCTAAGGCACACCTGTGCAATAATCATGATGTCTAATCAGCATCTTGATATGCCACACCTGTGAGGTGGATGGATCATCTCAGCAAAGGAGAAGTTTTCACTAACACAGATTTAGACACATTTGCCAACAATATTTGAGAGAAATAGGTCTTTTGAATACATAAAAAAGTCCTAGATCTTTGAGTATAGCTAATGAAAAATGGGAGCAAAAACAAAAGTGTTGCGTTTATATTTATGTTCAGTGTTTTAGGGGTTGTTGAGTGGCCCCCCTTATAAGAAACATTCAACATGCAGACAAAACACCAATGTATACAAATAAAGTCAACACATGAGTTAAATAAAAAAAATGAAGAAGGAAAGAAAAAAATTGTTAAAAGAATCTTTTTGTTTATTTATGTGCATCAACTTTTTGCAGATAATTTGTGTGGTGGTATTACCACATCAGATGTTGTCTCTGTAGAGTGACCCCGGGCAAGAAAAGCCATTTTTTATTAGAGTGGTATTTAACCCTCAGTAACAAGTCAGGTGTGTAAGCTTAAGACATATTCCAAAGCACATGAGCTCACTTTGGTCTAACTTCTCGAAAAGGAAGTTCGCACGACCCCAGAATCACATGAATTGAATGCAGTAACTGTTGTCCCAAGTGTTTCCCTCACATTGACAACACCTAGCTGAGCCACCCTTGTATATTTTCACCCACCTAAGTGTATATACACCAACCAGTATCACTTTTTAAAACATATTTTTAAAACATATTTGTACACCACCCACCATCAACTAACAATTTGATCTCTCATTGCTTTTAGACCTTTGCATCCATAAACCTGCAGCACCTGACACATGCTCTCCTGCAGGTAGATTCCATGTCTCATGTTGAACATCAAACTTCTCACACCCTTAATTTGAAAGTTTTCTCCAGGTGGTCTCTTGCTGATGGCCCTCTATGGTAGTTTTGGAGCTTTGCCAAACATTATGTCATCACTAATTAAGCCTTGTGAATTACCTGTAACAATACTACTTGATGAGTGTTTCATTCTTCAATACAGACTGATGTTTAGTCTGTTAATTAAAGACCCATTTAGGCTCAAAGGGACCAGAAAGCAGTGGAGGTTTTAGACAAACCTCTCTATGAAGTCCTGCAAATGTGATTCTCCTCCCATCCAAATTTGGTCAGGAAGCTGATTGTTCTCTGTTGTTTTTGCAGTGAGCATTTTTTTTGTGTGTGTATTGGACTTTGTTGCTTTGTTCTGTATGTGAAGCTGTTTCCTCTGATGAAGGTTTTTATGAGGTGGGCTGAAAGTCTGAGACATTCCTTGTGTAAGGGCAAAATGTATATCTACCGTATATGATGATTAAAGATTTCCTGATTGAATGAGACCGAACAAAAGCTGCAGCAATGTGCAGACTGGATGTGTGCAGACAGATTCAGAGGATCAGCTGATGTTCCTGCACCGTTCAGCTTTAACAAGCTCTGTTTGGAGAGTTTTTCCTAAAATGGAGAGGTCATTAGAGGGCTGCTCTCTTGGGAGTTGAGGACTCTCACAGTCAGTTCAGTTCAGCCCTCACATCTGGACTACGACCAGCCAGATTCAGAGACTTTTCTCCTTTCCTGGACTCGTCTGAAAGGATCAAACACAGAGAGACTACCTGCTCAGAGACGAAACACCATGCAGAGAGAGGACTGCTGCAGACCGTGAGGCGTTAATGAATGGATTATAATGTTTGGAAAAGTGAAGACAGGTCAGCCTGCAGCAGCAGGTCCAGACTCAAGTCCGGCAGAGTGTAATGTGGTGCTGCTCGGTATGATGGGCTCCGGGAAGTCAGGTCAGACGCTTACTATTAGGCTAATGATGGCATTTAAACAGGCTGCTATAAAAGAGCTTCATTAATGGTCAGCTGATCAGACATTAGCTCATAGTCCAGAAATTAATGTTCACAGTTCTTGGATTTATCGAATTCCATCTATAATCTAAACATCTTTAATCTCTTCTTCTGTGTGATATTATATGAATTTTCTTTGTCCTGTGCTAGAATGAACATAAATCTTATGCAAGTTTTCTCAGGACCCTCTCTGACTCCTGCGGCCCCTGGGTGGGGCCCCTGTAGACCACTGTGAGCCTGATTCAGTTTCACTGTTTGTTTTTTAGCTCTGACAGTGAAGTTTCTCACAAAGAGATTCATCAGTGAATATGATCCTCTGCTAGGTGAGACCACACACACACACACACACACACCCACACACACACACACACACACACACACACACACACTGGGATGCTATTTAAAATCTTGGCTAAAGCAGTTTGATGGTTTGTAATGGTCACTTTAAACTCGTATTTAGTTAAAAAACTACTATTAGTGGAAATCACTGCATGGACTCAATATCGAGTTTAGGATGAAAGTTAAGCAGATAACTGCTTAACACATCCACTTATGAAGCAGGGTTTGACATGCTTTTTGGAAATCAAAACACTGCCTCTTCTTCTCTTACGAGGAGTGGGACCACTAGGCTTCGTAACACACACAGTTCAAAAGCCAGCCTCCTGCTGGTAAGGGTATGCACAAGTGGCCGTGGCATGAGTAGCTTACACATTTAGGATCGCACTATTAGTGCTGAACACTGTCACGACCCAGCTCAAAAGTCAGACAAAAGAAAAGGGGAACACGGTTGACTTAAAGTATGAGGATTTATCTAAAAAATGAATAATTTTACCAACAAAACGGATGAGGTGTGTGCATCAGTTAGTCAGTGTGTCTGTTGTTGGATGAGTGAAAGGTGTGTGTATGTGCAGCATGTTGTAAGGTGCAGAACCAAAATCCAAAGGAGGCCAAAGCCAACGAAACAAAAAACCCTGCTGCCATGGAGCGATCTGCTGAGGATGAGAGAGAGCCTGGTCTTTTATACCCTGGGAGACTGGCCAGGAACTCCCAGGTGTGGCTAAGTCCCCGCTTTTCAGTAACCTGCAAAAGAGAACAACAAAAAACAGGAACGGAACAGGCAGCAAGTTCTGACTAGACCTTAGGGTCGTCACAACGCTTTATACAGGGTTTGGAGCAACATATGCTACAGTTCAGACAACGACTTCTCAAGGGATGATCGTCCATACTAGAGCAAGATCATGCCAAACCACATCATACAGGTGTCCCTATACTGTTGCTCAGTAGCTGAAGAGTTCTGCTGCTTAACATGCTTACCTGTCACTAATTTTAACATTCAGCACACCGTGAAGTAAAGAGAGAGGTCTAAAACCTGAACTGTTGAACAGCTGAAATGCATGTGATAACGTGTGTGTGTTCCATGTCATCCTGTGTTTCAGAAGACGTGTACTCATCTGAACAGGTGGTGGACCAGCAGCCGGTCACAGTCAGAGTGATGGACACCTGCGACCAGGTGAGATCTCACTGAGTGTGCACCATAGTTTATTATTGAGTGTTTCTATGACAACAGGAGCATATATTTCTGAATGAAAAACTGTCAGCTGGTTGACACAAGGTTTCTCTGACTGACAATATAAAGTAAAGATGCTAAGGAGATATGCACAGAGACCCACTGCGATAAAAATCATGTTTTTCTTGTTGTCTACATGTTCATGTGGCATTTTTCTAACGCTTCAGGACATACCATGAGAAAAATAAGAGCAAAATTGCATTTCTGAGCATTTCTGCATTCAAATCGCTGTGAACCTCTCACAGACCCAAACAAAATGTTCAGACACAGTGAGATTTCATACATCACAACTCCAAGCTCCGCTCCTGGCACCCCGGTCTGCAGGCCAGACTTGGGGAAGTAAAGAGGATGATTGTGGAACAAGTGTGTGTGGTAGTGGATTTCAATGCTAATTAAGGACGCTAAGTTTGATATTAGCTTTCATCTTGCCCCCAAAGATAAAGATGTCTGAGAGCTGAATAGCTCCTATGTTACCTGCCACTTCAACTCGTCCGGCAATGTTAGGCTGCAAACTTGTGAAAAGCAGTGTGCAGAGCAGCGTTGTCTCTGTCCAGGACACAGAGGTGAATTGAAAATGACACAGGATTTTGGCTAAAAACTTCATAATCACAACAATATTAAGACCACTGACAACACTTTAAATAGTTAAAAAATACAATCAGAGTGGGACTTCAAAGAGTGAAAACACTGAGACCCCCTGTTTGAACCTTTGTTTTAGCTAGCCTACCAAGTTATTTTAACCTGTATAATCTTAACTTTGTTTAAGAATATCTTTCCATTTATTTATTCATTTATGTATGAGTTTATTTTGAGGATTGTTTTCCTCCATACAACAGAGGACACTGGATACTGGAGAAAACAGAAGGTGGTGGTGGTGGTGGGGGGGTTCTGGCAAAGGACCAAAGGTTGGACCACCCGCCTTGAGGACTAAAGACTCTGAACGACCCCCCACACTCATTTATTTCTAATAAAATTGATTGAATATTAGATTAACATGCTGTGTAAATACATGTTGAGAACTTTAATGTGTTCATCACTAAACGAGAGACTGAAGTGAGAAGATTAAACCCTGAGATTAGATTAAATCATGAACCTTGTAATTTTTTTAGAAGGACAACCTCATTTTGAGGTAAAAACTTAATCCATTTTGGAATAAGGCTAAAAAAAAGTGAAAAAAAAAAGTGTAGTGATGTGAATACTTTTGGGATGCACTGTATTTCTTACAAATGAATCCTTAGTTTGGGACAGTAACAGAATGAATCTATGTGTGTCTGTCTATATGTGTGTATTTGTGTTTGTGTGTAGGAGGGTCCTGTAAACAATGAGCGGTACCTGACCTGGGGGAGTGTATTTTTGGTGGTCTACAGCATCGACAGCATGGAGAGCTTCAAATGCTGCCAGCTGTATCTGCACATGCTCAGTCTGCACCGGAAATCTCCCATCATCCTCCTAGGCAACAAGCTAGACATGGACCTATACAGGTTGGTATCTCTGTGTGTTTTTTGTGTGTTATTTACAGAGCTTACCGTAGTGCCATCTTATCCCCCTACGGTAGTAAAGGTACTAACCTAAATCTTCCACCTTGCTCTGAGAAGGTGAAAAGTCCTCAGTCAGGATTTGCTGTTGTGAAAGTTTGCATAGTTTAGAGGATTAGGAGGAGCAGCAGGCTTTACCAGCTGATTTGCTTCAGCAACATGTTCCCTGTGGTTGAACACTAATATCATTCTTGGAGCTTAAATGCATCACAGTTTACTTTGTTCCATTGCTACTCTGCTGTATTTAAAATCGGAATAGCTCAGTATTATCTCAGTAAAATAATCTATTCCTGTTGACCGGCCTATGAAGCTGTTTGTTCTTCGTTTTGGCTAAAGGAGGAGATCTTTCTCTTCATCCAGACCTGAGATTGTCATGTTGAATGTACTGTTTTACAAACTATCACCTATAACATTGTGATAACAAGTGCCAGCTCTCTTACTGTCTTAAGATTTGCACACCTTTAAACACTCATTTAAAGATTAAAGCTCCAGTGAGGAACTTTCTGTCTGTGTTGACTTTGGTGCCCCTGTAGACCAATTTCCAACCCTTCGAGAAAGTGGAGTTGATTGACAAAAAACCTCCCCTTTTTGTCGTTTTACAATGCAGTTCATTGTTTACCATGGATGTTTGCTGTGGGAACATAAACATATTTCTTTAGCATGCCTACGCCCTCACCATAGTTACAAGAATTAAAAAATTACAACATAGAAATCTTCTGTCTTGTAACCAATGGTCTCAGTTACCTTTTTGTATCATAGACACATTAGAATTCATTTCAGTCTGTTTCATAGCCGATCTAAAACTCCTCAAAGGAGCTTTAAACAGTATTTTACATGTAGACATGTCCCAACTTGCTACAAAGCTAGAAAAGTTTTTCATTTTGTGGTATGATACAGACACAAGAAGAACACTTGCTAGACTTGAAACACTTTTACTATCCTCTAAAAATTGTGGTTTTAAAACAAGGTTTAAAAATTTATTGAAACATCTGGTGAGGCATGTGCCCCACCAGCTTAAATGGGTCTGACCCTGGCAGATGGTGTCAAGTAAAAATGTATGACTCACTTTGATCTGCACTCTGACTTTGTTTTCCACGGGCTGAGGTCCAGAGGATAACCAACAGCCTAGAAACATGGCACAGACAAAAACAGGCCCTGCCCAACAACAGAACAATGTTATGTCTCTGTGTGATTTAGTTTATCAACACTGAATAGGAGTGCTATGTAGCAAGCCCCTAAAAACAATTGTGTTATTTATTTAAAAAAACACTGCATTATTTTTAAGAACCTCTTTATATTTTTGTCAAATTGAAGTTTTGTAAGCTGGAAAATGTGCTGGTGGTAGATGTTCATGGGGGTGTACATAAATGAGAAGGCTACTCGTACCGTACATATGAAGTGTTTACCCTGCCACCTATAGAGGGCAGTACTCTTTGTGAGGGTTGGTCTGTATATCAACCCTCAAGAATGCACAGAGCCTGAAATGAAATGTTAACCCAAAGACCACATGTACCCCAGTCTGTTTCACAGCTTCTTAGATAGAGGAGCTTTGTCTTATGAGTCAGCCATGTGCAGGATAGTAAAATAATAATGGTTGTAATTAGGGGTGTCCCGATACAGTATTGATATCGAATATTGGTCTGATATCACAAGAAAAACCAATATCGGATTATATCAGCCTGCATCTAAAATCTTCGATATCAGCACTCCAATGCAAGCAGTCTATTCCAGACTCCACTCCGGCACCTCTATCTAGCAGCATCCTGATCCAGCATGCAGAGCCCACATGATCACAATAACAGTGTGTACCAAGGTACTAACAAAGTAGCAAGGAGTAGGAGTGATGTCAGCCTTGTGGCAGTATTTTATGTTTAAATCCGAAAAACACATTGCAGCTGAATGAAAAACTTGTCACGCACAATTTTGTGCCAATATCGGATCGATATTGGTATCGGTCAGTATTGAAGGCTACAGTATTGGTATTGCATCAGAAGTCAAAAAGTTGTATCGGGATGCCCCTAGTTATAATAATAGATAGATAGTAGATAGACTTGATAATTTAAAGTACATGATAACCTTGCCTGAAAAAGTCTCCAGCACATACTAACAGGCAGGGAGTCCTGTTGTTAGTGCTAGCTTGAACATCATCAGTAAAAGATTTTTTTTTTCACCAAAAAAATCTCTGAGCCCAGGTAAAAAGTATCAGATTTATATGCTTTTTCACTTTATTCATCTTGACTGGTTTATGTTTTTCTCACCTTTAGATGTGTGTGTTTTTGTGTTCAGTAACACCACAAACTTGGATGCTTTGATTTTGGAAGGGTAACGCCAGGGTCGAAAAAAAAAAACAAGGACCTTAAAGGAGCAAGCACCACTGATAATAAGATATATGGTGCTCTTTAACACTTAATTGGGCTGCTTATTCATCTGTATTGTAAGAGTCATATATCCAGAAAGAAACCACTGATTGGACTCATAAAAGCAAGTATTTTTGTCCTATTATCTCTTGCTGCTGGTTATTTTTAAAACAGTTGTACCCTTTGTTTTTTGATCCTTTAAGGTTTTATGTTCTGATTGTCTGATTTTTGTGCTCTGTGACATAATTTGGGCAGTAAATGTCACTGTTTGAAATGGTGATATCAAAAAGAAGTATGTGTCTCTCCTGTGTTTTTGAGTTTTATGCTTTTGTAACACTTGTGTTTGTGTCTCAGACAGGTGAGTCGTAGTGAGGCGGAGTCTGTGGCGTCTTGTTACGGCTGTGTGTTCTTCGAGGTGTCGGCCTGTCTGGACTATCTATCAGTTCAGCACGTGTTCTTTGAGGCTATACGGCGTGCAAGGAAGGGTCGGGGTTACCTGGTTCCAGCAGTGTGTGTGAGTGAGAACAGAGCGGCGCCCCTTGCCCCTTCCTATACCACCCCCTGCTTCAAAGAGCTGCCGGCTCCCACCACCGCCAAGCTGGTGACCGTGAAGACATCGAGAGCTCAGAGCAAACGCAGAGCCACCACGCTCACCCTGCTTAAAGGGTTCAAGATCTTCTGATCCCCCTAGACACACACTCTCACACACACTGCTAAGGGACAGGATGAGGGGTAATAAGAAGACTACCTGGGAAGGATATGGACTTCTGTGAACTGATGATCGACAGGTGTGTCTCAGAGACTTTGGATTTGCTCATTGCTCTGTCTGTAGGACCAGCCGCTGTCTTATTCACAAACACCACAAAGCCTATAAGTCGGAGTTTCTGTTGCCATGGAGATAAGCTCAGCAGGGACACCAATAAGAGAAAGTTTTCTTTAAGCTCCACTTTCAGCGGGACACCTTGAAACAATGTGAACCTCTTCTAAATGGAAGGTTCCTGATGTAATGCACCATGGGAGTTGTAGTTTCAAGTTACTAATAGTTGCTCTGGAGCAATGGTTCTCAAGTCCAGTCCTCGAGCCCCCACTGTCCTGCTTGTTTTGGATGTTTCGCTGCTCCAACACACCTGATTCAAATGATCAGCTCGTTATAAAGCTCTGTAAGGCCCTAATAACGAGCTGATCATTTGAATCAGGTGTGTTGGAGCAGGAAAACATCCAAAACAAGCAGGACAGTGGGGGCTCGAGGACTGGACTTGAGAACCACTGCTCTGGAGTAAAGCCAAAGAAGCAAATAATAAAACATTTTAAATACTTTTAGAGTAAGGGAGTGAAGAGTAAATGTAGAGTGGGGGGTAGAGTGAAGGAGAAAGAAAGAAAAGTTCAAGAGCAGAGAGACACCATGTCCTCAGTTTGTTTGAACATTTAATCGACTTTATTAAACAAAGATATTTTTCCTAATAAACCACATCTTCACTCACCATCTTACTGTTTACTGAATGAAGCAGGACAACAAGGAACTGTGTTTATTTTAGAAAAATATCCATAGTTGTTTTAGCATTGTAAAAAAAAAACAGAAACCTTACTATTAGACGATCTGACTCATACGTCTCTGAATATGTATTTTTTAATTCTATTTTTGTGTTCAAACAATACAAACAAGCTACAACAGAAAATATAAAGCTTTACAGCTGCATGTGGTCAAAGGGCATCATTTCATGTATCACAATGCAAAGCTACTGTCACTGACTGCAGTACTCAAATGAACTGCTAATTCTGTGATAACAAAACATGACGATTTATAATGAGGACAGTTACAATAACAAGGTGTTCTCATGTCTACACAAATATGAAGAAACAGTAAGCATGCAGTTAGCTGAGCTAAGCACAAAGGCTGTAAAGAGCTATCCTGGCTGTATGTGAAGGTTGTCTAAACAGTGTCTTACTGATTAACACCATAGAATAAATGAAACATCCACACAGTCTCTGTTATAATTTGGTTTCTGAAGCAGTTTTGAAGCTTAGCGATGGCAGATGCTCAACCTTAAGATAATACATGAAATAAAAATTGACCCCCACAGTTTGTGTGAATAAGAGAATGACCCACAGACACAAACATATTTTGTATCAAGCTCTAAAAACACTTGACTTTTTTAGGAGGGTGTGTATATGGTCTTTAGTACTCTTAGGGCCAGCCTCTATTGTACATCAGAGGAGCTGCAGTTTTAAGCACTTCCACTCTGACCCCAGAAGTTGAAACTTGATTAACAAAAGATTTCTGATTTAATTCATTTACATTTTGTTACAGCCCTTTTGCTAAGCTAGGTTAGTTTCATTTAGGCTCTTATTTCTCATTTTAATTTTACAGCCATCACACAAGTTACTTTTCAGAAATCTAACTTTAAAATCATACTACAGGTGAGGTGGAACTTTGCCTGGATGAACTTAAATCTTAGCTCAAAGTCCATGTAAGAGAAAGTGAACCTGCTGACTGAAGTTTAGGTGATGGTATAAACACAAACAGGACAGGGTTTAGTTTGTATATGAGGGAATATCCGTTAGCTGAGTGTAACCGTTCAACCCAAACTGAATATTCTGCAGTAACATAACACTAAGCTTTATTTTACTTTTGATCTGAACACATTTTGTAGATAAAAATGTTTGATTAAAATAAAAAGAAATGTTTGTGTTTGAAAATGATTAAGTGACTTTCTTCTCATAGACCAGGACATTTAACTGTAAATGACTCATATATTGATTCCCTAAAATCATGTGCTGGACCTCTAAACCTTTGCAGTGTCTGTGAACCTCCAGGTTTTAATGGACTCATAGATGTTTAAAGATGATGCTTTGTGGCTTGTTAGTATTAGCAGCTAATGTCCAGCAGGTGGAGCCGTTAGGAGAGGAGAGGAGAATGCTCACATATGATAATACATCTTTTACCCAGACTCATTACTCCTCGGTCTTTGTGGGCTCATCACTGACCAGCTCATCACCTAACACCTCCACCTGTTGCTCTGTATGTTGTTCCACCTGTTGCTCCACCTGTTGCTCCTCCTGATGCTCCTCTGGTTGCTCCTCCTCTGGTGCAGCATTGTCATACAGGCAGGAGGTGTTGCCGTCCTTCCATGTGACCACTATGTCTCCTGCTCTGAGCTCTGTCAGCTCTCCATTGGCTGGTGGAGGTTTGTTTACATTCTGCAGCCTGTTGGGTGATGGTGAGGGTGTAGCGCTGCTGTCGTCTCTGAGCTCTGACAGGACCCGGAGCTGCTCACCCTCACCCTTCTGAGCCAGAGCTGCTGCTGCTTTGTACTTTGCAATCTTCTTCCTGTTTCTACAGAACCATAAACAAAACAAACAAAAAAAAAAACATGTCACCATTTTGACCCAGGAGATGGTTTACTACTTTTATAATAATGTAAAGTGTTTCTTTTCATTACTTGTTGGCCATGGCTCCCATCCCCAACAGCAGAAAGCCAATAAGCAGGCAGACAAAGGCGAGGCCCAGCAGCACAAACTTCCAGATGGTTGCTGCAACCCAAATAAGACAACACTCATACTTTGGAGGATTCTGATAATGACCACATTTCAGAGGCTCCTGGTTATAATTTTGTTTCCTTTAAGGATCATGGTAATACTTGTGTTTTTGACAAACCTGGACATAATTGTGTTTGTGATTATGTGCACATCTTTCGCTCTCATGAGATGATTTAGTTGTTGTTGGTTTATTTTAATCTTGTCTAAACACTAGGATTGAAATGTTCTGTCACAGCAATCATTGTGTGTTATTTGACTATCATGGTGAAAATGTACACATCCTAACCAGTATGATCCCAATGAAAACTAAATAACTTTTCACTTTTCACAACGATCACATTTGCAGTTCAGACAAAGTTAAGACCATTTCCAAAAATGAACCAAAACTACTGTCAAGAACCACTGACACATCTCTCTCCTGGCAGGTGCATTGTGGGCGGAGCTTAAGCAGTAGTACTTACGGTCCTCTGTGCGGTAGAACCAGCGAAGGTACTCTCTCTGTTCCTCTGTCAAGGCTGCTCGTCCACCGGCCTGCTCACCCGCGTCCTCAAACTCATCAGGTTCACCAGAGGCTCTCTTTGATCCTGGAGGTCAAACACAGCACACACTAAGTTTGTGTTCATTACCAGTGTTCAGAGGGATCACTGTCAGCAGAAGCCTATCAGTCTCTTAGTCTGATTGCTGGGTTAAATTACTTCATATAAAGGTGACTTGTGTCTTCTCTGAACAGTGATCAGCTGTTTCAGGTCCTGCAGGTGAATCCACCTCTCTCTAACCTGATCCAGTCTGACTGTGCCAGGTGAAAACCACCATTTCAGATCATTAAAACTCTCCTATGACCCTAATATCATCCCAGACTTACTGAGTCTCTCCAGGCAGATGTCCCCTCCATCCACAGATCTCCACCTGGACTGTTTGCTGTCATGAGAGAGGACAGGGTGCCGTCCATCAACAGACAGCAGCATGGACAAGTTCCTATTGATCAGCCTGTTCCTGTCACACTCCCACTGTAACTTTGTATTGTCCACATCAGACCCCTTGCAGGGCAGGGTCCGCAGATGCCTCCCCTGAAGGGCTGCCATACACCTTGAGGAGGCGACATTCATGAGCATGCTCTGATCCATCCAGATCCACTGCTGAGCCTCCGAGTCCAGGTCACACCTGCTGAGCACCACCTCGCCTGAGTCTGCCGTCTCCTGCAGACACAGGCTGCGTTTGGTGTTGTAGACCATGAAGGCAGCTGCAGGAGCTGAGACACAAACACACACACAATCACAAAGGTTCACATTCAGTCATGCAAGCATAAATATCTGTGAAGTGTGTGTGTGTGGGGGGGGGGATAATTAACTCACCCAGAAGCAGCAGGAACAGATGAATCCTGACGGCAAACATTTCTGCACTGAAGGACAAACATGGTTTAAAATCAGACAAAGTTCAAACTTTTAACTTTTTACCACAAACAGATTATTCAGTTCCTACTCATATATAGCGAGAGTATGACATGCTGTATTTTCTGCAGGTAAAACTTTGCTAATCCATATATTGTGATATAAAAGCCATAAAGTGCAACAGACCTCTCCTGTGTGTGTGTGTGTGTGTGTGTGTGTGTGTGTGTGTGTGTGTGTGTGTGTGTGTGTGTGTGTGTGTGTGGGCAAACTTAATGAGACTGGGTGACAGCCAACAGAGAGCTTCAGTGGCCTTGGACAAGATAGTGAGGCAAGGTTGAGGATGTGTTTTTGCGTGACTCAGAGGTGTTAGTGTGAGGAATTAACTAATCAAACTTGACAGTTCTACAGGGAATGCTCAGAAGGAGTGAATTTTATCCCTGGACAAAGTGTCTTGGAAGTTTGATTGTTTTTTGTGTTACAGTGGAAAGTTTCACCAATCAGAACAAACATATAGATGTACAGTTATACTTGACAACATCTGGTTAAAACATTTTGAACATCTGGCTGACATAATGCAACCCATTAAAACAGATCTATCCTTACATTTCACTCTCTTAAAGTTTTTACCTTTTCAATTTAGTTGACATGGTCAGACAGGAGGTCATTGTTCTTTGAATCAGTTGTTGAAGCTGTTATGGTTGTTTTTGGTGTACTTAAAAAGTGGTTCCTCATATTATGTCCCCCCCTTTTTTAAAGGTCCTGTGCAGAGTTTTTTTGATAATTTAAACAGACTGAGATTCATTTTGACATCTAGTTATGATATATGAAAGCCAACAAAACCTTCAGCGAAAAGAGTGAGAGTTTTTATGATGTAATTTCTAATGCCTGAAACTTGTGCAAGGGGGTGGATGTTTGGCAAGCAGCTGAAGAAACAGCCCTGTCCAACATTTTTCACATAACTGTTCACAGTAGATTATAAATTTGACTGTTTGAAGTCAGAACAACATTTTTTTTGTCAGATGACATTACCTAAGCATATAAAGGACAAGACAAGCAAAGGTTGTTTGGAGATTTAATGAAGAGGCACAAAGTTACTCACTCCAGTACACCACTACATCTTCAATAACATATAAAGCACAAAAAAGCCACCTTTTTGATAAAAAAATGAAAATTTAGAGGCTTCCTGAAAGTAAAATTTCCAGTAGAGCTGTTGTATTGGGTTGGATTAGATTGCCCAGCGAGTGTTATTGCTGGTATGCACAGAAATAGTGTTTTTAGTCCTCTCTCAGTAGTACTCACAGATTTATTCATATTTGTTCCCTGTTTCTGTCTGCTAGAAGAATAAACAATTTCAACCACAACTATCATGTTTCATTACTGACCACATTTTTATATTCCTCAGACATTAGCTTTGGGGCTTTTTATATCACTGAAAAAAGAGACAGAGATAAAATCCTGTGTCAATATTTTTTTTCAAAGTCCTCTGAAATCAGTACAAGGTGACAAAGGCAAAAAGATTAATCCCATTAAAAGTAAAAACATGAAAAATATTGTCTAATTGTTGATTTAATGTGCTCCTGCTTTGCTTTCGGCGATCATTACCTTGAATACTATGTAGAGTTGTTAACTTATGATAATAAAGATTTAAGAGAACAGTACGGCAGTAAAATGAGTCCATGTGTTTTTATGAGATCTGTTCTTTGTTCTGTATAAAAACCTGACTCTGAGTTGGATGTCACAGACTCATTAAAACTGAGTGTTCAGGGTTTTCTTTTTACTGTCAAGGTGAAATGACTGATGGTCATATGTAAAACAGAAATTTACACAGTGAAGTTGTTTAAAAAGGTTTTCAAACATTTTCTCTGACACTGACTACAAAAATCGTAAACATATTATCATTTTAACCTCTGGAGACCAGACTTTATTCACTAAACAAACCCCAATTCTAATGAAATTGGGACTGTAACTATTTGTTGTATTTTCTTTGGGGTTTGTGTTTTGAAACCTTTGTTATTTGTAATTGTCTTTCACTAGGTGATGTGAATTCCAATGTCTGTTCATTATAAGTAGATGAGGACGAAATTAGTGGCAGGTGTTTCTGTAGCAGGAGAAGCACACAGTTTTTGACTGTCAACATCAACGTCGTTGTCGCCATTGCTCAATTTGCCTTCGTCTTTTATTTGCACTTGGTTGCTTCAACTGGTAAGGAGAATGAATGAAAAATAATGTGACTTAAATGAACTGTTTCATTTATGATGGGAAACAAGTAAGCTAAGGAAAATGCTTCAACTGTAAATCTGGCTATAGTACACCTCGGTGGCTCTCAGGATAATTTCAGTAGGCGAAATTAAGTCACTTGAGGGACGTTGTGTAAAACATGAAAAAAAGCAGAATACTATAATTTACAAAATCTTTTTGCTCTATTCTCTATGTATACACTAAAAAAACGAGCTGATAAACTTGATTTTTTTTGTATTTGGAATTTGATACTGCAACATGCTTGGTTCAAGGTCAACAAAAGACTGGAAAAAATGGAGGACTTCTCCAGAAACTCTTTTGAGTGAACTGTTTGGATCATTCCACAGGTGAACAGGATCATGGGAAACAGGTGAGGGCCATAATTGGATATTAAAGGAGCATCACTTAAAGACAAGCATAGGACCAGGTTCATTACTTTGTCAACAACTGTGTGAGCAAATAGTCCAACAGTTTAAGAACAATGTTTCTTTAACATGCAAAGTGGGAAAGTCTGCTGTGGTCTGATGAGTCCACATTTCAGATAGTTTTTGGAAACCATGAACCTGGCAAGGAAAAGGACCATTCAGACTGTTCTCAGGTCAAAGGTCAAAGCCAGCATCTGTGACGGTCTGGGGTGTGTGTTAGTGTCCATGGCTAACTGTCACATCTTTGAAGGCTCCAATAATGCTGAAAGGTACATACAGGTTTAGGACCAACATCTGCTGCCATCAGAGCCCCGTCTTTTCAGGGATGTCTCTGTTTATTTAGCAAGACGACACAGAGATGCATTCTGCAGGAGTTACAACAGCGTGGCTTCAGAGTCAAAGAGTCCAGGTACTGGACTGGCCTGCCTGCAGTCAAGACCTGTCCCCCACTGAAAATGTGTGGAGCATTATGAAGCCCAAAATACCACAACAGAGACTCTGGACCGTGAACAACTGAAGTGGTCCATCAAACAACAGTTAGTGTCCTCAGTCTACAAAGGCTTACTGAGAGTGATTAAAGGAAAGATGATGAAACACAGAGAGAAACATGACCCTGAACCAGCTCTCTAGGAACCTGCTGCAGCATCAAATTCAAAATGAGTAAATGTTTACAGAAAAACAACCAAGTTTAGAGTTTAAACTTTACATTTCTTTGTGGAGTATTCAGGTGAATTTAGGTGGAAAAGGATTTGAAGATCATTATTTCTGTTTTTATTCATGTTTTACACAATGTGCTAACTTATGTGGAATATGTTGGAATTTTTAATTTAAAAACCATCCAAAACACAGATACAGGTTTTAACTGGATGTTACACTTATATTTAAAAACAACCAGACTGTAATTGATGAAAAAGCATGATTACATAATCTTGTGTGCTCAGCATGTTTCTCAGTGGGAGAGTCACTCATCATCTGCAGACTATGAAGATGAGCATCAGTGGATGGTGAACAGGGTGTATTGATATAGCACTCATGCAGTGTTCTAGCACTCAGAGCACTTTCACACCACATTCATCCATTCACGTTCACTCACAGACAGCACAGGCTGTATCTGTAACTAACCTAACCATTTCATGACCACATGATATGCCAGTTATAATGTGATTTTAGGCCTTTCCTCAGGACACTTCAGGAAGTGACTGCAGAAGCTGGGATCAAACCACCAACCATCAGACTGAGAAACAACCCACTATACCACTGAGCCACAGAACAGCACTAACATATCACAAAAACAACAACACACTGCAACACTACACCAAACACACAGCTTTTAACACCCGCTGCAGTCACATGACCTCACTCAGATAAACAGCGCTCAGGTAACAAGCTGTAATTGACAATCCTGTACAACAACCTTCACCATTTGACAACTCAAATCACAGAGTAAACATGGGACAGACACACACTTTTAACAGCCATACTGTATCTACACACAGCAACATAAATCAGTGCCTCTACTCACCTGTGTGGTGCTGAGTGTGTGTGAGAGAGAGGATGATCTGACTGTCTTCACACAATCACTGGCACACACACTCAGCACCACACACACACACACACACACACACACACACACACACATACACACACACTGTTAGACATTGACAGATCCTAGCCAAAGTTCAGGAGGCGGAGCCTGTGGGCATGTCCATCACCATGTTACACACTGACTGCCAACACACACACACACAAACACACACGAACACTCTCATTAAATGTTGTCAGGTTTTATAGAATCAGAGTTCAGTGTGCTCGGTTTCAGTGACCCTGTTTCCATGGTTACTATTTATACAACCTCGCGCTGACCTTGACAGTGGGTGTGTGTTAGAGACCTGACTCATCGGTCAAAAACCTTCTCCTATACACATACACATGTAAAGACACACAGGTTAACACGCGCACATAAGAACACAAGTACATTTGTTTATACACACAATCTAACATGTATGTGTGTTTAAGGTACACATGGACAAATACACAGAAACACATACATTCACATGGCTCACTTCAATGCATCTTTCTGTCTGCTCTTATAAGTGTATGAGCAACAGCTTGATCAGTCAGTATTTATTCTTTAGTTTTATTTGTTTGTTCGTTTGTCTTTGGTGCAGGTCTAATAACCTGCAATTGAACACCATCAGCACCAAAAAGACAGGGCTGAGCTTCTGAAGGTACACATATACAACCAGTGTCAATAAGGAATTTACTTATTTTTACCCTGACCTAGTATCTACAATACCTGACTACATGTATACGCAACACAAATGTTACCCACCGCGTAGCAAAACTCACTAATTATACCTGTGTAAGTATAACAAGACACGTAACAAGGACTTAAAGCTATTAGCGGTGATCAATGGCCACTTGCACCTCTATGTTGCATCCATAGGATCTGGTAAAGCTGTTGATTGTGCAGCAGTTGACCCAGGGTAACTGGCTATGGCCTGTCAGCATGAAACAAATGGTCATTTGGATCTTTTTAGGATGACACTATCAAATTAATTGTGATAAATTTGCACTTGTGACAGTTTAGTAATGGTTTTTACCAGTATGACTTTGACCAAGTTTATTGAGATTGTCCATGAGAGTGAATAAGTCAGTAGAGATTAAAAGTTTATTCAAAACTATGGATGGGTGTTAAAAGCACTTTTGAATAGGTGGTACTATTACATGACAAAAATGTACATGTGAGCAAGACCATCATCCAACCTCTAAAATTTGGGACACATTGGACAATATATGTGAAAGTTAGGACCATGTATTTCCACAGTGTGGCGCTATGACAGTATCAGATAAAAAACCCACACATAAATGTGTTAAGAAATGGACCTTAAGCATCTATGTCATCCATCAAAGAGGCTTAACACTCTATGAGGGAATAAGATGTTTACAGCTACACAAAAAGTTTAGCAATCTGCTACAGCTGCACTCTTTGACGATTTATAATAATAATAATAATAATAACAATAAAAATAAATAATAATAATAATAATCATTCTGTGATAGTAGTGCAAAAAAAAAAGAAAGAAAAAAAATGAAACAGACACGCAGTAGGGGAAAAACATCGCTGTCATTCACCTGCCTGATGAAGAAGCCATTTGAGGCCTCTTTATACACTAACAGAGGACTGATAATCTGAAGTGAGAGTTTGTACAGGTGGGACACAGGTCATCAGGATCTTGTATTTTAAATTCCAGTGCTTCCAAGTGAACAAAGTATGACAATAGATGAAAACTGGGTTCAGAGATTTGCAAAACTCAGTATGTGAGTGAACAAAGAGTTCAGCAGTTTGGAGTATTTTGGAGGTTGTTGATACATCAGCTTTAATTTTTCAGATCTTGGGAATAGTTTCATTTGTATGTGTGTGTGTGTGTGTGTGTGTGTGTATGTGTGTGTGTGTGTGTGTGCGTGCGTGTGCGTGCATGTGTGTGTGCAATTGTTAAAATTTGTAACAGCTACTACTTGAGGCATCTGCAGTAAAGCTGTATTGACTGTGGAGGTGAAGATCTGTAATTGGGCACAGACAGCTCCCTCTGTTGGACACCCTGACTCACTGCACCAAACACATCTGTCAGACAAACAAGATGTCTACAAAAACTGATAATGCCATATGGCTGACTTGGAGAAGGTTCCAAGGTTGTTGTTTTTTTTATTTTTATTTACAAACTAAATTGTCACACATTTTCCATTGTAAAGTGATGGTTTTCATTGGTTTGTTTTTTGATTTTGCATTTTCCCAAGCATATTATTTTGTGGCAATCTTAATAACATATTTGTGACTATCATGGTGAAAAAGTATCTGAACAATTTGCCAACAATAAACTTTTTTCATTCAAATCAAATACAGCTCAGTATTTTCACAGCTCTACAGTACAAAAACACCCTCTGGCATCACCGGTAGCTATTTATGCTATAATTTGGCAGGGCAGACTACTCAGGAAGCAGGAAAATGTGTCGAATCAGGAGGTTTAAGAAGCTGCAACTAACTTTATGGATCTGCAATGTTAGATGGGGAAGCTCTCTCTGCTTTCAATCTAAGAGCTGCAAAGAAATTCTGTAAATAAATATTTTAAATTTGTGGTGAAAAAGTGAGTCTCTGTGTATATGTACTTGAAGAAAGAACAGATCCCAGACATTCATTCATTCATAATTCAAAGAGCTCTGAGTCACTGTGACAGTTTGTGAACGCAGCACTCTGCAGCTTACGCAGGTTTTACTCAGCTAAAATACTAAAATGACAAGTTTCTCTCTCTCTCTCTCTTTCTGTGTGTGTGTCTGTGTATCCTGAGGCAGCAGTGTGGATTCTTACCTGCTCTAAAAGCTTTCTTAGGTAGTCTGTCCCGTCATGGTGACGTCTTACTCCTCAGAGGAGAGGAACAAGGGAGTCAGAGTTTGTGCCCATGTTAACTGCTGCGTCATCACACAGCCTCTTTATTTAATATTTGATATTTAAAATTCACAGACTGACAAATACAACCAGAAAAAGTACAACCAGACACAGTTCTGGATATAACAATAATCAAATATATCAATCTAGGATAAGAGCATTTTAAAACAAAAGTTATTACTGTATGCATCTCTCTAACCTTTATTTTAGTGTCTGTCATTTGGCTTCTCATCAAACTCCCATAACCAGCTGAAGAACAGGCCCCAGTGAAAAGAGGATTTTATGATATTGCAGGGCCTCTTAACACTGTCAGGGCAATAGATCGCCCCGTTCATGTCCATCTGATCACTGAAAGTTGTCCTCCAGAGATCAAGTACTTTTAAACAGGTCATAACCCCAGTTACAGAGATGTAACAGGTTTTCCAGGAGGTTGTGATTTTTCCCTGCCCCCCTGGTTGACCAATCCTCACAGTAGCCATGGGGTGTCATTCAATCACTGGCACAGTCATGCTGGATTTTTATGAACTTAGCAGATCAAAAGTTACTTTAAAAACTGGAGAAGGTTTGTGTTTAATTCAAGAAGCTGTGTTTTATTTAAGTAATAATTTAAGAGAGCCTGCTGTGTGGATCTGGCAGCAAACACGCTGAAGCACCACTGCAGGAAGGTGTAAGTGGTGCAGGGTCCTGACTCTGGAGGGGTGTTCCTTGGCAGGAGTTCATCTACTGATCAATAGGATTCAAGGCACTGTGAGGAGTTTTTAACCAGTTGGGAAACAGAGTGGAACTGATCCCAATACCTGGAAATTTCTCAGATGTTATTTCTAAAACTGCTGTGGAGAGTGTCAGACCAGATGATAGACAGCAAGCTAAAGACATGTTTTTTTAATTGATAACAGGAGAAGGTTTTTCTCTGAACATTCTGTTCCACCCAAGAAAATAAGAGGTATTACTTTGTCCAGAAGGAACAAGACCAAAACTGACACAAACCAAATTATTACTGCAGCAGTTTTGAGTAAAATGGTTTTCTCGCACATTGAAAGCTGAGGAAATTTAGTCGTATATATTTACTTTTTCTACATTTTAGCACGATGATGTCTGCACGCTTAAAAGGTAAAGGCACAGCTCATCCAATTTTGATAAAGGGGAGTGCAGAGGAGAGGACATTAGTGGCAAAAGAACCAATCTAAATGTGCACTTGACTGCAAACCAGTGAATACCATCTTTCTCATCATGGCTAAACTTTGTTGGACTCTCTCCTTTTATGATGTGCCAGCCTGCTCCTCTCCTGCAGTCATAGTCTTCCTCCTTTATGTGAAGATGTCTTTTGTCACTCAGAATTCAGACCTGGGTGTTTCTTCATCACTTTTCTCACCAATGCATTTCTCTGTGAACGGTAATAACTGAAGGTATGATAGACTTCATTGCATCTATGGTGTGGATTGGGTTATTTTGCTGTATTTTCCCACAATACAGGTAAGCTTATTGCTCATGAAGTAGACAACTCATGCAGGAAAACCTCTAGTTCAGCATCTTCTTTTTTTTTGCGTACACTCTGTACACTGAACGCCACCGTCTTTATATCGACATTTTGTATTTTTCTGGTTTACCTCTCAATCTAAATGCGCACAGCCCTGCAGTTTCATGCCCTTACATGGGGATTTCTGGGGTGTCCACCTATGTTCATGGCCTTCAGTTTGCAAGAGCACTAGCAGACAGAGGCAAAGTAGCATTGGAGCTAACAGGGCGGAACAGTCCTGTGTGTGTGCATATCTGTGTGTGTGTGTGTGTGTGTTTGTGGCACTCCAGTAGTTTACTTGCAAGCAGTTCCCCCATGCTTCAGTAACACCATTACACAATGTGAAACCCCACACTGTGACGCTACTTTTAGGTGCAATGTGTGAATGCAAAGTTGTAGAGGTAGCATGACTTTAGGAGGACATTAAGGAGTGGTTGCAAGACTGCAGTGTGTAAAGAATCTTGTACATTGCAGCTCATAAACAGATTCATAATAATATTCCTTCATCATCATGCCTTTCTACACACATATAGCACAAAACTGCATAACTTAACTGCTACATAAATTTGTCCTAAATTTACAAGAGTAAAATCTAATGAAAGTTAAAAAAATATGATGATTATCCGGCAGTGTAACTCACCAAGTTCTCTTCTTTTTTGTAATATTGGATGCACCCATGTGCTACGATTCTTTTTCTCTTGAGAAAGCAAAAGGAGTGCCAATTTGCCATCACTTGAAGTTGATGTAGACTCCATTTCTGTCCTCTCGCTTCCACCCAGGACACTGTAGGTTGTTAAGGGAAGGTCCCTCCCAACTTCGCCTCTGATTGGCTATAAGTGTTGACTGTTTGGTTTGAGCGTGTGATGACGTTTCCAGCTTTTCTAGCCATTAAGAGGCGAAGGAAGCAGGACTTTCCCCCGGAAAAGTCTTCTCCGGGATCCGTGTTTTTCTCCCCGGGTAGTCGCAAAATCGCATCGGGCTTGATGTGTATAGTCAGGCGTGTCAAAATTTGCCTCAGAATATTTTGTGATTTCACGTTCTATATTTGTGTAGGCCCCGGTGTGTAAGGCCCTTAACAGGGAACATGCAAAATTGATAAGTGATTTTTTTATTATTGTGATATTGATATCAACTGATATGAAAAAAAATATATCGTGATTAACTTTTTCCCATATCGCCCAGCCCTACTAGTGATATCCCAGGCAGTATTGCAGTTTCTGCATAACACTGAAGATATAGAAGATTAGAAGATATAGTTCAGCAGCAGACCAGTAGAGGACAGTAATACACTGTGCAGCACCTACACTGCCGGAAATAAAAACGAAGAAGAAGTACGTGGTGACGCCAGTCGTTACGTGTTCTGTACAGTCTCACAAGGTCGTTGTAGCCTTAGCTGGCAGCAAATATGATGTCCCTCGCAGCTCGATCGGGGGCTTTCTCCCCCTACATGCAGGCCACAGCCTTCACAGTGGCCGGTCCTCTGAAGGCGCTGGTCCCGGGAGTCGTCGTGAAGGGGGAAAAGATAACACTGGACACCAAAAGGAAGTTCCTATGCCGGGAAACTCTGAGCGGTCAGAGCCCGACGACCGGGCCCGCTGTGACGGTTAGCATTAACGGTGAGTCCGCTAATGACAGCTGGTCATAGAGCCAACTAAATCAACTTTATTTCTACAGGAACATACACTCTGATGTTATAACCTGTCTGTATACCACGAAGAAGGTCAGCTGTATTTCAGTATATTTTTATACTTGAAAGAACCTCACGGCTAAGTTAGCCTGAGCTGCCCGGTATCAGCTAACATCCGGTTAGCCCGGTTAGCCGGATAAAGCTTGTCTTACAGATGAGCTCGTGGTGTAGTCGAGATTACACTGTTTTTATTCTTGGATTGTGCAATATCTCAGTAAATATAAACATAAAGATTGCAGAGGGACTCATTTTGACATTGATCAGCCGGATCAGAGAGTCCTCTGCCCGTGTACAAGAGTGTGTCCCGCTGTGACCCCGTGACGTGTTCAGTAGTCACGGTGTGTCCTCAGAGGACAAACACTGACCACTTATGAAAAAAGTTATCATCTTATCTCTGACTGTTCAGCAGTACAGGTAACAGTAGATCACACCAGCAGCCTGCGAGATGTTGAAATGTTTGGCTGAATTAGCAAACACCTCCAGCTCTAGGTCATTGTCAATAATAACACAATAAGAGAGCAAGAAAGCTTCACAAATAAACAAAGCATCGAATATAATGACAGCTCAAGCCAGGTAGATAACAGTTATAACAAGGCAAATATGTAAAAAAAAAGGTAAATCACAATCAAAACCAATATTAACATTGAGGGCTGAACCATATATTTCAGCACAATCATGGTGTGAATATGAGATGTCAGTCATATAACTTGAAACATGTCACACTTCCTTATTGTCCAGAGGTGTGATGGACATTCATCTGAAATGACTTCTTTGCAACCCCTCATTCAAACTCACAGAGAAACGAACCTCTGCGCGGGCAGGTTCTGGTAAACACCCAGGTGTGGTGCTGATACCATCAAAAATATCCAGGATTTAGTAGGTCTAGTAGGACAGTGTTTTTCCTGCTCATTCTACTGAAATTGAAATGCTGATTAAGCATTTCCACTTATTCTCATTAAAGTTTCGAGCTCTACTGAGCGTTAAACTAATGGGACATTAGAGAACTTACTTTGAGCTTCTATACTTGTAGTGCATACACATGATAATAAAGTGAAAGTCATTTAGAGAAGGCAGTGAATTTTTGTTGAATTATGTGGTGTCTTCTTAAAAAAAACAACTTTTTGGCCTGCCTCTGACACCCTCTGTTATGTAGAATTTGACCTTAAAGGTCCTTTCACACCCGGAGCGTTTTTTTCGTGGGAATATTTTGGACGTCAATACTTTTTTTTGAACCCGTATCCTGTCAATACAAGCGTTCACATCAGCGTTGTTTTCCCGTCCTGTGATATTGCAGCATTTATTTTTTCGGATCACGGTTGATTATTCTTACGTTTCGCATACTGTATGTCCACTTCTGACCAATCAGATTGCGTGTTGTTGTGGTGTCAGATTGACCGGTATATCCAACATGGCTGACCAGCTGATTGTTTACGTGTCGGAGAACAGAGTGCTTTTTGATAAAAGACACAAACATTACAAAGATAACGACCTGAAGGACAACTTGTGGAGAGTCATAGCGTCGGATCTCTCATATGACGATGGTTTGTGTGCTTTAACAGTTTGCTAAACATCTTTGTTTTAACTTTCAACTGTGCTAAGTAATTTGGGTCGTAAGCTAACCTGTTTAGATGCAACATACCATATGTATTTTCACTGTCTCAAACTCAATCGCACTGCTGTCACAGCACCATTAGGTCTCGTTTGTTACCTTACGTTTATGGATGGACAGCCATCTCAACACTAGTGTCTAATCAGAACTGAAAAACAGTCAGTCTAGTGTTGTGTCAGTCTTCTCGCTTCCACCCGGGACGCTTCTTTTTTGTTCCTCCCGGAAAGTTGCAAAATCGCACGGGGCCTGATGTGTATAGTCAGGAGCATCAAAATTCTCCTCCGACTATTTTGTAATTTTGCGTTCTATATTCGCGTCGGCCCCGGTGTGTAAGGACCTTAAGTTCAGAAATGGTACTTGGGCTGACTCCAAATAATGCTGCTGCTTGGTTTTGTGGAACACCAGCTTGAAGTTTCTCTATCCCATGGTTAATCAGTCCACACCAGGAGTACCACAAACTGGAAACAAGTCACTAGCAACTTTTTCATGGGTGCAACTCTCATGCTTATCCCACAGATGCATGTTCCTTACAAATGTGGCACCATGTAAAAGGGAAATAAAAGAACTAGTATAATATTTGTTTCCAGGAAGTAGAGAAATAATCCACCGCCTATGATTCTGTTATTAGGTGAGTCTGGCATCAGTAAGGTTAATTTGAAAGATGTAGTAAAACTGACCATGAACTTCAGCAGCTACAAGCTGTAGACTCATTAACTACAAAGTGGGGTGCAATCAGTATATTTGATGAGGCTTCAGCAGATATCCCCTTTTGTGTACCTCTCTGTGATGGTTCACTGAATTTCCTCTTGGAGATAAATAAATATTCTGATTCTGAAATCATGAATGTAGGCAAGGATTACAAAGCAAGCGCACATTGCTTTATCAATCATAAAATAGCAATTGGGTAAATTAACAAAAAAAGAAACCTGTCAAAGGACTGCAAATATATATTTACATATACAGGGCTCTACAGTATGACCGTTTTATTCGCATTTACGACTAAGAATACATGTGTGCAAATTGTAAAATTAGGGGCACATGTGCGCATAAAAAAAAAAAAAGCCGAGGCAACAAATGTTTTTTCATGTAAATATGTTCAATATTAGATGGACATGCTCTGCGGATCTACCAGTGTCTTCCAACTCTCCATAACCAGGAATAGCAACAGCAGCGGCACCCTCACTGTCAATGTCGGGTGTTGAATAAGGGACCATCAATAAATTACCAGTTGATGTTCTCAATAAAGGCTGTTTTCCTTTAATAGCTTCAATGTCATGTGACCAATTTACCTAAAATTGATTCCAAATCATAGTGCTGATGTCAACCAATAAGACACACATTCTTCGATCAATTGTCATTGTGTACCTTAAGTTTGTGTGCTCCTTACTTTTTCAACTTAGGAGCACATGTGCTACTTGTGAAAAAGTTGGTGTCAAGCCCTGGTATAAACACTGAGTACAATCAGAAGTAAACACATAGCTGGCTGCATCACATATGTTTTCATTGTGTTTGTGCACAAACATGCTGTCTGATTTGTCACTGTAGAAACCATGTCCTCTTTGTGTTTTTTTTTGGCCTGGTTTATTGAACCCCTCCTGTCAGGTTACTGAAGTGCGTCTTTACAGTGTCTGATAAATCTGTATTTAATCTCTACAGGTCCTGCAGGAGTTCGCTATGCCCACACAGACATCAGGATACCAGACTTCTCAGACTACAGGCGCCCTGAGGTTCTGGACCCCAACAAGTCCTCTCGGGAGAGCGGTGACTCCAGGAAAGCCTTCTCCTACCTGGTGACAGGAGCTACGACCGTGGTGGGCGTATATGCTGCCAAGACGGTGGTCACGCAGTTTGTCTCCTCAATGAGTGCCTCAGCCGATGTCCTGGCTCTGTCCAAGATCGAGATCAAGCTGAGCGATATCCCAGAGGGAAAGAACATGACCTTCAAGTGGAGGGGCAAGCCGCTGTTTGTCCGCCACCGCACAGAGAAGGAGATCTCCACAGAGGCTGGCGTCAACCTGGCAGAGCTGCGAGACCCTCAGCATGACAAAGACCGCGTCCTCAACCCCAGCTGGGTCATTGTGCTTGGAGTGTGCACGCATCTGGGCTGCGTGCCCATCGCCAATGCAGGAGATTTCGGTGGGTACTACTGCCCCTGCCACGGCTCACACTACGACGCCTCAGGACGCATCAGAAAAGGCCCCGCCCCCCTCAACCTGGAGGTCCCATACTATGAGTTTCCTGATGACGACACAGTGATAGTTGGATAAAAACTGGACTCTGATGGTTACCAAGAGGGAGACCTATGTGAGTTAAGAAAGCGAGAGGAGGAGGAGGTGTTTCCAGAGAGGAAGGGCATGGTCAGGTGTTAGTATGATCTTAACAGGTGGACATGTTTTTTTTTTTTTCTCTGCAGCATCTATCTGTCACGTGACAGCAGCTCTGTACGATCACATGATGTGTTTATCTGTAAACAAGCAGCTTTTAATCAGTGTTCCTCTCTGTGTCTGTCTGTAGGGAGGAGTCTTAGTTTCTTCTTCTTTGATCTGAAGTTAACATGTCAGAAAACTTTGTTAAGTTATGGTCCAGCTCAGAAACAGAGGTATGCTGTTGTGTTCATGACTGGATAATAAAGATGTCTATTTTATTTGAACACTTGGACTCTGCTCTGTCTGCTCTTTTTGCAATTTTACAGTTAATTATTTATAATAGTCAGGGCTTCAAATCGATTAAATGGTTAAATGTGCTGAAAAATCAGCATTTTTTTGGTCATTTTCTTGGAGGGGGATTTGTCTTTGAACAGAATTCCCTCAGTAGTCCCACTGAAAACTCTGGGAGATCAAAATAAAGGTTTTTCCGAAATATTCCATTTTAACAGAGGTAAGCAGTCTGCTCAGTGATTCACTTTGTTTTGAAATGAAAAATGTCAAACATTCAGAGCACTAAGGTGGCCACCATCAACATCACCTCTCTGTAAGGCAGTGGTTTTCAGCTGGTGGGTCCCAACCCAAAAGTGGGTCACAAACAGCCGGTCAAAAAAGTAAATATTTAAATGCGACATTTATTAGATAATTGATATTTTTTGTACATGCAACTTAAGTAGTTGTCCCCTTCATGTGCTTGGAAATGCACTTTACTCAATAAAACAAGTGGATTTATGTTAAAGATTAGAGTCTTTAAAGGTTTTTTATATAAAAATTACATTTGCTTGGTTTGAATTGTATAAAAGTGGGTTGCGACTTAAGGACCATGGGAAAATGTCGGTCCCAGAAGGAAACCAGTTGAGAACCACTGCTGTAAATCATGTGCGTGATTGTGTGTTGAAAATTTGTGGACTATAGAGAAAATCTGAATGAAAAATTCTGAACTAATGGAAACCCTCTAAATAACAGCTGTCACTTCATAATATTAATATTCATTTACATTAGAAATAAATAAGGGTTTTAAAGATTTAAAAAAAAAAGTTAAATTAAAAATCAACATATTTCAGTTTCATTTAGTGTCTTTTCTGTTAATCAAAAGGGAGCCAATTAATGTTGCGACACTTTAGCAGAGTGCCGCTGATGTGAAGGGACTGTTTGCAAAGTGCTGTACTCAAAAAGGTGCAACAAAAACATTTAAAAATGTCAACAAGATTTTTACACACATCAATCAGTCATTGCTGATCATACTTGATTGGAAACATCAGCTGCTTTAAGGTCCTTACACACCGGGCCGACACAAATATAGAATGCGAAATCACGAAATTTTTGGAGGAGAATTTTGTCGCGCCTGAATATACACATCAAGCCCGATGCGATTTTGAGACTTTCCAGGGGGAAAAAGACGCATTCCGAGGAAGACTTTTCTTTCACCTTTGAATGGCTAGAAAAGCTGGAAACGTCAAATGTCTAAGATAAGCCCATGAAACTATGGTAACAACCGTTAGCTTACATTAGCACAGATGAAAGAGACGTTTAGCAAACTGTTAAAGCAAACAAAACATTGTCATATGAGAGATCTGACGCTATGACTCTCCACTAACTATCCTTCAGGTCATTATCTTTGTAATGTTTGTGTCTTTTATCAAAAAGCACTCTGTTCTCCGACATGTAAACAATCAGCCGGTCAGCCATGTTGGAAATAAACTTTAGAAAAATCGACTGTGATCCGAAAAAATAAATGCTTGTATTGACCGGGTACGGGTTCGAAAAAAAATATTGACGTCTGAAATAATCACATGACAAAAACGGTCCCGGTGTGAAAGGACCTTTATAACCAGAAAAAATTGCATACATGATTAAGAGACAGGACGAAGTTGAGGAGCCATAAATCTCTGTGTTGAGGTCACTCCACGCCTTCTACCCTCCATCTTTCAACTTGTGCCACTGGGAGGGGCTGAGATGAGAAGGGGGTGTACTTGTGCAGGGCTGCACTGCTCACCAGTTTTGTAGAGTGTGCTTGGGCACGTCCCGCCGTCACGGTGGACCTGACTTGCACCTGCCTCTGCCACACTGCCAGCGAAGCATGAATTTAGAGCCCCAAGTGTTTATTTTGGCAACAAAAATTATGACTCATGATGCACAAATGTTTCATGACTAAAAAAAAAGAGAAAAGTAAATATAAAAGATTGTGGCAAAATCTGTTCATAAATATTGTGGTGAATAATGTTGAGATGAATGAGTTTTCTTTTTTTTTTGTATAGTGGTTGGAAATCTGTTTACCGTTTTTGTCTGATGGAGGGAGAGGTTGATGGAGAGGTGATGGAGGTCTCATCCTTCCTCATACACCATCTGCTAGTCTGTATCTTCACATCTAAGGTTTGCTCTGCAGGCTAAGCAAGGTGGTTTAGAGAGCAGGTGATGCTGTCTGTCAGGAGGTTATGTGTCGTGCATGAAGACAGTGTGTGGTGCATGTAAACAGAATATATAAATAACTGCACAGACGAACATGTTTCAGTCCTGTACACCGTACTAACCTGCAGAGAAGAAGCAGAGCAGGTACCTAGATACAGATAAAAGAGAGTTTATTTCTGAGCCAAAGTCCCCCCAGAGTGCGCCTCTTTTTGGATGCTGAATATTTTAAGAGCAGCAGGTTTTTTAGTGGAGCCGAACAGGAGCCAACCTCATGCCCCTCTCCCCAAGAGAGAACGCAGCCTGTTATCTGAGGGGGGAAGAGTGTGGCTGTTGTGGCTTTGAAAGCACTCACGGTGGTTATCTGTGTGTCAGCATTTTAGAAACATAACCCCCCGAGAGAGAGAGAGAGAGAGAGAGAGAGAGAGAGAGAGAGAGAGAGAGAGAGAGAGCTTAACCAGGTTCAGGGAATAACCCGACTAAAAGTCAGTACACCTCTCCACAGCAGACCTGACACACTGCAGTGTTAATGACGTCAGGACTAAGCTGCTGACTGAGCGTCTTTGAGCTTAGATGGCTGTGCTGATGTTAAATCAACTCAGAATATAGAACTATTATTCATTTTCTTCTTTAATTAAAAGCACTGGCTATTATGTTTTTTTATTTATTTAATTTAATTATTTTATGTCAAATACTGATAGCCTAATGCTTTAAGTTTTGAACTTAAACATCATGTTTTTTTTTTGTGGAGCCTTTACAGAACAATGTATGGTTGATGTGAGGTGCTCAAAGCATGCTGGCTGAACACGGTGTACTTTAACGCTGGCATCCTACTGTAACGTAAGAGGCCATTCACTGTCTCCAGAGTGAACCCTGTTTCCAAAATATGAGCATGTTTACACACAACTCTGATGGCTATAAGGGTTGCATCCATGTTTTTTTTTTACTTCTTTTATATTCATTGTAGTCCCACTCAACCAAGGCTCTTCTTGGACAGATTCAAGGAAATGAAGAGAGAGAGAAAAAGAGCTGAGGAAATATGTTTGAGGGACACAACAGCCTTTCTTTCAGAGCATAACATGAAGCAACGCCAACCTCTGATAATGTTTTACCAGCTGTTCAGGTCTGTAAACAGGTATTTATGCAAAGAGAGTACACAGCTATTCTGTGTGTCAAACATCTGCTCATGAAGACCAACCTGCAGTCTGTTTATTCTGTGTCTAGCTTCAAAGGTTATGAATCATTTTAACCAGTAAAATGCAGCATTAAAAAGGTCATTATTACTTTAGTCTGTATTTACTCGTAACCATGATGTGAATTCTTCATGTTACGAGCTCTTCTAACATGAGGATGATGCTGTTTGTGAATATGAAGTGCCTGAAATAAAGCCTGAAATCAAATCCAACCACCTGGGGGAGAATGAAAGTGATCCTCACGTTCTTTAGAGAGGCTGTGCAGTCCTCACCGCATGATGGTAAGTCAGGGGGCGCTATTGAGCCAACTCACCATAGACCAGCCACACAACATATGACACACACACACACTTGTCCCCAGGCTGTAGGTCCATATTAGTTTAATGTGAGCTGACTGTGTGATCACACTAATGGCCTGAGCCGAGCCACGAGGAATGTTTTATTCAGAGTAAATATATTTTTAACATTAAGGAAGAGGCTGATCATCTGCTGAGGATGGAGCTGATTACACACACACACAGCTGGGACATCACATAATAACAGTACAGAAGGGCTTTATGCAGAATTAAACACACACCAAGTTAAAATACTCCACATGAACACATGGTAAAGAATAGAGGTGAACATCTGGCCCTAACTCAGTGCAGCTATGTGTAGTCTGACACAACTGTTTACTAAGTTAACTTTCCAACTTACTTTATTCACGTTTCAAAAAGTTTGTGTGTAACACTAAATTATGTTACAGTTGGTTTTGTGTTATAATGGTAGGAATCTAAATATCCTCTCACAAGAATGTCATATTTAGGGACCAGATAAGAATAAGAATGACTTTCTTTAACCCCAAAGGAGAATTCAATTGACTTGTCTCATTTGTCATGTCTTAAAAGCCATCTACTATTTATAGAAGAGTTATAAAGTCTGATGGTTGTGGGTTCTGTCCTGCAGTAAAGAGAGAGGAGCCGTCCACCACTATTGGTCCTTTGGTCCACTAAGGTGTTATGAAGTGGGTGATCCATGTTCTCTAGAATAGCCTCCACTTTCCTCTGTGTACAAACTTTATTATGGACTTCATTTTGTTTAACACAATTGTCCTGATATACTTTGATTCAAAATCCCCCCTGAATCACAAAAAAAAAAAAAACAAAACAGCCCAAATTATGTAAACTCACCCAAACTCATTCTAACCCACACAATCTGAACCAAAACCACCTTCTTTAAATTCCTGAATGATGTAAGCTTGGGCAT